TTTCATTGGACGATTTCTGATTTTTGCGAAAAAATCAGTCATTTTTACTTTTTATTAAATGGGAGCAAATTGTTCATATATTGTATGGTCGGCTGAAAATGAAGAGCGTTCCATTCCTGTCTTTTGACTGGTGTTAAGAATGAAATCCAAGTGATTGATAAAAACGTAACCTCTTATCTTTACATCCAAATGAATTTAGGATCAGATCAGATTATTTTATGCCAACAGCCAATAGAATTAGCCAAGCCAGAAATGGTGGTATCAGAAGACAAGGCGCAGAAGAAGGTTCATTAGCTGTTAGTTCAATTGTTGACGAGCCAAAGAGGAATCACTGCGATTCGAATAAAAATAACTTATCTAAAATTTTTTTTCTATTTATAGCGAATAATTTCAATAAAACGTTGAATATAATGAAAATTGAAAAGAAAAATTCTCATCGTCCTTCGTTTTCAATTGGAATTTTTCTTTTTTTTATGAAAAAAAAGCTATTTTTTCTTATATTTCTTACAATTCCCTTTGAAATTTTCATCAAATATAGTAGTTATTGCTTGTAACAATAAAGTTAATACTCATAGTTAGGGTGTTTAACATTCATTATTTCTAGTAGGCTTGTTCAACTGGCTATTGGTGAAATGAGACGCTTTGCTAGATAATTAATCTTCTTAGGGGATGGGAATGCAGAGACTGGTCCATCGGTCCGTTATTTGTTTCCTTCTATTAAATAGGTAGTCTAAGGCATTTTTAACAATTCTGTTTCTGTCATTTTTCTGCCCTGTAAGGAATCTTGAATCAATAACAATTGATCTACTGTTTCAGCAGACAGGTAAATTTATGAAACATTTGTTATTGCTGAGTATCATTTTGAATTCTGTCAAACAGAATATCATCTTTTATTAATTCTTCGAAGAGAACGAAACATTTATGATTTGGATGGCTTCGCTGAATCCATATTTATCAGCCAGCCTCCCGGATTTCACTTTTAATGATTTAACGATATCTTGTCGATGGAAAAGAATCGAATTTTGTTTGTTTGGTCCACAAGAATTCCAAAAGATCTCTTCCTTACTTTGCATTTACAGTGTTTTATAACTAAAGTCGTTGAATTTCATGTCGTTGTTGATTTTCGTGCGTCTTTGATTCCTCTTAATTTCCATTTTTTTGCAGAGCATTCACCACTGCTGGCTAGGCTCGCTCCACTAGCTTGTCGGACTAGACAAATATGCCAGCGAGTTCCGTTGGCGATAGAAGTACAGGTGAACCGCCCAGCATCCCGGGTTTTTGAAGCACAGGTTTACTTCTGCCTGGAGTAGAACCTCAGTGTCGCCGCTCCGAATTGAGCAATAACCCACTGAGCCATTCTTTGCTCGTTCCGTTGGGCGGAGCCCAAAGAAACTTAACGCGTCGGCCAGGTTCGAGCCCAAACCTCGATTCTCCCCGGCACTTATCTTGCCACTCACCTACCGGCATACTTTTCAGTTTACTTATTTGCTCATTCTTTCTACAAGTATTGTCTCTGTATTTTATTCTACACTTCCATAATTCTATATTTTAATGGCAATTTTATGAAGAATTAAATCGCCCATCGCCATTCCCATTCCATATTGCCATATTCTATACAGTTTTCTACGAGGTTTTGGCAATCAAAATCGTCCAAGAAAACAAATCCATCTTCTTCATTTCATTTATTCTTTTCGCTTACTGTATATTACATTATTTAAATTACATATTTCCCAATGTCGAAAAAAACTGCCATTTATTTTATGTTTTCTCCGTCGAACGGAGAGAACGAAACAAGCCATCCATCCAATTCTTTTATCAACAAATGACTCAGAGTAAAACAATTTCTGTCTGTTTTTCGTTTTTTTCCCATTATTATAATAAATATTTGTTAATAAAATTTGATAGGTTGAAATTCGCTACCATTTTCAATTAGGATGGTTCCTCTACGCACTTCTATGATGTGCTTGGGGACTTGGGGATCGAGGAGAGTCACTTGACGATAGAAATGCATGTGGATCGCCGTCGCCAGCATAAACTCTGATTTTTTAATGACACGCCTACTCTTGTCAAAGACGCACTCCGAACTCTTCGCCAGCATGACAACTGAGCCACTATCACTCGGCTATCTTCTCTCTTATCAAACTTGATATTTTTTTTCTGATAAAATCTCGTTTTTTTCCTTTCTTGATGACTTTAAAATAATTTTATTTTCGCAATGGATTTTTGCGTTTTTTCTTTAAAATTAAGGAATTTTGATTAAAATAAAATAGCAAATAAATAAATTTGACTAATTTATTGTCGAATAATCAATGGATTACGAGTGGATTAGGCTGAAGAAAAGAAAAAAGAAGCGATAAACAAATTCGTCGCCAATCGGAGACTTTCGTTTAATTGTACGCAAAGATTTAAGTAAAAATTGTTCTATTCAATCCGATTAAATAAGAGCTAAATAAATAGATGAACAAATGGTTATTGCTTCAGCGCCCTGCTTCCGGCAGAAATAATCCGAAAATCTCTGGCAGAATTGCCTCGTCGAGCCAACTGCCCCCAACCCAGGCAGTTAATGGCCCGAGTCCTCCTCAAGTCTTATCAGAAATGCTCACTTCTTATCATTTATACGGATCTTCACTGATCAGTGATCATTTCAGTGATTTTCCGGTGCCCAACGATTTTCTATTTATATTGATAAGTCTGTCTTGACCATTCTTTAGCATATAAAAAATATTCATACAGTAAAAGCAAAAAAATTCATTGTTTTCTTCCGAGAACCCTCACTATTTCTGATTAGATTCGCCCGTCTGAAAAAACATTTCGGGGCTCTGCCGAGAGCAACGTCAAAGCAACTGAGCTCCTCTTCTCTGGCAAATAATTGTTACAAAAAACTCCTATACATACACCCTGTGAGTCATCCTCAATTTCGTGTCCCTTCATATTTTTATTTTTATATTTATGCGATATATTTTTCGCCTTTTTGCTCCTCCTGCTTTTCCTCCTCCTCCTCATGCAACCTGCTTCCCTCTTCATTTTTTCCTTGTCCTTTATTTTTCCTCGTCTCTATTCCTTTCCCTCTTCTTTCTATTATTAAACCTCACAACCACATTTAGCATTTCCATTGAATGGTGCTGCGCTTTTGCGATTGATTTGAAATCAATATATTGAAAGCGTTTATTTGCTTGGGAATTCCTTTACTCTTTTTTATTTATTGCATTTCTAATTATCCGAACATAAATTAAACGAAAAAGTGGAGATTCGTGAAATGAAACCGAATTGGTAAGAACTGATCGAAAAATGTTTTCTTTACTAATTCTAATCGCCAATTCACTGATTCCCAATCACTAACCCCGTACGGCCCCGCCTGGAATCGAATTTGTGAGTTCCAAGTGCGATGGGTTGAAGTTTTATGGATATCCTCACATTAGTATTGTTTATTGTTTTTTATTATTTCGATTCGATTATTTTTCGTTAAATTTTTGCATTTGTGATTTGTTTATTATTCAAATTGAATATTCACTTTATGTTTACATTTCTCTATAAATTTTATATTTTCGTTTTTTTTCCTTCGAATTGTTCCCATGAACAACTCCGACGTAACCTATAACACAAATCAGTTAAAAAATATTTTAAAAATAGCCAAGGAGCTGATTGTTAGCACTACCTACTTTGCGGCTCTTGCTAGTTTTTGAAGCTTTAATTTTTCACATAGCGAATTTGTTTTAAAATACTTGCAATAATTTCTTTTTTTTTGGACAATTTTGGGCCTTTGACATTTTTAACTTTGCTTTGTCAATTCAGAATCAAATCCAAGCCATTTATCCTTGGCCAATGAATAATGTTGAATAATGCCATCTCTTTTTTATTTATTTTAAAAATTTAAAAAATAATTTCGATTTTTAAAATTTAGGTAAATGACCGATTTTTAATTGCAAATTGCTTATTCCTTATTTTTTTGCACCTCGCTTTCCTCCTTTTCCCTTTTCTCCTTTTTTCCTTCTTTCTGTTTTTCTTTTTCTCCTTTTCCTGTTTTTTTTTGCATTCCTTGCTCTTTTTTCTCCTTCAACCTTCTCTCTTTCTCGTCTTTTTTTTGTTATTAAATTAATAGGGAACAAATAAGATAAAAAAATTTATGAGTTAATGAATGGCGCCTATATCGAAATTTTATGACAACAATTTTATGTTAATACGAATAATAATAGTAGTGATAAGAATAATAATTTTTGATAAAACTAATAGAGAATTTTTATTTTTTACTTCAACGCTTTAATTACTGAAAAAAAGGGCAAAAACAAGTAGTGTCTTAAAATTTTTGTTTCAAGCCGATAAATTTTTTTCCAACGGCACGCACCATCTTTAACACGAACCCTTTTGCCAGGTAATCACTTAGGATAGAATTGCTGATAGCTCCCTAGTCAAGAAAATAAGTCAAATTTTCATTATTATTATTGTTGTTTATTGTTAAAAATAAATAAGAATTTAATAAATTACTATTTTTGCGCTTGGGGAAATGCTATAAATGACGTAAGTAAACGTGAGAAATCGAAAACTTTTCAAGTTATTCTTCGTTGTGCGCATAAGTTTTCTTCAAAGATGATTTGGCAATTTCTTATTGAAATTTAACATTTCAAATAAATGATCAATTTTTAAATGACCTTTGACTCTCCGTAAAATTGTTCTTTGACAGGTTTTTTTAAAGAAACTCTCAGAAAATTGCGGTATGAAGAGTTATTCTCACGCTACATAATTTATCTACAATCGTTTCTGTAATCGAAATCATTTATTCCGAAAAGGATTTCTTCAATTTTCAAATTTAATATTTTTTAGCGAAATCTTAGGCAAAAATTACAATAATGTGGAGAAAAATGCGTTTTTGCATTATTTTTAATATATATTTTTATCAAATTTCATTTTATTTATCGAAAATAATTTCAGATTTCTTTTATTCGAATATAAATACGAAAAATTTTTTTCTGAATAATAAATATTTTCTCAATAATTCGATGAAAATGGAAATAGAAAAGGATGAACCAACTACGATTGTATTAAATACAAAAAAATTATCGAAAATGGAAGAATTACCACCGGAAAATGAAATTATTAGTGCTTTTGAAGATGTTTTGGTTTGTTTTTTGAAATCGTTTTTATTTTTTTAGATTTTCTGAAAAAAATGAAATTTTTTAACTAATAAGAAATTAGATTTATTTGAAATAAAGCGAACGATGATTGATGAATTTGGTTTTCAAATAATTAAATTTCGATTATTTCGAAGGCAAATAGCGATATTTGCACTTTTAAATGATAAGTTTACTTGTTATCATGGGTAGAGGCTGATCACAATACTTGGAATTATAATTTAGAAATGATATGAATGGCTCTCTACTTTCCGCACAGTAATGTACTTGTAATAATATGTAATTTGCAATTCGGTAGATCTCGCTGGAGACCGAAGAAAAAATATGAAAATATAGTAAATACTATTTTTTCTTAAGAGCTTCTAAATATTTACCATACCATAAACTGGATAACTGGAAAACTTAGGGGCTAAATTTTTTGCTCTGTATTTTATGATAAATCAGTCATTAGCTGTCAACATTTTTATGAAAAATAACTGTATTTATTTATATAAATACAGTTATTTTTAAGTTAATTTTCAATTATTTTTTAAGTTAGTTTCAGTTTTTTATTATAATTGACTTGAATATTTTTATTAATAAATTTTGATTAATTAAATTTGATTAATAAAATTAAATTTTAATTCTTTTATGATTTTCGAATCAAAAATAATAAAAATTAAAGAATATTAAGAATTAAGAAATAAATTATTTACAAATTTAATAATTGTATTTATTTTTTAAAATAAATATTCATTTTAAAAATTTATTTATAAGAAAAAGAATAAGAAAAAAATCACCTGTGAATTTTAGTACAAATGGTATAAATTGCTGCCGTTTTATTTAAAAAAAGTAAAAATAAGAAAATGTGCGAAAATGCATATTAAAAATCTTTTAGAATAAAATGGATCTGCCTCCTGATAAAATGCGAGTGTTAAGAAATTATGACTTATCAAAGAAATGGGATTTGGTTTGCGACCAGGTTTTGATGCTTATGCTTTATTTATTCATTAAATATTTCGAAAAAATTTCATTTAAAAAATTTATTTTCGAAATCTGTCGATCCTAAAAATTTCATATTGTGCCAAAAATCAAAATTCTTTATTGTTTCCGATGTTCGATTTATCTTTTCCTCTAATTTCGTACGAAATCTTATAATCAATAGAATTAATAAGTTATTTATTTAAATTGCTAATAATTTTATAAAATGTTAATGTTAACGGAAAATTTTTGATTTTAGCGGAAAATGTATGCAGCACCTGATCCTTCAGTTTATCTTCAAAAGCTCACTATATATTCCGATAAAAAATCACTCAAAAAGGTTTTTTTGAATTGTCAGCCTAATATTACATTTTTCATTAGAATATCTAGAGAAGAGATTAAACATTCATTTAGAATTTATAGAAAAAGAAATTGCTTGGCGATGAAACGTCAACTGAAGTATTGAAACATATTGAGATATCCTTAAGGACAAATAGTATTGAGTAAGTTTTTTATGACTTTTGGATAATGAATGGAAGATATTATGTAGATATTTCTTAGAAATATCTCTTTCTCAGGAAATCTAAATGAACAAATCGAGCTACGTAATTTGCTCCAATCTCTTATAAAAGTACTTTTATCTGAATGAAAATACTATGGTTTTTAGCCAATTAAAAATATAGATAATACTGACAATTTTTTCTTGTGAATTGGTTTTATGAGTTACTACCATTTACCAATCAGATTTATATAATTCAATGGAAAATTTGAGTTAAATATATTTGAATATAGACTCTAAGAATTTTTTTAAAATTTCAGTTGGGTTCGTCTTTTTTTGAGCGAAGCAAACAATGGTCTGCAAATACTTGTTGAATATTTAAGTCAACTTCAAGAAGCTGGTGGATGGGGGAAGTTAGTTTTTTAAAAATTTCTGTCTATTTGATAGTACCATTCAGATTCATTCTTTATTGTTTTAATAATTTTTTAATTTTTTCGTTTTAATTTTCGCGAATTTAATTTCGGCTTCATTTTATTCCTTATTTTTCAGTTTTGATATAGGTAATTTTGCAAATAGTTCTAACCAGTTAGCACAAATAAATTCATCAACAGCAATGTTAAATTCAATAAATGGCGATGCTGCTCAATTTTCTTCTGGAAATGGAAATGATGAAAAGTTTAATGGTGGTAGTATTTTTCGACGACCAACATTGAATAAATCAAAAACGCTTAAGAATATAGGTGATCGAGATGACGATATACATGTCTGCGTTAGCTGCTTGAGGGCAATTATGAATAATAAAGTTAGTTTTTTATTATAATCAATTTGAATATTTTTTATTAATAAATTTTGATTAATTAAATTTGATTAATAAAATTTATGATTTTCGAATCAAAAATATTAAAGATAAAATAAAAATAAAAATAATAAAACAATAAAATAATAAATAAAAAATAATAAAATAAAAATAAAAAATAAAACAAAAATAAAAAATATAAATATTAAAGGAATATTAAAAATTAAGAAATAATTTATTTACATTTGTAATTCAGTTTGATGGCTTTTTCGCAGAAAAAATTTCTGGATTTTTGATATGTAAAAAGCTCATTGCTTTTACCGACCATACTGAGAGGAATAAAAATAAACCATAAGCAAAAAAAGAATTTTATGAAGGAAATAGAAAATTTATTGGATTTTTTTCAGTTTTGATGGTTTATGGAATGTATGAAAATATTTGATTCTAATTTGCATCTAATCTTTTTTTCACGGATGGTTTAAAAAATATTTAATTTTTAATACCAAGATGCCATTTGTTAACATTAACTAAATCCGTGTTCCTTACAATAGGTTTTTTGTTTTTTCGTACTAAATTAAATTTTTTTTGCAGTATGGATTCAACATGGTATTTAGCGATCCACAAGCAATATATTGTATAGCTCGAAGTATTCTTCATCAAAGTTTAAGGTTTGTTTTTTTAATGAAAATGCGAAATTATAATTTATTAATGCGAATTGGATAATTTTATTGAATTCCATTGTCAATAGGTTTAATTCGTTGTTCTTTTTTATTTGTGACATTTGGTTTTTCTTATAGTTTTCTCACTCGTCATTTGGTCTGAATTGTATCGTTCGCCTTTTCTTTCTTTTATTTTCAGTAAACAATTTGTTTGAATTATTATTTCTTTTTACCTTTTCTTCCTATTTTTATTTGTCCCCAAATCTTATTTCTTTATTTCACTTTGTCGTCAGTTAACCATCTTTGTTCTCGCTTTTCTTGTAAATATACTTTTTATTTGCAGAACAAAAGCATTAGTTTTGGAATTATTAGCTGCGATATGTTTGGTCAAGGGAGGTCATGAACTCATCATTGATGCGTTTAATAGGTTTCGAACAGTTAGTAGTTTTTCATATACAATTTTACGTTCAGTTAAATTATAAATTTATAAATTATTGCAGGAAATTTTTTCGGGTAATGTTTCGAAGTAATTTGTAATATTATTTATCTATAGTCGAATTCATCTATAGATTTTTCAGCAATATTTATTTATTATTTCTATTGCTTTAAGGAATATCGTGAAGTGTATCGTTTCCAGTTGCTATTTTCGTTTTTCCGATATCCACCAGAATTTCATGTTGAATTTATGACATCTTGCATGCAGTTTTTCAATATTTTGGTCCATTCAACAGAGAATATGAATTATCGGAGTTTTTTGCAATATGAATTCACTCTTCTCGGGCTTGATGATTATCTCGAGGTAGAAAAAATTTTAAAATTATTAGATTGTTTTTTATAAAAATTTTATTAAAAAACCTTGCACTCATTCAAATTTTCAAAAGTCCGAAGTTATTATCTAAGGCGGAAATGTTTTTAATATAATTTAGCAAATAAAGTAGTGTAGTACAAGTAATACAATAAGTTAAAATTTATTCTTTAATTCATTTAGATATTAAAATCAAATGAAAGTGAGCAATTACAAACACAGAGAATTGCATATTTGGAAAATAAAATTGATGTTACAACGCTAGTTGATGAAGCAGAAAAGAAAGTTGAAATTGAAGCTGAAAATGCTCGTTTATCTGATGAATTATCAAAGGTTTTGATTTTTTTCATATTTATATTCTAGTTATATAATCCAGCATTGTTGGTGATGAGTTCTTTTATTTTATTGTTCGTTAACCAAAAACCATATTTTTTTTTCATTCAGACAAAAGAACGTTTGCAAGAGGTGGAAGCAGATTATATAGCTCGATTGGCTCATTTAGATCGTCGTTTAAAAGAATTGAATGCTGAGAAAGAAAAACTTTTAAAAGAACGTGATTCCACGCTTAGTACAATGCGAAGAACATTAAATGAGAAGGATAAGGTAAATCGGGAACAACAGGCAAAACTTGAATCGCGGATTCAGGAATTGGAAAAAATACAAGAAAATATGAAAGGTTACACAATAATCATGATGTTAACGAAATGGATCTTGAATCTTTAATAAATTTATTATTATTATTATTAATAATTATTTTAATCGGTAATTTTTTATTTTGAGTTTTTTGTTTAGCTGGCTTACTTGAAGTGAAACGATCATCAGTTGTGTCATCTTCTTCTGCAAAATCTCCTCCATCTCCTCCACCACCTCCACCAGGTCCACATCGGATAATGGAATCGAATGTAGCATCAAAGGATGAACCAAACAAAACTTCCATACCTCCTGCACCTCCACCTCCTCCTCCTGTCGTTTCAATATCTTGTCCTCCTCCTGCCCCTCCTTTAACGAAAAATGTTCTTTCACCACCAGCAAATGATGTTATGACAATTAAAAAGGTTTATAATACAAAGTGAGTCCTTATTCGTCATATGTTAATTTAATTTGTTTTGACTTATTTTTTGGAGTTGCAATTTCCAAAATTGTTTTTTTTCAGCAGAATTTAATTTTTTTTATTAATGATGATTATTCTTATTTTTATTACTGATGATTGTTCTAATTGTGATGATAACTTTGATTATTTTGCATTTTTTCATGAACGAATTTTTCAAGTTTCTACTATATGTTAATTTTTATAGAAATAAATTGCCGCTATTGAACTGGTGTCCTCTGAAACCGAATCAAGCAAAAGATACTGTTTTCAGCAATCTCGATGACGAAAAAATCATGGATGTATGAACAAATTTTTGATTTCCTAATTTCAAATTTTTTTAAATATTATTTCTGAAAGCTTCTTTAACGGGTTGATTTCATTATTTAGATATCTACACGAAAAATGCTAGCTTTTTCCCTCTAAAATGAATGACTGAAATTTCTTTTTTCAGAAAATTGATTTTTCGGCTCTTGAAGATAAATTTAAAATTGGTGTTGTGAAACACGTGGATACTCAGGAGTCATTCAGTCACTCAGTCAGCCAACATTCACCAAGTAGTTCTGGAAGTGGTTCAACTAGCGCCAGAAAAAATACGATCCTGGATACTAAGCGTTTACAAAATATTGGTAAAATTCTCAGCAAAATTTTTTGGGATTTTAATCGAAAAATTTCAGTTCTCAGCAAAATTAAGAAGGGTGCTGGAACATTGTTTCAAATATCAGCAACCCACCGTCACTTGCTTCATCGATTTTGCAGATGCCTTCACTTGATAGAGCAACGCTCTGATGGAATGTGATGGTGTCCCAGAGAAGATCATTCGACTTATAAAAGCATTTTATCAGCATGCCCTGGCACAGATATGAGGAACTAACAAATTTCTTCGAAATAAGAACTGGTGTCCGTCAGGGATACGTCCTTTCTCCTACAATGTTCAATTATGCGATAGACTGGATAATGGGCATCGCTTGCCGCTACTCAAGAGGTGTGCAAATCAATCCAGAGCGTAGCATCAATACACTGATGATGTAGTCCTTTTTGCTGACAGTTATAGAAATGCAAATAATGTTAAACAATATATCAACAACTGCAGCGAGAATTGGACTCAAGATCAATGTAACTAAATGTAAAAGTATTTAGTCTTATATATACTGATGCTGATAAAATACTTATTTTTATCAATTCATTGCCGGTTGAATAAGTATCCGATTTTAAATATCTTGGATCCACTCTAATCTCAAATGACCAAGCAAAGGATGAAAACGTAACTCTGATAATTGCTAAAATATATTTTCCGGTTGATGAAACCTTTATGAAACTGTCGCGAAATTACCATAAAGAATCTGAGTCCATGTAGATGCTGTTCGTTCGATCTTATATGGCTTCGAAACATGGCCAATGAGAGTGGAAGATATTAAGAAACTATCACTCTTTGACCACTCATGTTTAAGATATATTTTACGGATCCAAATCGCACATGATTTTATCCATCTTCGCTCAACAACACCTGTATTAATAATGTTATCACAGAGTTTCGCTGGTTAGGGCACGTTCTTCGATGTCCACTACAGGAGTTGACATATTTGATTACTTGCTAAACATTTTGATGTTTAGCGCCAAGAGCGAGGAGGACCAAGACCTGGACTGATACAATCAGGAAAGATTTTGAAACGTATAGAGGAACCAGCAGTTATATGGACTTAGAATAGAATAGAATAATAGAAAAAGGAATGGCTTCTATTACTAGCATCGGACATTGGCATCGGACAGAGCAGTTTGGAGACGTTTTACCCTTGTAGCCAGCGGAGCCAGCCTAACCAGTAATGGTGAGAGATATTAGAAAAAGATGAAGTGCAAAATTAATGAGACAAATTATTCGGAGCAGTCATAGTTTCATATATAATTTTTTTAGTTCAGTTCCTTTTTTTTATTGAATTATTTTAGCAATTACTTGTCGGAAATTGGCCATGCCAGCTTCATCAATTATGGCAGCTGTACACAGAATGGATCTTAAAGCTTTACCTGCTGAAAGCGTTGATATCCTTCAAAAAATTGCCCCAACACAAGAGTACGTTTCTGGTTTATTTACATTTTTAAATTTATTTATTTTCAATATTTTTAGAAAGATAAAAATAATTTTTTCCGCGGATTTTTTGATGTTTGGAATTTATCCAAAAATTACAGTGAAATGGTGAAATTCCGTGACTATGAAAACCAGTATAAAAATTTCTCAGACTTATCTGATGAGGATCAATTTTTGGCGGAATTAGTAAAGATTGAAAGGTTCGACCACAAATTGAAGATAATGTCGTTCATGGCTACATTTGATGAAAGTGCCGATCTGCTTGAACCTGTAATTCTCGAACAATTATTAGAATTTTTTAAAAATTTATCTGGAAGATCTTATATTTCTTTAAGAAAAAAGAATATTAAGGCCTATTTCGTCACTTTTTTTTAAAATACAATATTGACCTTTTTTCAATAACCAATTTTTTGCCAATTTACCGACTTCGTTGCCATTTTTTTACAGCAATTCGTCAATTTAACAGCTGCATCAAAATGTGTGCGTGAGGCAACTAAATTTCATAAAATTTTGGAAGTTATGCTTGCTTATGGAAATTATATGAATAGCGGTCGCAAAGGTGCAGTCTACGGATTCAAAATATCAAGTTTAGATACTGTAAGTAATTAAATTTTTAATTTGATTTGACGGTAAAGTTCTCTCATTTGGATTGTTAATTAAAATAAAAAAGTGGTTTAGGCTTAGGTAAAAATAAAATAACGATAAAAGTGGCAACAATTTTATTATATGAAATGGAATTAATTGATAAAATGTTCACTTATTTCAGCTTTCGGGTTTAAAAAGCTCAGTCGAACGCTCCTTATCCCTTTTGCACATAATAGCCGAAACAATTTCAAAATCATTTCCTGATCTCCTGACTTTTCCTGAACAGTTGAAATTCGCTGATAAGGCAAGTGGAAGTAAGAATTTCTTATCGTTCGAATCTGAACTTTATTTAATAAAATATTTATGTATGGATTAATAAATAATATTTTTTTAATAATAATATTTGATATAGTTTTTAATTATATAGTTATATAGTTTTTTTTTAGTTTTTCAATTATATTGTTTTTAATAATAATAATTATAGTTTTTAATAATATTTGATTGTATAACAATTTAATGGTAATTTTTTCGAATTATTGGTAAGTAAAATTACCAATAACTCATAAATTATTTCATTCTTCGTAAAAGCGGAATAATTTACAGTTATGTGGGAAGCTGTACTAGCTGATATGCGTGAATTGGAAGCAAATTATACCTTGGCCAAAAAGGAACGCGAATTGAAAGGAAATGAATGTCCACCTACTCTCATTAACTTCCTCGAGGATTGTGAGAAGAGAATTAATAATCTTCAACAGAATTGTCGCACTGCAGCTGTATGTATAATATAATTCATTTCATTTTATTGCAGTTTTGTCTACTAATATCGTTTACTTATTTCATCGTACTTTTGTAAATTTATCATAGAGAAATTGAATGAATTTTTATTTTTTCAGGAAGCATTTAATGCTTGCGTTGAATTTTATGGTGAATCGTCTCGAAATCAGCAACCACATCTATTTTTTTCTCGTCTTTTGGAATTTACTAAGAAATTTCAACAAGCTTTGCAGGATAATGAGGCCCGTCATGCTCTTGAACAGGTTATACCAGTTTCTTCATAAAAAAATGAGAAAATTAGCATTTTTGCTATTTTAATAAATGGCATGATATTGGTATTAAAGATCCAAAAAGATTGTTTTTTCTAGTCTCAGGATAATTGCAACCCAATGAAAACTTAAATTATTTTCAAAAATGAAAATATTCTTTATTTTAATCAGAATTTATTTTGATTTTCAAAAAATCGTCGGAATTATTCCAATTTTATCTACTCAGAAGTCCTAAATCCTTCAATTTCTTCCAATATTGCCTTTAAAGCGAATGCGAGAGGATCAAAATCGGCGCGAAAAAATTCGGCTTCGAAGTGGTAGAAAAGGTGACGAGGAGATGATTAATGAGCTTGAACAACGCTTAATGATGGTTAATGGAGATGGCTGTCCTTTTCCGAAAAGGGGTCAAGGTTCAAAGTTGGATTCAAGTCAGATAAAAGATGGTGATTTCGAAAAAATTATGATCGGTAAATTACCTTCTTCAATGTTGTTTTACACGTTAATTTGCGAATTGGATATGTACTTTGAATTTATATTTTTATCTTAGGCCTTAGAGAAGGAGCATATGTCGCATTTGATGGACCACAAAATGTTAAACGATTCAGCACAACATCTGGACCTGCAAGAATCCCTCCACCTGTGGAACCTAAACCTGTACGTGTCGTTCGTGAACCGCCTAGGGAACGTTCATAATGTGTATTTTCACCTTCCAACAGCACTGTTATCTTACTTTTTTGTTTATATATGTAAGTACAAAGATTTGTGCAATTTTTGGTTTAAAAAAGATCTTCGCATTTTTTTATTTGTATCCATTTCATTTATTTTTTTTCAGTTTTTAATAATTTCTAAATTATAAATATGAAAAATGATCGCATTTTAGATTTATTAGATTAATCAGTTATTTAATGATTTATTAAATGCATTATTTTTATTAGATTCCTTCTTAAATATTTGCAATATTTGAAATATTTGAAAATAGGAATGATCCATTTTCTTTTTAGGTTAATTTCCTGATTTTATTTGTTCAGTGCTCATAGATAAAATCTTTTTTAAAAGTATTTTCATTTGTTAATGGTTTGTAAATGAAAGAAATTTTGCTAAGTGTACTTAATTAATTGTAAATATCAGTAATAATGGTTGCTTATCCGGTGATTTAGATTGTTCATCGTGTTCGTTTATTTTTTTATTTACTGTAAATATTTTTTTTATTTTAGGGATGTTTACTTATGTCATTTTGCTTATTTCTTTTCTGAAATATTAGTTAAATGTTATTAGTATTATGTCTCTGTCAGTTTAATTAGCTGGATTTGAAAAATTCATGAAATAATAAATGCACTCCAGGAAGAAGATCATAGATTTGCCACCATTATTGAAAGTGGAATCCAATGGCTGCTGGAGTCCACATGTCCACCTCCATATCCAAGATTGTTTTTATCTTTGTTCACTAATCTAAAAAGTGGTTTATTCAGTTCATTTGATAATTGATGTTTTTTAAAATTTAATTAAAATAGAACGGCTGAAAATAATTTTGGCATAACCATGAAAAATTTTTTTAAAAAGAAATTGATTGTGGAATTTTGAAAATTAACGTTTTGTTAATTAAATATTTCAAAATTTATGGCTTATACTTATTATCTATTTAAATTAGCAGGGATTTTTGCATTTGATTTGTTAACTTTTTATTTCAAATTATTCTTTTTCGTTCAATTAAATTCTTTAAGTATGGTGATGCAACAATTGATATGGTCAATTTTCGTTAATTTTCGTTAGGATCTTATCTTATTCTAGTTAATTTGCATTTATGATTGGTACTTCGTTGTATTGTGATTTGGCTTTAAAGATCTAGAGATTAAAGATCTGATGCTTTTTCTGCATTTTGTAAACGTATTTTAACTAATGGGTTTCTGAATGATAAATATTGTATGTTTTGATTGGACCACTCAGCAGTTTATCCTTTTCGAGTTGCAGTTTTTCCTACTGATAAGAGAGAATCTTATAAAAGTGAAATCTGAGTGTGAAGATGAAGGACAAGGGTGAAGATACCTCCATCTACAAAGTGGTTCCCTCGTCCTCTCTTCGTGGAATAGTTTTTTCATTGCGGAGTTAAATTATTGATATTCTCCCATTACTTATTCACAGTTTCAACTTTATCGACATATAAACACGCATTACGTGATAATTCGTGATAATTCATGATACGTCTATCACCATCGGCATATAAAAAAAAATATTCAATACGCAAAAATTATGCTCTATAGAAAATTATGTAATTGTCGATTTCTTGCGGAAATAAGTAGTTTCATAAACTATAACTACAGGAACTTGATGTAATTTTTTGCGCTCCAGGACAACGAGCTGAACCTTCTGATACATCTGAGAGCATAAAAATTGCCAAAAGATAAGTTTATGGTATTTATCAGTTATCATATTATGAATTATTTTTTTAAATCGCTTGATAATATATTGCAGACTTTATGTAAAAATGTGCACACTTTCTTGCATTACCTTTATTTTTAATTTACAAACGTGTTTCACGCTCTATCGTAATAATAAATTTTGAAAATCACCTTATTCCACTTTTATTTTAAATTTAACCCATTTAGCTATCGTCTGATTAGTTGGTGCAAAAGAGACTTAAATGGGAGACAACAAAGCACGTTTGGAGCGAATAATTTAATGTTCATCTGGTTTCTCTACTGGAAAACTCCCCATTACCCAACTCCTTGCTGATCTTTGTGATTGGTCATTATTAGATCGCTGCTATCGGTTCAATATTTTTATTTTATTTTCTATCCATATTTTTTCCACATGATTCAGCTAAAACTTTTATAAATTGCTGGAAATTATTATGATATAATTGCTAGGAACTTCTTTATTGTTATTGAATTGTTCATGCCGATAGTTCGGAGTTCCCTCCTGTTAGGTCGGTTGTATAACACGAATTGCACCGCTCTCTTATTGTTCAATATTTGTGCAAATGGTATTATTATCGATGTTTTTCACAGTTCTACTATTTTTATGCTTTATGCTAGTGAATGACTATTGCAGATGGCCTCCGTTATTTTATAGGCTGATTCAAAATAATAGAATTAGGTGATGTCAAGCGAATTAAAGCGAAAATTATCAATCGAGGAATATAATGCAGTAGGACTTCGGTTTACAAGGGAGTCAAAGGGGAGAGGTACTGCGCTTCTCGTGAAAAAGAAAATAGCCTCTATAATTTCACCTTTTGCCTGAACAATAGCCAAAATTCCATCTAGTAAACTTTTCATGCAGTGTGACTAACCGAAGGGACGATGCATAAGTTTCCACGATACTTTTTTAAAATAAATCATTTCGTTCATGTGTTATGAATTGTATTTTAAATTATTTTTTATGGTTCACACATGTGTGAATTCCGCAAATTTTGCCCACTTTTCGGATGAATCAAAATAACGAAAATCGCGAAAAAGCGATTAATTGGAAATCCAAATACGCAAAATCCGAGGTTCAATTGTATATTAGCTTAAAATACTCCGCGACTTTCAAAATTTTATTAGAAATATTAAAATAAATTTTCACTAACATTTTGATTCAATCTAAATTTCCATTTCCATAGTAGAATTTTAATCAAAAAATCATCTAAAATTTTAAAACATTTAGAGCTTTTGAAAAAAAATCCATAGGCCTTTCCTCATTAAAACTCTTATTCGGTAGAAAAATAATTTGCAAAGTTGTTTTTTTCGAGATTATTTGAATAAGAAACTTTCCAGTGCAATCCTTTTTCAACACATTGTAATATTGTATCTAATACATCGCTAATACATAATTAACATATTTATATAAATGTGCCAAATATTTAAATACTGAGCTCAAAAATCATCAAATTATTAAAGTCACTGTAAAGCTCAAATATAAAATGGAGGTATTCACCTAATTCGTACGGTTTAGAAGGCAGCATGCTTTATGAGTTGGTGAAGGGGGACCATCCTAGAAAGATGTCCACGGAAGTTCTGTACTTTAGGTTAGGAATTTCTAGATGCTAATTTTAATGTGTATGAACTATCTTCGCTTCTAAGTTTTTTTTTATGCAAAATAAATACGGTACAAAGGATAGGAAAAATAAAAATAAACAGAATAAGAATAAGCTATCGCTAAAGTAATTCTCCTTTCATTTGGCAAAGTGATCCTTTGAAATTTGAACTAACATAACGAATAGAAATAATATCTCCTATGTTGGGTTTTTTCTTTCCATTCATTAAATGAGCGGTAAAAGTTATTGCGTTAAAAATATTGGCTGCCACAATGGTCTGAAATATTTCGATTTGCTACTTGTATTTTTTGAATTCCAAATGTTCAGAACGAAAGAAAGTTCGAAAAAAATGGAGAAAAGATTATAACCAACGTCACTTATAGATGTTACTACGCAATCATAAGTCTTTCCCAGCACTGGTCGAAAAATTATAATTTTCAGACAAACATCGATGTGCAAACATGGCTGATCAGCCAATATTTTGTGATTTTCTTCCGGAAAACTTATTTTACCGATAGCCAGTGGAATTCCATTAAGCCTAAATATTTTTGAAATTAAAGATCAAATAATTAAAATTATAAAACTTTTCTAAGGAATAAAATTAAGAATAAGAATTTTTAAAGGATTTTATTTTTATTAAGTATTTCAGTTTTGGTTAAATTCTAATTGGATTCGCCACTATTTATTAGCAAAGAATATAAAATTCGTATAAACTTTTGTTGGCATTTTTGTTTATTGAATAAAGTTTCCCAAATATTTACTTTATCTACTTACTCGCAATAACTTATTTTGCTTCAAAGACTTTTGAGGTAGAATCAGTTAAGCACAGAGATGCAGTTGAGAATTACTCGGATTACACCAACAATTACTCGGATTCAATTTTTAAAGATAAATTCACTTCACTTCTACCAAGAGGTAGGAAACAGAACGATGCAATATCCTGTCTCCAATAAAAAAATTGCTTTGATCTGGCACCATCAAAGCAAAAAAAATGGATGATCAAAATAAAAATTTTTACGAGCAGTGATTTCCGATTAAAATAAAAATAATAATAGAAAACGATGTATTATTCAAGAATTCAAATATGAAGAGAACCGAGGATAGTAACGACCAATTATTCGTGTTAATATCTGATGAACTGCCTCATTTGCATTTCCACACTGATGCCAACCAATGGTGATATGTTGCTGATCAACGATTTCAACTAATCCACAATTCTCATTCCGCTTCATCAATCTAAAATTCGTTTAATAACATCCGCTTTTTGACTTTGCTGTACTTTGCTGTACATTTGATTTACTCGACTTTACAAATTTAAAAACTTTCCTTCATAATTTTTTTTTTGATAAGTAAAACACTGGATAGGATAACACTGAAATAGCAAACCTTTTTGCATGTTTATAAGAAAGTGTATCAATGCCCGGACAAATTACTCGGTTGCCACGTTTATGCTTAAGCTTCTGCTTAGACCAGCATCCGGCATCTATGTGCGACGAACTCGACTCTTCATCCATTTCAACTTTTTCAGCATTCACATCATCATCACCTTCATTATTAAATATTTTTCGCTTACCCATTTCAAAAGATCTCTTCTGAAGGATAAACAAGACAATTAAACACAGAATCAAGCACGGAAGCGTTGGTTATTCACAACAAGTATGGCAATAAGCATCAAAGATGCTTCAACATTTCTCTCTCGGAAAATACTTATTGATTTGACGCTTTAAAAATAGAAATAGAGAAAAAGTAAGGAAATCTATTTATTTATATTGCGAACAATAATAAAAATTTAATTTACGAATTTTATGAACAAATATGTTCATTCAAAAAATACTTCAAAATTGTGCAAAATGGGTGAAAACCGATTTCGATTTACATGACTTTGGAATAATATACAACAAAAAGAACTATTTAATTAGCCAAAAGGAATCATTTGCAAAATTAGCAAATATGCATTTAATATGTGTTCAAATGGAATAAGTCTCCTGCTTTACAATAGTTAGCTAAATTTTATGACTGGTAACATACTCGTTCGACTGATCGAATTCAAATAAATTCTTTATCGTGATTTGGATAAGAATATAGTTTCGTAAAAAATATTCCTGGTGGAGTTGATTAAGGTAGAGAATATTAAAATAAAATCGTTATCAAGCAATTCGTAATAATAATGTTACATTATCCGAAGGCTTGGAATATAAATCATTTGTTCTGGCTATATAAGAAAATTGGCCGCATTATTTTAACTTATATCAATCAAAGTTTTACATAACTCAGATAGATACTGATGATTTTAAGGTTTTTTAAATATATTCATTGAAAACCAACCAAGCAGGGCGACAAACAACATGTGCTAATATTAATAACAATAGTTAAGACAAATAATAATAATGAATGATAAAAGAAAATGTGACAAAAATTAACAATTTAAAAAGAAAATAAATAACATCATAAATGATAGTATCTAATCTTTTTTTGAAGATAGCTAAGGATGACGCAAAAGCTGTGTCGTTCGGCAAATTATTCCAGTTATAGTAAGAATAATACGAATAATGAAGTCAAGAGTCCTTAATTTTGCATTTAAGTTTTAATAATTTTAGCCCATTAGTTCTTGTTGGATTGAAATTTAGCTTAAAATTATAATATTTTAAACAATCTGTTTAACATAACCATACACCATACAGAATCTCATAAGCATAAATTAAATTTTGTTCAATTCGGTGAATTGAGAGGGAATCCAGGCTGTATTACTAAAGTTATTTTGTAATTCAAAATTGCTATTAGGAGAAAGGCGACGTATAAAATATTTCTGGAGTCCTTCAATTGTTTTAGTTGATTTGCGGAATAACAGGTAGTAATGTTAAGAAGAGGCAAGAAGAAGAGGCTGAACGAACACTCTGCACATTCTGATAAGAAAAATAAGAAAACCTTCAGTTCTTTTCTTAAACGAAAGAAAAATAAATTTAGTATTTTTGAGGTTTCTTTATATGGTTCTTCAGAAGGTCGAAATCGAGTTTTTCATCCATGATTATGCCAAGATCAGGAAGGTGTGAGACTCTACTGATTATATTGCCATTAATAATAAGATTAGGAAATCGAAACTTTTAGAATTGATATGAAGAACGCTATATTTTTGAAAGGAAAGGATATTTTGCCTGTCAATATAGCCAGTTGGCTATTCTGTTAAGGTTACCCTACAGTAGAGATAGGTTATCCGCTTTATCATGAATAAATTTTAAATAAATCATCAGAATAAGACAAATGGTAGAATTTAATACATCGGTGATACCATTTATTATCATTATATAAATGACGCAATACAACTACCTTGAGGAATACCTGATTTAATCAGAAAGAATGTTGACACGTACAGCCTAGCGACGATCTTTTAATAATTTGCAATGGGAAACACTATTAAAAGGTTTAACCAAATCTAAGTACACAACTGATACTTCAAAGAAAAAAAATTCTTAGCACTATGAATTTTCGTTGGGAGCGAGATTCCTTTCCAATATCTATTTTTACAAAATTTCTTCTGGAATCCGCTCCACTGTGTTTTTTCTGTATAGATTTAATAATTTTCCTGCCACACGGGACTTTTATTTCTCAACAATATTATAAACTCTTGCGGCCAGCGTTCTCTTCTTGATTATCTCGTTGCGAACCCTCAAACTTAGGTAATTAAACCTTTATTAGTGATGACGCAAAATATATACAAGAAAACAAAGTGAAACAATTGTACTACTACAAAGAAATAATATAAGAAATAAAACCAAACATAAGATAAAAATGCCAATCGCTCCACACTCGTTTCCCTAATAGAAGCTTAAAATGCCCAAAAATAATTTTTTAGGAACTTATATTTAATTTGAGATGAGCGGAAAGATTTACGGTTTTTAATCCTCTCATAATAAAAGCTACATTATATCTTTCACTCGTGAGGTACTCTACTATTATGGGATATTTCCTAATACTTTCTCCAACTCTTCTCCATATTTCATTCTTTTGCTGGGCATAGGAGATGCTATCCGAATGACCTGCTCATATTTGCTTTTTTCGCCATTCGGCAACATTGCCGCCTGACAAAATCTGTTATACATATAAGTACTGCCATAAACAAGTAACCCTATCAGTTTCCATCTGGGCTTAATAAGATAATAATGATCTCGATTATTCTTAAGAATTGTTTTATTTATAAATTCTTCTTTATTATTAAAATATGCATTTTCCTTGAGATCATTACATAAATTAAAATTGAGAACCTTTCCACGCACACCGTTGACACAAACGACAGTTGCAAAATAAGAATAAAGAATCTGGCTTGTTTAAGTGATGGTTCTCTCTTCTGCACAACTGCATGTAGAGTTTTTTGTTTTGTATGGGCCTTAATATATCTGGAAATCTCTCTGTTCCTCGTAATGTTTCTGAAATATATAATTGTCGGCTTCCTATGTCCAACAGAACTAAAGCTCGAATCTTCTTCCCCGGTTTCAATGGATTTATGACCGATACCCCTCTGCAAGAGAGAAATACTTCGTTTCCTATTGAATTTTCTCTTAAAAAATTGCCAGTGGTTATTGTCATTTGTTCCTGATCTTGTTGGATTTTCTGTTATCGCTCATCTCTCTTTTCCTGACATAATGCGGTTGTTGGAGCAGTTCATACATTTTACTCTATTATAACAGTCCTATAGCCGAGTTTTAAGCATCGAAAGCATCGTTGCAGCTTTCTTAGGAGCTGCAACCTCATCATAGCTATCTTCCTCTCCTAAAGATGTCAACTGGCAAAACATTCGCTCCAAGTCCTTGCGAATATCGTTTGCAACCTCTCTTTGTTCCTTCTTTGTTTTCTGTCCTTTCTTTGTCCTTTGTTTTTGGGTTTGAGATCAACAATATTCGACAATATTCGACAATGTTCGGGTCACACCAAAATAAATTTTCAAATTTTCAAATTTTCAAAAACAAATCAATAAACTTATAAATAATGTCAAAAATTACAGAAACTTGCAAAAATTCAAAAAAAAATTTTCAAATCAATAAAGCTTCCCTCAATGTCGATCCTTGACTGTCGATATTTCTTTTTTTCTTAATTATTCTTTCCTCGTTAAAAATTATCCAAATGATATTGAACAGTAATCGACCAATATTTGATTGATATTCTTCAAAGTTCTATTCGAACAATGAGTCTTCACGGCAGATGCAACATGCACAGAAAAAAGGATTTTATAGCACTATGAATTTTCGTTGGGAATACAGCGATTCCCCTTCCAATATTCTACCTTTACAAAAATTCCCTTTGGGAAACCGCTCCACTATCTTTTCTGTAGATTTTTCAGATTCAGATTTTTCAGATTTCTGTAGATATAGATTTTTCTGTATAGATTTAGCTTTCCTATCACACAGGACTTTTATTTCTGATTAATATTATATAATATTATAATATATTATATTATAATATTATAACTCTGGGTCAGCGTTCTACTTCCTACTTTTCTCGTTGCTAACTTGGGTAATTAAACCTTTATTAATAAAGGCGCAAATATATAGAAGAAAATAAAGCGAAGTAATTGCCCTATTACAAAGAAATAATACAGTAAAAAAATCAAATATAAAATCTAAATGCCCATCACTCACCGACCGTTCTCCCACTCGCTTTCCCTTAATAAAAGCACAAAATGACCAAAATCAATCTTTCGGGGAGCTTATATTTAATTTGAGATGGGCGGGAAGATTTATGGTTTTTGATCCTCTCATAATAAAAGCTATACCTCTCACTCTCTATACCTCTCACTCGTGAGGTACTCTACTATTATTTTTTTTACCATTCTGCGACAGATTTTTCTATTGTCAATTGATGCTAACCAATCGAAAAGATTTGCCAATATTTGTGAAGTAGATTTTTTTGTACAAAAGCAATGCTGACAGGAGGATATGAAATTGTTGGCACCAAGATAAGTGAGCAACTTGTTGCGAATCAACCTTTCCAGTTACCTTACTACCAATGCATATTAAGCTGATAGGCCTGTAATTGCCTGTAATTAATTAATTAATTAAATTAATTAGGCCTGTAATTATAATCACAGGTGCGTCCTTTTATGAAGGGGAAATATATGAAACAATTTCCAAATTTTGGGGTTAAAGCCAGATTTCACAATATCCTTATAAATTAGAAACAGGTGAAGGCCTAGAAAGACTGCACATTTTTATAAATTATTTGTGGAATATTATCAGGACCAGCTAAAATGAATGGCTTGAATTTATTTAAGGCATCATAAACATCCAGTAGCGTTATTTCAAACTCACAAAGAGAAGGGCAATAAATTCGATTTACATTAAAACAAGAAATATTAGTATTATCGTCAACAAATACAACAGAAACTATCAATATCAAAGATGATCAAATTACCAATATGTTGCAGAATTATTTGTTTACGTGGGTATATAAATTTTCTTTTAATGTAAGTCCAGAAATAATCTCTTTTGATATTTAAAAATTGCTCTTCTTCATTTGAAAAGTAATTATGAATGGCGCTACGGAAACTTTTTAAGCATTCTTTATACGCAGAGAGGTCATTTGGCAATTTGATTAATTTGTATATAATATAAAAGCTTCTTGACACTTTTTTAAAGAAATTTTAGAAAAGTGGGAATCGATCTAACGCTTTTTTCCTTAAAAGAATATATTGTTCTATAAGATATAAGAGAAAATGATGCTAATAAGAAAATTAACTTTTTCATCAATAGAAGAAGTTAGACAAACTAAAAAATCCCTTGTTTATTTCTGCGAGGATAGAATTAATGATTTCACAACCACAACAATGGTAATTTCTAGAAAATATCGAGGTACATATCGGTTTAATTTTAATGAAGCATGAATAATATTGCAATCACTATTATAAAAAGGTTCAAAAACTTTAATATTAGAACAAGAGAAATAGAAATAGCTAACACAACATTTAATATAGTGTTTTACCTAGTGACAATCTTAACATATTGCTCTAGACTTATATAGGTGCAAAAATTTAGAAATTTTCAAGCAATTATTTTCCCGATCTATGTTTGGCATACTAAGATCACCAACCAAAAACAATTATATAATCGGCACCAAATAATTTTTATCTGAATAACAGGTTGTAAATATTCTTAATGAATTTGCTTCCATAGCCAGGTATAGATTTAAAAAGGAAATATTTCTGCTATTAAAATAAATTCTAGTAAGAGATTCAAAAGAACAAACATAATCATCAAAAGTTACAAATTTATAGTAAACAAGCGTGATAAGCCCATCTCCACGAGTAAACTATTTATTCTATCCTTGCGTGACATTATAAAGCTGTCGAAGTTTCCGATTAGTCATACAACCACGTTTCATTGATGCAGAAAATAAATACTATTTGGGTTATCAATTAGTAAGAGCTGTAGGTCATAAAGTTTATATTTTAAACTTTTTGCACTAAATATATATATATATATACAAAGATAAAATACTTCTTATGTTATCCTTACTTGAAAAATTATCCTAAGCTGCTGTAGACTGATGAGAAAAAGTTGGAATCGAAAAATTATTCGCCGCTACAAACCACTGGCAAAGCTCCCTGAATTCTATTATTTGAAGATTTCTGACGACATATTTCTTCAGATTGAACTCTAAAGGCTTTGGATATAACTTTCTTTTCGCAAATGTTTGTCTAGTAATAGTTTTCTTTAAGTTAAATCTTTCCGCAAAAAGTTTCCATAGGGAATGATCGAGCATTCTAATTGCACAAAACAGACATGACCATATACTTATCTTCGAGTCGAATTTTAAGTACTGGCCTATTTGATCCCTTCTTTCCATGTCGAACTTCTTTGATGTAATTTTGAATTTGGCACAGTCGATTAACAAGAAGAAGCGTAGTTCCCTCGACGAAGTTGAAGAGCAAAGGATTTTAGTTTACATCTCACACATGAATATATATAGAATTTCGATTAAAATATATTTAATGGGAGTGGTTTACAACATATCTTCCAATAGATGTTCATTTGAATAATAAAAAACTGTAAAGAATCTTATTACGGTATAAATTGTAATAATACGATTTGTCAAAAAAAAAAAATTTTAAAATTTTGCACGTAAATTAATTTTTTAGCCAAAGAAAAAGGATGTAAATTCTTTAAAATCAAGATAACATAAAAACGCATAAAAAAATGAACTTGACTTTAGGAATGTGAAATCGTGATTCATAACATTTATTTACAATTCGAACAATTTATTTTATTAATTTGGTTTGCTATTCGCGACAGCAATATTCTCTGCTAACAGCCTATAGGCAGTAACGGTCTCATCATTCGTAGGTTTCTCCAGAATGTTTATACCAACTAGACATGGTTCTTTTCCCTTTTTTTCGAAGTATTCATCGATAGTTTCTAATATTTGCTCAGTTGAGATTTTGGGAAGCTCAAAGTTGCCAACCAATGTCGAAGCTTTCAAATTATAAATGTTCTTAATATTATTATAAATGTTTTTAAGTTTTTTGTTCAATTCTTTGTAAGTATTTCGACAGATCTGGTTAAGTGCAAAATTAGATCTTGCTGCTTTTCATATTTTTCAATAATAGAGGATAATTGTAATCTCAAGTCCTCGATAGTTTTATAGGCAGCTGACATCATTACTGGAAACGACCCCATTAGTTGCTATCCTTTTCGGTGCCATTTGGAATTCCCTTTTATCTTATAGGTATAAAACGGTAAGAACAATATATAAGAACTTTTAAAAGAATATCCTTTACACAAATGCAATAAGAATAATGTGTTCCTTCTATTCTTTTAGCGAAGCTCAATACAATTAAATAAAAATAATGAATTATTCACAGAAAAATGACCGACTTACGAGAATAATAATAATAGAGCAAATAATAATAAAGGAGTATTCTTCGTTATCACATGCAATCTGTGATTGGTGAAAATTTAGATCCACTTTCATTTCTCAAATTCACAATTAAGAATTTTTTAAAATAAATGCGAAATTTTTCTTATTGAGATGCATACTTTTTTAAGGCCTATTCATAATATAATACGATATAATATAATATGTTTGTTATCACCATTAATATTCCAAGTTGAAGAAGTTAATTGAGAGTCTGTAGAAATACTTCTATCTTAAACCCTAATTCCAGCTATAATTAAATTCCATAATTCAGATTCTTCAGAAAAATTAAAAGAGTGAAACTTGGTGTAAATAAGACCATTTATAAAACGTTATTTCGTGATAATAAGCTCGATTAATACTTCTATCTTAAACCCTAATTCCAGCTATAATTAAATTCCATAATTCAGATTCTTCAGAAAAATTAAAAGAGTGAAACTTGGTGTAAATAAGACCATTTATAAAACGTTATTTCGTGATAATAAGCTCGATTATAGTAAACGTTACGATTTCAGCAATTCTGATATAATTCGAAACAGTGGATTAGAATTGAATATATCAAAAAATCTATCAAAAAAAGTAAAGTATCAAAAATTCTTCATTCATAAAAATAATTATTGAAATGCGTTGCCTTAGGATGTGGCTCTAACTCATTTAATTTGTAGTATAGATGAAGCGATATGAGATAAATTTGGAAATGACGCGAAAATTATTAGCAAGCGTATGGCACCTCTATAAGAAATATTTTCTTCGTTTCAACCATGGTAAATACTTTTTCTATAGTATTTCCGGTTTGGCTTCACCGAATACTATGAATCATTTCGGCAGGAAGGAAGATGCATAAGTACATCTTTAACACCATCTTGGCTTGACGAGATTTAGAGATAGGAATCGAATCATGACGCTTGAGCCAGTATAGCTTAAGCTGTCATCTCGCCATATTTTCCATTAATACCTAGTAATATAACATAATAAATGAAAACGCAGATATAGTCATTTATTCGAAATTATTCTCCACTGCTTACTGAAGTGAACAAAATAAACCAGCACAAAAAAAATTATATATTTCTCTATAATGCTACTGTTTTGAGATAAAAGCGAAAATAATCAGGATATGAAAAAACAGCAGAAGAAGGGTTCGAAAGGATAAGAAGAAGGGTTCGAAAGATTAAGAGAAAAGAATGAAGTCAAAAGATATACCAGGGTATAAAGAGTCCATCTATGGAATTATTCTCATAAATTAAGCAACTTGCAAAGCTCCTAAAAGAAACACACAACAAAACTTAAATCAGCTAAGAAATGCATCATGGTCGTAATCATGACACCAGTGAAATGGTGAATAATAGAGGAAGAAATCGTAAGAAAAAATGATTAAAATAAACACAAATCTTATCGAAAATAACCAAAAAAATTTAAGGGAATACTTGGCCACAACTGCGCATTATTAGTCGAATAATGATTATGAAAATTCAATTCTAATGTAGTTTGTAATGCACTAATTTTTTTAGCACCTTTACCATAAAATTTTTCCATTTCTTGCCACTTTTTTCGATTTTCTTCATCCACATTTGGTGCTTCTGTTGTTCTTTTTCTTCCAACATTATCGGCTAACACTTAAAACATCAATTTTTATGTTAACACGAAACAGAAAAATATAATATATTTAAGATTAAAATTTAAAATTAAAATGATCATTACTACCATTACTAAAAAATCATTAAGCAACCATTTTTAAAAAATTGTACTGAAGTAGCAAATTATTTTTCTTTGGTATGGGTGAAATAAAATAAAAGGGAAACAAATTTCGAAGAAACGAAAAAGGGAAACAAAAAACAATGGAATAACTAACTTTCATCAGCCATTATATATTCATCTTCGATATTATCTAACCAAGCTCTCTTATGCTTTGAATTTCTCCCAACTTTTCGTTCAGCATCTCCTTAAAAATTGAAAAATAAAACGATAATATATAAAATTCAAAGAAATACATAAAATAAGAATTTCAAGAGTAAATTCCAAGAAAACGATTCCAGTAATTCAAAAAATAAATCAAAAAGAAATATGATCAACACGATTTTCATACTATCTTAAAGTAACAAAAAACAAGGACTAAATAAATGCAAAGGCATATGCGAATAATACACATTAAAGAACATAAGATAGAGAAATAAGGAATATAAGACAAAGCAATGAGGAATAGGATGGTGGAAGGAAGGGGATGAGGAGAGGAATGTAAGAAGAAGGAAATAAAAAGGACATGATGAAACATAAGAAGAAAAAGAAATAGCACTAACTTTTTTCTCGATGTTCTAAAGTTTTTTTGAAAAAATCGGCCATTTCAGGAGTCAATTCTTCATCAGCGTCGTCATCAACATCCGTTTCTGCTTTCTCTGATGAAGAAATTTCCTTCGTTTTAACCGAATATGAGCCACGACTACCCATTTCGAACTGATTACTTCCATAAACAGACGACAGCACCAAAGGCGATGACAAACGGCTAAACGGTTCTTCCGGACGTTTACAACTCCGATTCAATTTTAACCTCTGAACTGCTTGCGACGAAGATCGAAGCCATGCTGATGACCTTTCATAATGTTCCCAAAAATTTCTGAACCATCGATCATCCATCAAATCGTTCTTATTGCTTAAATTCATTCGCATTTCCTCAAAAATTATTTTTATAGGCATTCAATTCATCTCTATATCTTCGCAAATTCGCTATAAATCAGACTTTCACTGGTTAGATTGATTCTACTGACCAGAAGATTTTCGCCAATGTGTTCAAAAAAAACTATACTATTTTTGAGCTTTTGAATGATGGCGAAACTCATATTCCAATCAACCACATTACATATGAATATTGTAAGGGAAAGATGGGATCTTAACAACTCGCACTATTTCTGGTTACGCTGGTCCCAGCTAAAATCTGAAACACTCCCCCCACGGTCTCCAAAACACTGCCGAACTTAACCAAACCAAGTAACCAAATCCCTCGCAAAATTCCGCCTGCAGAAATTATACGAATATGAACTTTAAACAACGAAAATAAACTCCGCATCTGAGAAATGATGAATTCTAACTATCGGCCTGAGCTCGCACTCACATTACCGACTAATCAACGGTGAATTTGCATAACGTTGATCAGAGAAATCCATGGTTTGAAGTGTTTGGATGAATTTGAGCAGGTCCTTCCGAATAATTTAGTATTCATTCATTGCTTATTCATATTTATTTATATTCATTATTATTTATTATTTATTTATTTATTATTTCAATATTGTTTATTAATTCAACACTCATTTATCAGTTATTAAGCCGATCAAAAGCACTTTTTATACAAATAACGAGTTCGAAAAGACTTTTCTTCTCAGAGAACTAATAACATGGTGAATACTTTTTGACAAAATAATCACCAGACAGCACCAAAACGACAAACTCTTTTTTTTGGTTTGTGAAACAGCAGAAAAAAATGGCAAAAGCAAAACAAAGAGATTCGAATTAAAAAATCACTTTTCATTAAAAAACTTTAAAAAAGAAACTTTAAAAAAGGAAAAACAATTTTACAACAAATAAGTAGTGAGCAGTGTTATCAACAAACAACAAACAAAAAAAATTTTTTTAGATATCAAAATAATAATGTAGAAATTAACAATTTTGTAGAACAACAGTAAAAGCTAAAGCAAATCATAAAATTAAATATAATTACCAAATAATCAAATCAACGACTACAAATATACATTACTTCCCATAAGACGAACAATATCAACTCATATTTGATACACCCATTGCAGGAGCAATTTAAACGCACAGGTGATCCAGCGATATATATGTTTTATGGGAAATAATGTAGAAGATCGGAAAAGAAATAATTTCAGGTGCATTGCATTGGATTAGAAGCTTAGTGGCCAGTGTTGTTTGAAAACACAATGAATCAATAAGTTAATATTTAATTTATAATTATTTTGGGGAGAAAATTTGCGAAAAAAACGGGTTAAACAAAAGACAGCCTTTTATTCCAATAGAAAAAACTAAAGCTTTTTTTTTGCTTTTTCTTGCATTTTTTTCGAAAGGCAAAAAAGAAAACCAACTGACAAACAAATCAAACAGTTTTTTTTCCCTGCAAATGCATTTCTTTTAGTTTAGTTGTTAAAAAAAATTCGGCAAGTCAAAAGAATTTAAAGAAAAATTAAATTTTAGTGGCGAGAAATTTTTTAAAAATTTTAACTGAGCAAATAAACGAAGGCAATTAATATTTTAATTTAATCGAAAATTTTATGTAAAAAGAAATTCGAAAGAATAGCAATAAAATCGAAAGTATTTTTATTATCACTGAGAACAAATGATCTTCGGAATTTCGTAAATTTTACTTAAAAAACCATTTTTAACGACGTTTCTTTTTCGTTTATCGCATTATTCTTTTGTATTAATTCCTTTTGTTTTCGCTTTGCTTCAGCGATTGCTTTACGTCTTTTTTCGGCTACGGTTGATTTTTCCGTCATTTCTCTTCCTACAACTGTTTTCTCTTTTCCTTTCGATATTCGATGATTTTGCTTATTTTCGGCGAACAAATCTGATTTAATAAATGATCTGAAATTTTCCGTATTAAAATATTTTAAATTTGCGCCGTATTATTTCATTTAATGCAGAAAAATTCTAAAACCTTTCTTCATTTTCTGGTGTAGTTGGTTGTTTCCAACCAATTTCTTGACATTTTTCAATTTTTCTGAAAAGTCGATATAAATCTGACATTTCAATTTGAATTAAAGCCCAGTAACCAGAAAGATCATCGGTTGTCGTTGACTGAGTATCGCCATTAATAGGATTCTAAAAAACAAACAGCGCCTTATCGAAATATTTTTAAAAAACTTTTGGAAATTTAAAATTTCAAAACTTGAAATTCACGAAATTCGAAAACTAGAAGAAACCAAATTATTCTCAATGAGTTCGTCAAATTTTTCAATCTTTTTTTTGAGAAGAAGATTCGTTTTGCCTGCTGCTAGACGTAATAAATCTGCCGCATACTCGGATAATTCGCTCTCTACAATTCAGTTTAAAATTTCAAATTTTCTATTAAGCTGTTATTAACAATCTAAAAATTATTGGTAACCTATTGAAATTGATAACAAACTGATGATAAAGGTTATTATGAAGATTTAATACGACTTTATCACACATTCAATGGTTTAATCGATTGATTATCAAACAAATAATCTAGATATACATCCTCATTTGAACCAATTTCATCAATCAATGACGGACTACAGTTACAGTAGCATCAAACAATGCAGTGGAAAGTAAAATTAGAAAAAGGAAACAAAAATAACCGTTCGTTCGAAGAATTTCGTACGCCTCGAATGATCGTTTAACCAGATCGTTACGCACATCGTTTAATAATTTCTTGTATGTTTCACCATTGCGCATTTCTTTCTTATAAGCTATATTAAAATTTACTTTATCCGCCGTTTCTTTCGAAGTTTTAACAATGGACACCTGTAACTTGCAAAATCAGTAAATCGACAGATGTAAATCATTAGATATTCTATGGAAAAAGGAAATGCAAAAAGGAAATCATCAGCAATCCTCCTTCATCAGTACTCTCAGCAATGCACTATATAATATAATATCAATAATATTCCTTGATAATTTAAAGCCATTTAAATTATCTTTGAGATTTACAGGAGGCTCCAAAAAGGAATGAATAGAGGCGATAATATAAAATATAAATAACATTCTCATCATAAATTGTTCTGTAAAATCAATAAATTTTTAAAAGATTGCGTTATCTGATTTGTCATAAAAGGCTGGAAGAATAGAAATTATTCTATTTTATTGTATTTTTCGCTTCTCCTCTTATATTTATTCAGTGAAAAAATAATTTGTGACTAAATGAATTTTAATAATCTATTGAAAACGATTGAAAACTGCCAGCACAATTCGCTGAAAATACGGCGATTTTTTCCTTTATTTAATGTGCACATAGACTATTATTTATAAGATACATGTAAATTTTGCATTTTTATACTTTGAACAATACGACTTAATGGTTTACTTCTCATTTTACTTCAAACCGACCGCACCAAATACCAACTTTCTTCAATGATAAGTGGAAATCAAATGCTGCGAAATAGCGAAAATAAAAGGGCCGATTTTGATGTCGATCCGCTCCCATTCTTTGAACGCCACTGCGTTGCTTTCGATAAATCTCTTTCATTGAGCCATTCAACGACATGAGAGGTTTTCTTTCGTATTTTTCAAACATTGGCCCTTGTCCAGCTTTCCTTTAGCTTTCTTTGAGGGTGTCATTGTTTTTATAATGAAACTTGGAAACTCTCTTGCTGATTTGACATGCCACTAAACTTCGACATATCTCTCGGAACTGATGAAAATTGCCTTATTAGTATTCTCTTCAATGATCTTTTTGTTGATAAAACAAGATGCTGGTTCGAATCCATTTTCAATTTTCATGACCAAATATAAACCTTTTCGCTTTCGCTGTTTTATGATATCAAGTATTTCTAAATATTTTTATAAATATTAAGTGAGAATAAATATTAAAAATTCACTTGCAGATGATTCATCTGATTTGGTGTATTTTCTTCTACCAATTTTTGTTTCAACCCAGAATGCAATGAATAAGACAAAATAGCCTTTGGTGTTGAATGTGCCAATACTTCATTAAATATCTACAATATTTATAACCTAATAAATAATAAAACGAATGAATATATTTCAAATCTAACCAGAGAGACCATCGAAAATTAATAAAGCCATGTTATTTCTTCAATTATTTTTCTCGAAATGAACAAAGGCATAAGATATCATCGTTTTTATGATGCAGTAAAAAACTGTTCATTTATTACATTTTTTCCAACGATTTTTAAAATAATTTGGTTTTTCCTTCGAATAAAGCATGATAATAATGATGAAAAGAAATAAAATTATTCGAATGAAATTTTTAAGAAATGGCAAAAACTCACTTGTCCCGACAATGGAATGGAAGATCGTGGCGTGCTTGGAAATTCTGTAGGTTTTTCCGTATTAATTTCATATCCATTCTCTCCATTCGACAGTGTTGTTAACATATGTGGTTTTTCAGGAACTAAAAAAAATATTTTTGCCCACTAATCAATGATCATCAAAATGAAATCAAATCTAATCACGAAATGCACAGTAATCTAAAAATATATTCAAAAAATCTGAACCATTCGCATTGTCTAAATGATAATTATCACTAGCAATATTGAGTTTATCGAAATGTTTTACAAGTTGTCGTACAGGTGTCGTTGAATCCACAACTTTATTCATTTCTTTCACTTTCTCCGAAGGTTTCAATCTAAATAAATTATTTTACCATTAACTGAGTTTATATTTTTTTAAAGCATGAATATTAACAAATGAGTTAGCGATAATAATGATAAATGATTAAAAATGATAACAAAACAATTGAGCGAACATATAACTTCGTCAGCATGGATTCATTCCACGTCTAACAGGATTAAATCTACTATTAAGAGGGAAATTAGTGTAGCTGCTGGAGACAAAGCTGTCACATATTTTAATTCTATCCACGAAGTGGTCCTCATTTTAAAGATCAATACAGTCAGTCAGATCAGAAATCAGAAATGGAAGAAAATTTTTATAATGGCATCTATTTTCAAACCAAATAATACGAAAAAAAATAATAAAACTATTAAAAAGATTAAAAACTAACACCTAAAATGTATATAATAAAACTGATAACATTTTGGAAAAAATTCCCAATGGAAATTTAAAATTTAAGCTATAAAATTTCGAAAAAAAAACCATTTTTGAGCGAAAAAAGTGCAAAGAATCGATAAATAAAAAACAAATCCATAAAAAAATAATAAATAATTTAAAGATTCCCGTAATGGAAAGAAAGAATTTTTGGCAGAAACATGGATTTGAGAAAAATTTTGATGAGCGAATTTTATACGCGATAAAATTGAAATTTTCGTTTTTTCCATTCGATGACCTTCGTTCACATCGAGAAATTCCATCAATTTTGATGAAAATAATTCCTGTTATTCATAATTTATATTTATTTCATGCATTAAATTAAGAATTCTCCTAAAGTTTCCCTTGAAAATCTTCGAACCCTTCGAAGATTCATATTCCATCTCAAATAGGACTAACTTCCCTCAGTGAAAAAATTCGGAATATATGTTTCAGAACATGAAATAGAAAAACTGGCAACCAGTATATATAATATATATATATATATATATAATAATCACTAAACCTTAGGTTTCAAATTATTGCAAAAAAGCAAATTTTTAACTGATTGAGAGTGAAGGATCTCCACTGAACCCATTACAAGAAATAAACTATACTATCACTATATTACTTATGCATTACTTCCATCATAATAATAAGAAATAGTTTCCCCCAAAAATGAACTGCAATAGAAAATCAGCCTATCTACGAAGAATAAATTCGTGCAAATAATATCATGTATAATCATCGATCATAGCTTTTCATAATAAATGATGTTTATAGTTACTCACCATTGAAATGAAATAAAAAAAATGATAAAAATTGCGATAAAGGGAATTAATTAAAAATAAAATCAATCCTGGATAAAATTTAATATAAAATTTAATATATAATATAATACAGAAAATTTTAATTTGCTTAAATTTACTTCCATTGAATCCTCAAATTAACCAATTAAAAAAATGACACTTGATGAATAAAAGATCATTTTAGATATTTATTATTTTAGAACAAAGTTGACTGGCTATTGAGGACAGCAAAGAGATTCGCGACATAACTAATTCTTGACATTCTTCACATTTTTTTATGATTTATGAATAACTTATGAATAAATTTATGAATAAATGAATGAACAAATTTATGAATAAATTTTAAATTTACGACTTTCATCTAAAAAATAAAATGGAAATATTCAGAAATCCAAAATATTAAAAATCCAAAATATTACTAATAATAATAAAACAAATTTGGCAGACTTAGAATACTTGTGCTAAGTGTAAACTTATGTGTAAACTTTAAAATTTAGCTGACGCTTACCATTCATTGAACACTCATTATACCTCACAGTTATATTTGATTTTAAAAAATAAAACTGATCAAATTCGATGAAAATATAATTCAATATAATATAAAATATAATAAATAAATATATTAAATAAATAAAAACATATGAACAAAAGATTAAAAGATTAAAAGTGAGAAATATTCTTATATTTCTCACAATTTTTTATTGTTTCTTTTTTATTTAAGAATAAGTAGTTTTATTCTTTTTTGGGTAAAAAAAACTCATAACTGCAAATATTTATAAAAATAACTAGTATCGAAAATATTAAGTTACTAGAATAAAAGCAAAAAAATTTTTATAATTACTGAATTAAGAAATAAAGAAATTGAAATGATAAATGATTACGATGGATCCTGATGATTCGCATTAAACATTTGCATTCTTCTTTCAACGATTCCCAAAGGAAGTAATTTCGTTGATCGATGAACATTATTGAAATGTTTGTATTGCCCATAACCATTTAAAGCACAACTAATTCGTAAATAAGATGGAACTCGATAATTATTTAAATCATAATCTGATCGTGATGATGTATTTGTCGTTGATGACCACGAATTAATTTCTGCCTGAAAATTATGACACAAATATAAATTACATTCCGACATTGTGATCTTTTACGTTAAAATAACAACAGTTGAGGATTTTAACCATTTTATTTTCATTTTTCGAATCACTATATAAATTAGGATAGAAAAATTTAAAGGTTCAAGCTATATTATTACTGTAAGAAAATCTATGAAAAATCAAACAGCACCTGTTCTTTACAAAGCGCCACAATACGCAAATCATTCTCGGAAACTGCAGCACGAGATGATATATGTGACGGCAAATTAGACACCAGAGGATCTGATGAACAAATTGATGATGAACATACCTGTAGATAAAGATCAGAAAAAAATAGCAATAATAAATTGAGACATGATATAAAAATCGCTAACAAAAAAAATCATACAAAAAAATCTCACAGTTTCTCGGCTTTTATCGAAATCTTGATCAGAATCGCCAGATTTACGTCTAAGAAAAATGTTTCGTCCATGTTTACGATTCATTGATAATCGATGAACTATTCGAGCAAATGATGATACTTTTGTCTTCGCTGGTATTGATCCATTATCATTAACTGATAATCCGGATTCCTACAAAACTATTTCCTCATTAAAAAAAATTTTTTTTACCTCCAGTAAAAATCATTCACCCACTATCTATGATACATATCTTTTTGAATCTGATAATGATGAAAGGCCATCAATTAAATTAGAAAAAATAAGGTCAAAAAAATTAGGTAAAATATTCGCCTTTTCTACGTTCAGAGTTAGAATAATATACTTTGAAAATCAGTGGTTTAAATTATGCCTAAGAAATCTAACGCAAACACAAATGGATAGTGAGATAATCGTAGAGATAATAGCTTGGCTCCTCCTGAGAGGAATAAATTGTCATGAAGACGCGGGCATGCGCCCATGCTTCTAGTCGAGTAACCTATTAAGAAGTTTCTAATTATGCACCAACAGACAACATAGCGAATCTGATGAACAATGGTAGGCACTAAGCACTAACTTATAACTGCCTTCCGAGATAAAAAGCATACTACTATCCAAATAAAAAAAAGTATGTTGCCCTGCTAAAAAAACGTTTTGAAGATGGAAATGTACTTTAGCTCTGTGGCATATAGTTTAAATTCTAAAGCCACGCACTGCTTCTGTTTGGCGCCTCCACTGATAATTACGGTGATTTTAAGGTGAAAGAGCGTCTTGAAGTTAGAAAGCGCAATTATCGTACTGTGAATTTAATCGAAATAAAACTACTCACCAAATATAATTTTAAAACCGAAATTTCTGATTCTATCGAATTAAATAAAACAAATTTTCAAAAAGAATTCGTCGATGTATGTGTGACATGTGACATATCAATGTTTTCACTTCACATCATAAATTTCTATCAGCTAAGAATAAATTTCTTATAAGCAGGCGACAAATCAAAAATAACCAAATCTGTTGATGTTTTGTCCGTTGTAGAATTTTTTTTCGGAATCAACGTTTTACTTCTTAAACCAAATTCACTGCTTGGACTTTTGCTTCTATTTCGAGAACCAAGTTTCGCTAAAAAGTGTCCCAAAGCAGACGGCCTAATTTCTCGATCACATTTTTCATCGATAATTACTGTAATTCATAAATTATTTTAGAAGAAAATTTATTAACCAAAACCAATCAAATATTCAAATACATTCGCCTATATTATATGGTTTAATAAATCAAAGCATTCTGCCTATTCGTTTTTATTAGTGAAATCTCCAACTTTAAAAGTTTTTTGTTGCAATCCATTTAAAAATGAAATTTAAAAAATATTTCCACAAATATTGCCTTTAGCTGAAAGCATTCCTAATTGTTCTTTCACGATGGAGCAATGAAGTGCGAATTCGCGTCAAATGGGACACTGAAACGATTATTTTTTAACAAAGCAAATCGAAATAATAACCATTAAACAACGTAAACGTAAAAATATTGCTGCCCACGTTACAACAAATACAAACTCCAATCGTTTTCTTTTAAATGATTTTTGCAAAACTCACCATCTCTCGTTTGGCTCGCTCAATGATTTGGGATGCGAGAACCCCGCCAAAGCCACTTGAAAATAGAAGTAGGAAAGGCCAGCGATACTTCTCTTCAATGGCGAGTTCAGCAGCAAGAACGAACCTTTAACCTCGCGCTTGAGAAGGGTCTACGCAGTAAGCCACTCTACTGTACGTACTTTCTAGGCGATTCCAAGGAGAAAAAAGAAAACCTCCTCTAAACGATTATGAAGGCAAATTATTTAACAAAATACGAAAGTGTTTCAGTCTCCCAACCAGTGGAACCGTCCAAACTAGAAATGACAATACAGCTAAAACACACATTTAAAAAAACCTTTTAAGGATTCAGTCTAAATAAGCGACTATCGACGAACGTGGTGGCGGCTGATTCATATCTCACATCTGCTAGCAGCATGGGTCTCTCTCCACAATAAGCTCGCTGCTGAAATGGGAATTAGGCTTTTCTATTTCTCTAACCCTGTCAGTGAAATTAGGCTATACAGCAAAATCACGCATACTATTTGCGGAAGAATAAAATATGAGCCATATAAGCGAAATAGATTTTCGTCGGGCACGTCAACGGCGTGAGGTGGCGAGTTGGGCAGCCAGTGGTTGGCAGCCACTGCAAAAGATAATCAATCAAACCAGAAATCAGAAATTCTTCTTTCGCAATGAAATTCCAAAGCAAAAAGAAAACTTTTAGGCAGTATTACTGACCTTATTTCTTCTTTCCTAGCGACGACGAAAATGGTGAAATTCGTTTCCCCTATCCACTGCTTTTTTCTTTTATTCAACAAATATTGCAAAATATAAATGAAATACTTAAAAACACAAAATAATAATTAAAATGTCTATTAAAATATTTTAAAATGTCACTAAATAATAATTACATAATTAAAACTTTTTCGAAATATACTATTTTAAAATATTTTAAAATTATTTTTATAATGTTAAAGAATATTAAATATTAAAGAAAATGATAAAAGATTTGCAAATCGTTGAGTGACCAGCGTGAGTTTAAATAAAATTTTACACTAAATTGTTTATTACACATCGAAGCTCGAAAAAGAATCGACATTTCTTCAATTTTAACAAATTCACTTTTAAATGAAACATTATTCACGAATACTGGAAATGATCCGAAAACGACCCAGAAACATACCGTAGATTTAAAAAAAAAGGCCGGGAATTAGAGGATTCTTCGGCGCAAATAGGGAAGCACCAGCTCCCCACCAAAAAACCAATAAGAGAACCAATAAGCAAACACCTTACTGCCGTGACCTTTGTGATTCGTCGTTATCACCAAGGCCGATCATCATGCGTTCGTTTCCTAATCACTGACCAGTTATTTTATATTCCTAGATTAAGCAACCCCTCCTTCCTATTTATTCCAAAACTTTCTAAGTAAACCAGTATTCAAAAATGATTAAAATACCAAAGAAAAGGTATAAAAACATAAATTACTACCAAAAATCGACCAAAATATATTTTAAAAATTTATTCAAAACTTTTTAAAGAAACGAAAAAAAACAATATGAAAAAGTGAAAACACAAAAAATTAATGTTTAACAATTAATAGAACGAACAAACAAAAATAAATAAAAAAAAGCACTTAAATGTGCGAATAATATTTCGCACATTGATAAAAAAGAAATGCCGAGAAATTCGAATAGTACAAATGATATAAACCGTGATAAATTTACACAAAAAAAAATCGCTGGATAAACCGTGATAAATTTACACAAAAAAAAAATCGCTGGATAAACCGTGATAAATTTACACAAAAAAAAATCGCTGGATAAACCGTGACAAATTTACACAAAAAAAAATTGCTGGAGACTTTCCACGAAAACCACCAAACTTTTCAAACAGTTGCATTCATTTTTTTTATTTTTACTATTTTCCACCATTAAAACAAACTTATTACAACCAAAAGAAAAAGTGGAGACATGTTCGGTTTTTTCCAAGCGATTAGCGTGGGGATCGAAAAGCCTGGAAAAGAAGCACTTGTAGCCAGCGAAACCACAAAATCATTGGATCTATTTAAACGAAATTCCCAAAAAAAACCAGCCGATGATTTTGAAAAATTTGAAACTTTACATTGCTATAACAATAAACAAAACTTAGAAAACAATTTAAATTAAAAAAAAAGCGAGACAAATTTAAATATATCAATTAAAAATATTTACCAATTTTTAGATAAAAAAATTTCCCATAAGACTATAATAAAATAAAATCGGAGGTATTACTCGAAGAAAAAAATTTAACAAAAAAAATTTGGAAAGAATAATTTCCCTAATATTAATATAAAATATAAATATAAAAAATATATGAAAAAACTTGGTAAATTAATCAATACAATAAATTTAGATCAAAGAATTTTGAAGAATTAATCTTCTCAATTTACAATTAAACTTTTGAAATAAAGAACTGAATTTAAAAATAAAATATTAAAAGAAAATTTAGCAGAATAAAAAAATCAAAGAAATCGAAATATTCAAATGGAAATTTTTTGAAAAAAAAGTCTAAATTTTTTTCTGATTTTCAATAATTTATACAAAAATCATTAAAAAGCCGAAAAAATGAATATAAAACATTAGTAATAACAATTCAGTAAACAATTTAAATTTAAAAAAAGACAAGATAAATTTAAATAATACTTCAATTAAAAATATTTAATGTTTAAGACGAATAATTATGTGAAACTCACAATAACTGCAATAAAAATATGTAAAAGAATAGAAAAATATATATTCAATATCCACATATTAAGTTAAAGTAATGAGAAAAATCCTGAAAACAATGATATGACTCAAGCTCTCATATTTAAACCAAAATATATATATATATTAATGTAAAGACTACTACTCTAAGCTTAAAACTAAGTCACAAACTGCTTAAAACCCAAGCGATAAGGCCTGATCTGTATTCTCTTTTTTTAAAACTGTCAATCTATTTTAAGGATAATTTCATAAACATGCATATTATATATCTCACATAACTGCATAACATGCAGCCGCCAAGTCCGGATAATAATATTAACGCTATATAATAACTGCTACTTTCATAATCACCATTCCTATCATCCTTGTCACTTTGGTCGCTTCTGATATCAGTTTCATTTTGATATTCCATCAACAACACCAGAATTTTCTTCTTCTGCAGCTTTTGCATCCTCCTTTGCCTCAAATTCTTCCAGTTTAATTCTTTCGTCCTCACTGAGGAATTTCGCTTGGATAATATGGTTTTCCAAATTCTTCATCATTCCGAAACCAAGAAAGCGACGCTTTTTAAATATTTTTAAAAGCGCATCATCAGAAAGCACATATCTTTTATCCTGTATATTAAAATTAAATTAATGTATAAACAAATTAAAAAATAAAAGAAATCTAAATTCATTTATTAGATTTTAGCAAAAAATATTAAAATAATAAGGAAAAAATTAAGCTAGTAAAAGTGCAGTTATATATGGAATTTTAAGAAATATACTCTTGGATCCATGAGATTATTTGTTTTGAAATAGGCCCACATGGATTTCACAACATCACTACGTTTCATATATCGCTTACCAACAACATCAGCGAGATCATCAGATAAAGCACAATAGGCACTATAAGCTGTCTGAAAGTTTGTCGAATAAAACTGCAATTTGTAAAGTGAAAATAAAATTTCCAATATTCTTTCAAATATTTTTGAGACCGATTAATTTCTAATACGTGGCCCAATATATTTCTAATTAATAATACGTGGTTTTTATCGTCCTGCGCAATACAAGAATAAATAATAATTAATAAGCAAAATACTAATTCTTTTTGATTTTTAACTATTTTCAAAAAAAGATCAAATAATTTGAAAGCTTTCGATATTCTGTCGATAATATATTTGATATAATATCTTTCTGTTATTATTGCAAGCATATAATACTTGTCGTACTGTTTGGTAACTTAAATAAATAAATAAATATGAAAATATGAGAACCTTTTTACGCTTTTTTGGAGTTTCGTCTGAGTTTGATTTACGTTTTCTCTGAACAGTTTTCTTAGAAGTGGAAGCTGCACGCCTCTTCTTCTGTATTGTATCCTCATAATCAGAAGATGATTGTGACTTGGCGCGTTTGCGAGCAGTCTACATATAAATAGATCAAATTCATTATATCATTTCTGTTTCCCTTTTCACAGATACAAAATTTTGAATAATAGTACAAATAAACAATATAAGCCAACCTTATTCTTTCGCTTCGAAGGTCTGTCGGTGAAAACGACTTCTTCTTCATCCGAATCAGATTCTGTTGAAGATCCCTTCGATTCTTTTTCATTTTTTTTTGCCGAATTTTGCATACTTTCAATCACCTTCAAATCAAATCCACAAATTTATGAGCTTCATAAGAGATCGGATTTTTATTTAATGTTGCATATGTCAATCCTAATTTTCTGGAACTTAATTAGTTAAATTAAAGGATTTGAATCTCTAAAATCCCTAATATTTAAAAAGAAAAAAGTAATAAGAAACTTTTGTTTATCGTTTAAAAATCGTTTTCTCTTAAAAGGATTGTTTCAAAAGCTCAATTTAAAGAGCATACATCCATAGTGATTTTATCGACAGGAGTTTTGTAATTAGTAAAATCAATATTGAATTCATTTTTCAGATTTTCCCGTATTTTTCGACTCGTTAATTTATCCATACCTGCGCGAAAAGCATTTTCATCAATATTATCATTAATTTAGTAAACTGCTATAATCAAATGAAAGAATTTCGAAAATCTGACAACAAAAACGATAAAAATAAAAAAATTACCCAAAAAATTTAATTGGTAATTGCTTGAAAAAGAATTGAAAAAGGAAACAAATAAAATAAATAAAAGAATACATAAAAATGAAGAAAACGAACCATATTTGGAAATTTGACCTATGATGGCCGTCCGTATTTGATTTTCCGGAATCGGAAGTTCCGAGTTTTCATCTGAATCTGACATCACTGAAAAATAATTTAATTACAAAAGTAAAAGTAATGTAAAAGCATAAGGCTTGCTCAAGTTGTTGCTCCTATTACGATAAGAAATCTCCAGACAATCACTACGAGTTCAAAATACAGATGACCGCTGCATACGAGTTTTTTTTAATGGCGGAAGCAGGAATCGAGCTTTGACGCTCGAGATGCCACCCTGAATAACAGCTACTTGACTGTTCTACCAAAAATAGTAACGATGATGATTAATATCAATAAAAGTAATATAAAATAAAACGCAGAAAATGGATACTAATTACCGCCACAAAAAATCATATGATCTTATCACTTTATCACATCGATTATATGGCAAAAACGAGTTGAAATAAAAGTTATATGCTCACTCCACTTTCTAAGACGAAATTAATACAAAAATATCGATATTTTACGAGATTTAAAAAGAACAGCCGTATTTCATTTCATAAGTAAAGTCAAGCATGTAATCGTCCGATTTTTAGAAATTCGCAATAGGAAAATAACAAATTAAGATAGATTTAATTCGAAACTGTCTGAATCATACAGTTATTATATAGTTTTAAGAGAAATTTTTTTAAAAAACAAAAGAAAGGAAATACGAAAAAAATCATAAAAATGAATTTTGCACTATCTGCGATGAAAAAATTAATCACAATAAAATATCAAAAACAAACTAAAATAAAATAGAAAAGAAAAAAATGAAGAAAACTGTTTAGGAAGCCATTAAAATAAGGAAACAACAGCAAAATTTAAAAAAATAAGGGAAATTAACGAATTGCCGATTCGTTTTTGAGATTTCTGCCGTTTGTTGGAAGTAAAAGCAGTTAAACACCTTTAAAAAAACGAATAAATATCCACAAAATCAAAAATAAGCAAAGAGGTCAAAGTTCAAGAAGCGACCATGAAATAGAACCTAAATGCGTCGTTGTTCTACAGTAATCAAACAATCCTTTCAAGACGACGATCATTAGCGGTTTCGCATTAAATTTCATACGATTTATTCTCTGCAGAATGCGAGTTTTTTTTTTTATTGAATTAAAATATGATTGATTTTTAAATTTTTTTAAAAAGTTTGTACGTTTTGTAAGGAGAAAAGTGTATTTTAATAAAAACATTTTTTTCATAGAATTTTTAAAATAATTATTTATTTAGTCAGTTTTTGATTGTTGCTACCTGAAATTTATCACTAATTTATTATCACCTGTAACTTATCAGCCGAAAGTTATCAGCCGAAAGCAACACCGTACTATGTTATCACCTGAAATAGCTGCAAAATATTATTGTAAAATTATTCAAGAAAGTCCAATTGAAAAATCGGCCTCGCTTGCTGTTCTTGAAACTTTGCTTAAATGTATTCAACTAACTAAAGGTTAATTTTAATAAATTTTAATAATTTTGATAAATATTTCAAGAAAAATTGACTTATTTTAATATTTTAAACAGTTTTTTTTGAAAATTATTTGAAATTTCTTACCATTTTGTGTTTAAAGATGGCTTTAAGATGCGAAGAATTCTTGATTTCTTCATATATTTATTATTTTCGATTTGATAGGAAATTCGAGTTATATTTATTACTAATTGATTCATAAAAATTGTAATTTCAGCTAGCACAGTTACTCAGTTATTGGAAGAATTAAAAGGAGCTGCTGAAGCAATGTCGAAAACCGAGTTCGGTATCACATCTGTTCATAGCTCAACAGAATTGTTTCTTAGGTTCTCTTTTTTTGGATGCATTGTTTTTATGGAATTTAGTTTAATTTAAATTTTTGCTATAATAATTTTTTGATATAAAATGAAATGTTAATGGCAAATATTATTATTACCTTTAAAATTTTTTGGTTTTGTAATTTTCAAAAAGTTTTGAAAATGATTTGTCATTTTTGATTAGAATCTTCAATAATTTATATTTTTTATTCAAAAATAGATAGTAAATTTTTTATTGATGAGATTTCTGTTCTATTTTGTTTTAGATATATATCATTTGTAACTGCTGAGCAGAATTTGCAAGAATTTGGTGATTTGCTTAATCTTTATAAAGAAAGAGGTGGTTATTTTATTGAACGTATTTCAAGAAGTATTTCGATAATTTCATCTACAGCACTTATGTCTATAAAGAAAAAAAAGGTTTATTTCTTTGTATTTTTTAGTTTTTTTAAAAATATTTCGAATCCTAAAATTATTTTTGAATAATTTACATAATATTCCTTTTTGTTTGAAAGAATTCATTATTAGGCTCGCTGACTTATTATTATGTTGGAGCAGAAATTTTAATTATAGTTTAAAATATTTTTTAACTGGAGAATTTTGAAGAAAGAATGAAGAATGAATCTTTATAAAGAAAGAGGTGGTTATTTTATTGAACGTATTTCAAGAAGTATTTCGATTTTTAAAGTGAAATTTGAGAGAAAATTTGAGAATTGAAGAAAAGGGAATATATTTCCCTCATTGTTTCGAAATCATAAAGTTGTTTTCAGAATATTCTTACTCATTCTTTCGATAACGTTGTGTTAGGTGTTTTGTTACATGCTAAGCAAAATGGCGCTAATTTATCTGTATTTGTTACTGAAGGGCGTCCAGATTGTTCTGGTCAGTTTTGCAAAGTTTTTTGAATTTTGCATAAAAGCTTAAGAAAAAGCTTATTTCCTTGTCGGATAACTTTTTGTGTTTTTTAGGTTTTATGATTATATTCATATTATTTTTAGGAGTAAAAATGGTAAAAAAACTTAGAGAAGCTAATATTCAAACGACATTATTGTTGGATTGTGAAATCTGGTTAATTTTTTAACTTTTTCTTAAATTTTTTTTTGAAAAAGTTGAGAACTTTTAGAAATCTCACTTTTAGAAACCTAAATTTTTAAAATCTTTTGGTTATCCACCAAAAGAAATTTCAGTGAAAATAATGCCTTATAAAAAATGCCTTATAAAATTTTAGTTCAGTAATGGAATCACTTGATGTTGTTGTTATTGGAGCATATGGCGTTATGGAATCAGGTGGAATTCTAAATAAGATTGGAACATTGCCTATTGCTATCTGTGCTAAAGCGATGAGCAAAGAAGTATTTGTAATGGCCGAAAGTATAAAATTCCTCAAAGATTTTCCTCTGAACCAGAGCACCATATCAAACGAGTATAAGGTTTGAAAATTTTAAATTGGTTGTCGTCATTAGTTATGCATTAATTCTGGGATATAGTGAACGACTTATATGCTGGCAGTGAATTCGATTTTTTTTCCTTGCAGAAATAAATATCAGAGTTGCTGCTGTTGTGTCCTTTCTCCTACATTATTGCGATAGGCTGGATAATGGACACTGCTTGTCGGCACTCAAGCGGTGTCCAAATCAGTCCATCCAGAGCACCGTATCACAGATCAGATTTTGAATGCGCTGATGATGTAGTCCTTTTTGCTAATAATTATGATGAAATAATGCTAAATAATACAAATAATACAAATAATGCTAAATAACGTGTCTGCAGCAAAAATCGGACTTAGGATCAATGTAAATAAAACGAAAGTCTTTTCGTCTTATGTGCAAGAAGCTGATAAAATGCCTCTTTTTCATTGCCGGTTGAGAAAATGCCCGATTTCAAATACCTTGTGGGTCCACTCCAATACCAAATGGACAGGCAAAAGATGATATTACAATTCGGATCACGGCAAATGCGTTCTTCCGGTTGACGAAACCTTTATGGAGTCATCATGATATCACCCAAAAAACGAAAGCCTGCATCTCCGTGATCCGTTCGATCTCGCTATATGGTTCTGAGACATGGCCAATGAGAGTGGAGGATATTAAGAAGTTATCTGCCTTTGACCACTCTTATCTAAGGTACATATTACGGATCCGTCGAGTGGATAAGATATCGCAAGATCGCATTCACCTTCGTTCAAATACCACTTGCATAAATAATCACAGAGCGCCGCCTTCGCTGGTTAGAGCACATTCTCCGTCGTCCACCACAGGAGTTGACGCATATTTCGTTACTTATTAAGCCGAGTGATGGTTGGCGTCAAAATCGAGGTGGGCCAATCTATGATACGGTCAGAAAAAATTTTGAACGTATAGGTGGTCCAGTAATATACGGACTTAGATGATGGAAAAAAGAATGGCTTCTATCGATGGCATCATATCGCGCACCTTGGAATCGTCTTACCCTTGTAGCCGTTGGAGCTAGCCCAAGCAGTAATGGTGAGAAAAAAAGAAGAAGAGGCTGTGCTTCCATCCCAAATAATTCTCTCTATAATCTGTATTTCAAATCCTAACAATCACTACATTTTACTCAGAAATAGAGTTTTGCGTTAGAAGTGACTCGACGTAGTACTTCACGTCAATTTTCTTTTTTTATACCTTTATATAAATTGAATTTCTCTTTAGGTGATTGCTTTAAAAATTTCATAATTCCAAAACATCGAGGACAGTACAAAACAAAGAATTATGTCTTAAGAATCTCTATTAATACAAATTTCTTTCAGCATCCAGTTTCAAACATTACAAAACGTGAACTAGGCGATGCTACGGAACGTTACCCTTTAGTTGATTATACACCTCCTTCCTATATCAACCTTCTTTTTACTGATTTAGGAGTCCTCACTCCTGCTGCCGTTGCTGATGAGCTGTTAAAAATGTATGTTTAAGTAATAATCAAAAATGGATACACAAATAAATTCTTATCTTGTATATAAATTCAAATTTAAATCATTTCATACCGGATAAATAGCGAGATTTTACGCGTAAAGTAAATATAAATATAAATCTAAACAAAAAATAAAAATGAACTTGAATCATAATAATTTGAAACTTAAAATGTTTTTAAAATATACACATATATATATATATATACATAGATATTTATCTAAGTTTTTCCTCCAGCGATATTTATATAAGTTTTTTTGGAAACACAAATCTGAAATCGTATGGCAAATTTAGCGATTACATCAGCTAACTTGTCAGGAGCATCCTCTTGAATTGCATGCCCGGTTTTCGGTAGTATAGTATTTTGGAACTTTCCTTGCATTTGACCGACCTGAAATGAAATATAAATGGCGGATGATTTAGAATGTCAAAGTATGGTTCGCCAATTGATAATGATCCTCAAGAAAGACGAGGAAGCCTAATAGCGAGGTCGAAATTATTTTCATAATAATGATAGTAGTCCTTTTACTAAATTAAATTAAATATTAGAAGAATAGCAAAAATTTTAAACTACTCAATAAATTTTTTTGTTTTGAAAAATGTAGTTATTTTTCATTAAAAACGTTATTATTTGTATATTTAATGGGTTTATTAGTTTATTTTCAAATGTTTATTATTATAATAATTATATAATTAATAATTAATTAATTTATATCATTATAATTTATTTTCTCAATTTCTATGAAATCAATAGGAAAAAAACCATATTGAAAACTCTTTTGGATTTTTCAATAATTTTAATGACAGCTAAGCGATCCTGAACAAAACTTTTGTGAACCACTAATCGGGAATGAGAACAAAACAAACAAACAAACCGTGAGATCAGTATCAAGTCGATCTGTACCAGCAAGAATAAGCAATTTAGGAACATTGCAACTCAAAAAGCGTTTTGACAATCCTTTAAACCATCCCGTCCAGTGCGGTTGAGTTTTTAACAAATTGATTCTCCATATATAATGCTAAAAATATTCTTAAGACTTTAATGTTGCCTTAATTCCTTTCTCACCATAAATATTCGTGTAATGTTTTACAATATATATTAACATTAAAACCAATCAGATCAAAACCAAATTTAAATTATCAAAAATCAAAAAAGTACCTCATCAACTTTCTTGACTTGAGACGGCATAGAAACCCGCGCCGCTTGCAAATTTTTGGCGGTTCCTGATCTGTAGGCCCATTCGATTGCACCTCAAAATTAAAATGCTTTATTACCAGTAAGAAGCCTCTTGATATAAAATGCTAAAAAATAAAAATTGAAAATTTTTTACAATTTCAAACATTTCTAGAACTTTGGCATTTTAAAGAATGAATGGAATACTAATGTGAAATGCTGGATATCAAAGTTAAATAAAGTTAAATAAAGCGAATCATGATTCCATACTTAAAATAATAAAAATATTAAAACTTTCTAAAGAAGTGAAATTTTTTGGACGACTTTGCAGAAAAGTTGTCATTGTTTTAAGAGCTTCCATCGCTGTTCCTTCAACAACATCAATAACACATAAACCTACAACTGATTTTATTCTTGCAGATAATGCGACATGTACAGCTAATGCACCGCCCATACTGAAATAATTATAGTTAAATGACAAGGATAGAAAAAATAAAAGTATAATTAATAGTACATTAGTACAAGTAATAATACAAGAAAAACTGTTATAAATCGACAGTTGAGGAAAACCAAAAGACCATAAAAAGATCTAGATCAAAAGATCAAAATTTCACCTTCAAAAGGAAAAATAGGCTTTCAATATCCTAAATCCAAACTCGAAAACAAAACTTGTATTGTTCCCACCGTAAAAATCTTTATACCCTCATAGCCAATGAAACTAGGCAAATCAGAAGCGATGTTTTCGCATCTGTAATTGGAAGGACATAAAAAACGCTGACAAGCAGCATGAAAGAAAAAATCGGAAGTTAATTGGCAACAAAACAAATTGGCAAAAGTTCGAAAAAAGAAAACATTAAAATCGAACCTATGACCAATTAAAAATGTTGGCACATCAACTTCATCACCAAAATATTTTGAATATATCATTACGATATCGTCAACCTGACGTTCAACAGATAAATCGTAATCGTCTGAAGTTGTGCTATCACCATGACATCGAAGATCTACGGCAAAGATACGACATTCGATTAATTCAGACAACTCTTCCTGAAAAACAAAATTGCTTTAAAATGCATAAATTTTAAATATCAAACAAATAAAGATAATTAAAAGAATAATAACTAACGGTTAAACAAGCCCACGTAAGCGCTGAATAACCGCCACCATGTAAAAAATATAAAATTGGCCCTTTTTCACCTTTTACATAAGCACAAAATGTATTATTTTCGCCAATTTCAATGAATAATTTCTTATCGAAAAAATTATTCCATTCCAGTGGTGAAAAGTTTTTCTTTATAGGTTTCAATAATTTTCGACTGATAATTTTCGATGAGAACGAAGAAGAATTTCTGAAAAATTTTGTATCACAATAAGTACTTAAATTAGGTAAATTATCTAAATAATCCTAATTTTATATGAATATAAACGTAAATCCGCTGATCCGAAGAAAAATATCAAAGACTCTGGATGAGCTGATGGTGTGGTCTTCCCGACAGACATATCTAATTGCAGGAGAATCCAAAGCAGCAGTGAAAATCAAGATTGCAGATTAACTAAAAAAGAGCTCTTTTCGCTTGAAATATACGACGCTGGTCAAAGCACCTAAACTTATTAATGCATTGGATGTAAAAACTTTTTAATACCTTGGATTCACTAGTAATGGATTGCAAAAGTGAACTAGTTAGCTATACTAACTCGAGCAGCTGCAGCTGGAAATACTTCTCATCCAGCCAACCACTGTGGAATCGCAATGAAATCAGAAGTTTGCGTCAGCATACATAATTGGCTGTTCATTTCGGCTACTAGACATGGCCAATGGCCAATGTAACATACAAGGAAACGTTCAAGCAAATCTTTTGAAGAATATCGAAGACTGCATTCAATTTCGCTCGAATAACATAAGCATTAATAGTGTAGCATCGTTACTGAGCGTCTTTACTGTTATTTAGCCATGTGCCAGCCGTCGTTTAAAGAAATTAACGCTACGCATCTAGCCTGTCCAAAGTGAATAGCTGAAACCAAAATGAACTGGCATGGCCACTTGGCATGAAAATGCACAGATGGTCCAGCTACGTTGGCTAAAACGATGGGCAGATGAGTGGGGCATGGCATCGCGATGTTTACCTCTATAGCCGGCCAGGCTATCCCGTGCTGCGTTCACATCACTCAACTTTACTGCTGCCGGCAACGACTCGAGCGGTACGCAACTACCTTTTGACCTCTGTTTTAGCCGATCCGAGTCCGCAGCGAGTGTTGGTTGCCGTTCTAAACATCTATTTCACTTTCTTATTCGTCGTATTTATTTACACAATAGGAATCGTTTGCACTAATATTCTGTTTGTTTTCTCCAGAATTATTATTCTTTTTTTATATTTTTTTACTTTTTACAAAACAGAGATATCGGAAAGTGTTCGACAGTGCAATGCAATTGGTAGTAAAAGGAATTCAGACGAGGAAATAGGCAATGAAAAATGGGCCAAAAAAAGCACTTATTCGTTCCCCGCATTTGCCTATTTTTCGTGTTTCCGTCCGCTTTGCCATTCATTCCAATCCATTCACTCGAATTTTCCCATACTTTTTTCCTTTTTCTCCGACATCAATTCTCTTAATTTCGCGAATGCAGTAACGACGCGTCTCACAATTCGTCCACTGCCAGCATCAAATCCTCTTTTACAAATTATTATTTTTCCACCACCAATACTCGATAATTTGACAGTAAACGGAATCATCCGAAGCAAAACGTCGTCGTCGTCCGTCCATTTTCATTAGCACAACGCTTCCTCTTCTTTCCCTTCTCACTTTATTATTTAATATTTTTAATTTTGCTTTCATGTTTTACTGCTACAAACGGCTTTTGCCTGCCTTCTAAGTAAATAACTGGAAATTTGGGGAATTCGCGATTATTTCGCTGATTTGGGACAACGGCCGCCTTCCTAGCGAATATGCAACACACACGCGTTGTATGAATAATTATTACTAAATTAATATAAAAATAATCTCCAAAAAATAAGAAAGAATACTCTTGAATATCTGATGAAATTTCTTCTTCATTTTCATCGATTCTTTGCATTTTCGATTTTTTCTTTGAAAAATTCCAATTCAAATAAATATAAAAATTCAAATATAAAAAATACAAATTTCTGAAAATCTGAAAAAATATTTCCAAATAATTGCACCAATAATAAGCAATAATAATTGTGCAGGAAAATTTTTTCTGACTACAGATTTGCTTCAATGAGTTTCTTTTGATAGCCGTGAAAAGCCCGCCATCCCTTTTCCCTTCCTCGCCTTCTCCTAATTATTAGGCGAACCTGCGCCAAATCACAGACAAAGTCTTTTCGACTCCTTCGGTTAAATTCCCATCACCGTCGAAACCCCGTCAGCTTTCCTCCTTCCTTATTCCCCATAAGCAAATCCTTCACTGAAAACATATTTCCTCACAAATTCTCAAAAAAAATTTTGAAAAACTGAATCCCTTTATAAAAAATTGGCTGGTTGCCAAAACATTAATTTTTACCGCATTTTTCAAATTTATTTAAAAGTTTTCGATCATTTTTGCATGTGTATTTTCATATTTGATTCGTTGATGTATTTTGATTATTTTATTGATCGCTTTGTCGAATGACCTTTGACCTCGCATAATAACATCGATTTCGTTCTATCGAATTCTTTAATTAACGAGTTTTCTGAACTAAAATTTATAATCAGCAAAAGGTGAAATTAAGGTGAAATTAATGCGAATTCCCGGGTGATCCAGGAGGATGATACGGATTTAATAAGTATCAAAGCAATGTGTCACGGGAGGGGTCACACTACGAGTACCATGTGGACCACACCACGAGTTTTGACGAGAAATATACGTGTCCATAGGGCTGTTCACATCGTGTGGCCTGTATATATATGAATATTGGAAATTTCTTTTTTAGATAATGGCTTCATTCACAAAAACAACTGTGCAGTATAAAATAGTACCAATGGAAGGCCGCGAATGCATTCAGCGAAATTTTATTATGTTCCCTGAAAAAGTCGGCCAATATAATAATCGTTTATTAAAACTAAATCAACGTTTTTCGGTTTATGAAAGAGGTTTTTCCTGTTTTTTTTATTTTTAATTTCCAGTTTGAAATATTTATTTATGTTTTCTATTTAATTTTAATAATTTATTATTGTTTTTAATTCGAAATGTTAATTGATAGTTGATAAATGTTAATTGATAATTGATAATTCGAAATGTTAATTGATAATTGATAATAAAATAATGAATAATAAGGCTAAGTGGGAGCGCCGAAGAGCGCTAAAAAGTAGAAAATAAAATAATTATTTGTTAAAATTAGAAACGAATGGAATTAAGTGGTAATTTTAATTAATTCGAAATAAAATTTGCATTAATTGCTAATTTGTCCCAAGAAAAGTGCAAAAGAAAAATTATGGAACTTAGTTTAGTTTTAAATATTGATTTTACCGTTTCAAATTTAGGCAAAATTTTGTAATAAAAATTTAATTTTTTAAGATTTGTATTAACTTTTTAGAACTTTTTTGAACAAATTTGGAATAATTTTTTCCATTTTTTGTTGATCGGTTTTATCGATTTTAAAAGATTAGAATTCAGGATTTAGTATGATTTCATATTTGTTCCAGAACGCAATCCAGGATTTGGCCATAACTTTATATGTTTTCCAGGATACAGTTTAGTTCCCATCATCGCCCCGTCTAATGAAAAGGAAAAATGTGTTACCCTAATCCGATATAAGGATGAAATACCATCGAAACCAAAAAGTATGCTCAGTTTTTCTTTTATCTAAAGAATTAGAAAATAGTGAAACAAGAACGGCAAATGCGATTCTGCATGAAGTTTCTCCCTTCCGTAGAGTATTCCGATTCGTTAAGATGTTTCCATTTTATGCGTTTTGTTTTGCATTTTTATCACTCGTCTGTGAACCTTTTTATGATAACATAAGTTTTAGTTTACTTAAGTTGTCCTTTAAGCATAAATTGTCGTTGCAAAGTAAGATTTTTAGGTTTAAAATCCGTCGGATTACTATTTGGAAATCAAAAGTTTTTAAGTTATCAAAAGTTTTTAAGTTTTTTTCTAGTCTTTAAAGTTATTTGCGCAAAAGTCACTCATTTACAGAAAGCAGAATCATTCAAACAGAACTCTTTTCCTTTCGAAGAATAAATTTTCTTTGCATTGCATATTTCGAGGAAAAAAGGAAAGTAAATTTCAGAAAAAAAACAAAAGAAAAAAGAATTGAAAAAAGAGCCAAATGAAGAATGCGTTTGAAAATTCGAGTACCACGTCCGCAGGTTTCAAGTGGGCAAACTTTCCACATTTGCAGTTTTTACATTAATTTGGTTACGGTCTCTATGCTTTGATTTTATCAATCTTATCAATCAATTTTTATTCAAATTTGGATTATCCTATGATTTCTCAAATGGTTTGCTTTGTTTTATGATGAGTAGCACTTTCCAGATTTTATTTAATCCTTCGCTTTATTGGAATAATTGAAGGTTTAATTCAGATGTTTTATTTCCCATGAATTCCCCGATGAAAAGAAATTCTCATTAATTATATTTGACTGAATTTGGAGGACAATTATTGTCCAACAATATTCGTTATAACTAAATTAATGTCGATGAATTTTTTAAATGGGTCAACATCTTTGGCAAACATTGAGGTGGAAAATTCTGACCTTCCAGTTATAAAAATTGTTTTTCCATAATTTGCGATATTTTCGTAAATAAGCTTTTTATAAATTCTGCATGCTAAAAAGATCGATTTAAAAAATGGTGGTATTAAATATTAAATAAAATATTGCAATTCCTTAGATTCCTCAAATTCATCTTCAAATTTTTGTGGTGAGCTCAATTAACTCGCAACATCTTTTAAAATATGCAAAATTACCTTCAAACTTCAATGGCAACTTGAGAACTTCGTTTCATTATTGGAATCCGTTATCATGGACTCGTCCTAAATTCACCAAATGCACCATCGTCGAATTCCTCAAATTCACTTTCATCGACTCGTTCTAAATGCTTTAAATGCTAGATTATTATTGTATTTTGCCTTATGCTTTACTGTACGATAAATTTTATGCATAAACTTATTCCGAAATTTTCTTTTAAAATAATATTTATAAAAAAATCGATCCATTATAAGTTCTAACGAATCTATGAAATATAATTTCAATAAATAATCCATTATTTTAAACTTAGAATGCTTTCATTTTTACTACTTTTTTATTGTTTTTTTATGATTTTAAATCGATGCTTTCACGGTTTCTAATTTTTTTTAATTACCAAAATATTCAATTTAATCTATTTAAAATATTTTTAATTGCCAACTTGTCGAAACAAAATTTTCCATATTTTTTTATTATATGAAAAGTTATATTTTATTGGCATTTACTGCCGGACGCAGAGAATGATACTGAAACTGGTTTAGTGGACATGGACATCCATAATCATCGGTAAAATATTAATACGTGTGATTATACTAATATCCGCAGGGCACAATGGACAGTGATTTAAGTTATCTCAAGCAATGTGCCTGACATGAATGAATCTATCATTAAAAAATTCAGGCGAATCTGCTACTGGCAAAAATTTTTATCATTTTGCTGGCAGAAAAACCTAACTAAAGTTGGTGTTTATCCAACAACATGACGAAAGAGTCTTTCTATACGGATTTGTTCTTAGGGGTTTTTAGTTCTTTTACTTTAGTTCTTTAATAAAAAATAATTCTTTAGAGTACCAACTTTCTAAGATCACTTCAAGTAATAACAAAGCAAATCCACGCCTTCCAGCAGTACAAGGATCACTTTAAGAATTATTTTTTGCATATTCCGCATTATTGTGCACTTTTTTCTGAGAGCGCTAATTTCTGGATAGGCTTACCCTATGGCTGCTTGTCGGAGCGGAAAAGTTGCCACTTGGCGATAGAAGTGTAAATAGGTTCAATCCTGCAGTGAGTGGGATCCTAGAATCGATGCTTCGAAGTGAGAGTCCAATCATTTGAGCCATTCTACCGAGTATTAAAAATACGTTGTGTTTTGAAAATGATTTAGGAAATCAATGACTTAAAACGACTGGAATGTTATTTTTAATAAAAAAAGACTTCCCTCTATGAGTGACCATAATCATCCTCAACCTTGGGACTGGGAATTTGAGGATTCTGCGCAGTATCTTAGGTGTTCCTAATAATGCACTCTTCTGGATGGAGGTTACTACGACCTTACTCGTGAAATCTGCTGAAGCTACTTTTCTAGTTTGGAGGTCGTGGTTCCAAGTGCTTCAATTGTCAGGAACGATTGGAACCTTATTTTTTATATTATTTATCATTCTAATCTTAAATTGAATATGCATCATTATGCTGTGAAAAAAATAACTGAAAGGTAAAAAACGTACTTCTGAGAAATATTTCAAAATTTTATCCTTTTTAGATCCTGAAATGTTAAATTAATTTTAGAAGGCTTATGGTTTATTGTGTAGACATCGTATAGACTTATCGATTTTGATCCTCAGGGATGTTCAGGGATTTGTCGTTGAATTCAAGTTGTATCCAGCCGTTTAAAACTTATACTCGAAAATATAACAGATAGGTTGTAATAAAGTGGTGAAAGTATAGACAAAGCTATCAATAAAAGCTAAACGCCACAAAAATGTGAAAACTACGAAAAAACTACGAAGTAACCAAATAACGATATAAAAGATGGTTAAGAAATTTCGACCGTCATGCAATTTACTTTGCTTCTGATAATATAGCCAGGCGTCGCTTTTCAACGCAGTTTCGAACTGGCGCATATGGATCTTGAAACATGGGAAATAATCTTATTTAGGGAATTCGACAGCTAACAAAAAAGGTTTTTGCATCGTTAAACAAGGATGTAAAAATGAAACAGAATTTTGCAGAATTTTATAAAATTGAATTTTATAAAAATATGCAAGTTTTATAAAGTAAAATATTTAAATTATAATTGATTGGTCCCGGCCAATCCATGCGATATTAATTATTTGGTGAGTTAAGCGAATCGCTAAAATATTTCAAAGCTCTAATTTAGGAGACAATTCCGACTTTGCGCTTGATAGCCACCATCAATTAGATAAAGTAGGAATTAAACTTCGCCAAAGTGTCAAATATTTTTTGTGGTACTACTTAAAATATCGGCTTCTTTTGGATATTTTAAAGAGTCCTCACTATTACTGGTTAAACTCGCCTCATTGGCCTGTCGCATTGTGCAATATGCCATGGAGGCGATAGAAATACAGGTGAGTCGGCAGCTTCACCCGGATTTTTGTACGCTTACTCCTGCGGGGAATCGAACCTCAGCATCAGCGCTCCCAATTGAGCAACAACCCACTTTTCGTTTTTATTTATTTCTACGGCATACAATATTATGTTGCATACCCTCTATTCGAATGAGTGTTTGTTGAATATTGGTGAAATATTAAATTTTATTGAAGATAAATAAAATATTTCATAAGAACTGATAAGTGATAAAATAGTGATAAAATAAACTGAAAAAGGCCAACGTCAAAAAATTCACATTTTAGAAGTTTGACAAAATTTCGGGAAAATTCAACTATATTCCTTCATATATATCCTTTAACGTACATTTCATCGAGTAATTTCCTATAATGTGGTGTCAAATATTCGATTCCATATAAACTCAAATGACAACAATCGCGATAATAAAATAGTTTTGTTTTATTGTTAAATGTGTAACAAATCTGAAAAAATTCAATTTTTATTACACTTCCTAAATGAATAAAAATTTATCATAAATTTCATAAATTTTTTATTTTAGTTGTAAAATTTCGAGAAATTTAAGGAAATGCGAAAAGGAAATGTAAATTTTTGCATAAAATTTCGAATTCGCTAAAATGGAATTCGAAAAAATTTTTGAGAAAATTTCATTTATTAACTTACAATTTATTAAAAATTTAATTTTTTAAAAATTTAGGATTTAGAATTTAAAACTGGAATTTAAATACTTAAATTTCAAAATATAAATTCCTATATAATATTTTATCATTTTCCTTTTCCAGTTTCGAGGAATCCTATTATTTCTTTCGAAAGAATTCTTTGGTTGGAAATATTCCCTTCTCAAACGTTTTACAGTCGCATACATAATGACTAATTTATCGTGGCCTGGAAGGATATCGTTGACAGCATTAAGATATCTGATTTCTTAGCGGGAGCGGGTAAAAATTTTCAGATTTTTACAGAAAATGGCTGTGGAAGATGCTTGTTTATTGGTTTATTAGAGACAAAATTACCTCATTATCACAGAACCAACGATAGGTAAATAAACGTTCACATTTCGCACATTTAATCGCATCTAATCGTTCGTATCCATAGCGGTGTTTCTCCCAAAACACGTTATACGGTATATTATACTTATCTAGTGGTTCTTTTTCACCAAGGCTGTATAAGGCCAAACTCGCCATATTTGCCCTGTTTCATCAAAGTTTATAATCTTAATTTAATAAATCAGAAAATGAAATTCGAAAAAATAGGAGGAGGAAAAAACCTACAAGGGTGAATGAGGATGATCATAAGTAAGAACGATCCTTTTTGTTGAGAGTATAAGTTCGTCGATTGCATTTTGAAGTTTCTTAATGACACTATCAGTCTTTATGCTTTCGATTTTAGATAAAAGTGTACCACCGAACCTGCAAAACACAATTAAGCAAAAGGTATACTAAGGGACAAATTTCTTATTTCTTTTGAGATTGCTCCGTTAGACTTCGATTTTGCGCAAAATCGAAGTCTAACGGAGCAATCTCAGTTTCAGTCCAGTCAAAACAGCGAAAATTTAATATTTCTGCATTTTGTGCACTAAACATGCCGCACATATGAGCGAATATCTTCCTGCACTATTAAATAGCTACCAAATTTTTGAGCTGCTCTGGCTAATGGATACCGAATATTAGCTGCAATAACTGTGCATTTTCTCTCGTTTAATAATTGTCTCATTGGAACTCAAATTTATATTAAAGTCCGCAGTTCTTTTTAAAAAAGGTTGAATAATATATTATAAATGTTAGACGATTTTCGTTTTTTCAAGATTTTACGAAAATTTTTTGTATTATTTAATATTTTTTAATATTCAAAGAATCGTCAACCGATGAGAAATATCAGATAGAACAAATCCTAACGGAAATTTTGAAAAAATATTAGAACGAAATAACTATTATTGAATCGTCGGTCTGTGTTTTAATTGTGGCAGAAATTTCATGGAATTCCACGGCATCTGGATGGAGATTAATCGCTGAGTGGTTAAGTTCCTCCATTCACTGAGAACTTTCGGAAGAATCGAATAGCAAAAAGGAGACGGAAATTTAGTGCATAATTTCTTCAAAGCAGATTAACTGATACGATAGTTTGTATCAAAATAATTTTTCGTCTGGAAAGCCACTGACACTCTCCGTTATCACAAAACAAAAGATCTGCGATGCATCTTCACTCACTAGGCTGAATTCTATACAATGATTCGCTATTCTGAAATTAATCACAGCTGTAATTAATCTTGGCTTTTCAATGGACTGGATTGAAATTGTTGTAGTAGTGAGTGTTATTATAGTGAGCATTAAGTGATACCTTTCAGCAATCGTCATATTTTTTAGAAATCTGGCTCAGTGAAAATCATACATAATTCATTGGCACAGTTCATTGGTGATATGTCCTTTTTTCTTCCTCTTACTTATCTGGTTTATTAGATTCATTGATTATACTAGGTTGAATGAGACCTCCTCGACAGAAGGTGCGGCAGAGTAGAAAATCAATCGGAGATAGAAATACAAGGATTTCACTTTGACGACAGGTTTACTCTCTTCATCAGTCGAACTACCACTCAACAATCCTGGCTCTAGTGATATCTTCTTAAACTCCTTTTATTGCCAGATCTTCATCTATTGTCTTTATCTACTGAACTTCATCTATTGTCTTCATCGCCTCTTAAAGCTACGCAGTTTCCAATCTTTTAATCGAACCTCCTACTGAACTTCACTGCATACTTTTGCGGAGCCTGAAATCAAAATCTGTAAAATGGCAACCAGAAACATGTTGAGACTGGACGTATTTGAGAAAGCAGTATAGCAATGTTCGAAGTGGCATTTCACAAATTTTAAAGAAATCGGATTTTGAAAAAGCCACTGACACTCTTAATAGCATATCAGTAAACTATTTGTAAATATATAATTGCTTGCAAAATATGTAATTGCTTGCAGAGCTGCTGGGTGATGCGGAACAATAGTAGGTCATTTTGTAAATGAAGAAAGTATACTGTGGAAATAATGGTGATCAAAAATAATTAGATAACTGATTTCCTGATTTCACATGTCATCCCTCCTCTCTAATTAACGCCCAATACTGCCTATACACTGCCTTTAAGTAATTAGCATTCAGTTGACAAAATAGGCTCACTGGAAGTTCAGAAAAACAATATCTGGTTTCATGTCGTGTATAAGTTTCAAACAGTCATTTGCTCGTTTATTGCAAGCGTTTGTCTGATTGGATTGTCCTCCGCTATAGTGCAGAATTGGAATGCACCAGTATCCTGCACAACGCTTCATATGTCCGAGGCGCTCTTTACCGAAAGCTTGCATAATGTAATGAAATGCAACATATGCAAAACCATCACCGATTAAAACAGCAGTTGTATTACCACTTCCCTTAAAAATATTAGTTGGTGTGAGATTAAAGGGATTACATTTGCACACTGAAAAAAAAGTGATTTTTGGTTTCATGATTTTAAGATTTTTGGTTAGATTCTTTCAGATGGCTTATCGGATCAGACGAGTTTTGAAAGTTACTTGACAATGAAGTTGCGCTCACATTGACGTAAACGAAATCACCGAAATATCCTTGTTCTTCGGCCCATGTGTTGTAAAGCGTATCATCATAGATATGTAAATCGCTGGGTTCCATCGGAAAATGCTTTTTTATCATCAAGCGGTTTTTAAAATAGATACGTAAAGCTGCTTTACGATCGGACAGTGTTAAAAATGGCTTATTTGTCGACGATAAAAATATTGAGTTAATTCCACTGTCGATTTTCAAAGCCGAATTACCCGTTTCTGTATAATAAGATTAAGTTTAGCAAAAGAAGTAAAAATTGCTTTTTATTATAAAAAAATCCAAATTTGTAACGGATACGGCTGAACCATGGAAAGAAGTTACTAGCAAAGATCCGAATGAATCATTTAGCGCTAAACACTATTGTTCATCTAAAAAATCAAGGAAAAATAAAGGAAATGCAAACAATTAACTTGGAAATTCAAAAATTTCGTTTCCTCCAATTGCGAAAATAATAAAAATAAGCGCATTAGCAATTAATGAGAAATGAAAAATTCGGAGTGAAAATCTTTGAGGATTTCTTTCGATGTAATAATAACCAAAAAATGATATTGCGAATGTGAAAAGCAGCACATCGATCAAACCTAAAAAAATCCGTTAAATTTCTGCTGATTTCATAAAATTTCCATTAATTTCATTTACCAGTTATTACATTACCCGCTGGGACCAGAAAGTTGCTTTGACTGATTTGTGAGAGCTATGATGAAATATTCGAAATGACTGCCAATGTAAAGGGTTATGCAAAAAACATATGGGTAATAGCATAATTTTTTCTTTCCCACTATTCCTGCTTTGGTTGATTCGACTGATTATTAGAGCCATCCGCCAAACAGCTAGCTACGTGGAGATGGAATCCATACATCTGGATTTCATTTTCGATGACAGAGTTAAACCCGTAAGAGACATCTCAATCGAAGCGACGTAGCGTACGACTTTCCCATATCTATGACCAGCACAAACTAATTAATTAATCAATCTACTTTTGCTTATACATAATAATATTTGTTCACGTTTATGAATATGCAAATATCTCGCCATATGAAATATTGTATTATAATAAATATATTTATATTTACAACAAACAACAAAGAATAAATGAAAATATCTCGAATAGCGCTTAAAAACAATTTTGCATGGAGAAGCAAAATATTTATTAAACTTAGTGTGTTAAATTATTGAGCGATTTTGAAAAAAGAAACTCGAACCATGAGAATACGAAATGTTCTGCTTTTGCATATATCGTATACAGGGCGAATGATTTAAATACATCGAGTAAAACATGTTTCCTATGAACATAAGTGGTCGACAGCCAAGTAGCGAGAGAGTGAACCAATGCCAATGTGCAGCAATAATCCAAGATATTGCCAAGGAAGTAAGAATGGAGCAAATTTTTGAATGGAATGCTGCACCTAGCAGTGGTGGTAAAACAACAAGAAGGCAGAAAGCTGTGAGAAGCACATTTAGCAGAAATTTCGATTCGCCATTTTCTGCAAAAATTATATTTGAGCGAGAAATTCGCTTTCAATGAATTTGTGTAAGCCTTATATATAATCTTCCTTACTTCAAATAATCTCAACTGTTCAAATAAGAAGAAACAACATGCAAAAAGTAACTTAAAAAATTTCAAAGAACCTAATAATGATTTCTCGATTTTTGCAATAATATCAACGGATATATTATTATTATTACTATTATTTTTTGCTTTATCTTCCATATCATATATGAGAACTCCAAAAACAAATTGCCATAAACGACATATGGGAAATTTTGTAGAAAATGGATCCTCGTAAATAATATATAACCATAGTGAGCAAACGATTACTGATAAGTAAACTTCGATTCCATATCTTCGTCGAAATCTTAGTAGGATTGGTAGAAAAAGAGAAATTTGTAATTCTATGGAAATCACCCATAAATGTTGGAAGAAATTAGCATCATCGATCTGAAAAATATGCTTCGTAAAGGTAAATGCAACGAAAATTCCATGTTTTAGATTAAAAATGGCCTAAAAATATGGCAACACATTAATCTTCGTCTTCGTTTCTCCCTCTTCTAACGACTCTCACCATTGTTGGTTAGGCTGATCCCACTGGTTACCTTTCTAAGCTCTAAGCTGCGATCTGATACCATCGTCGATAGTAATAGAGGCCATTTTTTTTCCATTGTCTGAGTCCATATATTGCTGGTCCACTTATACGTTCAAAATCTTTCTTGATTATATCAATCCAGGTAATTTATCCACCTTACCAGGTAACGAATATTTCTTTATAATGAGCGAGAAATTAATAGTTGTAGTTGCTTCCAAATAAGTTCTGATGGAATTTACACGTTTCCAACTTATCTGTCGCTTATCACTTATCACGATGCTTCTTACCTTTTCGTTTTGTTTTTTTTTATTTTTTTTTATTATTATTATTTTTATTATTATTAATATTTTTTTCTCCTCACTTTCTTTCTATGATATTTTTTAGCCAACGATATCAACAGGGTTTTTCTATTCCCCCATCATTCTATTTTTTCAAAATTCCAGTCTCATATATTCTATGTTGCATGGTTTATAATTTTATAATTATTTGCCACCTTCCTGTCTCATAATATTATTTCCTCAGCATTAGTCTGTCGTATAAAGCCTTTTTTTTTTTAAAGAGTCCTCACCATTACTGGTTAAACTTGCTCCACTGGCTTGCCGCATTGAGCAACGTGCCAGGGATCTTTTGGCGATAGAAATACAAGTGAATCGCCAGCATCACTCGGATTTTTTCAGGTTTGCTCCTGCGGGGAATCGAACGTCAGCATCGGCGCTCTTAATTGAGCAACGACCCACTTAGCCATTCTATCCCGTAGTAAAGCCTAAGTATATAAGTTTTTTCATTCCAATTATATCAACAAAATCACTTTTGAGATCCGAGAAAGCCAGTGAAAGTGAGTGTAATTTTTAATTTTATGCACAAAAAGCCGGCTTACCTTTGGGGAAAAAGTTTCATTTTTACGGTCAGCCATTAAATCATAAATATTGTTTGCGAATAAAATTGTCGAGAAAAAATGGCTTTTGAAATTTAGGTAAACGAAGCTATTTGATAAAATATTTGCAAGAAATATTATAAATAGCGAAAAATAATAAATCGGGAATAATTTCCCAACGATATTTTTTAAAACATTTGTTAAATTCGACGAATTACTGGAATAGCAATGAGAGATTGTTGTATAACCACATAATACAAAATATATATCAATACCCACATTAATATTATTTTGGGAGTATTTTTGCTCGAAATGATGAAATATTATATAAATAATAGCCAAACCCTTTAATGCTGCAATATTTTGGCAGTCTGCTTCGCCTGAAAGCAAAAAATGTTAAATTAGTAATGAGCAATAAATGGATGAAATTGTTACCAACCTTTCTGGAAATCGACCATTGTATCGACCATTTTTCGAGAAACCAATCGATCTTTTAAATTCGTCAAATGACACTTTTCGAATAAAACGCCATTTAGGAAATGATAAATTTTGTTATTGAAACATCTGTCATAACAAAATCTCCCAAAAAACTTGAAAATATCAAAGAAAGACTATGTTTAATGAAAGTTGGTTGATTCACTCAAATGCGAATCCTCCTTATATAATCTGCAATCTGCATAATCTGCACAATCTGCACGGCAAAGTACATTAATACCCCGGTCCGGATGGTGCCGGTGAATTTGCATATTTTTCTGCCGCCACATCATTCTCTGCCAAAGGGTTCCGCTCCTAACAATCAATTAATTGCTTCGGCCAATATTTTTAATGTAAATTTTTGGTTTAACTGTTCCGAGCTTCATTTGTAATAACTGAGTTTGCCTTCTATCCGCACGAAAAGTGTGCATTCGCAGTGCTCTAGTAAAAATTTCTTCAGAGAAAAATGTTGCAAAAACCATGTGTGCTTACTTACAATTGCTTACCAAATCCAGCTTTACCATTGCTATTCCCACCAGAAAATGGAAGAGGCTGAGGGATCCGTGCCTGCACTTTCTCGTATTTTCTCCGAATATCCTTGGACTCTCTCCGTTTCCTTTATAATTCCTATTCCTTGACCCTCTAAAATTTTTAGCTCTGCCAAAGTTTTTGAATTTCAGCCCGCGACTGCATTCTTGTTCTAACATATATGCTCTGCTAGAATAGCAGTGAATAGCAGTCAGTTTTCGCAGAAATTTCGTTCAAATCAATTTAAAAGCCGCCTTACGTTGGAATGCACCAAATTTAAAAGGCAGCATCGCTTTTTGGCTAATTCGCTACGACACACATCATTATCGATATATAAAACCGGTAGTTCCATAGGCTGCTGAGTGGCTTTTTAGATATGCACATAAAGCTTCTCTCTGGCAAGGCGGTGATATGACCGCGGATGACAGTTGTCGGCGATAAAACTACAATACTCTACCAGAATTAATTTGGATGTCGAATTGCGTCTCAGAACGTAAACTGCAAAGACAAAGGAATAGTCACAAGTTATTTGATCAAAAGCCATTCAAAAAATTGTGTATTGAAACGAAATTATGATTTCTGTGAGAACCGTTCATTTATATTCCGTTGGTCTTTTATTTAATTTCATTTTAATTTTTTAAGTGGGAGGTTTTATAAAGCGAGTGGGGGCACCTGATTTTCGGAAAATTTGGGTTTAATGAAAAACTGAGCAAGAAAAACTTTGTGATTTAAACAATTTAAGCGATAATTTAATTGATTATTTTTTAATAATCCTTAATTCCGATAATAAATCACTGATAAAGAAACGGTGAATTTTGCTTAATTTTCCTCTGAGTTTTGTGGAATTGTTAAAAATAATATTCATTTAAAGTGCGTTGAGAGATGGTCTCAAAAGTTATAAATATTTTCTGCATTAAAATCGAAATTATGGTTTTTTTCAAGAAGGTTTATTATAAACTACGTGGAGTTTGATTTGTTAAATCACTGAATATCAGTCTTACTTAAGTTAATATAACCAGAAAATTGGCAATCGTTGAGCCACAGTCAGAATGTTTAAAATAAATGGGAAGCAGTGCGAAAAAGTAACTGCAAGAAGGATCAAATTTTGAGAGGAAATAATGATTTTAGGGTGGGAAGCATTGGGCGAGGGACGGGGAGCCGAGGAGGGGAGTAAGTAAGGGAGTAAGTCACTCTTTTCGAATGATTGTCGATAGCAATAAGATAGCGCTAATTTTAATGAAATAATTTGCTTGTACCGAATCCTATAAATTTGCAGTTTATGTTTAAAGGTAATTTGTGTGTGTATTCGACGCTAATTATATATTATCGCATAGGACTAATTATTGTTATTTTAGAAAATATTTTGGAAAGAAGAAAATTTTGAAGAAATAAAAAAGAGAATAATCGTTGTTAATAACTTAGTTTTATGATGAAAATTGCATGATTATTGCGTTATAATTGCGATATTTTCGTGATTATTTGCGATTTATTTAGCATTCATTTTTGTCTTTCATTTTTTCTTTCAATTTATCGAAAACTTTTAAAAAAATTTTAAATTTTTCGTTTTTATTTTATTCAGGTCGATTTATTTTATTTCGATATAGGGGAATTTCATTTCATTTTGATGAGCGAATGAAGATTTCCTCTTTCCACTCGCTGTTGAAAGTAATTTTAAAATAATTTTCTAAATAATTTTGTGAAAAATAGTTAATTAATGAATAGCACTCACCATTTCTGCTTAAGTTTCATCCGTTGCCAATTGGTCGACTAAGTCACTTTTAATGGGTTCTCAGTGTCACCCCGATTTTTCAATGCAGGTTTGCTCTTGCTGGTGATAACGACAAGCCGACACTACTCAGAGATAATCTAAGTAATGCACCTTTGACATATGAGAAATAGGTGTTCATTTGCTGATTGTGGAGAAACTGAAGAATCATTTCATGAAATTCGATTTAGAATGAAAGTCAAAATATTGTCAAGAAATCCAGAAAATTATCAACGGGAAACAAAAAATGATATCTTCAAAGGTAATTCACTTCACTTTGCTATTGCTATAATATTTTCAGCTCTGTTTATGGTATAAATTAATTATTATTTTCACCAAATTCAAGAAAAATATAATGCTGAATTCGAAATCTCAAGAAATACATTGATAAAATTTTGCTAAATATTTTTTACATTGTGGTAGAAAGTGATAGAAAATTTTCTTAAATTAACACTTTTCCAGTTATAGCAGTAGAATTTTGTAAGAAATGAACTCTTTTAACTCTTTTCTTGATAGTGTTGTTGAAAGAAGCAGATGGATTTGTAGAATTTTTGTTTTATTATTTTTATTATTAGTCGAGCTGCTAATTGATTTGATTATTCAAGAAGAATTTACCAGAATCGCTACGAAATTTAATTTTTTTGCAAAAAACGATTCTTATTTTTGTAGCGCCGAGAAATTTCAACATTCCTGAGGATTCATTTCGTAATGTGGTCGAATATACAAGGGCCCTTAATGCTGCCAAATTAAATAGGTGAATTTTTTTTGCTGTTAGTTTATTACCTATTTCCGTTAAAATACCGGCCAATTTCTTTTTTTCTTTTTTTTGTTACGTATGTTTGTTTTAAGTTTCGAAGATCAAACACAATATTTTATGTTATGAAAGAAATTTCTTTAAAATACGCGAAATTCACTTTCAGAGTATTTGCTCAACCTTTTATTGCAAGCTTAGATGGTCATCACGAAGGCGTCAGCACTCTAACTAAACATCCTTTAAGGTATTTTTGGTCTTATTTTTTACCTTATTTTATTTTATTTATTTATTTATTTTATTTATTGCCAATGTAGAAAACGGTATTAACGAAAAATATTTGAAAGACTTAATAATTATTAATGAACATAGAAATGCAAAATAAATTAAAATAAATTGAGCAATATACTGAATAAAAATCTTATTTATCTGTTATTTTCAGGTTGTCTACGTTCTTTTCTGGTGGCCGTGATGGTGAAGTTAGAATTTGGAATATACCACTGAAGCGATGTTTGGCAACTGTTCAAGCACATAGCACTCTTGTTAATGGTAAGTAACATTTTACTTTCATCGTGATAGATTTTATAAATGAAAATTAACAGGTATTTCGGTGGATGAGGTAGAGGGTTTGACCTTTGTGACGGTTGGACATGACAGTCATTTGAAAATTTGGTCCTGTCCAGAACCGATCGATGGCATTAAGTCAGAACCAGTGCATTCTGTTGCTTTAGACGGGATCGCATATTCAGTTTCCCACATTGCTAATTCAACAGATTTCGCGCTTTGCGGCGAAGGTATTCAAATTTGGAAATGCAATCGGTATATTTTTTCTTCATCTACTACATTTATATACTATTTATATAATATATATATATATATATATATATATATATGTAACGTAAATATTGGCTTTTATAGCATCATATTTACGCACATTAGAAATCTTTAAACTCACAAAGAAAGGCTAGAGAATTTTAATTTCGCAAAGGAAATTCTCCCCGAAAACTTTCAGCGGATCCCCAAGTCAGATTTATAATTTGGGTGCTGATTCAATTCACACCGTCAAGTGTAATCCAACTGAATCACCAGTTATTGTCTGTTGCAGTAGTGATAGGTCTATATTTCTTCTTGATACGAGGCAGCGATGCCCTTTGAAAAAGGTTCTTCTATCTTGAAATTGTTGAATTTTCTTCCTTTTAAAAAAATTTTTCCTTTTACATTGGTTAAGGTTACAATGAAACTTCGTCCCAATTCGATTTGCTGGAATCCTATGGAGCCTTTCATATTCACCTGTGCGAATGAAGATTACAAGTTTGCTTTTTTTGAATTATAATATTTTGAATCGCTTTCGATTTCATAGTCTTAATACTTTCAATATTGTTTTCATTTCATTTATAATCATTTTTTGGCTTATTTTTTGAGCAATGCATTGCTTGAATTTTTTAGAAAATTTTTTTCGGTTTAAATATCTTATACATTTTTTTTCAAAATATATAAATAGTTTATACACGTTCGATATGCGCAATTTATCACACCCTCGTCGTGTGCACACTGGGCATACAAATGCTGTAATTGATGTCGATTATTCACCAACTGGTACAGAGTTTGTATCTGGAAGTTATGATCGTTCTTTGCGAATATTTCCTGTAGAATCGCATGCAAGCAGGTATCACTCTTTATATCTTTTCATTTTTCTTTGATACTCTTTTATTTATATCCATCAGATTATTTAGAATATTTAATACTTGAAAAAAAGTTTGATCTTTTTTAAATTATTTAAAGACTTATTTTTTTTGAATATCCCATTTATTGGAAAATTTGAAATTTGGTTCGATCGTCCTCTCATTACAGGGAAGTATATCACACAAAACGCATGCAGCAAGTACTTTCTGTATTGTGGTCCCTGGACAACAAATTCGTTCTTTCTGGTTCAGACGAAATGAATATTCGTATATGGAAAGCAAACGCAAGTGAAAAACTTGGGCCGGTTTCTTTTTTTAAATTTTTTTCGGTTATATTTGTCGAATTTCGATCGTATTTTTGAACAAGCATCAGTAACAAAATATTCATGATTCATTGTTGTTCGTTGTATTTTAATTAAAAATTTTTAAATATTAAAATTTAGCTTCGACCCAGAGAACGAAGTGCATTTCAGTACAATGCTCGTTTGTTAGAAATTTACGGTGAACATCCTCAGATTCGAAAAATTTACAAACGTCGTTTCGTGCCAAAATCTATTTACAGGTTAATTTTTTAAATATCTTTTATTTAATGCTTTTAATTTCGTTATATTTTTGATTATGGAAAATTTATTAGTTTTTCTAGCTTGATAAAAATATTCGAGATTTTGCAATTATCTATTCGTATTATTTTAGTGCTATGAAGGAACATAAAGCCATTAAATTATCACAGCGTCGAAAAGAAGAAAATAGAAGACAACATTCAAAAGAAGGTGCAGTACCTTACGTTGCTGAAATTCATAAGCATATGGCTTAGATACTTTGTTATACAAGTATTATATGTACGACGCAATATTTAGATAAAATATTTTATAAGATATTATATTAAATATTTTGTATTTATATTTATATTAAATTATATTAAATATTTTATATTTATATTTTTCCCAAAATTTCGCATTTTCTTATAAATTAGAAAGTTCAGATCCGTGAATGCATTATTTCAATTTAAAATTAACTTTGAATTACCAAAAAAATTATATAACCAAAAAATTACCAAAAAATATTTGATATATTTCGTGGCATATGAATGGAATTGCCAAATTGTGGGAGATTCATTAAATAAAAGTTTGTTGGAGCTATTTCTATTTAGATCTATTTTCTCCTGTTTTGTTACCTTAGAAATATTTTCACATTTTACAAAGTTAGAAGTAAACTTCATTTTGTCGAACAATTTTGGATATTCCTTTTCTATTAATTAATAAAAATTTATAATTCTTTCTCACATCAAATCTTATCTCATTCACAGTTTATATTATAAAATAAAAATCGAAATCATTAATTTAAAATTAATTCAGTGAAAAAAGTGTTGGGGGGGGGGGCGATGAATTTTCTCTACATGGAATTACTCCTTCAGGCTACGAGATTAAAAAATTACGCCATGTTCAGGTCCAGGCCATGAGTCGGATTGTCCTGTAATTGTTAGGTCGTGGGAAATGATAATGACTTGAGTTGACGCATAGACTGCCTGGTTATGACTTTCATTTTTCTTCGACTTTATTTAGTTTATAATTTTTGTAAACTTTTTGCTGGCCTGGAATCTTGCTAATCTTGTTTGCCAACCAATGAAATTTGAGAAATATAGTAAAGACTGTCTTCATAATTCACAGCAACGTATTTCGCTTGAAAATTTCCTATACTTTTATTAATCACTAATCTTATTGAGTTCGTTTTATTTGAGAACAAAAATTCGTGATGTTTTTATTTTCTCAACTGTTTTCTTAAAAGCTGAATAAATTCTATTATCGGAATTACCGCTGAAAAAACTCATTGTTTGTTAAAAATAAGCAATTATTCCTAAATCTCTTCAAAATGTACTATGGAGGTTTACTAAAATCACTAAAAATTACTAAAAGTGGATTGTTATTTATATGATAAATAACATACAGAATTGCTCATAAGTAACATTTTTCTAATGGATTCAATATTGATGGTTTGAAAAAAAGTCGTTCATTAAGCGCCAAACGAGCTCGTTGAAAACGTTCACGACTTGTAGATGAACCAGTATCGTTTCCTAATCGGTCAAACATATCAATACGACTTCGAATACAGAAGCGCTCTCGATTGGAATCAGTATTGAGCTCCAATGAATGTGGATCTGGTGGTGCGCTCAAAACAGATGGCGCTCTCGACGGTACTGTTGACAGTTCACGCGGTGTTAAGCTAAGGTCACAATTACTATTCACACACGAGTTCCATGATGATGCATTTTCACGTTGCCTGCAAACACATAATGATCACCCGTATATTTACCAGATACAAGCATAAACTTTGCAATAGCGCATTCCAGTCTTTCACTCTTCATATTGCATTTCTCCCCTTTCCATGAATATTTTTCGCTTCCGTTGGTTGGATTGATTACTATTTGCCTCACCGTAGAGTCGCTTGGGGGAGATAAGTGCACTACCAATCTATTTTCGGGCTTATTTCAGCGTTATAAAGAGCGAATGAATATATTTTCTTATGTATAAAATTTCAGGCAAAAGAAATGGAAATTCGATCGTTATTGCTTATAGAAATGCTAATAAATATTTCCAATATCTTTTAGCATTTAAATTCAATTATTAAAAAAATGTAATTCAAAAATTCTGAAATTCTGAAATCATTTGCATTATCAAATTTACCTGGCAGAATCAGCGCTGCGATGTTTAGTATGGCGAACAGAAAATTTGCTAAATTTGTTAAATTTTCCGCCTTCTACATGATTTTCAAATATTTGTTGATTATTGTTAGATTCGTCTTCGATTTTATTAATTGCTTCGCTAATTTGTTCCAAACGCTCTTCGATATTTCGAAGTGTTATTTCTTCATCATTTAATGATAAAACTATAAACAATAATTTTCATTATCCAAGATATTTGATTGAATGTGGCAAAGTAAATGAGTATTTTCAGCGAAAAATATTAATAGCAACAGGCCGAATGGAACTTCAAACTCGTAAAATTTAACCTGAAATGGATTTCAATTTCAGCGGTGATATTTGCAATAAGCGATGATTTTGATAAATTTTTTCGTCTGTTTTTTTGAATCGAATAACAATAATACTAATATTGCCATTGTATTCAAAAGATTGGACCGCATCCTAAACCATTTAAATTGAAATGGAAATATTCTTAATATCATGAAATCGCTTTGAAAAAATTGAATTGGTTTCAGTGAAAAACCTTAGATAGAAACCGCTAAAACTATTATTACTATGAAACTATTATTATGGATAAGAATTTCATGAGGAATTACTTGAAGTTTCTTCGCTGCAATTTGTGGATTGCGAACATTTCGAATCAAATTGATGGCCTGTTGCGGTAATAAAAATTGCCATAAAGCTCTTGACGCAATGATTAAAAACTCATCTTCCTTTTCAATTTCGACTGCTACCTGGAAGAATTATTTGAATTGCTAACTTCTAGCATGGATACACTCCCTTCAAAATATTAATCTTTGAAGTGATGAACCTTTTCAGGATTTGGAACGATAGCTGGATAGAGGAATGAAAATCCAAGCGACCGAGGACTATGGCATATACCCTCTATCGTATTCTCCTGGAAATTTATTTTTAGATTAATTTTTTCAATTATGAACTGAAATTATCCTGCGAGAGAAAATTCAGTCATTGTTATAATTAATAATACAGGGTAGCTGCTATTAAATGGAAAGATGTTTGATCTAAAGGTAAAGGTAAAGGTAAAGTATCTTCTCTATGATAAGAGTAATATCTGGCACTAAATATGAAATACAGATAGATAGATATTTGTGAGAATCGCAGTTTCACCACAAAAGTCTGCGTGTCTAAATGTTTTCATCCCATTAAACAGTGGGACAAGCTAAAAAGAAGAAGCAATTTTTTAATACTTCTAAAAATATTCATGTATAGCACCGAATAGAGAAAGACTTTATGATACGAATAATACGAATGAGGATGCTGACATTTGGTAGTATTAAATTTTTGAAACTGAAAATTGGAGGGACAATGCTTAAGAATCAAAGATACTTCTGTCACCGTAGCATTTCCAGCTCGAATTTGTCTATATTCGTCTGCAGTGAGATTCAAAGGATTGCGATTCACATTGAATGCATTTCCATTTCTACAGATAATCGCTCTAACATGCCCGCTGCATGCACACGAAATAAGTCGATCACCAACATGAAGAAGTAATGCTGAAGCACCAAGACGTTCACCGGCTTGACCAAGTTGTTCATGAGCTCGGATAAGAGCCATTTTTAGATAATCTGCTCCTTTATATTTCTAAAATTGATCTATGAAATATTCGTATTCAGTTGGTTATCCATAATTTGTAGGAATGAACTTATTTTTAAAAATCCGAGTGATGGAAGCGATTAAGCTGCACCTCCAAGTGATTCGCTGGCAAAATCTGTGTAATGCGAAAGTTAGAGAAACGAGCCTAGCTGGCTTTAGAAAAAGGAGGAAAAGCACATAGCGATGCTTTGGGAGACTTAAGGAAGCATTTTATGTGTTCAAGAATATTTTCACATGATAATGATAAAAATGATAATTTCAATATGGCGCGCAGAAACTTCAACTTTTAAAAAGTAGTAATATGTGAGAATTTAAGGATGTCACTGTCAAGTTTCGGCAAAAGGCTGCAATTTAAAACAATGTTAAAGCCGGTTTGTGGGATTTAGGCTTGAAGAATTGTTAAAGGACTATAATGTTGTCTAAAAGGATTGAGGATTAATCTAAAGTAATATGTTTAAGGCTAATAGCAACAAAAGAGTTTGATTAGGTTCCAAGGAAATAAACAGTGTTTGAGATAAGAAAGGTACATGATGGCTTCTAAGGAAGTTGTTGAAACTCGTATAAAAGAATCTGACAGATGATGCGATGCCTAAGGGAATTTACTAAAGGAGACAGAATGGATTACTGGATAGATTGACGAGTTGTTAAGAAATTAAAGTCTACCAACAGTCAACAGCCAATAAACCTATGATAATCCATTAATCACCTGATGATCAAAATAATCATTTAATTTGTTCGTTACGAGAGCAGAAATCTGTTCATTAGATCCGCCATCAATTATGCCAAATATTACTTGTTCTGGATATTTTGGACGAATCTGACGAATACACAGCCTATAAGTTTGTATTTCTCGTTAAATGCATTAAGAAAATTCACCACTTTGTTTTCTGGAAACAAATGCTCAAAATAGCTTTGCTTCCAAATCAAAAAGTTAATAAAACTTAAATTTTCTTGAAATTTACTTATTTTTTTGTCCAGGCGTTTCAGCAAATCCAAAATGAAAAGAATCGTAATTTGATTCAGAACCAACATCAACAACAGAAACTGATCGTGCTCGTCTAAATTATTGATAAATGGCAAAAGAACCACGAGAAATAACCAAATGGGGAAGACAAACAAGGAAAGCTTACAGACTGGTAAATACAAATGCATTTTGAGTCTTTTGAGTCTTTTATAATTCTTTTTAAAGGCATTAAAATATTAAAGTAATGCAATCAGCGCTTTACAAACAAATTTCTTCTGTTGTTTAAGATACAAAAGAAAATGAAAAAAATATTTGGAAACATTTTCTGTCAAAAGTTTTGTCCTCAAACTTGGTATATTTATTTATTTTAGCCAAAAATAGCAATCATTAGTTAAGATAACAAAACTGTATGTTTCAAAACTGTATATTTCAAAGTAGTAGCAGTAGTGTCGACATTCTAAAGACATTTCTAATGATCCTCATTTTGTTAGTGCGAGAAGCCAACAGAACCAAAGGTGATGAATGCTATTAAAGGGACGAGGAAAATTTTATAAAACCGTCAACTAAGTAATAAGTAGTAGTAAAAGTAATAGTAATATAAGTAATATAAAAGCAGAATATTATAATATTTAGTAATATTTACTATTTATTCTGGCAATAAAATTACCTTTTAGGACGAATTGTGTTTGTGTCAACACGTAATGATAAATTACAAGTGAGATCGAGGTATTTCAATGATTTTGCCAAACACAATTCTGGATTCAAGTCCTTCAACTCGTTGTTTGCGATGTCCAGCAACTAAATTGTGTTCATTTCTGCATAAAGCTCGATATTAACCTTATCAGATCGTTAGACATATTAAATATGGTTCTAAGCATCAATCAAGAGAATCTAAAAACGCACGACAAGTGATGGAGAGCGTGAAAAATCCGGAATCATTGAGATTTCGTTTGAATGTAGTCGAAGAATTTGAAGGTTTGGGAGCGTGCAGAAGGCTACCGAAATCGATGATAACCGATTGGATGATAGATTCACTTCTTCGAGAGCCGTCAAACGATTTAAACAGCTATAAAAATTATTTAATAATGTTTCTCGAGAATTTACAACCAACTTTAAATGTATAGAAAGCAATAAATCTGTGATCATGAAATATATTATTTGTGCAAATATGCCAAAAAAATTCACCTATCATCAAAAAATTTGAGATTATTGTAGGAAAGATCAAGAACACGAAGTCTGCGGAAAGAAACCACAGTGCTGACGACTGATTCGTCCAAATTATTGCAGGCAGCTCGGAACTGCTGTAATCTATTGAGATCGCTTAATGAATTCGATTCTGGAAGGGTTGATAGGTGATTGTAAGAGACATTTAAATTACGAATCCTGAAATTTTTGGACAAATGAGAAGAACGAAAGCGCAGAACAACATAGGGCAACACGAAATAGCATGGTTCTTGTGAATGATAAAAGAATAAAGTAAAGAAATATTAAGATCAGTCGTTTTTAACTTAGATGAATAAATCTCTGGTTGGAATTTGTTTCAACTGTGAACGAAGGAACAAAGCACAGTAATGTTATTAGTAACATGCAGAATTCACCGATATTTTCTTATCACTTCAACTTTTTTTATATTATACGCATTTTTTTAAAAGCATTATTAAGCGAAAGGACAACTGGTTCCAAGGAAAAATTTGCAATGTGCAGCAAAGCATCAAAGGAGCCACGAAAAAGATTACGCATGTCCGATTTAGAAATCAATTCAAACGATGATAAAAAACTTATGCACTAAAAAGATAAAATCTCATTAATATTTTCTTTTTTCCAAACAAAAAAAAAGAAAAGAAAGAAGGCCAAACTTCTGTGCACATTTAAACAGATTACGAGGTAGATGTTTGATTCGATTATTTTGCAACGACAAAACTTCCAAACAACAATTTTCTACAGATTCTGGAAGAGTTTCGATTTCATTGTCATTTGCTATTAAATTTTTCAATTTGCTTACATTTGTAAATATTCTGAAAGAAGAATTTTCAATAATACAAATTTTTCTTGAAGTATTTCAAAAGAACGTCGCAAAACAAATCTTCGAATAAATGAAACACCTATGTGGAAGTTGCTTTAAGAAATTATGGTGCACGCAAATAGTTTCAATACAAGGCAGATCTGTGAGCCAGTCGGGCAACGCCGTTTGCTTATTATTTGCTGCACTGAATACTACCATATTGACTGGTATAGGCATAATTACTATATGGGTTAATGCTGAAAATTTTAATTTATTGAAAAATGAAAAAGTAAATGAAACATATAAACTGTTTCTACTCTTGTTACGGTTGTTGTGGAATATAATGTAAATATCTCTGAATGATCATGAATTATGAATATTTTATCAACGGTCGCTTTCAAAATATTCCTAATTATAACAAAATATTCCTAAATTATTGCTAAATTATTTCTTAATTCCTGAATTAAACTTTACTATTTAATAAGGGGCTGTTATCCTTCCCTCTTTATTTGCATTTTTTGTTTATTGATAATAATATTTTATTCTCCTAATTATCTTTAAATTTCTTTCTTTCAAATTTAATTATTTTTTTTATTAATTTTTTTTTTGTCTTTGACAGGAGTAAACCTGTCATGGTATCAAAGATTACGAGTGGCTACTGCGAACCCACCTGTGTCTCTGATACTTCTGGTGGATAAATATACAATCCGGAAGTAATAATAATAATAAAAGTCCAAGGCACAAACACAGAATATGCTCGCGAACTCAGATACTTACTGAAAACCCATCAAGAGAAACGAGAACCTATCTGTAATACTTTGTAAGATGTTGGCTATAGCTGCTTGGAACGGCAGAATGCTTATGGATGTTGCAATGCAAGTCAAGCAATCACTGCCCACACCTTTTCTAAATACCTCGTGGATGTGCCTCACGGGACATGGGAATGCGCGCATAGGTCATGATGCCGTTGCGATGAATTCGGTGATTGATAGAGCTCTGGAAAGTGATGGAGTATGATGGCGTGTCAGAGAAGATCATTCGGCTCATAAAGGCACTTTATCAGCATACCTTGACATAAGTATGTGTATAGTAGGAATTGATTGATCCTTTCGCAATAAAAACTGGTATCCGTCAAGGATGCATCCTTTCCCCTACAATATTCAACTATACGATAGACTGGATAATGGACATCACCTAGCAACACACACTCAAGAGATTTACAAATCAGTCCAGAGTATAGCATTAAGACGTTATATACATTGACAATGTGGTCCTTTTTGCTGACAGTTATAATGAAATGTAAATAATGGTAAACAGTGTGCCGACAATTGCAGCGAGAACCGTACTCAATGTAATTAAAGATCAATTAAGATCAATGTAACTAAAACGAAAGTGTTTTCGTCATATATATATATATATATATATACAAGACGCTGATAAAATATTTATTTTTATCAATTCATTGCCGATTGAATAAATGCCTGATTTTAAATATCTTGGATCCACTCTTATCTCAAATGGACAAGCAAAGGATAAATTGTAACTTGGATAATTGCTAGAAATTGCTTGTTTTTTCGATTTATGAAACCTATAAAGAATCGTCGCGAAATTACTATAAGAACGAAAATCCGAGTCCATATAGCAGCTCAATCTTACTATACGATTGCGAACACGGCCACTGAGAGTGGAAGACATTAAGAAGCTATCAGCTTTGAACAGTTACGTCTAAGATACATTTTAGGGATCCGTCGAGTGAATAAAATCGCACTTGATTGTATCCATCTTCGCCCAAATACCACTTGTATTGATAGTGTTATCACAGAGCGTCGCCTTCGCTAGCTAGTCCACCACAGGAGTTGACGCATATTTCGAACCATGTGGTGATTGTTGTCAAAAGTGAGGAGTAATAATCAAGATCTGGACTGATACAATCAAGAAAAATTTCGAAAATATAGGAAAGCCAGTGATATATGGACTCAGACGATGGAAAAACGAATGGCAACTATTACTAGTAATGGCTTCGGACCGAGCAGCTTGAAGACATGTTACCCCTGTAACCAGCTGAGCCAGCTCAACCAGTAATGGCGAGAGCTATCAGAAGAAGAAGATCATGATTTCAGAGTTATACCAAATATTATGATAATTAATAAATCATTCTTGATCCATTATGATAAATCATTCTTGAAGAGGCGGCAAATAATGCATTGATAGGCAACAATTACTTACAGTTGTTGTCAGCATAAAGGTGTCGTAAATTACAACCATTAACTTGAAGAGACGTAATTTGGTTCCTTTCGCAATGCACTGTCTGAAAAAATAATATAATATGAGAGAAACGGGTAAGATACAATCAAATATGCCTATTTTGGTTACTAATAGAAATGGCTTATTTAACAATAACCTTACTGTATCAAAATGAGCTGATATAAATAAAGTATTTAATAACTATTTAAATATTTAATAAGGATATAACTAATAGTAATGTAAATTGGCGACTTTTATATATTGGTGAGCTAAACAGCTAATGTGATGGTATTTATTTTACATATCGCAGTGGGACATCTTGTCAATCTGAAATTCAGCACCGGAAGAAAATTAAACCTGTATGGTGGACAAATTGCTGAGATCAATCTCATAAAGGTGTCTATTATCTCTCAGATCGATTTCCGTTAGAAAATTGAAAATAAAGGATGTTAATCGAATTGACCTGAATTGAAAATTTTCGCTGCAAATATAAACTGCATTCATAGAAATTCATCAAAAAATAAAAAATTAAATTAACAATTTTTAACGTTAGAAAAACCGAATGACCGATGAGGACCGAAAAAAGTGCTAAAATTCTCTTGAAAAGTCTTTTACGCACAAGCTTCGAATGCTTTTTGTTTAGATTATCATTTCAAGCGTTAACGCTTCAATCGCTGGCGTCCTTCCTCCCTTTCACTTGCAGAAGTAAACCTATCGCTAGAAAAGCCGAGCGATGTTTGGGACTCAGCTATGCTTCCATCAATAAGTATGCTTCCGTTATTGCTTACCAATATCGATACCAATACCAATTTTAACATTTTTTATGAGAAGGAGGAAAAATTCACCGTGTGAGAAGATTTCGCCTCAAATTCAATTTCTTTGCTTGAACTGAAGCTAAAGAGTGTAGAACCGATGACTGTATTTCATTTCCAGCAAGTTCGATACTAGGAAGCTTTTTGAATGCAAATATCACTTCTGGAATCTAAAATAAAGTCTGAAGTTTTCAAAAATATTAGGAAAAGAATATTTAAACTAACATGCAGGAAGCGATTGAAGCTTAGGTCGATGAGCGATAAGTTAACACATCTTTTGAGTTCGTCAGGAAGAGAAGTCAACCAATTGTTGCCCACATTTAAACTTGTTAAGCTAAAAATAATACAGTTTAGTCAAAAGCAAAGAGTGATTCGCTGTTTGCACTTACTTAATTAGATTTCCAATTTCTGGGGGCAATGAAGCGATTCGATTGCCACAAATATTCAGCTCGGTTAACGTTCGAACACGAGTTATAGCCAATGGAAATGAATACAGTGCGTTATCAGCGATGTTCAATGACCTTAGAGCATTTAATCGATGAATATCGTCAAGCCATCCGATTAGTGGAGCTCTAATCTAAATTTTGTAAAAATGAACGGTTTCGTTCATTCCGAAATTCAAAGCAAAGCAAAATGAAGCAATGTTATTACTTCAGTGCTCATATCGTTCGAGATAAAAGCAATAAAAGTTGTGGCGAGTGTGCATTGCTTAGATTATCCCCCAAGCACAATGGTTTGGCTTTTGTCTCTCATAAGTAAACCTAGCATTGAAAATTCTCCTGTTGAAAACCCAGCTGCACTTCTATTTCTAAATGGCTGCCTAACTGAAATCTCTCTCTAGCAGTTTGCACTAAAAATAAACGCTGAAAACTATTAAAAAACAAGAAAACAATGTTTTATATAAATATTTTAGATCTTATAGATATTTCAATAGATATTATACTCTATGGTTATTTAGAAAGATTAAAATTATAAAATTATGAAAAATAAAAATTAGTAATAAGAAATGACATATCAGCCAGCGTTCCATAAATATTATAATTAAGTATACTATAAATATATTAATAGAAAATATTGCACAATAAATCTACTATAGGGGCCAAATACTGGAATGGAACATTGCTTCGAATGAAGTCGAGAAATATTCGATTCTCTTACCATAATGAATTCATTGCCATAATGTGAGTAAACCGGTCATTCAAAGACTCATCAAAGACTCATTTGTAAGCCTCTTGAGCCTCTTCTCGAATAAGCTCATAGTGAAAAGATTCATCTTAGTAAGATCCAATAAGATCTAAGTTCCAATGGAATCAGCTAAACCAGAAATACTAAATAGTTCTTGTTAGAAGAAAAAGAAAACTATCAGTGATAAAATATTGAAAAGTAGATATTTCATGCCTGATTATTTGGTCGAATCAACAGTGAATTACGTCTTAAATTCAGAGACACGATAGGACGATCTGCACCAACAGAAAACAGTTGGTCCGGTAAAAATAGAATGCCACGATCGCTTAAATCGCAAGTCGGTGATATTTGTGTCTAAAATGTACATTTATAAATTTATGGTGATCTAACTGGTTTTGAGAAGATTAAAGTGGCAGAAAGGAGTGTCTAATGGATTGTTGCGAAAAAAATAGCGAAGTTTTGGGTGGTGTTTAAAAATGATTTGAAGGAATCTAAGCAATTTTCGCATGGGATATGGGAATATCAAAAAGTTTTAGTGAAACTGGCAGAGCTTGCGCGATCTCATCGTTTCTCAGATAATATGCACGTTCAGAAAAAGTTAAGAGAAAACCTGGACAATGCGTGTCAGCCATAAATTCATCTCGCCAATCTCATCGAACAAAAAGCAATAAACATGGGTATTTTCAGATAAACGCAAGTATTTCCCTTTACTGCATTCAGCTATTTCAGCTCGATACCGACTTAGCAATATCATCTCATCATCTTCACCTTCTGTAATCAACTCTTCACATGAATGTCCCCTTCTCGCTCGTTAAAGAAATACTCATTCATCATCATTGCAAAATCAAAAATCAAAAATTAACCATATTCAATTCTAATAGTACCATTATATAAGATACATTGATGCTTATTCCATTTATGTAATAATCGACCCTTCCGTACGAAACACTTTGTTATTAGAATTTCATTGGAAGTATTTGCTCGTGTAGCATGCTCTGGTCTTCCTACAACTTATTTTTAATCATAAATTACTCAACTATTTTTTCATCTAAAAAGTATTCACCATTCTCAGTTTGGCTCAATAAAAACGATTCCCAGATTAATCCCCAGTTTCACTTTTATTCCGGCCAACGGACAGGAACTGAACCTATTTACAAAAGTTGGAAAGGAAAGCAACAATCCTAATCATATGCAGATTTTTTAATGCTACTATGCATTGCTTGTTTAAGCTGAAATCAGTTCGGCGGATTTTGCCATACAGCAAATAGTACGCCTAATGTTCATCGCTGTCTTCGTAAAAAAGTATTAAACTTCAGTCCTCGAAAAACATGTGCCAATTCTGATGCCAATGATTGATCTATAATTCTGCTATCTGTAAAGTTGCCAAGAAACTCGCTGACAAAATTTGTCTGGCCCTACACGCCTAACCAGAAATGGTGAGCCGAAAAAATAAGCAATCCGATGGTCGAATGCCACAAATGCCACAAGCACTAACCCATATAAAAACAAAAAATATGAGCGATATGTACTGCATCGCCAATTTCCATGCAGCTATTTATGTCATCGTAACCAATTTTCATCAGTATTTCATTCTGCACTTGCAACGGTTTTGTGCCAGATAAAAGGCGCCTGAAAGTATTCCATAAATTTTGTTCAAACTAATTTTATTTAATTCAGATGAAAATTGTAAAGAATAATGATGTCTATAGGATATTTTTCTCGCTTTACCTGGAAAAAGGAATCTGCATGGATAATATACAGCAAAAAAAGCCTAATTAACTTATAATTAAGTCTAATACAAAGCAAATCTATTTTGACCAGTACATAACTGAATCGCGGGGAATATATTCCATATAGCCTTATGGGGGGATTGCAAAAATGAATTTCGAAAGGAGATCATGAAAATCTAATTTTCATGATCTAATTTAAATCTCTCATCTAAATCTAATTTTAGCATAATTTGTCGATCATAAAACCGAACAGTTAAGTAAGTAAGTGGTTAGCATTCAATTCTTGCCAAAGAGTCAAGATAGAAATATGGATGCATTGTAATTATCCAGACTTTTAGGAGCAAGTTGGTTCTTGCTGAAGTTAAGGCTCTAACTTCGATGCTTGTGGCGATGATCTCGGCAATGATCACTCGGCGCCTCGCAAAATTTTAACCAACATTCCTTATTCCTTACTAAGTCCTTCCTCAGTGGGAGATTCTCAGTTATTAACGACAAGAATGCAGAAACCAGTTTTCTTGATTAATTTACTCAAAACTGTTTATCGTCGCATAATTTGCTGTCAACTTTTCAACTACAAAAAATAACTTTTTTTTAAAAAAAAGGTGAAAAAGGATATTGAATTTTAAAATCACTTTATATGCAGCCCACCAATTTGCAAATAAATATTTTCAAATGCTAATATCGAACAAATATCTTCCACGGTTGTTTCAATTGTTACGGGATATATAATAGAACGTGAAGCATTTGGCGCATATAAGCGTATAAAGCCATTCGTTGGCGACTGTTCAAGCCAGTCGCGCTTTTTCTTACTCGTTAAGCGCTCTAGTCGAGCTGATTTTCGTTGTACCTTAATTTCGAAGCATAAGTTTCTAAGTGGTCGCTCACGAAGAAACTATTTCTTATTTGTTTTATTTATTCGTTAATTTATTTATTCGAACTTATTTTGACAATTCAATTTTTAGTTAGATGATAAGCAAAGATAAGCAAAAAAAGTGGCTGTCGAAATTCTCGAACACTGCCAATTACGATAATTCCTTTCTATAATACGGAAATTTCTTTTGAATTCTATGTTGAAGATCGCGGAGGACATAAAATTTTGTTTAATCACAAAATACCGTTGGAATATCACCAAATTTCGATTCACCAGTATTTGAATTGACTTTAGCAATTAACATTTCTCAGCGTTTAAATATTTTACTGCATCGACTCTCAAATGGTAATACTTGACATATCTGAAATTTTAAAACTAATTTCAAAGCAAACGAGTTACGAGTTATGTGAGATATGACTTGTACTTGAAAAGGTTTATGCAGAAAATAAGAGGAATACGAATCTACTCAATTGCAAATAGAGAATGCAGCGAATAGGTCATTAATAGTGAAATGTGGATGGCTGCTTAAGAAGCACCGTTATCTGTGTTCCCAACAATTCCTTATCTGGCGAAAAGAAGAAATCCCAGGTAAGAACCAATCCTCAACGGTCAGATTTGGTAGTAGAAATGCCTCCTATTTTTCAAATTTTCTTACAATCCAAATGATGGATTTCATGGAGTTGAAATGTTCTTTTTTATGAAATCGCTTTTCTTTTGTTAAAATTTCGATTAAAATGTTACAAATGCCAAGTAAAACAAAAAAGAAATTTCTATTCAAAAACGGAAAAAGGCATTCAAAAACTGTAAAATAATCTCTAAAATCGGATCGATTTATAATAGGATTATCTAAATAATTGCAAATAGGTTAAAGGAGAAATAATATTATAATAATAGAATATGGCGATCTGTGATTGTTGACTCAAACTCAGTCAGCCATTATCATCGCCATCATCATACACCAACAACTATTACGATAATTTGAGTGTTTCTCTATGGATAACCTTTTTTGATTATTTCCTGTCTATAATAGACCACAATTTCGATATTATTTCGTTAATAATTATCTTCGTTTCTTCTTTCGACCTCATTCATTGTTTAAAATTTCTTGAATTCTTCAAAAAAGTAGAAAAAAATATCGTGATGAAAAAATTTAAGCAAGGCTTATTACCTTTTTTTAAAGACGGGGACAGATAAAGGAGCAGTGGAGAATTCATAATAATGAATATGAAAATGAAAATTAAAATTTTAGAGGGGGGAGAATCCTGGAGGCTTTCTGAATAACTTCTGTTAATAATTTTTGAAGAAACTAGAGAAGCATTAATTCTGTCAAGGCACTGGATATTTTCATTCTGATTCCGATGAAAAAATGGGACCAATACAGAGAAGATTAACACGATCCCTATGCAAAGATGACACGCAATTTCTTGAAGCGTTCCAAATTAGTGAGTTGTTGCTCAATTCGGAGCAGCGATATTGAGGTTCTATTCCCCGCAGGAATAAACCTGTCCAAAAATCCGGATCATATTTGCGACTCACCTATACTTCTATCGCCAAGCGACTCTCTGGCATATTTGTCCAGTGCGACAAGTCAGCGGAGTGAGTTTAACCAGCAATGATGAGGACTTTTTTAAAAAAAAAGGCACCGGTTAATATTATTAAAAAAGATCTATTTAAAATCTTTGATATTCAACTACACATTCAATAATTTAGATTCATACGAATATATTCACCCCATTTATTCTGCATTACTGAAAAACATATTATCCGACAATTTTCTGATGATTCTCGCTAATATGGTCAGCACTAGAAGGAGGGAGGAGGGATGAGAGAAATTCGTGTACTCTCCTCTTTTTCCTCTTCATTTTTTCCTATTTTTCCTTTCTTGTCCCTTCTCCCATTATTATTTCCTTATATATTATTGAGTGAGAGTTCTAATTAATTTTTCCCAACAACCACTCTAGTAATAATCTCCTCAGAAAATTGATATCAATGAATATTGGAAAGTCCACTGCTAACAAAATCCTATAAGTCCTTGATTTTCAAGCGAAATCGGCCGAGCTAAATAAGTGTCAATCTAACATCTGTCCACCTATCTTAGCTTGGCTGCAGTAGGTTAATAGACTCCAGCGGTGAAAGGATGCCAAAACTAGCTAAACTGATTTCCTATCCACTCTTTAAATTTCTCCATTGTTATAAAATAAAAACTTTAAAAATCTAATCATTTGAACATTTTAATAAAAATCAATAAATAAAATAATAAAATGATTGGTAGAAGAAGACTTTTTCTGGATTCAAATTCGTCTTCGTCGCATTTCTCCAGGAAAATTATTTTTTCTGGATTGCAGTTACACTTCACTAAGGAAATCATTTTTTCTGGACCTCAGTCGCAATTCACTAAGAAAATTATATTTTAAAATTATTTCCTAAAAATATTAAATTTAATTTTAATGTGGGGAAAATGCAGTTCACCAAAATAATATTTGGTCTTCAAAAAAAAAAGCTCAATCCGCTCAATGCACATAATTCGCAGATTAAAGCTTATCATCTTAGTTGGAGAATTTTTATTTTTTGAAAAGCTTCTCAAATTTATTGACAGTGATATTTCCTTGGTCCGTTTTATCATTTGAAGATTATAAAACTACGAATAAATTTTATTTTTAATCGTCTAATCAAAATTTATTTTGGACTTTTGTATTTCATGAATGGCTCAAGCTCAACGAACAGTGATGGCTCATAAAACAGAATTCGCAAATCTATCACTGATATTCTATTTTTCTTCGTTTTTATTTTCTACAATATCTCTCACTTTAATAGTTTTTCAGTTCAAATAAGAAATATAACTGGGTCCCCAAAATTATGTGGACTTGACTTCTAGATTTATTCCTATCAAGATGGAGCCAAAATATAATACTTGATTGCAACACTCGGCTTACTTTCCACTACATTATTCAATTATGCGATAGACTGGATGAAGGACATCTTGTCGGCATTCAAGAGACGTACAGTCCAGAGCACCGTGTCACAAATGCTAAATACGCTAGTCCTTTTTGCTAACAATTACGACGAAATGCAAATATTGGTAAACAATGCGTTGACAACTGCAGTCAGAATCGGACTCAGTGTCAATAAAAAGAAAGCCTTTTCGTCTTATATGCGAGAAGCTGATAAAATGCTTACTTTTACAGAAATACAGACTTTAAATATCTTGGGCCCACTCCAACCATAAATGACCTAGCAAAAGACGAATTCACGATCTGGGCAATTAGAAATGCATCCCTCCAGTTGGCCAAGAAATGTCCAAGATTTTTATGAAGTAGCGAAGTCACCATAAAAACAAAAGGTCGCATCTATATAAGTGAATTAATGCTCGATCTTGCTACATAGCTGCGAGACATTACCGATATAGATGGAGTCGAAAGCGAGAAGGGACAGTCAAAATCTGAATACAGTCAGAAAAAATTTTGAACTTATAAGGACTTAGACAATGGAAAAATAAATGGCTTCCTTTACTATCAGCGATGGCAGTGGATCGAGCAGCTTGGAACTCCGTAGCCAGAGGAGTCAATCTAACGATAAATGGTTAGAAAAAGAATATTCGACCACACTGCACTCCGATCTGTAGAAGTGCAGATGAATTTTTTGTTAGATTTAGTAGCGTCAGGAATTTTACAATTTAAGAAATCACAGTAAAATAAATTAATAAACCCAATATTTTAAATAAATCCAATAAATTAATAAATCCAATATTTTACTACTGAGTTTAATAAAAAATAAAAAAAGAATGACCTTGAGGGAAGGTAACTGCCGATTTTAATCATTTTTCCGTCGAACGTATAGAATCATTTTTATATTTTTTTAAATTTGAGTTATAAACTCTGAATTTTTTTTTTTAATATCATCAATTTTAAAGAAATATTATATAATGTAGATGTAATTCTCTCGTATCACTAATTTATTCCTTGAAGAACGCTCACAATTTTGATTAGATTCGCTCTGCTGATTTGTCGCACTCAAAAATTTTGCAGAAAACAGTAGAGTATAGATGAAATGCTAGCATCTACCGGATTTTAAAAATAGGTTTGGTGATTGGCCTTACCGGAATTCCAGCATCGCTGATCCGAAATGACTAACAACTCAACAGCCCATTAAGCCATTCTATACGCTTATTTTTATGACTCTCAATTTTTTATTAATATTCATTATGTGTGACATAAGAATTTGAAAAATTTCGGATTCTTTCAAAGTTTTTTTTCGATTCAAAAAATTGGGGAATTTTAGATTAATTTAGCTCCAGATAGGTTTATTTTCATCTTCTCTAACATTTTTCAATATTTTTCAATGGTCGAATGATTAGTGAGATGATTGACCCTTCTTCTCCAGCGAGTCATGAGAAAAGAAACGGATGGGTACGAAAGTCAATGGACAAGAAGTCGCTTGTTTTAAGAAAAAGCAAAAAAATTCTCAACAATCCAATTACCCGTTTCAAAAATGTTTAATTTTTATTATGAACTGAATTATTCTGAAAGGGAATAATTCGAATAAAAAGAAAATTGCAGAGCGGAAATGAAACTAAATGTAATTATTTTTAACTATAGGAAAGAAGGGCAATGTTCTCTCGCAAAAAGAATATAAATTTCGTTAACCAGCTGAACTGTTCAAATTATTTAGATTAGTCCAACTGGCTGATTACGTGCTTTCACTTGACCTCGACAAGTGTCTCCAAGACAATCTGTCCCTAGCCTCATCTCCCAAGATTATTAAAGGTGCGTTCATTGATTCTACCATTGAATCCACCCGACTTTTGCAGATCGTCTTGTACCATTCTCGACAATACCTTTATTCCCAGAGGGCTGAATCTTCGCATGTACGCAAAAAAGGACGTCAGCCCAATTATATTACTTGCGCCTCGAGTGAAAACATCCGCCCGATTTTTTCGATGATCCAACGGTTTATTTTCTTGGCTCTGTACGGTTATTCAAGAGTCTTCGACAAAAAATTTAAAAGCATCGACAATCTTTCTGCTTCCTTAAAATCTGAGTCTCACATTCAAGATATATTTAAAACTTAATTTATGGTAATCCACTGACATTCTTAAAAATCGTTGGAAAAATTTCAGAATTATCCGCTATTGAGAAATTTTACCGAATATTTCATGGCAGTGATAGTGATTCACAGTGATTTTATTCAGTGATTTCATAATAAATATAGGAGATTTGTTGTCTTTTGAAAATAAATCTGTTTTTATTTTCATTAACTTTCGAACTAATCGGCTGGACTAATCTGTCAGCAATAACGACGACCGTAAGAGAGTTGGAAAAGAATGCTCATTTTGCGTTGGCATGCAATAACCAATAACAAATCGACCAACCCAATTATGTTTGAATCGGCTTATACCAAGTGCGCCACAAAATATTTCACATTAAATAAATATTGTATACTACTAAACTATTCACTCACTCTCATGCAGTAAGAATGAAAAAAAGCTTACTTAAAAAAAATTTACGCAATCTTTATTACGTAATATTTATGCATTCACAAAAAATGGAATGCAAAATACAAACATAAAATTTTCCAAACTAGAAGTTTTGCTTTTGAATTTCATGATAAAGTTGTGATTTAACGAATAAACATGAACAAAAGTAAAAAATTCACCAAAGCAAATCAAAATAATTTGCTTAAAAAAAATTTCGGATAAAATATTTATAACCAAAAAAATGCTCGCCACTGAATATAACCAACGCCAACCAATACTTCTATTTTGCAGCATCTTGCTGTAATTGTTGATTATTAAATTCTTTATCTCATATAAAATAAAAAAGATTCAAGATTTGAGGATTCAAGAAGATCTATTGTGTTGCTAGTGATTATGTAAATGTAAATTTATATATATAAATTATGTAAATAACAGAAAAATCTTAGCGGAAACAAACAACTGGTCGAACAAGAAAAAATTAAAATTTCGTAAATTTCAAAAATTTATTTATAAATAGCAAAAAGAAACAATTTTTCTTATCATTGCATATCTTTAAATAGAAAATATGGAAATGAATGTAGCAAAGCATTCATAATTTTTCGTCATATCGTAGTGAGGGAGAGAGAATAGATTTATAGAAAATGAAAAAAAATCGTATTGTGAGCCTTGGTCTTGAAGAAAAAGTTCTATTCAAAAAAATAAGAAAAATAATAAAAAATAAAAAATGAAGCCTAGAAAATTTGAAGAAATTTGAGATTAGAAAAAAATAACCTGAACAGAATTTAAATATATAATATAAGATTTCTCGTGAACCACACCAGTTCCATTTTCCTTCAGAAGATGTAAACTAAAATGGACGACAAAAAATCAAAAATAATCGAAAATATAAACGGACTGAAACAATAAAACAATGACGTACATAAAAGACTTTTCTTGCGACATTAGCTTACCACTGAATTCAGACAAAATTTCTAAAAATGATAAATTCTGTGGGTTATTGCCCTTAAGATTTCCTTCTGATTTTAAAGCGAATAAAATACCATCCCTAAAAAATAGCAAATTACTTCAAATATAGAATTTTTTTAACCTGGAAAAATAAAATCTGAAATCAAATAGCAAAAATTAACAATAAATTTTGCCTATCTTTATGCATTTTTCACCTTTAGAGGAATTGCTTTAAATTTTTTTACTTATGAATCAATGCAATCGCTTCTCGATTTTTGATAGGATCTGTTCTAAAAAAGTTCGAAAATTTTTTTGCAAGATCGCGAATGGCAATAAAACCATCTGAACATGGATCCACATAGGTATTATCTCGCTGAAATTTTCGAATCGAAAATAAATAACGAAATTACTCTTATATATTAAGGATAAACAATAAAATTTCCAGGCTTCATACAGCAAAAAAAATAATAAATAGGATATTTATTTGCAACTTCATTAAAACCAAATTCTCTTCTATAAATAAGCAAATAATTCTAAATTATAATAATATGCCCATTAATGGGATGGATATTGCTAATCTATTCGATGAATTTTGCGATATTAACTGTTCTCTTCGCAATATTGATATAGATTCATCAGACGTCGTCTACATTACATTGTTTACAAAAATCTTATTTTATACAGGACCTGATAATATTCGTCAAATTCTTTATAAAAATTCAATCTTTTTACTTCATGCTTTATTTTTAATTTTTAAGAATGCAGACAAATATTAATCTGAAAATCTGGAAACTGCCATATATAATACTCTTTAAAAAGACATCTATCTTCCCAATTACAATTAATTACTTATATTGTTCCAATATAAGACTTGTATATACGAAAATTAAAACAATCAACCTTGAAAACAGTCATAGTCTAATAACTCCTTTTCAGAATGGACTTTACCTCTCGAAAATTTTCTATTCCTCAATTATTCATGGTTATACGGAGTCCACAGATTATGGGCAGGCAGTTACAACTGCCTATCTAAATTTGCTAAAGCTTTGACAATATCTCGCATAAGAGGCTGATTGTTATTAATATGGTCATATGGTCATTAGTAGTATTTTATAATGGACTAAAAATTATTTAAATGATCGTTATTAAGCCGTATCTGTTAATAGTCCCACATTGAGCGCGGCTGAATTCAGTGTGTCTCAAGGTAGCAGCAACATTTTTTTTAATATTCTAATATCTATCTCTACGATGATTGTAAGTTTATTATTACTATTTACATCAAAGACTTAATAATTTATGCTTATAGAATGATTTAATTAAAGTGGTTCTGATTGTTAGTTCCATTATGGATAACTTTCCCTTTCCACTTTTGATCCTTCGCTCTCGATTGATCACTAAGCAGTAGAACGTGTAAAAATGTATCTTATTACAGATCAAAATTAAAATTGACCTCGACGATGTGCTCGTTTAACAAGTAATTTTAAATAACACAATGATAAATATTTACAATTTCTTTTGAATTCGATTAATAAAAGCCTTACTCCAAGTACCGAAAAGCATTTAAATAATATTTTTAATTTTGTTTTCCTCCTTGAATTAAACGTAAAATGTGACGTAACCATATCTTTAGCAATTTGTTTCAATAATCGAGTGCAAAAAAAGAAATTTCAGCTCATTAATTTCACAGAAATATTTTCATTGCTTCTAGTTACATTAAAATTAAAATGCGGATGCCACAAATTTTTAACTATTGGATTATTGAGTATGTTAAATCTAAATTCTCATCAGTGGGTATATCAAGATCTGATATTATTTAACACTTGTTAATGGAATATTATTGATATAAATTAAACGGAACCTTTTGTATTGATATGTAGAATCTTATATTTACCCCATAAGCTGCTTAATTTCAAAAAACCGTGAATCATAACCTATAAAAGGATTCCCTTACCTAAGAGTGCAATAAATGCCTAGCGATCATCAGCATATAAATATTAGAATTAAATAAAACCTGATAATATGGAGAGATTGCGGAATTTTTATAAGCAGTCTGACGAATATTGTCTGGTCTGCTCATAATTTCAAATATTAATATTTTCCGCTTTTACTTTTTTGTTTTATATTTTATTATTTTTGCGCTTACTACTTTTCGTCATTATGCAAACACATGGTGATATGCCTTGCTTGGTTCTAGCTTATAAAATAAATAAAAATGAACACAGTTTACATAATAAAAAGTACCCGAATATCGTTATACCATTTGCAAAGTGTAATACTCATTGCTTTTGCACAGCCCAATTTATCAATTTCTTTATATTTATTCAAAAAAATTTTGAAAATATCGCCGAAATCACCATAATGCTGAAAGTAGATTTATGCAAAAAAAAATGATATTTAAAGAAAATAGCATTTAAAATTCATTGCGAAAAATAGAATGGCTAAAAAATTTTATAAATAATTTATGCATAAAGATCGATCATAACAATACTTTATTATAAAATCGCAGTAAATGAGACGCATCAAATATCTCGAAAATTCCATGCAAAATTAATTTACAGTAAGCAGCAAGTAGAATGCGGCGTTTCTTTAATTCTATTTGGTCTAAAGAACGATCTGGAAATTAGAATGTATGACCACAAATTGAGTTAACTAAAAACAGTGCAATGACTACAAATAGACTGCTAAACAAATTACTATAGATATTCCTATATTTGGTTCAGGTAACAGATAAAAGTGCTAATAAGTCTCTTGCGATCACCTTCATTTTACTTTTAATGAGTTTTATTCATATCAAAAGACAGGAGTCGGATTCATATTGATTTCTGCTCACCATTATAAATATTTCTTCTCATGCCAGAATAGTTAAAGAGCAGTTAAAAAGGTGCCAAACTTCATAATATTTAATATTTATGTATAATACTTATAATATTTAAATATAACCATTTATTTCACTTTTACCATCGAATACATTACTGACTATTAAATGCGTTAATTTGTCAACATCTGTTGCTGCTATATGAATTTCCAACTGCTTAGCAAACATATCAGGGACATTGTTGAAAGATATAAGAGCATCGACAAGACAAAAAAATACCTATACATATTCGAAACTTGATTTTTTTAAATGACAAAATTAAGATTCCATAAAACTCATTCGATAACTATTTTATTTTTAGATAGGAACAGAAGAATATTCAGAAATGGGAATCTAACTTACACTTTCAAGAAAATAAGCACCAGGACTGCCGTCATTTAAAATGTTTATACACATCTCCACAAAATTTTGGCGATGTTTTAGCAGTTTCATCCAAGTTCCCTATAAATTGAATTTAATCAGAAAGAAATTAAACGTAGGAAATAATTTAAACCAAAATGAGTACAGTTCAATATGATTAAATTTTGTTAAACAATGTTATATGCTAAACGTAAAAAAAGTAAGATGAAAATTTCGATAACGATAAAAATGAAAGTAAAAAAATTCAGAAACAACCAACAATTTTATCGGTTTCCCGTTTGTCACAATTAAACCGATACAATTCCCACTGAAGTGCTGAAGATAAGAACAGTATTGCATTTTCGCGAATATCGGATGAGATTTTTTCACCAAAATTTTTTATTAAACTATAGACTGGTTCCCATAATTGCCAATCATTCAGATCTTCGAAACTGAATAAATTTTATAAATGAATGTTTCAAATTTTCAGTTTCAAAGATATTCATATAAGAAAGAAAATGAAAAAATCCCAGAATTTAGCATTCAAAAAAAAAATATTAAAATATTCATTCCAATATTCAGACATTCCAAAAGGTATGATTTTCCGAAACGATGTGAGCATTAAAGCACTATTCTTTTCGTCCTTTTGCCTTTTGAAAAAAATTTGCACTGAATCGCGTAACTTCTCAGCGAGACCATGCAGTATTTTCGAGAGACATGTTTCACTATGTTCCCTCACCTTACAAAATTAACAATAATCATAACATAATAACAATAAAAGTTAAATAAATAACGAAATAAATAAACATCATCACCACTACATTATTATTAAGAATGCTAATTTTAATTTGTGCGTCATGGGAAAAGCTGATTTAAAAATTACGCAATCCCGTTACATTTCATCAAATGCAATGTTGTTATATAGTTTAGAAATCCTCTCTAATACCAATATATTCCTTCTTCAAACTTCATTAGAAGGTGGTACCCTACCGTGATAACTATGTAAATAAGTGGCAAGGGCTATATTTTTGGCTATGCTAGTTTCTGATACTAAGATTACAATTTTTCAAAAAGAAATCAGGTGACAGAAGCATAGGAGCATTACAATTTTTTAAAAGGAAATTAGGTGACATAAGCATATGCACATCTCTAAAATGACTTGGCGATATGTTTGCTCCTATCGGAAGCGATTTTTTATCATCTATCAGGATATCAGCCTGAGCAACTGTCCACTAGTTACGCTGCCTCATATCGAAATTGCAATGGAACTCTGGAACTTTAAATTAATCATATTTGTTTTCTTCTGAATATCTCCTCATGCCTTACCCGTTCTCCTGATTTTAAACTTTGCTATGCTATCCGAAAAAATGATTATGCCATTATATTTATTTCCTCAACATTTTCCTAGGATAACATTTTGTTTATCCTTTCTTTGTCTCTCGTCCTTTTCTCTTTGTGTCCATTTGTGTCCATTTGCTCTCAAATCTCGTTGCTTAATCCTCTAATCCTCTAATTTATATTATACCTTCCTCTAATAACCCTCTCCTTTCCTATTATATTCTTTCCATACTCCTTCAAACTCTATATGAATCAAATTTCCAAACTGTGGAATCGCCTTCCGCTGTATCTTCAGTATCTGCAACCAAATCATGCTTCCTAAGGATTTCTTTAGATATCATAATCCTCCTCGACAGCGAAAGGTATTTAAATTGTACTTTTTATATCGATCCTTATTATTGTGTTTTTTTCAACCCTATTTAATCTTCAATTCCTTTTATATCCATTTATAATCTCCCAAACTTCATATACTTTATCACCTACTAAACTTCATAATATCCAGCGTTATACCCCTCAACATGCTGCCTCTTTTAATTTTAATTTGTCCATTTTGCCTGCACTGCCCTTTTGTGCAAATTTCATAATTATCACTCTTAACTTACTTCTCAAGAACCTTGTGATTTTTCGCTATTAAAAAATTTAAAATTTAAAATTTTAATTATTATATTTTAGTATTACATTTTATATTTATATTTAATAGAAATTTTATAATTTAAGCTTAAATTCTTTCAAATTAGTGCGCATGCGCTTGTTCTTTTTTTCCTTTAAAAAAGATGAATTACCGTCATATCTGTAGCGAAATACGACATTACTTTAGCGACATTTTGGAGTACATTATAATCATCATACTTTTCAACAATGCATTCCATCGCGTTCATAAAATTATTCAAATGCTATAAAAAGTGGCAAAAGAAAATTTGAAAAATTAAAAAATATACACTGATATGTTCTGTTCTTAATAAAAAATTAATAATTTGAAAACTTGAACTGCACATCATACTCACTGGAAATAAAGAACCGGATACCTTCTCTATACTTTCATAGCCAAAAATAAAAATACCTTTTCCATGTCTACTGCGGAATATAAATTTAACTGAAAGTAGAGGGCTATTGTAATCAAATTTGCAACTTTTTCACGATCATCAATGAACTGAAATAAATCGATTTTATGGCGGAAGTTGCAGCAAATTCTTGTTTCATGGAAAATAACTTAATAATAGCAAAATTTATGCATGAAATGTGATAAAGATAAAATTTGAAAGATCAAGGACGGTGCAAAAAATGCAATTTTTTAAAATTATAAAAAAATCCACCTATGATCGTTAAATAACATTCATGAAATACTTATTAATTTAACGAAAAAATTTCAATTGTTGCAAGAAGTTGCAACTGAAAACAACAATAAAATTTTATCATCAATATTTACAAAAAGCCTACCTGATAAAGAAGCGATGGTAATTGCGGTATTAAAATTTTTGATAGACATGTTTTATCTTCAAGACTAAATCGATCATTTTTAGCCGCAGCTGACCCTTTTTTAAATTGGCATATTCTACCAATGGGTAATTCCCCAGTAACTGATTGTTTCACCGAGTAAGTTAAAATTTCGATCAATTCATCGGCTAACTCACCGGCTAAAGAACTTATATTTCCAAAATAACTTTAATTTGTAATATAAAATATTACGGCCCACAGAATATCATACAAATCCAAAAAACAAATTGTGCTAATATTTCTTTTAATAATGTAGAAATAATTAGATTTTTTAAATATTATATTACGGGACATAAACTAATTCGGCTCTAATAGAACATAAAAAAATCACACCTTCACCACACAATAATAAATTGCTTATTGTTGACCAATCCTTCACCGCTGGATTTATATTAATTAAGGCATCAACCAGATAATCCACATGACCGTGACACTAATCATTTATAAAAACCATTGAAATTGAAGAAATTCCAGAATTTAGAAAAAGAACTTCAGTGGGAAAAAATGGCAAAAATATTCCATTCGAAAATAAAAAATTATCGATGTCAGTCAAAGCTAGATATTCTTTCAAAAAATCTAAATAATGTGAGTTCTACATGGCGTTCAATCCCAAACTTTTAGTCCAATCACCAAATTCCTAATATAACGAGAATCATTGATAGATTTTGCTGCTGGTATGCCAATAGGAGTTTCGAGGGTGGTTGCCATGCAGAAATCACATCTAGCCGTATCAACAATTTATTGAGCATACAAATATATATAAATATATATTTTCCTTGCTCTCAAAGGAACCGTTCAAGGTATATTCTCAACTTCAGATGCAATAATATGGTAACAACAAAGCCTAAATTATGCGATGGAAGAATATATAGGAGAAACAGAAAATTTATAACGCCAGTGCAAAATGGCTGCAAAATCAGAAAAAATCTCAGCAAGCTTTTAAAGCAGGAACCAGCTACAGTTGGATAGCATCTGGTCTGAATATGATTCACATCTCTGGCTAATGGAGCAAATAGCGATTTATGAACAACACAGATGAACCAGCTGCATGTGGCAGGCTCTCATCTAGACTGGTTAACACAAGGAAAAACGGTACCTCAAAGGTCGTGATCATGAAAGAGCTTCATAAGGGAACAATACCGTTCAACTATCCACTAATAACTTGCCTGCTTATAATGCGGAAAGTCCTGTCAGGCATCATAGCTATAAAGCTTCATGACAATATAAGCCAATATATATGTGAAGATAGGCATTGGACCAGATATTTAAAACACCAGCTGTTCAGCAGATAAGTCATTCTAGACTCGGCAGACCAAACTGTGTGTAGTTTAAATTGACTGTAAGAAAGCATACGACACCCCACACACGGATTTGTGAATGTCTGGCTCTATACAAAATCAACAGGACTCTAAAGACGCTCATTGAGAACTCAAGGGACTGTGGGAAATGACATTTGAGATCAACTCGAAAAATCTTGCACAAGTAGATTAAGTGCGGAGTATACTCCAAGGCGATGCATTGCCTCTCTTATTGTTTCGTATAGCTCTTCTCAGTTAGACAATCACCAGAAGCAGATATGGATTCAAATTCAAGAGGGGGATTACCATCAGCCATCTTCACATGGATGATACCAAGTTATAAGCAAAAGTAATTGAATCGCTCATCTAGCTGGGATCTTCAGCAAATACACCGGGATATTCGGATTATATAAATAAGGTACCATCCGGCCCATACGAGGAAAAGAGGAAAAGTAGCAATGACTAATGAAGTGGACTTGCAATCAGGATATATAACGGACATATACAGCTTAGCTATAATTATCTCGTTATTCCACAGTCACATGGTAACCATGATAAGGAAGCAAGGAAGACTGCAACATCTCAGTATTACCAAAAGACAAAATAAATTTTGAAAAGCCATAAGTCTCAGTAGAAAGAATAAAATCTAAGCCATAATGCGGTCTACATCAGTAACTAGCATTGTAAGAACAAAGGAAGACATGGAGGTTGCTGATGTAAAGACCAGAAAACTCTTCACAATGCACGGAAATTTCCACTCGAAATCCAATACCCAAGGACCATACACCAGCCGAAAAGGGAAGTGAGACTTGGTGAATTGAAAGCTACACTACTATCATGAATTAAACTCGACCCATTCAGAAATATTAACACCAAAGAATAAGCTGCTGATAGAATATCTGAAGCAGACATGTACAGACACTGGAAAACGATCAATCAAAGGAAATACAATGGCCCTTCATGGATTGCACCATTGACAGATAGCTGACACCGTGAAATCCTGCAAATCCATCGGTTGGAGAAATACTGAGACACTGATTATAGGAGCAAAATCTAAGCATCAGATCCATCTAAACAAGGATCTATCATACTAGAAAAGAATCTGGATGCAAAAACTCTCGCTCCAGAAACAGTCCAAGAAACATCCATCCATCGAAACAATTGCTCGGTATATGGGCTAGATCCTCTTAAGACTAAATGGAAGATTTCTCAGAAAATCGTAGAGAATAATAAGGCAAAGATCCTGTGGATCTTCTCCCTAAACAGAATATTGGCCAATCACATATCGTATTAATAGACAAGAATAAGAAATCAGCACTGGTGACAAATACACAATAAATACGGCAAGCGATAGGAACGTCAGGAAAAAGGAATATGAGAAGTTAGAGACCAAGTGCTGAAAGAGGAACAAACGAAGATGGAAAATAAAAATCAAAGTAATTCCAGTGATAAATGGAGCACCTGGAACTAAAACCCCTAAACCAGAGGCTAAAATTTCAGCAGATTCCAGAAACAACGTCAAAGATCCCCATCCAGAAGAATGTACTACTAGGAACAGTTAAAATACAGTCAAGACAAATTATGATACCTCGCAGAACCCTTAATCTTCCAGGCCTCTGGTAGCGGACTCAAGTTAACAATAATCATGGCCACCCACAGAGGGTGAGAAAAAACTTTTTCATATATATATACAGATGTATAATTAAATATATATAAAATTAAATATATAAAATTATTACTTTTTCGGCCAAAACATCATCTTTAAAAAAAATTTGGATCATTTCGATTATGAAACGGCCATTTTTTAGGGAACGACTTCGCGAAGAATTGCGATTACGATTACGACTCCGAGATTTTTGAAATATCTAGGATAGAACAAAGAATATATAAGTAACAGTAACAAATAATAAATTGAATATAGATAATACAAATAATAATACTGAAAATTATCTTGGAAAATTTATGAAAGCTTCAAAAAATTTGCTGAAATAATATAACAATGAAATGAAAAATTTTAAAAATTAATATGATATATATAAATTTAAAACCCAAATGAAATATATAAAATGGTACTCTAGAATTCAAAAATTCTCCAGCAGCTTGAGCTAGTTCATGATTTTGATCGAAAACAACTTCATAGATAGATATACAATCCTCAGAAGTTAGCAAGTTTGGAAACATTCTGGAAAAAATTCGGCAAGAAAATTAAAAAAACTATAATAACTATAATAAAAACTATAATAACATAATATAATGCTATAATAATATTATAATATAAACTATAATAAAAAATAATAATAAAAAATTATAAAACGATTTAAACAAATAATGACTAAGAAACACCTGCAAATTCCGGTTAAAAGTTTACAAGCAAACGTTGCTACTTCATAATCTTTATCCATCACCAAACTAACGAAACGTTTTTGAAACTTGTTGGTGAAAAATTCCAATTTTTTGGCCATTTCCGGAAGATCATATAAAGGAAGCAAGGAAGTAACACAACTGAGCCGAATTTTACTAACCTAAAATAATGCTTTAATCAGGCATCAAAAAATTCAGAATAGCTATAAGAAAAAAATTATAAGAACGAAATTTCTAAAATTATATTGGAAGAATAAAATACCACCTTGTCATGAAGCAGCCAACCAATATATTTTAGATAAGAATCAATCAAGAAAATTTCTGGATAAGATTTTAACCACTTTCCAAGCTCGATTATGCAAATGTTGCGGATTTCAGGCAAAAAATCACTATAAAACCAATGTATAAAATTTTTTTACGATCATTTTTTATTTTAAATGAAAAGTACTTTTTATATTTTATAAATTTAATTGTATAAAATAAATAAATTGGAGATTTAATAAAAAAAAAAGATATGAAGACGAATTGGAATTCTGCTTCCCTATGATAAATAAATTATGGAAACTATGGAGAAAAATTAATATGGATAATGATACACAAATTTAGATTAAAAGATAATTTGCCGAAGAAATATTTAAGCATATTACATACCGATAACGACGAACGAAAACGTTTTTAAATAGGTAAGAAACCATTTTATAAATATTACTTTTTTCAACCAACTGAAAAATTTTTTATTGTAAATATTGTAAATATTTTATTGTAAATATGTAAGAAGCATGAAATATTTGAAAATATTGGTAAAATTAACAGAACCTCGCATTCATTAAAAATTGATGAACGTAAATGATTGCTGGTATCTTTCGTCTTTGATTCATCCTTTCGTGTCTCAATCTATAAAAAAATTTTGAAAAAATATGTTCAAAATTTCATAAATTCCACATTTCGTGCAATTTGGCGACATAAGAAATATATCAAGAACAAATAAAGCCATAATTAATATTTAACTACATTTAAATGTGCTTCTTCATTAAAAAATAACCTGCATGACATTTTTTTCTTGAGGAACTGCAATATCGATCAAAGCTGATAATAATTTCATCGCTGAAAAAATTTTCTTTTATTAGAATTCTAAGAAGCTATTTCAGCCAAATACAAATTCAGATTTTTAAATTGGAAATTAAATTAAATTGGACATCACAAAGTTTATCTTGAAAAAATTTTATTTTTTTTTTGTATAATGGTTCATTTTGTTTTTAATATATGCTGGAACTTTTGAGATGACTAAAACCAAGAATCACGAACTACTTGCTATTTGCTAAATTTATTAAGAAAAGCAAAACACAAAAATAACCAGCAAAAGTAGAGGTATGTCTGAACGCTTGAACCTGACTATTAGAGAGAGCAGTAAGTAGTTTTATAACAGCATCCATGATACGCCAGTCAGAGACATAATTTGCCTCCCCCTTATTGACAAATAACTGAAAAATATTCAGATGAAAAGAAAATTTCTTCTAAAACCTTGGGGAACAATGTTAATATTTGGCAAGTTATGTCAAATAACTTATATATAATAATAACTTAAATAACTTATATATAATAACTTATGGTTCACCATTTTGATAAATTTTTAGTTGTGTAGTTTGCTAATGAATTTTAAATATTTTCTAGAAAGCAGAACAAAAGAAAAAGAAGTAAAAGCAAATGAAAACCGTGATAAAATCTGCAAAATTTTGTTTAAAATCCGAAAACTTCGGACCAACCATCACCAATGGATAATTCTCCGCATCATCAACGAAATGCTCAGTCATTTGGAGAATTATTTCACTAAAAAACTTCAAAAACTGCCAAATGATGACCCGCAAATCATAAAAATTGTTTAAAATGCATTGAAGAATAATGCAATAAGATTTATTCTAATACTGACTCGTATCTCATAGTTTGCAACATAAATGAGGATATCATTCTTTCACATCCACAACATGAAATGAAAAACTGTTGTAACTGTTGTAAAGCATTATCTGGATGATTTTCATAGATTTTTATCCAGTTATCGATAGCTATCTAAAAAATTTGAGTTTAACAGTTAATCTTTTAAAAATATGCATCAAATATCCATTACTCACTTGAATTTTTTTTTATAACGCAATAAAGGGTATTTTTGACGTTCACAACCTTTTTTATCCAAAAAAATCGAGACCAACAAAAGCGGACCAATTCCGACAAATAACAGTAATTAGGAGAGAAAAAATTAAGAACAAGCAAAATGGTATATTACGAAAAAATTTAAGAGAATTATCCAAATAACTTACATCGAAGTTTTCACCACTTTTCACCATATTGAAAAAATTACTTCTGGCTTCCTCCATTTTATCAGTTGTGTCGAAATTTTCAGACTTAGAATTAAATTTTTTAAGGCTATTTAAAAAAAAGAAGAATATTTAAAACATATTTGATTAGCTATAAATTTTTTTCAGCGAAAAAATAATTTAATATAAAGATCTTTCATTTAGCAAATATTAAAAATTTCTACCGTAGCAAAAGAATAATCATCTGTTGCTAAACGACGTTTTTTTCTGCGTGAACTTTCATTTGACGTTTGAAAAGCTGAACCGATTGAAACATCCATTTGAAATCCCAATTCATCATCGTGATTTTTTCTAAATTTATAATTAGGAGTAATTAGCAAAAATTCAGTGGCAATGGAAAATAGAAAATAGCCAATGGTAACGGAGGTAGAGGAGATTGCTTGATTCTTAATCAGCAACAGCAACAAACTGTCATTTAAAACAATCCGAGTGGCGCCTTCCTTTCCACAAATGGCTTCCCGCCAAAAATTTCGAATCGTGCTAAGCCCGTTAAGCGAGCCATAAATTATCAATTCTAACTACTTACTGCATTCAGCTAACAGTGATGAAAGAGAAATACGAAAATATCTGATTTCATGATAAGCAAAGCACCAGCACCAGCGTTTATTTATCACTTCCCACTAGAACAGCCATTTCTCGTTTCGCCGGCTCCATTGACTACTAAGACGAGTCAGCAAATAGCCGGAGAGTACCACAATTGGCGGCGCAGCTGTCAACATTCCAAGCAGCCAAGCCGACTTCACCAATTATTTACTTCCTTCCACCAGAGAACTGCAGCTGAATCCCTACCAGTTTCATTCGCCTTTATCTCAGCTGCCTTTCTTTCGCTTAGTTAGCCAACGAAGACTCTCCCCGTAGTCATAAATGTCGACCGATGTTTAGAACTTCTTCTGAGAATCACTTTGCCCGTTCCCATTGGCTACGAGGCTTTCCTCACTTAGAACGAGTCACGAGCGGTTCTCCGACGATTATTTCCCTTTCGAGGAGTTCAAAAACAAACTCACTTCGGACTGTTTTCGTTGTTTGAAAATACATTCGTTGTTGATAAATTGTTAATCGAATTCGACGACCGAGCGGACGTTCTCCTCGATTTCCGATCGCCTTTTTCTCGCATTTTTCTTTAATTTTTCTTGAAAATAATACTAATTAAACTAAATTTATCCGCAAAAATCCAAATTAAAATAAAAATCAAAACCAAAAAAGTGAAAAAATACTTGGCGGGATTTGGTATAAAAGCGATATGGATATGGTCTCAGGAAATAATTTTAAGATATGAATTTTGGAATTACAATCAAAGCAGCTTAATATTTATTGTTGTAGACACCGGGCCAGAGAATAATTGAAAAAACACGCAAAAAGTTGAAACCTTCATTCCCTTCAGTTTACCTGGCTATTCTTAAGACCCAATGAGGCTTTTTGATGGAAAGTTAGCTGATACGTACATTTTAGTTATGAAGAGCTATGTGGATGGATTAGTGGATTACCAGCTGATACGTACATTTTAGCTGTGGAGAGTTATGTGGATGGATTAGTGGATTACAAGCTGATAAGTACATTTTAGTTTTGGTAATTACGTCCATACCATTCACCTTTAGCAACGGATCATATTCCGCCAAAGCACAATAGCCGATGGGTAAATGCTGTTTTTTGCTCTAAAATCCTTTAGAAATTGCTTATTTCGAGTAAATTTGAATATTTTCAGAGACCAGTCGAGAGTTTTGCCCTCCCTGCACGATACGATTAGTCCAGAAGTTTTGCGTTTTGCCTATGGCTAAGACTGGCCGGAGGGTGGAGATTGTCCCGCTTTACTTATGTGAAATCCTTTGCAAACGATGGCTTCTTCCAGAACCGTTCGCAGTCAATTGTTGCTTTGAAATACTATTTCCACGTCCTTCACCCGGAAATTTTTCCGGGAAATGCGATTGGCTTTATTATTTTCAGTTTCGATTCATTACAGCAATATAGCAATTTCTTGAAAATTCATTAATGTTATTAAAATAAGTCGCCGTCATATCATTTTTTTCATGTTCCAATAAATTTTCGTGCTGAAATCCTTTCGACTAATAGATTTCCTTTTCGACGATGTAATTTACATTTGCCAATATTCGTCTAATTTAATTTCGCAAAATTTTTAAATATAAATTTCTACTTAAATTTAAAATAAATTTATATATATATATTTATAAACATATATTTATAATTTAATCATTTACATTATAAATATGCAATCAATTGTATGAATATGTAACATTGATAACATTTATTATTTATTTATTAATAAGGGAAAGCGAATAAATTTTCCCAATTCCCAATTTGCATGAGGTATGCTTTACAATAAAATGCATGCACGCCTGCATCGATGAAATTTATCCTTCCTTGCCGTTCATCCCAGCAAAATGCGTGGCGATTATTTTGAATTACAATGGCGCTTTCTTTTCACGCAGATTTTTTAATATGTGCAATTTTTGCAAACGCTAAGTTTTATACGAAATTTGGCCTCGAAAACAATGCATATTTGTGGCTGCACAAAATGACTAGGAAAACCACACGAAATCACCGTTTCTGTTTCAACAGTTTCATCGGGAAAGATGAATATAGCGAATGAGAAACGTCCCAACTCCTCGATCGACAAATCGAGATAGCTTTTTCCAATATTTGATGCAGAATGTGGCAGCCTAAGTGGAAACGGTGATCGCATCCATATGGTGTGAAAGGTTAAAATTAAGAATGGCTGATGCCAATTTTTTTAAAGAGACCTCGCCATCAATGATTAAACTCGCTCTGGTGGCTTGTCGCACTGGACGAATATACCAGGGAGTCTCTTGGTAATAGAAGTACAGGGATCCCCCGAATCCCCACGCACCACTCGAAATTTACCCTTGCTGGAAATAGAACCTCAGCATCGGCACTCTGGATTGAGCAACAACCCATTAAGCCATTCTGTCCTCAAATGATGAGAAAATTTAGAATTGATTAGTGGGTTGTTACTCGATTCTGTCAATAATATATATAAGCCATGTTTTAAGAGTAATCTAGGAATAATTTATTTATTTCGAATAATTTATGTAACTTCCATGGTCAAAAGGCGATCAATGACAGGTCTCGACTGTATAAAATTGGCTTTTCCGCTGTTTTGAACAGCTATAGTACAAATTAATGCCAATGAAAAGCAGATGTCGATGACTATTGTGAAAATTTGAAATAATGGATAAAAAACATGCAACTGATGGCAAATAGCCTTTTAATAAACGAATTTTATCAGCTACCAGTTGAAATGATAATAATCGACCAAAGTATGCTCTTATCGAAATTATTTCAGTATAAAGCGCTTATTATTGTGGATAATTTCATTTACTGTGATATAATGCCATTAATGGATTAACGAAACAGTTGGTAGCAAAATTGGACTTCAAAAATTTCTTAGATTCATCGGCAGGGAATTAATAATAAGTGAGTGAACCCTAAGGGATTTCCTTAGAACACAATTTTTGTACGTAAGAAAAAGGAAGAAAAATGACAAAGCAAAATGCAAAGCGGCGTTTAATCAGTTTTTCTGTTGAATCTTTTTGATAATTGTTACCACTAATCATTTATCACCATTTGGGAAATGGTTGGCGATTATTTCGGTTGATTCTTCAACGGCAAGTAAATAAAATAATAAAAAAATCCATAGAAGATTTCTAAAATCAACAATGTCGCCAAATGGCTGAGAGAACTTTTCGCTTCAGATTCTGTCACGCCACGCAACAAAGTGTTTTAGACGCGTTCATTAAATAAAAGCTTTCACAAAATTGTCATTTGGTCAAAATTTCGGGACGACAGCGAAATATATTGGTATTCACTTCAACGCCATGCACCAGAATTTAGATGCACCAGAAAATAACTGAAATATTTTTGTTGAGTTCTTATTGAATGAAGTGGCGAAGCAACTTGATGTCCTTTATTCGCCAGAATATTTTTTGTTGAAATCGAAACGTTTGCTTACGAAATGGCGTTTCAAATTCCAAATTTTTTTGTTCCTACATTTTGAATATTGCATAAAATTTTTTACTGCTCAAACAATTTCTTTCGGTTCATTCTTAGCTAAAAAAACTCTGCACTCCTCCTTGACTTTTCGCTTCGAAATATTTTTTTTCTTAATTAAACGAATTAAGCAACAGAGAAAGATTTAAAATGAAAAACTAAAAATTTGTACGAAGCAACATCTTTTTCCAAAGATTAAAAAATTCCAGTGAGATTTGAAATTCCACGGAGATTTTTAGAATGGCCCCATATGCAATCACCGACGGGACCACGTATCGTGCAACTTTGCTTTTAGTGGATAAATCTTGCATCTAATTCGTCCAATCTTTCTAATATTTGAATTTTCTCATTTAAAACGATTACCACTTATTGTTTGCGGATTTGCAAAACAAATTGTTACAAATATTATTATTATAACTGAATAATGTGGAATATGAAATAAATTTTCATTCTCATATAGAAAGAAATCCAATGAAAATAAGAAAAATAAATAAATAATTATAATAAATAAGATTCATAAATTTATAAATCTCATAAATAATGAATAAATTCACTGCAATAGTCATAAAAACAATAATAAAGTAATATTTATAAAATTAGCGATACGCGAGATTCCCCTTCTCAGACTTATTTTTAAGACTCATTTCTACAATGAAAAAAGAGTCAACGCCGAATTTTCGTTCGTTTAGTCGAATGAAAACAAAAATTTAATTATTGAAAACCGATGGATTATGAAAACGGAAGGTAGGTTAAGGAACAAAGAAAATAGAAATTATTCGGTGGGAATCGCTTAAATTTTAAAGTAATGAAAAACGAAATCGAACGAATTTTTGGCGATATTTCATTTATATTTGTGCAGTGAAAAAACGAAATAATGCAGGAAAACAATTTTTGAATAAAAATTAATCGATTCCGTTTTTCGCCCTTTTATTTAGATAAGCTAAAGTAAAGTAAATAGAATTTTAAACCAGCTTTCGACTAGTTGTGAAGCTCTTCTTGCAACATCACCGCTTAGGTTGGTACCACTCGCTAGATAAGTGCACAGTGAAGCAAAATCGGCCATTAAATAAAAACTGACAACTTATAACTGATAAAACTGACGATTGATAAAAATGATTAATGTTTTTTTAAAGGTAAAATTTAAAGCAAAGGAAGGAAGCGATAAAATGATTTCTATTAATTCAGTTGGCATTTCAGCAATTTTTATGCGATTATGCGATTATAGCACTGATAAAGGTTATAACACTTATAAACACATAAATATACAAGGAGAAAATGGCTCAGTGGGTTGTTGATCAATCCGCCGTTGCTGAGGTTCTATTCCCCCCAGGAGTAAACCTGTCCAAAAATCAGGTCAATCAATCTATTGCCAAGGGACTCTCTGGTATATTTGTCTAGTGCCAGAGGGGCGAGTTTAACCAGTAATGGTGAGGACTCTTAGAAAGAAAAAAGATTTACCAATATTAATTGATTTAAACTTACTTTTGTTAGCATTGAATCTTCGAAATGAATTCACTAAAATATATAAAAAAGTGATAAATAATTTAATAATAATAATAATAATAATAATAATAATAATAATAATAGCGATAATAAGAAGGGAAAATTTAAATAATTTCAAATAAATGGATAATTGCATTTAAGAAAACAATTAATTGAGAAAACAATATATAATTTAACAATAATAGGAAAATTCTATAAATCTTTTATTTTCATTTCATTCATCAAAATATTTGAAAAAAAAATTGACGGAGAAATACTAAAAATGAAAAAAGAAATTTTACGTGACACATTCCACGATGCCTTTCATCCATTTGCAATTTAAATTTCCTCGATCTTCGTTTTATATAAGAAAAATATGTTTGTTTCGCAAACTCTTATCAGCCCAGTCCATGCGATTGTTTTTTTCGTGTAAATAAAACGTTTGTTTTTAAATGATTTAAGATAATTTTCTAACATCAATACATCAGAAATTTCCCACAATAAACGATTTTAATTGGAAATTTGCTTCGTAAAAAGTTGTCATTCTTAATATTTCCGGTTTGGCAAGCTTCATTAATCAATCGTAGCCTTTCGCCAGAGAGCCACTTGAGAATAGAGATACGTCCAAGCAGATTTCAATTTTAATCACCAGCGATTTACTCTTCTTAAAGGTGGAGTAATATCTTCTTATTAAACTCGTTTTACAGGTGAAACCATTAGTGATTTCTGGTTTACCTTGAGGAAGATGGCGTGGAAAGCGTTCAAGAAATCCGCGCATTGAAATTCAAGCAGTGATCAAAGATTTTACAGGAATGCATTGATAAAAATTTATATGAAGATAGGGTGAAAAAATTTCTTGTAAAATCTTGTAATCGAAAAGTGAACATTGGAAGGAATTGCATGAAAATATAAAGAAATACTTGCAAATGGCTTTTTATACGATAAATAAATCACTCCGAATATGATAGATTTAGCCACTCTCAATGGAGTAATAAATCCAATTTTTAAAATCAAACACATCGACGAAACTGAGAATAAAATGATTTTAATGAAATCTATTAATTTGCCTTTTTTTGATCGAAAAGCTTAAAGTTTCTTTGTTTCTCAAAATTAATTAAAAGTCGCTGAAACTAATTATAATAAAATACAAATGTAATAAATAATGGATAATAATATTCTTGAAAAATTCAGAGTCATATTGAAAGTTAACCAAATAAATTTTAAAAGAGCTATTCGCCATATCTCTCATTTAATTTAAATATAGCGAAAAGTTTTTAAAATATTACTTCGATACTATTTTGGAATTTATTCAATTAATCCAGAAAGCTTAAGTGGATTTACTGGAAATTCCTGGAAAAATGTGGGAAATCCATTTGCGCCTCTGTAATCTGAGACTCTGGCGAAAGTCTCAGATTAACAATCATTCAATGACTGGCAGCCAAATCAGAAATATATTAATGGAAAAAAGCAAACCATAAGCAAAATTCCAATGAACAAAATGCAATAATAAATAGTTCGCAACGCAAATGAATAAATTTAAACAATTTAACAAAGAAAAAATTCCAAAAAAATTCTGGAAAATAGGAAAAATTATGACATTCAACTTCTATCGACAAATTTTTATATTCATTATTCGGCACTTTTCGTCTTCATTTTCTTAACAATTTGTATTGAGAAAAATTATTGAGAAATTGGCAATTTTTGTGGTTGATGAGTAGTTTTTTCATCAGTTTTTTTTTCAGCAGTAATCTACGACGATGGAAGATTTATGCCGAAAAACGAAAATAATTCCAACCTAAGCGTGGACAAGCAACCTTTTTTCCGGAAATTAAATTACAGTCGAAAAAAGCAAAGAAATATCCATTATAAAGCTTGATTAAAGAATATTTTTTAATATTATATTCCACTTATGTGCATTTCTTTCAATTAAAAAGTTGTCGCGGTAAAAAAATTATTAGATGAAATGAAGAAATGGTGGAATCGCATGGTTGTAATGCTTCGAATGCTGCAGGCTGATCTATCAATAGTTTTGTATTGCCTAACTTTAATGCCACAGGCGGGAATGAGCTGTGATTAAAAAGTCCAGATGGTACTTACTAGTTGCATTTGCTTTTATCTCCAAGTGATTCCCGGTGAAATTTTTCATCGCACTAGTTGAGCCCTAATAATTTGATTTTATTTTATTGGCGCCTTCTTCATCAGAATCGCAATTCATTGGAAATTATACTCAAATTATTTTGAAAAAATCTTTTGCAGAAATTAAAGAATAAGCTAAAAATAACAATAATTAACAATAATTTAGATAATTTATATAATTTAGATAGATAATTTAAATGAAATTATTGAAATGAACGAGAAAGTTCAAAATCAACCATTCCACTGACTACTAGATGGAGGCTTTTTCGCCAGAGAATCCTCGGTAACAAAGTTATCGATAGGTCCGTAAGATCACCTCGAATTTCCACCAGGAGGCTGAAAAAACCCATCGTGCTTCACCTTGTTAAAGCAACATATGTCAACAAAAACACTCAAGGCTCTAGCAAGATAATTAAATAAAAATCTTAAGAAGTACTGATATCTGCTATGATGTCAGTTAAACTAGACTTTTGCGAATGTTATATTAGGCTTTCGGCGAATTAAGTTATCGATTCTGCCAAGCATAAGGCATGATTGCTGCGAGTATATCCTTCTAATTCATCGACAACAAACGGGAAAATAAAAGAATCTGAATTTTTCTGGCAAAAATGGAAAATGTGACAATCTCGCATTTTTAAAATTTGAAGGATGGGGCTTATAAAAATATGCCAATTACGACGAGTTATTCGGTTTCTTTGTTTTTTTTGCCTAATGAGAAACAACATCGATTCGTTTGCCGATATAGTTGTGATAAATCGGCGTGGAAAAGCGAAACCCGAAAACCCATCTTTATTATTCCTAATCCTAATTGTTATTGCTGTTTAGTAGAGTTAGTCAAACCAGAAAGGGTATTAAGAAGAACCAGGAATGGTGCGTGGTGTTAAAAGAAGTCCATAAAAATATATGAGCTTCAACATCACCATTCACCTTTAACTGAATGGTTATTTTCCCGTTGTTCTTAAAAAAATTATTTTGAGAAAATAAACATAAATTTAAAATATATTTGACTAACTTAAGAACATTAATACAAATAAGTACAACTATGGGATGAATTTCTTTACTTTACTTTTATCCAGAAAGTACAAAAAATCAATCGTATAGCCAGAAAATGGGGAAAAATTTTTTCAATAAATGGAAATCGACTAAAAAAAATCGTTCGGATGGTTGAGAAACAACGATTTTTATCTAAAATTTGTGACGCTTGAAAATAATTTTTTCTCGATCAATAACGATATAAATCATTATTATTAAAAATAATTTTTTTACAATGGAAAAAATCTAATTAAAATTTTTATAAATGGCGAGAAGATTTCACTGAAGTGCCAAATCAACAAATAATTTGAAATCTTAAAATTCTTTCTTTTTTATTTATTCAGTTGGAATTAATTTGGCTGAAATTAAAAAATTCATATTAACCATTCATATTAAAATTTATAATAATTTTAAAATTTAATAAATTTACATATTTAGCGCTATTTTTTATTTATTTTTGGAAAATTCGTGGTTATTACGAAAGAATTAAGTGTGAGACGAAAGCCTTAGCATTTCTCACTAAGTTAGCTATTCCACATGCCAATTGGTTCGAATAGAGATGCATGGTTACTCAATAACAGGCGTACTCACATCTAAGCCGAGGATCTCGTCTGACGATCTTATCTGCCATTCGTCTACCCTACTCCCCATTTATGAAGATGACTGTTAAGAATGCACCTTTTCTCTCCAAGCGATTGTTTGTCGAATGATCTCGTAGTAATCAGCTAAACCAAAAATGATGCGTGCTGTTATAGAACGAATTCTTAATTGCTCGAACGGCTCCAATAATCTTCCGATAGGAGAAATCCTTGTCCCTTATATATAAATCCCCAAATCTTAAATCTTTAATAAATCCTTTATAAATTTATTTATTCATATTCTTTTAAAATTTTTATTTAATTTAAATTGTTTCTTATTTTCTTCTTTTTTTTGTTCAAATGTTAATAATTCTGTTGGCACTAACATTGTGGATATTCTCAGCGTAGAAAATTCTTTTTTAGGTTAAAAATTTCTTTTTCTCCCTTCATTTCTATTTTAACTGGCTTTTGGGAATGGAAGTACATATGAGCAGTGGTAATGGACAGTGGCGTACAACAATTCGGTATTGCAGCTATGGTGCTTGTGATATGGGCAGTGGCACACAACTCGGTATTGCAGCTATGGTGCTTGCGATATGGACAGTGGCGTACAACAATTCGGTATTGCAGCTATGGTGTTTACGACCTCAGTGCAAGCAATATGCGATAGCTCTCGACTGTTCTTTTGATTATTTTAATCATATCATATAATGTGATATGATATTTAAGAAAATATCAGAAGACCGAACCACCTCGATAAATTAACTAAACGCGTTGAAATTGAAGTTTTCACCTCGCAACATTTTGACCAAATTACCAAAAAACTTTTCGATTCCCATTCGACGTTGAATTTATTGTAATTTAAAAAGTTATTATTAGTTTTTCATCTAATATTATATTATATATATTATTTATAATTTGTTTTTTTATATTATTTAAATTATTTAAAATAAAATTTTTAAGTTTATTAAAGAGAAATGCGCTTCGTCTATAATTTACCACATTTTTTTTCAAAGAGTTTTCACCATTACTGGTTAAATTCGCTCGCTGGCTGGTCGCATTAGACAAATATGCCAGAGAGTGCCTTGGGGATAGAAATGCAGGTGAGCCGCCAGCATCACCCGGATAATTTGCATTTTCAGATGAAAATGATGTTTATTTTAAATATTTGACTCTATTTATAACGAAGTATTTTGCCATAAATGGTCGGCTGCTAACCAGCCAAGCAATTTCCATTTTTGACAAGTTTACTTCTGCCAAAGCTGAATCGAATCCATATCATTTTCCGTCAGCCGAGGCAGCATAAGCCATAAGCATTGCACTCCCTACTAGCTTTTCTAATATTTATATTCTTTCTTAGATATTTCAAATTTATTATGTAATGCTGAATTAGCAAATTAGAATATTGGCTACGCTATTTTCAATAGATTTTTTCATTTTTCTCTAATAACATTTCGAATACTTTTTTTTTAAAATATTCTTTAATATATTTTCTATCAGTTTTTGATAATTTTTTATAGCGAAAAATAAAGATTTGTGAAGAAATTTAAAGAATTCTCACTCCAAAACATTTTATCGATGATAATTATGATGATAATTTATCATAATGTTTGACATGAAAAAATTGGAAAAACCATAGCGGGCCGCAACATCCACAAGCCGCGCTTTTAGACCGTAAAATTTTCGGCCGCGACATCGCTTATTTCCAAGTTGTTAAAGCTCATCTCACAACAATGATAAGTTATATTGATTGGGTTGAATTGATTAAGGGGTTGGGTGGGGGATCGTTCTGTTTGGTACCAATTTTCTAATTGTAAGTGTGGGTCGAAATGCCTATGAATTTAGATCGAAGTGACTATAAGTCGAATAGCTTTAATCAGAATTTGCGTTCGAGTTTAGGCGCTGAAAGTTTGGGTTGAGGTGTTTTTTTTCATTTGGAGCAAGGAGGAAAAATCTCTGCATTTTCTTTGAATATTTATTTTGAGTCTCAAGTAAAGTTTTCCTCACTTAGGATTAACGATTTGGTTGCTTTGTTTTAAAAACAAAGGTCAAGTTCAGTACTCACTGTTAACTGTTTTCCATAATTTAAATATTTATTCAGATATTTATTTGTTTTAAGCAGTTTATTAATATTTTCCATTGTCAAATTCTTTTTGTCTTGTCGAATCATGGATTTTAAAAAAATTTTAGATTTTTTAATATCGATAATAGCTGAAGCAAACCGGTGAATAAAGATTTCTGAATTTTATGCGAGAAAAATGTCATCGGATATTGATATTATTGAAAGTGATGAAGATTCGCCACCATCGACGATTCCGCAAAAACGTGAACCGATTGTTATTCGAGGCGTTGGACATTTGACGATGTTTGTTTGTTTGTTTTTTATTGCATTTCTTTTTTTCTGACTTATTTGTGACTCCAGAAGATGTTTTCTTTTATTCTGGAATCATAAACCGCTTTTAATTCGCCCTAATTTCTCCTTGATTATCCTTTTTTCTTGATTAGAAAGAAGTATTTAGTGAATTATTTTTTATATCTCATATAGATTTCATATAAATTTGAGTTTTTCTTCTGGATTATTATCAGCGTTTGGGCCATACCTCCGGTGGTGCCAAATCTGCCATTAAAAGTTCTAAAGTGGTGCGGGCGACCCATCAGTGTTTCCCTAAGTATTGCTTGGCGAAAATTTCCCACTATGCTAAAAATCAGTAGAGTGAGCTTAATCAAAAGATGAGCACTTACCATTAATTCTACTTCCTTTTTGTTTGCCATTATTTGTTTGACTATTTTGATTTCGTTTATTCCATTTATTTAACTGGAGGAGGCGTTTTTAAGATATCCGATCAAACATTTTACTTGAAATTAATAGAATTTATCTATTACAAGATCGTTTTCTACAGGTTTGGTTTAAATTCTCATTTTGACACCGAATTCCCGACAGTGCTAAAAGGTCGTCTTGCACCTGAAGAATTAGCAAGAACAATGCGTAGGATTAACGGTGTATTAAGTAGGAATATGCCAAATAATGTGCGATGGCTTATATGTGGATTGTTATTTTGTTGTTGCACTGCTGGTTGTTCATTATGGCCTGTTGTTTGTCTTAATAAAAGGGTAATTATTAAAAATAACTATTTTCAAAAAAATTTTTTCAGGATTCAAAAATTCATATATTGTAGTAAGAATATACGTAAGAAGAATATATTTTCACGATTTCCTTGTAAAATGTTTTTTTAAAGGCAAATTACAGAATTTATTCATTTAACTTGATATTTTAATGGGTTTTTTAAGGGTTTGCCATTTTTGATTATGAATATAATTTTATGATTAAAAATGATTGTAAATTCCCAATTTCTTACGTTCATTTAAAAAACAAACTTAATTCCCAATTTCTTACGTAATGTTGACAAAAACAAACTTAATGAAGTCAAGAATAAAATAATTTCCAGGAAGGAATTTAACTTGAACAAATTTCAAAAATTTGGTTTCAAAAATATCCTTGGATTTGCCAAATTGTGGGTGATTCTATAATGAAGCATCTCAGATCACCTTCATTAAATAATAATTTAATTTAATAACACTTGAATATGTCGAATTAAATATCAGAATTAAATTAGAAAACGAATTTATTTTTTGAAAAATTTTATGCCTTAAAAGTTTTTGAAAAGCAGTGGAATAAGAAATTTTTTTATGCAGAAATCCGTTCCTTAAAAATTGAAAATTACTTTCGTATGGCAATAGCGGCCTTTTTGAGAAATTTGAGATGCTTTTTCTTCATTTCTGAATTTCCTCCTTTGTCCTTTTTATTCCTAAATTCATTTCTTACAAACGTTTTTATCGTCATTGGGCGATGGTTTTAATTGAATGATGAACTATTTGTCTGTTTATACAATATTTTCGGTAGTTTGTTTCTTTTACGAGTTTTCTTCATTTCTGTTTTCGAATTTTCTGTTTTGAAAATTACAAGGACGATGAAATTGAACGCTACTGAATCGATAAAATTATAGTAAATGGAAAAAAAAAGATGAAAAAAAATTTCAAGAGAAAAAATTTCAATTTATTTATTTTATAAAGAATTCTTTTTCTATTTTTCTCTTTTCTTTTATCGAAATTATTTTTCTAAATCTTATAATAGCGTTTCCTTCAAATCCAAACTACTTGGCTTAGTCCAAATCACAAATGATTGGACCGATTTGTTGAATTCTTTAAAATTTATATTTTTTGTTGTTTATAATTTATATATTAATTTGATGCCCGAAAAAGGAAGTATCCTTCATAGAATATCGATACATTCCATTATTTCATTATATGAAATCCATTAGATTTTTGTTTTAACGAAAATTTCAGACTATACATGCGTTGGAAAAGACATTGGATCATGAAAATCAGACTCTGTACAATAAATTGGGCTTGCATTGGCGTTTAGCCAGGCAAGCAGTGGATATCAGTCAAAATATGATAGAATTTGTGCTACTTCTCGAATTCTTACCGAAGACTCCTCTTCTTTTGCCTGATTAGTTATAATTTTTAAAATAATTTTTTATGCATGTCTAACAATTAATTGCTTAAAAAAATTTATTAACAATGTTTTACTAGATTGTGTAGTTATAATTAAAAATTATTTGTTCTATCTTATGAATAACATAGTTATATGATATTTTCGATTAAAATGCGCAGAAAAATTATTAAAATGTGAATTATAAAAAGAATCGTCCCTAGAATGGATATTCGGGAAAAATTTTAGGTAAAGATCCAATTAGAAAAATGGCAGTGGCTCCAAAATTTTCAGTTGTATGATTGTTAGTAGTCTTTTTATTTTTATTTTTTATATGTAGTTTTTATAATGGAAGAATTGCGTAGCTTCGCAATTAATTGATAAATTTAATAGTTATCGTTGAAAAATATTAAGTTTTATAGAATTAAATCTTTTTTATTTCAAATTTATACGAAATGCTTTAATATTCCTTTATGTTGCTTATTCAGTTTCAAACTTTTAGTTTATTTATCTATTAAAATTCTTATTGGATTCTGAAACTAAAAGCAACATTAAGGAAGGTTGATAGAACTTAATATTTTTGGGATTAATATGTATTTTATAATGCAGTACCTTTTCTTCCTCTTCTAGCCACAGATTTTGTTGGTCAATCATCCGTTAGAGCTAAAGGTGCTAGTATTCTACTACCAGGTAGCCTCATTCATTTTTTGCCTCAGCCTCAGCATATGAATGAACCAGCGTATTCATTAAAAAATACACCAATATTTGGTTGTATATATCCCTTCTATATTCCAAACTGTATTATCTGTAAATAACGACTTCAGTCAAATATAGAAGAAGATATAAATTTTCTATTCATTGGTAAAAATAATTGGAAGAAAAAGTCGTTCCAATTCCTAATTTTAAGAAGGATTTTAATTGTAAATCATTTGATCTCTTTATTTTATTATTTCCAGTATTTTTTGTGCATAATTTAAGAAATAAATAGGCTAATTTGGAAATAAAACGACCGCTGATTATAATTTAAATGGTTGGTTGTTTGTATTATGTAATTTGAGAAAATTATAAATAGTTGTATTAATTTTTCTAATCTTTTTTTAACAAATCAGTTCGTTTCATTTTGTAGTTCGGTTATATTTTATTTATTTAAATGTCTAATTTAGCCAAAAGATGATGAAAATCGATGATCTGTTTTCAATTATCTGTTGTAGTAATGTCAATTTTTATCTCAATATTGTAAATATTTGATGTCTTTTCAGTCAGCGAATAAACCATTTCCACCAAGAAATGACTGGCTTTATTTGGTGTAAATATTGCTGAAAAAATTAGGCTTCCTAATTTTGACTTATCATGTTAGTTTTTTAGCTTGTTGCTTTGTAATTCTATAATTTTCAAAAATCGTTATAAGCATAACATTGCGATTTATTATAATAATCATATTTGACATCAAACGCTGAGATTTGCAAATTTCTTGGTTTATTTCGTTATTTTTAATCAATTAATTTCATATTAGATTATAATGAAAAATCATATTAGATTATAATTAAATATTGAAACGATTTTGGATTTTAGTTTATAAATATTTGTAATATTCATAGGTAGCGAAACTAACTGTGAACAATTTTAGGGCAGTTTCTTCTCGTTCATTAAAATCGCAGAAAGAGGCACTCTTATATTTTTGAAGCTTTTTTCTTAGCGATCGCTTAAGTTTTGTTTATGCTGGCTGGCATATTTTTTTTGTTTTTTAAAAAGATTTAGGAAAAAAATTATGATGGTTTATGAAAAATCAGAGCAAAGGCATAGTGGTCAGATGGCTACATTTGGCAAAAAATTTGTGGAAACCATTCATTAAAATTTTAAAGATATTAACGATGTATGTTAACTAATCGCTGGCATCCATTTTCAGAATTTTTGAGGTGCTTTGCTCCAAGGGCTGCCTTTTGTAAGTTGGGCATTCTCAGCATTTCTTAAATGCGCGCACGTCATCGTCAAATACCTCTGAAGGTGATATGAAGTGCTATTAGTTGGTCGATTTTCAGTTCTTTTGGTAGATTACGGGAGTTGTGCTTTACGTTAGTGATCCGTGGCCTTTTGCGACCCTCCTCGAATTAAAATGAGTGAATTTTAGGTTTTATTTTTTAAATTATTTTGCTCCTTAATTGTTTTCTTAAGAAAGAAATTTTTTATTTAAATTATTTATAAGACAATGAGCTGCGATTAGTGAAGTATATGCCGATTCGGCGTAATGCCCGTTCATTGACGGATCGTGAGACAAATGAATGGTTTCACATATGCAAACAATTCAGTTCATAAATTTAATTAAAGACTTAACCCTCCCCCTCCCCCTCCCACTTCTCCTCGCTCTTCCGCCTTCCTTCCCTTCTCATGCCAAACTTGTAGTAGTCTATGCCCTGCCTTTGAGGCTTTTTTTCAACAGTTTGCGATTGCATAATAGGAACCGAAGAGTGAACTTTGTTTGTGTTTATTTTTCTCTGAAGAGGTTAATACACATGGCTTCCAGATTTTCCGTTTCAACCACATTTAATCTTTTCCTAAAATTTTAACTGTTAAATTTGGATTAAGGCTTGGATGCCATCGTGTTATGCCATTGTGGATGCTGTAGAAGAAGGCTTTTCTTTCAGGCTTTCCTATGAAATTCTTAGTGATTGCACGTCAATTTACCTCAAGTATATTGTATTGTGTCAAATAGCGTAATTTCACCTGTGACACAATTCGTTATTACTATCTTTTCACGCGATAGAATTGTTGTTAATTAAGTGCTATATAATGTGGGCTTTGCTAGAACTGTTTTTAGAGTTTTTAATTTCGAAGGAGTGGAAAGGCTCTTCCTCTTACAGTGAATTCAAAGGCATCTGATTATTTCTTAGAATTTCTTGTGAAAACATGCCATTTGCACTACTTCAAGACAGCTTCACTTTACATCCACACCGCTATTCTAAATTTAATTTGCAAATGTTCGTGGAAAGTTTCGGGAGTTGCGGAATCGAAAAAAACGCTTTAAAGGCTTTTATCACAGAATGTCTCAAAAGCGAAGTCTCGAGCATTCAGCATTTTTCAATTTCATAAAATTTCATCTAATTTATTTCATCTAATCAATTTCATCTAATTTATTTCATAAATATGCATCATAAATTGGTTTGGTTTTGCGTTATTTTCTGAAATTTATTGGTAGAATTGTTTGCACGTATGGTTCCTCCCTCTCTTGCATTTCACGACGAATCTTACAAATAACTGTTTTAACTGTTTTTAGAATCTTAGAAATCAACTTAAAACGTCGAAACGTCAGATAAACTTTTTTGTATCGCAGCTCATACTTCTTCTTCCAACAGCTCTCTCCATAACTGATTAGGCAGGTTGCGCTGGCTACAACGATAAGGATAAGGCGTTCCTAGCTCTCCGAACTGAAGCCATCCCTAAGCTATTCCTTTTTTTACCGTCTAAGTCCATATGTCCCTCGTCACAACTCACTGTGTCGTAAATAATTTGAATAATTTGAATCGTTTTTGTGAGAAAAAATTATTAGATTATGTTTATGGAAAATCAAGGAGGAGTGCAGAGTTTTTTAGCTGAGAATGAACCGAAAGAAATTGCTTTAGTTTGAGCAGTAAAAAATTTTATGCAATATTCAAAATGTAGGAACAAAAAAATTTGGAATTTGAAACGCCATTTCGTAAGCAAACGTTTCGATTTCAACAAAAAATATTCTGGCGAATAAAGGACATCAAGTTGCTTCGCCACTTCATTCAATAAGAACTCAACAAAAATATTTCAGTTATTTTCTGGTGCATCTAAATTCTGGTGCATGGCGTTGAAGTGAATACCAATATATTTCGCTGTCGTCCCGAAACAAATGACAATTTTGTGAAAGCTTTTATTTAATGAACGCGTCTAAAACACTTTGTTGCGTGGCGTGACAGAATCTGAAGCGAAAAGTTCTCTCAGCCATTTGGCGACATTGTTGATTTTAGAAATCTTCTATGGATTTTTTTATTTTATTTACTTGCCGTTGAAGGATCAAGCGAAATAATCGCCAACCAACCACTTCACAAATTATTAGTGGCGGCTGGCGGCATCCATTTTGAAATTCATGAGGAACTTTTGAAATTATATTATATTCGCCGCATTAGATGGTTCAGGCTGGAGTTTGGATTAAATATAGCTTGGAACTCACAAAGCTGGCATGGCGGCAAATATATATCAATATAATAATAAGAAAATGAATCTGATTCGATGATGAGAATCAGATAAGCCAGTTTGGTTCAGAATCTTTTAACCAAACGTTTCACTGATTTTCCAAATATTATATTCGGCAAAAACTAAAAGTTGTTCAGCGAACTAGGTGTAACTATTTGATTCCAAACTGACCACTGGACAGTTGCCTCAGTATTCTTATATTTTAAAAATAAATAGCAATTTTCTCTTAAATCTCTTTGTTCTCGGAATTATTTCAATATTTCTTATTAATTTTACCATTCGTTTACGGTTTTATTCACCGTTTTGATAATTGATAATTTTGATAATTTTTTTGGTAATCAGCAAAATTTGTCAATTTAGCTACAAAACGTTTAAAACCATTTTTATAATTTATAATATATTTACAGTTAATACATTTATTACATTTATTTATAGCATAGTTTATTTATAGTTTTTTAAATAATATTTTGTAATATTTTGCTGATTGCAGTTTATTAACAATTTAGAAATAGCAGCCAAGTCTTTCTAATGCAAACCTAATGATTTTGACTAGATTTCTGGTGAATTTATTGATAGGCATTGGAAGTGGATGTAGGAAAAGCTGCTTTTAACTTCACCTCACCATTTTTTTTTCTTTTAAATGATAAACGATATTTTAACATTGTCGTAGTTGTATTTTAAGGATGGCGAAGAGTGAATGAAATATTTTGTAGTGTTGGTTTTTTGTTATTAAAAAATTATTATAATACTTATAAAAACAATAATAAATAAAAATTTAGCACTGTTGGATTCAATTTTAATTTTTTTTTAAATAATTTATATCCATTCACGATTGCTATTATTTTATATTATAACAATTAATCGCAAATAAATATTTTATAATAAATTATTAAAAAGCGAACAAATATTTTTAAAATATTTTTTTTCATTGCATCCCATCGACTAAAATAAAATTGTACTTGGCTGTTAATACGTGAAAAAGGTTGCTGGTTTAAAAGAAAGAAGCACTCCTTTATTTCAGATTGGTTAGTTCGAATTGGCTTATGTCTGAATGTAAAACCAATGAATAGTTGTCGATTGATAATACGTGGTTGCAACCAAAGCCATAAGTTCGATTCCTTAAATTTAGAAATTTGGAACCAAATTTGCGAGTAAATTTTCATCAAAAATGGAATCCGAGTGAGATTGCTGACTGTAGCCCATCTGTATTTTTATTTAGCGAAGAAGTCTCATCTTAATAGCCAATGAAGCAAAGCAAACCAAACCAGCAATGAGTGATTGCCTTTTGTAGAAAAAACGGGGTATATAGATAAATTTGGTTCCAGATTTCTAAATTAAATCTCACTGCTACTTTATTTTTGAAATAGGGCCACCAGGATATTCATGCAATGTTATTTCGAGTCAGCCATCAGCAATTCCTTTCACTTTGCGACATATCAATAAACTGAAATCCAGAAAATTGTTTCTTCTTCTTCTTTTAATAGATGTCACTATTACTGGTTAGGCTGGCTCCAACGGCTACAAAGGTAAGATGCTTCCAAACGGCGTGGTCTGATGCCATCGTCGATGATAGTAGATAATTGAGTACCAGATAATTGCTTAGTACTATGTGTACTTCATTCAGTCATAACACGGCATTACGACTTTCTGACGAAGGAACTACTAGTCAACGATGGCAACCAGAAATGATAAAAATTTCCGAGGGTTTCCTGGAGGAAATCCCTTTGTTCATAAAGGATTTCATTCACTTACTTATTTACTTATGGTAAATTGAATATTTCCATAATAAACGAACAATAATAAAAATGTTGAATGTGAAAAAATATGAAAGACAAGGAAAAGAGAATCAAATAATTTGTCGGCAAATCCATCATCGATTATTTATACCTAAGTTATGCTTATATGCTTAATTAGCTTAGTAGCATCGTTATCCACGATTTCATTTCGACAAAAAGCCGATAATATTTCATTTATGGCATCAGCGACTGGAAACTTGATTCATTTATCAACTGCAACTATTAACTTTTATCGCTTATTACTAATTTTATACATACATTTGCGAATATTGTTTTTCTTCTTTCTTTCCACAATTTTTTCTGCGATCGCCATTTGAAAGAATTTGCTCTTTTATTCGATTTCTTTGCCGCATTTCAGCACAAATGGCCATATGGCCATTCCGCTGACTATTAGTTTATATCGAAGAGTGATTTGGCACGTGCGGGAATTTCTAGCATAGAATAACTAGGCTTATCTCTTAATAAACGGTTTATACGCTTATCGAGCAAATGCTTAATACTCTCATCCATTGCAACATGCGACTCGTTGGCATTGGTGTTATTCCAATTATAAGATGTATTAACTTAGCGATCTAAAAATGCATTTTATACGATTTCTTTTCTATTTTTATAGTTTCTACTTGCATCGGTCCTTTGCATAGTTTCCATATTTTCTTGAATGGCCCAGTTAAGGGCCATATCTCCTCATATATCGATGATATATTAATGATAAATCAAGACGATGCAAAGATAACGATGCAAAGATATAATAAAATTAAAACAAAAAAAAATATGATTAAAATATTATTATATTATTCTATTAAACTTAGTCTCCACTTTCACAACAATTTCCCGCATTTCCGAATGAAATTTGGGTCGCATATCCACCTGTCCATCAAACGCTGAAATAAACGAATTAATTGTTTAAAAAATTTAATCTTATCAGATATGAGGAATGTTGCTGAAATTATAAGGCAATCAAGTGTTCGAGATAATGTTGATCGAATAAAGCCATTCGTAAAGGTACAAGAAGATCGACGAATTTCTTCTGAATGGTTTCGAAATAAAAGTTTTCCCGTTTTTGATTTTAATGTTCGAAATATTGAAGAGAATCTCCGACGAAAAGAACAACTTGTCAATAATCTCAAAAAGGAGGTTTGCGATCATTTTTTAAGAATAAATATATTAATAGCGGAAAAAATTTGCAATTTTAGTTTGTCCATAACATTTCCACGAATCCAAGAAAAGTTCTTTAATTCTTTAATTTAATTTCATTTTATTTCTTTTATTTAATTCTATGCGAAATTATAAAATTGTCTAATAAATTTTCGATTTGTTTCCAAAATATTCATCTTTGCCAAGGAGACAATGCCATTCTTTCTATATTTATGGTTCTGAAACCAGCAACATATGGCGCTGTGCTTGATTTCATATTATAAATAAATGATGAATATTTTTGATGCTTAAAAATTTCCCGTTTGTTAAGTTTCGATATCTTAATTTTCTCATTTTTCCATATTTTTTGTTAGTCTTGAAAAGGACAGAATGGCTCAGTAAGTTGTTACTCTCGTTTCAGAGCGCCAGTAATAATATAGTTTCACTCCCAGCAGGAACTTTTCCCCTGATCGCTCTATAAAAAAAAGCGAAAATCGATATGGTTACAAATTGTGCGAAAACGATAAAAAATGAATATAACTAATATATATTAAGTTAGCCTCGAAAAGATCAAGTCTGGGGGTATATGGGGAACCGATAGACCCTTTCGAAATAAGAACTGGTGTCCGTCGAGGCTGTGTCCTTTCCCTTGCAATATTCAACTGCATAATAGAATGAGAATCGCTTACGATGCTAAAGAGATGCACAAGAGTCCAGAGTCAAGAGTCCAGAGCATAGTATCACAGACCTACGCTGATGATGAAGTCCTTTCTCCTTTCCTTTTTGCTGGCAATTATGACGAAATGCAAATAATGCCGACAACTGCAGCGAGATTTGGACTCAGGTTCAATCAAATAAGATGAATCTTTTCATCTTATATACAAGCTGAAGATACATAAAAAATATATTTTTATCAATTCATCGCCGATTGAAGGAGTGCCCGATTTCAAAAGATAAATAAAGATGAATCCGCTCTAATCTCACGAAAGACGAAATTACAACGCGGATAACGGTAGTTAGAAATGCATTCTTTCGGTTGTGAAATTAACATAAAAACGAATGGCCGCATCTATATAGTTGCAGTTCGCTCGATCTCGCTATATGGCTGCGAGACATGGCCAATGAGAGTCGAAGATATTAAACTTATATCTAAGATACATTTTACGGTTCCTTCGAGTGGATAAAATCGCATATGACCGCATTCATCTTCGCTCATATACCACTTGCATTAAGTATCATCGCAGAACTTTTTCGCTGATTGAGAAATATTCTTCGTCGCCTACCACAAGAATTGACATAACATATTTCGTTACTTGCTAAACAGTATGATGGGTGGCGTCAAAAGCGAGGACCAATCAAAACCTGAGCTGATACAATCAGGAAAGATTTTGAATGTATATGGACCAGCGATGCATGGACATAGACGATGGAAAAAGGAATGCCTTCTAGATTGACGATGGCATCGGATCGAATAGCTTGGAGACGTCTTATCATTATAGCTAGCGAAACTTAATCATTACCGTCAGAGCTGTTAGAATAAAAAGAATCCTCGAAAAGAATCATAAATCAGCAAAAGTTTTGTCTTATCAATAGGAAAGGAAGAATAATTTTTCTTTTATTATTTAAGGTTAAATTATTAATGGAAGAAGCAGTAACTCGCCGACACATGAATATAAAAAGTAACTATGTCGCTGCACTGTGTGGTAAGAATATCATTTATTTTTTTATTGGAATTTATTAAGGGAGACTCGTAGACAATGTGATTTGTCAGCTTTTTCGGTCCAATGTCTCCGATGTTTGAAAAATCTTATATAATATTCATATTAATCCATTAATAAAGTTAAGTTGACGATGAGCGAAAAAGTAATGGAAAAGAAGAAAAAAATAAAAAAGAAAAATTAAAAAACATTTTAATTGCTTTTTTTATGTATTTTAAGTTAATTTACGGCCAAAAAAATTCTGAATGATGGATGAATTGGTGGATAAAAATGAAAATGAAAATCACAGCGTTCCCAGTCCTCCATTTTTGCCTTCCTGGTTTTAGGCTATAGTAGTATTCTTTATGGAATTAAACAGTTTTAACAGCGCGCACCATTTCGCATTTGGTTAATTCCGTTAACACAACAGTTTGTTTTCAAATTCCAAAAATTTACGTTAAGTCAGTTATCTATAATCATGTAACAAGTGCTGACAGAATCTGGAAAAGTAGAAAGAACCTTAACAAATCAGATTATTTGCTCTGCGTGAACCAAGTAATTGAACAATATCACATCAAAATTCAAAAAATGGTTGATATCATCAAATCTAATATCATAGGCAATGTGACAATCTGTTAATGCAATAAAAAGTTAACTAGTGATCAGTTATTCCTTATTTTTACTGGATCATGATCTCTTGGCTCTTCTACTTTTGTACATGTTCTCATATCCAAAAATTCGTCGTTTTGGTCAATAATGTAGTATGAAGTATAAAAGAAAAACAGGTTAAGAGGACAACTTACATTATTTTCATGAGATGCATATTTGTTGATGGAAAAAATGCCGAAACCTTCCGTGAAAAGGGATAATGTTCTTATAAATAAACAAAAAGTTTGAAGAATGATGGCAAATTTGCATATAGTAATTGAATGAATTGATAAATGTTTTAGCTGCGATAGAAGAATGTATTTTGGATGGCCTCAAACGACGTTTATTAGGTTTATTCGGTATTCAGTCGACTTATGCACTTATTTATAATATATCTAAATTTTGCCCCGAAGCTGCAGTTGTGCTTTCGAAAATGACACAAAGTGATGAACAATATGGGTATAGAATGCCTTTTGATTGAAATTCGTTAAAAAGTGAACATTAGGAATTACCCTTGAAGTAATATTTTTAAAATTAATACTTTTCTCCGGTTTTAATAAAAACTTAGTAATTATCGTAGAAAAGTAGCAGTTAAACCACTCCTAGAAATTTTTAGGATATGTTACAAAATATTGAAATAGAAAAAAACATCTAAGAATCTTTTCAGGAATAATGTATAAAGCAATTTCAGGAGTTTATTATCGTCAAAATTCGCTTGGATTCAAATCGGTCTAATGGAGAAGAAATTATCTACAATCTTAGAATTCATCCATAGTTCTGTCTTGTTAGTTATTATATTATCATATCACATCATTTTATCATTTTCTCTTACTTCCCTATGGATGGTAATGATCGTATCTTAGCTGTTCCTAATAGTGAGTTCATCTGGAGAGAAATCTCCGATGTTGTTCCGGGAACCTTTTCTAGTCACTTTTCTAGTTTAGTTTAAAAGAGTTCCAAGTGCTCCAATTATCACTGGAATGCTTTATTATTTTGGCCTTTACTTTCCACAGTTCTCTCTTGTTAGTTATATTATCATATTATTATTATAGCATATCATTTTATCATATATTTCAATATGTTGTATGTTTTAATATACAATAAAATAATTCACTATACTCTAAAGGTTTAAAACATAGGATTAGGAGAATCGTATGTTGGTTCGAAAGAGGCAAATAAATTATAATTTTGATTCCTATCTCTTGCATTAGGTAGTAAACCTATTATTAAGTGTGCTGCACACATCTTTATTTCTAGTCCAAACCAATTAAAATCAGAGAGCCAGCAACGATGAGTGATTGAAAAAAGAAAGATGGGCTAAGTTTTAGATAGAATTTTTCGTTAATTTCTTATATATTGAGATTTTTCGCTCGACAGCAAGAAAAAATGTCGAAAATTTTCGTGATTTCAAGAGTTTTGAATTTATTTCCAGAATATTTATGGATTTGTCCAGTAATATTTTAGACGAAAACGATTTAAGAAGAGAAATATTGTGTTTCAGATGCCGCAAATATTATGAAAAGAGTGCATTAATGTTGGATGCAGTCAAAGGTGGCGTCGTTGCTGCTCTTCTTGGTTAGTTTAAATTTCGCAAAAATTTCTCAACGAATAATTTTCATCATTTATATATATATCGAATAAATTTTTGCAGTTCCATTTTTTTTTCAAAAAATTCTTTTGCTGAGCGGTTGTTTCAAAAAATATTCGCGATTTATTTCTGTTAATTTATTTTTTCACTTCTAATCACAATTCAGCTAAGTCTTTTTAAATTTTTAATTTTTTTTTTATGTCTATTTTATTATTTTTTTCAAATTTAATTTTTTTTGTCTTTGGCAGAAGTAAACCTGCAATTATATCAAAAATCCGGGTGGCTGCTGGGAACCAACCTGTAACTCTATCTCCAAGTGATTCTATGGTGTAAGAGTCAGATAACACTTGAAACGACGTCCGCGTCTCCCGACGCGCATATTCCGAGCCCTGTGGTACATAAGATAAGTATACAATCCGGGCTTAAAGCAATCCTAAGGCTGGTAAATAAAATATCGCAAGTCAGGGAAATTGCTCGAAACTTATCAAGAGGAACAGCACGTGCGACGAGGTATTAACCATATCAGCGTGGAACGCTTATGGATGTTGCAAGCCAAGTGATCACTTTCCACACCCGTCTTAGTATCACGTGGATATCGCTTGCTTGTCGGAGGTCCGTCTTCCTTACTTTCGGTCTCGAGCAATGATTAATCCTGGTTCAGAGCAGAGATACTGGCTATATCACTGTGGTGCTTCGCATAACTCGGAACGAAATGGCATAATCGATTGTCATGTCTGACAAAGCCCATTCCACTTTGATTGAGTGGAAATCGGTAAACGACCGTATGGCCTATGCTTGTTTTAAGGGTAAGTTCTGTAATATCTCGGTCATCGTGTCTATGGTCCAACTCTATCGGCAGATGACCGTGATAAAGACAAGTTGTATGCCGAACTTTAACTGCTAACAAAGTCTCTACCGAAACATGATATGATCATAATCAGACTGGGAGACTGGAATGCTCGCGTAGGTTATAATGCAGCTGCAATGACCTCAACAATTGACAAATATGGCATCAGAGACCGGTGTGCCAATGGGGAACGTCTTCTTCGTTATGCCAAACAGCATGAACTTTTTGTTATTAATATTAATATATTTACTAATATTATTAATATTTATTTCCGGCATCATAGAAAATATCTAGTCACGTGGAATTCCCCGGACAACCAACACTTCAATCAGATTAATTAATTATTTTAGTGAGCCGCCGTTGAAAGAGTTCCGTTATAGTCATATATATATATAGTCATACTAAATAGTCATTCCTATCGCGAAGCTGAAACGGGCAATCTGACCATGTTATAGTTCGAGCCAAGATCCGCATAAAATTGACAACTCGCAGAAAACAGCATCCTCCAAGTTCCTTCACTATCTCAAACTAAAAAATTCGGGACAGTGAGCGCATTTCAAATCGAATTATTGAAGCATCTCAATGACACAAATATCAATGATTTTTTGGAACGGCAAATGAATACTGGTCCAAACTAAAGAAATGTCTCCGAAAATCAACCACTTCCACTCTAGGGCATACTAGTAAGAAGTACACTAGTTGGGTATTGGAAGCTACTGTCCAATTGTCAGAAAAAGCTGCCAAAGTACGAATATCAGATGATCCTGACTACCGGGTGCTTCGAAGATTTGCAACGAAAGCAGCAAGGCGGGACAGAAATCTCTATTATAGTGACATGGTCTCAAGAATGGAGGCGGCGGCTCAATTGAGCGACAATAGGAAACTATTCTGCCTTCTTCATAAAGCAACTATGACTCGGGGAACGATCAGTGAAATGGTAAGAGACAGCAATGGCGTACTAATTAAAAGTATTAAGGATCGCCTCATAAGATGGAAAGAATTCTTTGAGGCCAAACTTAAATATGAAGCACCATCTGTTGCCCCTAATATAGCTGATACATTTGCCGATGCATACGCTTGCAATTGCGAGCCTCTAACAGAAGAAGAAATAATTTCAGTTATCCATAAGCTTAAGGTCAATAAAACTCCAGGAGAAGATGGTCTTCGAGCTGAGCTTTTCAAATTTTGTCCTTCATAACACACCTTCAACAAATTTACTCTCTGGTATTGGAAAAAGAAATATTACCAGATGATTGGAACAAAGCAATTCCACTCCCAATTCTCAAGAAAGGTGATAGGACATACTGCGACAATTATCCAGGAATCAGCCTACTAGACGTCTCAGAGAAAATTTTTGCTTCCCCTTTACTCAATAGACTTATGGAAGTATGGGACAGGAGGATGCGCCCTAATCAAGCTGGGTTCAGACCAGGATGCGGTTGTGCTGACCAGATATTCACGCTAAGAAGGATACTGAAATATCGTTTCAGATATTTGCAACCCACTGTCACGTTTTTCATCCACTTTGCGGTTGCCTTTTATTAAGTTGATAGAGAAGCGCTGCGGATGAAACGTGACGGTGTTCTAGAGAAGATCATTCGACTCATTCATTCATAAAGGCATTTTATGAACGCAAGTCTGTGAATATGGGGAACCGACAGATTCCTTAGAAATAAGAACAGGTGTCCGTCAGGGATTCGTCCTTTCCCCCACAATATTCAACTATGCGATAGACTGGATAATGGACACTGCTTGTCGGCACTTAAGAGGTATTCGAATTGGTCCAGAGCATCGTATCACAGATCTTGAATACGCTGATGATATAGTCCTTTTTGCTAATATAACGAAATGCAAATAATACTAATAACGTGTCAGAAACTGCAGCAAGAACCGGACTCAGGTTCAATGTAAATAAAACGAAAGTCTTTTCGTCTTATGTGCAAGAAGCTGATAAAATGCCTCTTTTTGTACATTCATTGCCGGTTGAGGAAGTGCCCGATTTCAAATACCTTGGGTCCACTCTAATACCAAATGGACAGGCAAAAGATGATATTATAACTCGGATCACGGCAGCTAGAAATATTCTTCCCTTGACGAAACCTTTATGGAGTCATCATGATATCACCCAAAAAACGAAAGTCTGCATCTATATAACCGTGATCCGTTCGATCTCGCTATATGGTTCTGAGACATGGCCAATAAGAGTGGAGGATATTAAGAAATTCTGCCTTTGACCACTCTTATCTAAGGTACATATTACGGATCCGTCAAGCGGATAAGATATCGCAAGATCGCATTCACCTTCGTTCAAATACCACTTGCATAAATAATCACAGAGCGCTGCCCTCGCTGGTTAGGCCACATTCTCCGTCATCCACCACATGAGTTGACGCATATTTCGTTTTTTGCTAAACCATGTGATGGTTGGCGTCAAAAACGAGGTGGGCCAATTAAGGCCTGGACTGATACGGTGAGAAAAGATTTTGAACGTATAGGTGGACCAGCAATATATGGACTTAGACGATGGAAAAAGAAACGGCTTCCATTACTATTCACGATATCATCAGACTGCGCCGCTTGGAAGCGTCTTAGTAGTTGGAGTCAACCTGACCAATAATGGTGAGAGCTGTTAGAAGAAGAAGTTCTATTTTTTCATATTTAATTAAATTTATGTAAAATCCAGTATTCTATAAATATTTCATTAAATGCGAAAAATGAAAATTCTCATTGAAAGATGAAAAAATGCAAAAAGATAAATTTTTAAAATGGAATTTGCATTTAAATTATAGTTTTAATTTTTCCTTAGTGTACATTCTTTTTTTGATTTTTCAGGTTTTTTCCTATAAAAAAATTTTTTATTTTTATTTCAACGATTTTTTGCATACCTATTGTATTATCGAATTTTTATCACCTTAGATTATCATATTTCGAGAACAATGTAAGAACGAACCTATCATGAAAAAGATACTGCTGAGAATGTGCCTTAATTCTTTGGCAAAATTATTTCATATTTCATCGTACTAAATATAGCTTACTTGCTGAAATAAATTGTAAATTATCTGATAATTGCTATTTTCCATGCCCTACCCTTTTGCTTTTCATTTTGATTGGCAGATTTATTCCCATTAAGATGCAAAGGCTCAAATCCACACAACTTACCTTTAGATGAGTTAAGGCACCACTGGCTTGCTTATGCTCCCAAAAATAATAAATTATGTTTTAAATATTGAACATGTCAATGAATAACTAATTAACTGTTCGATCGCCTCGACATGAGATAAAAATTTTTTTACTTTTGATAAGGCTTTTGTCAAGCTCAGTACTTCAGCATTCAAGTTAAGCTGCCCACTGAAATTTTGTTCGCTCATCTAGATTTGATCAATTATGGCTAATAGCTGTGAAACATTAAGAACTTTAGCTGAGGCCCCAAAATGTGTTATAAGTGTATTACTTTATGTTACTTGATTCTTCTCCGTTTAGCAGTACGCAAATTTCTCGTTTGGCTGCTTTCTCGACTTCCGCAGTGAGCTATTTCATCTGAGTGCTTCTCTGGCACATTGTGCCAGGTATTTGCTCTCACCATCACTCGGATTTCTCTTTTTCTGGCAGCTTTGCTCTTATCAAATGAATCCATGTTGTTTGAAGAAACAAACAACCATTATGGAGATTCGAAATGCAATTATAATCCAATTTAATTAAGTTGTCTGTGGAAAAATTTATTAGTTTAAATTAAGATGATCCTTCCAATTATTTCGAAAAATTTGCATTTATTTTGAAAATTCTTAAAATTCTTGAAAATAATAATTTTATTTTCATATTGATTTTGCTTTATTGTTCATGAGGATTTTTCGGTTTAATTTCTTTCCGTATAAAAGTAGTCGATAAAAAAATTTATTGATTGGCTCTTTTAAGGAATTTATTTAATTAATTTTTATTAATTATAGGTCGGTTTACTTTATTCAAAATATTTTTTGACGCTAATTTTCACTTTTCTGGATCCGTTTTTTAAAATGTTTTTCGACTGCACTGATTCGCTTCTCCTAAACGTAGTGACTTTAACCATAAATTTTTAGACCATTGAGTTTTTAGTCGAATTGTTTTATTATTATTAAACGTCTCTCTTGGATTAAAACTTGAATTATTATTTGCAAACTTTTGAGAAATTTAATAAAACACGGATGTGCTGGCGACTCACTTTTACTTCTATCACCAAGGGGCTCTCTGGCATGTTTAGTGCGGCGGGCCAAGCGAACCTAACCAGTAATCGTGCTCAATCGAATGCTCAAAAACAAATTGAAATTGAAATCTAATACCGGAAGAATTTATTGGTAGTTAGTGGAAACCGATTTCTCTCGTGAAATTTTGCTCTTCTCTACTGCTAGGTCCATATAAATCGCTTGGAAGGTACCAATCGGCACATGCGATCTCATGTAATTAATGCGATCGGACATTGATGAAATGCGGTTGATTGGACACTTTTGGTCTCACTTTTTGTCTCAATTTTAATTCATTTCCATCCTTCTAGAATAGTAACTTTGTTGAAAGTTATTTAAGATAATAGCGTTGTTGTTTTAAGCATTCGTTTGATTTTATTTAAAAAGCTCGTCATTCTTCTTTTTCAAACTTTTCTCGCTATTATGGAATAGAAAATTTAAATTTAAGATTTCCTGATTTTCATTTTAATGCATTGATGGATTATCTGGAAAAATTGCAGAAAAGTTAGCAAATGCTTTTCTTAAATGCTTTTTTTTGCTTTGCATAATTTATTTATAATTTAAATGCATATTGCACAGAGAATAAATCTCGATTGTTTTAATTGTTTATCTGAGAACAACCGGTGACGAAAGGTGGTTGAGGCAGTGGAGTGGATTCGACTGAGATGAGGCGAATGTTCCCGACATACTCCATTCTTGTCCGCTGATACGAGCAATATTAGCTGGTGAAAAGCAGGTGCGACGATGTCTTACTGATCCAATTTTATATTCAAGTGGCTTTCTGGTGAAAAAATCTCACGTTAATAATTGAAGCCAAGCAAATTATACAATGGTGAATACTATTGGAAAAAGGAGGGAAGGAAGTCGAAGCAAAATAAGGAATGCAATATATTTAACTTTCAATCAAACGATATCACTGAATGAATCCCCAAATATTGTAAATAACTTGCCGATGGATGGATATATACAATGCCTTATCATGTTTTCTTTTTTTGTTTTTATCATTGATTTGTTTCGTTTATTACTGAAATATTAGAATTATTGCATTCCTGCGATAAAAATTTTATACGTGTTTTCCAAATTATTAGAGATTTTGAAAAAAAATCTCATCATTATTAAAGGAGAAAATATAATAATTTCATCGTAACTTTAGCAAATAATATTAGAAAGGATCAATCGAATTGCATAAAATTTATTTAATTATATAATAATTATAATTATTTCTTCTGCTTCAAACGGCACGCATCATTTCTGATTTGATTGGCTATTAGGTCGAATGTTTTGCACGAAATGGAGGAAATACTGGTGACAATCACCTCTAAAGCGCTTAATTAGCTAACTTTACGTGCGTGAAGCTTATTTGTTTTATTTAATACTTCGAATTTTAATGATAGGAAGAGGTGACTGCGCTTTTGGCTTTTATTCGCTTATCGCCTTTGCATTTTTCCATTTTTTTCTCGATGAATGAATGCATTTCTGCCATCTAATTCATCATTTATTTTCTCAAGAAATGGCGATTTCAGCCTATTTATGATTTTCAGTTGGTCCTTGTGCAGTTGAATATGCTATAATGATTGATGCTGATTTATGGTCAGATCCAACAGCTGATGAACTTGTCCAGCGTCATCGACTTCACTCATCAACAAGCAATAGCTCAAGTACTTCTACTCGCCCACCCTTATCAGTATATATATATATATATTTTTTATGTTACGATTTCTAAATGAAGTTCAAAGATTTTAGATGTGTTTTCTCTTAAAAATTCATATTCTACTATTTATAAATTTTTCGTGCTATCGATCCGTTGATTGAAATTTAATATTTATAAAAGCAATATTTTCCCTTTGCCTTTTGCCCATTATTTTCAATAAATAACCTGTTTAATGCCCGTAATGATCGAATGAGTATCGAATCATGAATAGCTTTACTTGAATTCAAGTAGAATGAGCTCGACTTCTATCTTCCGATGGGAGTAAACTTATCACTGAAAGTGAAGTGAAGTCCAGTTAGGAAATTCATCTCTAAGTGGATCTTTTACGAAATATTCTCCAATAATTAAAACTGTCAACAAAATCAAAAATATGTGTTGAATGATGTTGATAACGATGGAGGATCAATAAACATTTCGAAATTTTGCCGAGTTTCGGATATTCTACTTAAGAAACAATATTTTAGAATAATAGAATTTAGTGTCAAACTGCGGTTGCCTTTTTTAATATTTCGTCCAAAAACCTAAAAGAAAAAAGCAAAAATTTAAAAAATTTTTTAAATTTAATTTAAAAACAATCGAAAATCATTGTCCTTATTTATTCAATGCTTTTAATGCTTTTATGATCTAACATTGCTATGGTACCTTTGATTATTGAATTTAGGTATTGCGAGGTGGGAGTAGTATTGTCAGTAGCACGGAGAGTTATTCACCTACTCTTTGTTCATTTGGTCGAGATTACATATATTCGCTTCATCAAAATGTAAAATATTCTCTTCTATACGGTAAGAATAATGTTCTCGTAACGGTGGCTTCAGACACCGATCCACTCAAAGGATATTTGTCATTACATCAGAATTCTCCTGGAAATGTGACTGTTAAATGGACGCCAAACCAACTTATGCATTCTAGGTGAATATTTTCGAAATTTCATTGAAAATTTAAGGATAAATAATATTAGCGTATACGCTAACTAAGCGCATTCGCGATGATTTTTTTCAATAGAAAAATCTTTATCCATTAAGTTTTTCATAAAAGATACAGGTGTCGGTCTTGAGATCAGATCAGACTGGGTCAGCTCGTCTTTAAATTCGGCACGGAAAATTGCAGCAGAATTGAGTTGTGCTCGTCACATCAGAATAACTCTCACTGAAAGATTGATTCACAGATTGATTGATAACTGAATATAATTGTTGGATTATATTTAATGAACCATTTTAAAGCAGAGGAAGGTAGTGCATTCAATAAATTAAGTCTATCCGTAAAAGCGCATTCGTGGCGATTTTTATTCGCACCATTAATTGCCGAATGATTTCCTTCTTCACCTTTCTATGTCTATTTTAAAAAATCAGAGTTTATAATAGTTTATAATATTATAGAATTTATAATATTGTATAATATTGTTTGGATTTATTTATAATTGATTGTAATGCATGGCTTATTTTTATGATTTATTTATAACCACTTTAAGTTCCTAAAAGTAACTTTATTTCTTTCCAACATTTTCATTTAGATTTACGAATGCACTTCTTTTAGCAGTTCGCACCATTGCTGGTTTGTCTAGCTGCACTGGCAAACTAAATAAAGTAGGGATAACGGACTTAAGGAAACGCATTTCTGAATCTCCTGATCAGAAGTTGAAAGTAAACTAAACTTTCTAACTTCCAAGCCTGTAGTATATTGCTGTTTAAAATCTCCCTCACCGTATTAGTCCATGATTGGTCCTAATTGAGCACCATCCAATATAGGATTATCATATTATGCATCAATTCCAATGATGGGCTTGTGACGGTATTGATGCAGATAGCAATCGAGCGAAGGTGGATGCAATTATGTAGGGCTCTATTGTCTTGATAAAAACTTGTGCCTCAGGCAAAAATTGTCAACGATGAATTCATATCTTGAGAGTATACCTACCATAACCAATTGGATATGAATTTTTAGAATGATTTTGTGGTGATTCAAAAGAGGCTATGCCAGAAAATAAACTTAAAGTCGCATCTATTCAAGCCGAGATTTCATCTTTTAGCTAACAAGCGAGTAGATTCGAAGTATTTAAAGAGTGTCCCTTGAATAGAAATCCCTGATCTGCAAGACGAGAAGAGTTTCGTCTTATTTATATTAAGGTCAGTCAGGTCGCTGCTGCTCTCAAATCTCGTCTACCGAAGTCCCTCATAAATACCGGTGAAAAGGGCGACATTGTCATTAACATAGTACGTGGTGCTATGAACTGATTTGCTCTTGATTGTCGGCAAGTTGCGTCCATAACCCATCTTTAGTTGAAAATAGGAAAGAAGATGCAACCATGATGCACAGCATTTCGTATTTCGAAAGGTTGTCTTTTAGAGTTATATTTTTCCAACACTGGTTTTTTTTGCAATCACTGCAAGTCTATGGAGTTGCCGATAACCTTAATTTGACATAGTCAAAAAATTTTAAGGGGCACTGTGCTCGCTGTCAATTTCATCTGGACCTTGTTTTCAACCATATGGCTATCTTGTGTTGAACTCTCCCAGTGACCATTGACCAAGATATACATAATTTGGTAATAATATAATATTCGGATTTTGGCTACCTGGAGAGTTCCAATCAATTAGATGTTATCTGCAGTTCAAAATGCATTTATTGGTATCAAAAAAGTCCATGCTACTCAGCAAAGTGGAGAAGACGCTTTCCATTGACACCCCTTGATTCCTTACGCGATACTTGCAGGAGATACGAAACAGTGGAATAGTGGAACAGTGGAGATACGAATCATGCCATATGCGAGCATTCCAGGTTTCTTCGACCACAAATGCTATTAATAGATGAGGTTCTGCATAGAATTTATCCTTATCAAATGGTCAGCGTAGGAACACTAATGATTATGATCTTGCAGAAGTTGCTTTCAAATGAGGCATAGCCCATCCAGACATCTCCACGCTATTGGAATTTTTTTTCAGTTATCCTAGCCACTGCTATAATGATGCAACCGATAGTTCTTATCCGAATCAGATACTGCTACTGCTCTGAACGTGAAATTAGAAAATTTTCAAGAGACAAGCGATTTTTACACTATATTTGAATAACATATGGAGCAACATTATCATCTGAACGGTTCACTATTTATACAGCCAGTTGCTGATTTTCCGAAGTCCTTAAGTATTTGTCTCGGCTCGAGAACTTTTATTATTATTATTTTACTTTCTTTACTATTACCATTAATCCATTACGTGCTTCACATAGGCACCACCAGTGTCTTTTGGACTAAAATGCGTGAATTTTTTCTTCATAAAGGTTACCAGGAATAAAGAAACGAGTGGATTTCCAGAAGCCAACCGGATTTAACTTTAATGGCAGGTTTAAATGTTAAATGTCTGTGAAGATAAGCAGTGAAATAATATTTTAATTATGGTGAATAAGAAAATATTGTGAAATTTCTATGGAAAATTACGGATAAATTATTAATGCCACTTTTTACTCTTTCTTGGATTGTTTTTAAATAAAAGAATATTAAAATATAATATCAGCCAACAAACATCATTTGTGAATACGAGCATATTAGTTTCTCTTTAGGTATTAAACCATATTATTTTAAAAATATTACTATAAATTCCGTTAATTTAAATTTTCTGAGTCAATTTACAGTTCGGAACCTAATTCTGCTGCGATTGATATTCCACCTCATTATGATAATAATTGGTTATGGCGACATACAATTAATATCAATATTAACGATATTATTTATATTCATATTCATCAGCAAAGTAATTTTTTCTTTCGGGTTTTGAAAAAAAAGGTTGAATTCGAGAATTTTCGTTATATTATAATTCGTATTGTAAGGTGAAGATTCATCGCCATCATTGATATTTATCGGGACTGATGGTGTGCAACATTCACCAATGCATTTTCCAATTGGACAACATATCCTCGCCTTTCTATCCTGTTTGGAGAGCGGGTTGATGCCGTACAATCGTCTCGATCCTCCATTATGGATATCTAAGGAAAAAGGTCGATTTATACAACAATTATTCTTACTTTTAGGATATTATTTAGTTAATTTTGTGGAGATTTCTTCGCTTTTCTAAATGAATAGAATTTGAATAAAATTCTATTCTTCTTAAATTTTGCTCATTTTGCTGTTTTCTTTATAGCTGATATATTTACTAGTAATTGTAGGTAAGATTCTGCCGAAATTGCGTCGTCGTTCGAGTATTTCTATGTTAGATTCGACAAGTAACACTGAAGGACAAGAGCTGCATGATTACGTATTTCGAATAATTCCAATATCAGTGCCAACGATGAACATCTTCGTGCAGAATACTGGCAATAACTCTATAACCGACCTGGTTCTTGATGAACTCGTCACCGTTCAAGAATCACCGAAACAATTCATGGACGAAAATAAGTGGTAAAGCTAATTGCACAACATGTATTTTGAAGTAAATTTGATCTTACTGCATTAAAAAATTACAAATGCTTGCATAAGTTAACGTATACGGTGAAATGTATATATTCTGCTTGGAAAAGAAAATTTAAGTTTTAATTCTAAAAATTTTAGCGCAAGTTCAATGGTAGCAAGACGTACGGAAAGCGATAATACACAAGACAGAACTGTCAGGTCAATTCTTTGCATCAAGAAACTTTTATTTTATTTTAGTTTTTTTCGAAATTCAAATATTTTCCTTAATGTGAGCAATTTAACTTTCCATTAACTTAACTTTATCCGCAAAAATTGTTCAAGAATTTCTTCACTTTCATACATCCCGTCCCTCGGCGGAAACAAAAGTGAAATACGATTAGGCAACTCCATTTTTCTCTTTGACAAAGAGATCTTATAAGAAGAGAGATCTATATTAAGAGGCCTTTCTAATCGTCAATGGAGCCAAAGAGCCAGACCAGAGGTTCCGATTGTTGTTAAATGAAGAAAAATCCCTGCTATGCTTCAGTTAATCGCTTTGAATTAAATATTATTTTATATTATTAAATATTATTTTATAAACCCAAGAAGATACATTTCAGTGGGATTAATCTAATCAGTGGGATTAATTTTCTTCCTGTCAAATCGCTAAATCAGATATTATTTGATTATTTCAGACAGAAATTAAACAATGCTTGCATGTCGATGAAAACTCAAATTCTCGCTCGAGCTTTTTATGGATGTTAGTTGTATTTCCAATCTTTTATTGTCAAATTCGAACAGAGTGAAATTTTAGGAAAATTTTTAAAATCTCGTTGAAAACTCTAAAGAAAACTATTAAGAGTACCATCAAAGTAAAAACATGAAATTCAAGGGAGGTAAATGAATTTTCGATCCAAAGAAGATGGTAAGAGAGAAGAATTCGATAAAAATTAATCAAATTTTGATTATTTTATTGTTTTCTGAGTTTCGAGCTAACATTTAAAAATGTTTCATAAATGAAGCGAACTCTGTTGTTGAATTTAATTTTTGACCAATCCACTATTTCTCCCGAAACAACTTTTTTCCAAATATGAATAAGCGAATTAAAAATTTAACTAAATTTCATTAAAACCGTTTATAAAGAGAATAATCCTTTCCTAATAATAAATAAATAAATTATAAATTTGGTAAATCTCAAATCTATTTTAAAAATCTATTTTTACCTGGTAAAGAGATTCATTGAAATAGTATTTTGAAGATTAGATCGACGTAATGGTGAAAATTCTCGATTTCAGGGAAATCGTACTGTTGTCATTTACGAACCATAAGGATGCATTTATCCGGGCTTTTTATTAATGATCGAACGGTTGTGAAAACCACTTCTGAACCAGTGAATGAAGCATTTTGGTCAAAATGCCGTTCAGTTAAATCTGTATGAATTTTTGCCTATAAACTTGTGAATTCTCTTTTCTTTTCCAATATTCAGAAAATTTAGGAAGAACTCGAGCGAGAATGCTTACTAAGAATTTATTATAACGGCATAGACGGAAAGGCTTCATCGATACTTCGAAAGCAAATTTGGCCATATTTACTGGGTCTGCTGAAATGGAAGGAAGATTTGGTCGATAAGCTGGGGATTTTAACTGCGAAGTATAATGACGACATTGAAAAATGGAAAAAAATAGAATTGATTGTTCAGAAAAAGGACAAAGAAGCACTAGCAGCTGGTTAGTCGTTTTCTTACCTGTTAATTTGAAAAAGATGAATACATATCGGCACCACTGGCATATTGGTGCTTCAGTGTCAGCAAATTAATATTCGGTTATGCGCTTTTACAGCAGAAATATTTAAATTCTAATGAAAAAATTGGAGTACCATCTAAAGTCCTTTTAAAGAAGTACCATTTAAAGCTCTTCTTTTCTTACAATATTTGATTTTTCTAAAATTGAGATTTAAAAAATTACAATGTTTGAAAACTTTTGGTTATTATAAGTAAAGTAATCTAGTGGATTAAATTTCAGCTCGGCATCGTTCATGCAGTGCTGAATTAGATTCTTCCAATTGCGATAATGAAATATCCCATGAGAATGATGCGAGATTTTCAAAAATGAGCAAGAAAGTTTGTTTAAGATTCCTTAATTATCGAATGACACTGGAACAATTTAGTAGTTTAATAGCATCCTAGTTTTTAATTTGTCAATTCCGTTCAAAGACAAAACTTCAGTTCACTTTATTACTCAGATGGTACCATTAAACAAAACTGGTAACTTCTCGCCAGTCGCAATTTTAATAATTTATATAATCCAAAAAATATTTAGGATAATTTAATTCATGAATTCGGTGTTAATCTGCATCGAGTGATAAAAGACGTTGAACGTTGCGATCGGACTTTTTCATTCTTCGCTGAAAATGACAATTTAATTAAATTAAAGCGTGTAATGTGCACATATATATGGAGAAATCTAAAAGATGGATATATCCAAGGAATGTGCGATCTTGCAGCTCCATTGCTTGTTCTCTTCAATGACGGTATTTTAGTGATATTTTTTATCTGCTGATATAAAACTTTCTCTGTTAATCTATTGTCGATGAATGTCAGTTTAACATAACAAATCTTCATTATCTCGAAAAATAATTGTTTTTGGTGTCATTTTTTAATTTTTTAATCGGACATGTTTTCGGAAATTTATTCCTTTATTTTTAGAAGCATTGACTCTTGCGTGTTTTGACCGTTTAATGTTGAAAATGAAATTGAATTTCCCGCAGAATACAGGTATGGATGACAACCTCGCCAATATGCGATCACTCATACAGGTTAGCTTTTACAATTCACAGTACACAATTGTTCAACTGGTTTCTTCAATATAATTGTTTAGGCTGCATAGGCGAGTGGTTAATAACACAGATTGCCGTATTGCCGTATTAGAGTAGTTCTACTCCTGCTTTCTTTATAAATCTATATTGCCAGATAGCTAATAATCCTCTACTGCTTGGCACAGACAGTAATAACAGTCAGTTGAGAGAACTCTAACTGAAACGGATAAGCGTTTGAAGCTTTTTCTTAAAATACATGAGCACTCTTTATTTTTATCAATAGAAATATTTTAATTCAGAGAAATACTTTAGTTCACTTTACTATTACCGCTTTAGACCAAAATCTATTATTTCATTACAAATTGTTCAATACAAATTGTATTTTGTTTAAGGTTATCGATCCCCAATTATATGAATTTATGTCAACTAATGGTGATTTTACTCATCTTTATTTTTGTTATCGTTGGTTTTTATTGGATTTTAAACGTGGTGCGAATTATTTCATTCAATATTTGATTTAAATATTATTTGATATACAATATTATAAAAAGAAACACTCGCATTCTGTGAATATTTTCAGTTTAATTTTAGAATTTACTTATTCTCAAATATTCAATGTATGGGAAGTTATATGGGCTGTGTCATCATTAATAACACCCCATTTTCAACTTTTTATTGCGCTTGCATTGATATCAAATTATCGCCGCGTTATCATAGATAATAAAATGGATTTCACGGATGTTATAAAATTTTTTAACGGTAATGCTAATGCTTATTAATGTTTATTAAATGTTGATTTGATGTAAGAAAAAATGGTTGCATGATTAAGGATAAAAATACGGTAATTCATCAAGGAACTGGGAAAGCCTAATAATAAAATTATTGAAAGGATGGTAAAGAATCTAAAGAATGAATATTTTCTTATAGAAATGGCCGAACACCATAACGTTGACGAGGTGCTTGATTCTGCACGAAATCTACTCGAACGATTACAAAATATAATTTATGAACTCAACGAAAAATCATAACTGAGATAACTATTTGTGTCAGACTTTGCGATTTGTTCTTTTATCTATATTTGACGAACTTTGCTGATATAAAAGATTTTATAGGATATTGTGGGAGCTCCATGGCTTTCATCTTCAATTAAGTGAAACACGACAGAGGGAAATATTAATGGCTATAATGGAGCTCAGTTATTTAAGTGGTTTTTAATGCTTTTTATTACTTTTACTAGAAATGATTACCACTTTGTAGAATGAGATTTGTACATCCAATAAGCTTTTAACGCATTCTAAAACCCCAGTAATTTAAAAAAAACAGTCTTGAAATATTTAGTCATTAGTTCATATCGTTATCGTTATTTATGGGTATCTTTCAATTACATATTTTTTTGATTTCATGTATACATCATTATTGTTCACTATGGCTTCCACATTCAACCACACTTCGTCAATCTAATTTCTAAGTCATTTATTTTAAAACCCTATAACTTTTAGTTAGCTTTTGGTGCTCATCACGTAATTTCTGATTAGGCTTGCTCCACTAACTTTTGACGAAGAGTGATGTGCATTCCCTACTATCCTTCGGTACCTCTTGCTACATCAAAAGATCTCTTAAGTCTAACCTTTTATTATCGTTCGAGTTTATATTAAGTAATCGAGCGATAGCGTTTTTTTCTAAGCTGTGAAATAGTTAAAATTTTCTCTGAAAATTTTCCCGAATATATCCGAAGGACTATAATGCGTTTTCCATTTCTCATAGCTTCATTGGCTGCTAATTGGCTTATTTTTCCATATTTATTTATTTATTCTTTTAATAATATTTTTTTCTGCCAGGAGCAGGGACCGTACTGAGACGTCTGAAAGGAATCTAGACAACGCACCACTCGATTATAATTGCCTCCTATAATCTGCTGATGAAATCTAGGGTTTTAAAATTTTTTGCACCTTGTCATACTATCTTCATTTTGGACGTAAAAGTATAATTCTCACGTTCATGTATATAAAAATTATTATGAAATATTTCTATAGAGCATTATTTATTTATTTATAAATATTTATTTATCTTTTTGTATTTTCCGAGAGTGTATATGTACAGAAAGTGCATACGTTAATGCTACCTCTTGCTACATCAAAAGATCTCTTAAGTCTAACCTTTTATCATCGTTCGAGTTTATATTAAGTAATCGGGCGATAGCATTTTTTTCTAAACTGAAATAGCTTTTTAACCTCTCTGAAAATTTTCCCGAATATATCGGAGGGACTATAATGCGCTTTCCATTTCTCATAGCTTCATTGGCTGCTAACTGGCTTATTTTTCCATATTTATTTATTTATATATTTATTTTGAATTTTTAGATTACACTTTTCACTTTCTTATTTTGTTGTTTTTTAAGCTTTTCCTGTATTTCCTATGTTTCCAAATTCATTTTAATTCTATCTGTTAAAAATGTTTATAAATATATTTACACTATTTCATTTCATTTTATAAATTTTTCGTGTTACTGTTTAATATTCGATATTTCTATTCATTTGTTCTATTTTTATTTTTTGCAGTTTTTCCATTTTATTTTTTTTCTATTTTTCTATTCATCGTCATCTTAATTTTATTTGATTTAATGGTGAAATTCCTAGTTTCTGTGATTATTTCTGTTAAATCTTATTTCATCTCGAACAGTGTCTTTTCTTTGGTTTTCTTCTAATTTTAGGAATTTCCAAACTATTTATTACAAATTTGCTTAATTTATATTTATCAGATATTATTATTTATTTGTGAGCTGTAACTTTACTTGGGCTATCTTCAACCCGAAGATTTCTTCTTTCGAAACTCTGTTTGATAAAATTTAGCCGTTATCGTAGTTTGCGAAATAAATACAATTGTATCATATTTAATTAGCAGAATTAATTAAAATTATTGACTTTAATTCAGACAACATCTTCAGATATTTCATGGTAAAGAAAAATTACTATAGAAATGTTACATACCACTTAAATGGCTTCGAATGAAATTCAAGAAATATTTCTGAAATCTGAAGTTCGATGAACTTTGAGCCATTGACGTAAATATATTTTATATAAATTTGCATTCGAGCTTTCATAAATATGGGTACATAATTTTTTTGCAAGAAAACAAGTAATTGCTTCATCTCTCAAATCAAGAATTGTCGTTTCTTCCATTCCGAGCCAAGGCTTGTGCTGTCAAAAACGCTAAGAGATCCAATTAATAAAAATATTGAACATACAATAACGATTAGAGTGTAGAGAATAGTACAGCGAGTATGCGGCGAAAAAATAAATGTCTTCAGTCAATTCAGCAATGGAACCGGGTCCGATGGCTCGGAATCGTCTTGCCGCAATGCAATACTCTCGAATCAGCAGTGATCCGAGCTGTTAGAAGAAGAAGCATAAGCAAAAATGAGAAATAATTTACAAACAAAATTTAAAAATAAATTTAAATCACTCAGTGTAAAACAAATCAATCTGAATTGGCTTTGTCCTCATTTATACGCTTAGCGTCAGCGATATTTTGATCGTTCTATTTTATAATTTTCGCTAATTCCCATTTTCATTGAATGAATTTTTTGCGGTGTATTTCTTTAGTGAATCTAAACAGAATAACGTTAAAGGCACTATAATCGCATCAAAATCTTACAATTTTATGAAAAAAGGAATTACAAAAGGAAAAAGGAAATGAAAAAATTTTACAAATCTCAAATCTGAAGAGAGCCTTAAACTGGCAAAACTTTCAGATTGTTGATTTCACGCGAATAGAAGCGAAATAAATAAATGGGTGGCACATTACTTACACAATAAGGTCAGTCTTTTATTAAGTTCAATAGGTGTGCACTACACCTTCTTGTCAAAAGCGAAACCCTGGTCCAAGCTGATGATGCAAAGGCAATAGGTCTCTGGCAGACCGATTTCGCCCTAACAAATAGTGAATTTTGCAGAAACCAGGAGTTGTAAGTGCTGTTGGAAGAAGAATATTAATCACCAGGACTTTCCAAATTGAAAAAAAAAATAATTGCTGACAATAGTTCCATTTTTCTATATAATAATTTAAAGAAGAAATTTAAAGAAATAGCAACCAAATAAAGGTTCGAGTCTCACTGGCCTGGCTACGTTCTTTTTCTCCTCTGTACTTTCGAAATTCCATGAGAAATATTGTTTATCAGAAAATCGTTTATAAATATTTCGGTCATCCTAAAAAACTGAAATTTTCCAGGCTTTCCAGGAATAGATATATAGCCAACATTAATTTTCACCAATCTGCATATTTTCCGCTATTTTTCTGGTCCTCCTTTATTTTTTTGGATTTTGAGAAGGCAATATTCGTTCATATTTTTTCTTTTTTTTCATACCTTTTTCGTTGTTTCTTTGCTTTTTTTATATTTTTTAATTTTTTTCTTAACATAAAAGGCATTTTAATTTAAAATTTTAAAAAGATTATTTACTTTAGATGCATTCGGAAATATTTTCTCTGTCGTCCCAGGTTTTTGCCCGTCTTTTTTAGTTTCATTTTCTTCTTTTTTCAAATGTTTGAGGATTGATGGCTTAGTTTTTTGCCCTTGAAACAAATTGCTTTCCACAGACTTATTATCTCCATATTTATTGAATAACTGATCATTTGGCCGATAGTTTTGATTTGATGGATTACCGTTTTCAGCGATTTTTTTCGATGAGCAATTGCTATTCAGCAGCGAGTTTGTCCGAGTTCTATTTTCTGATAATTTTTCCAGTAAGTTCTCTAATCGTTCCATTATTAACGAGGGTTGTTGATCAGATTCCTTCGAAAAATCCCTGGACTTAATTTCTCTCTCTCTTATTCTTCTGCTGATTTGAACATCTTTTTTAGATCTTTCTTCCGCATTTCTAACAATATTAGCAATTATCAAATCATTTTCGAAATTAATTGATTCAAGAGAATTCGAATCGCATGAATCAATACCTAACTTTTTTTCCGAAACAATTGGTACCAATTTTCTTGGCACCAATAATTTTTCTGTTTTTATATTGTTCATTGCCTCATCTCGATCATTAGTCGTTAACTGGTCATTTAGACATGATGATTTACAACAACGAGTTGGCAGACGACAAGCTATCTTGCGAGCGATAAGATCCTTAGCTCCAACTTTGTCTTTGTGCGGTTTGATTGACTGATCTTTAGAATTTTTCTGCCAATTGGGGCGTAAATCATCTTCAGTGTAAATAATAGGAAGGCTTCCTCTTGAGCGCATTTATTTCCTGTCTATATCTTGTAATTTCATTTACTTGAAATTTTTCTCGCTTATTTCTCGCCTGTGAAAAACCTAAATCAAATGAAAATCTAGGTTTATCATATGTAAAAAAAGTAATTGTAAATTCTTGAAAAAGTATATTATTTATTAGAAAGAAAATTTTCAGTTACCCACGAAATAAATATTACGTAGTATTATGCCTCAGGGAAATTTTCGTTGTTTTGGTAATCGGTATTCAAAAGGCATTTCTCTTGTGCTTTTTGTTTCATATATTTGTGTCAAAAGTATGCTGAAGAAGAAGTTCTGTCATTGTCATAGTTGTCGTATAAGTTTTGCACTTATTTTTTAGTGATTTGCTTCCGAGAAGAATCGTCTTTTTTTGAAAATTCCTTGGTTATATCTATTTTTTAAGCCCTCTACTTCTCATTTATATGTCATTTTCTCATCGAATTTGCCATTGATCCGTTTTCTTTTTTGACGAATGGGAGGGAACACGAACATTGCAGAAAATGATGGTATTAGTGAGAAAATACGCTCGCTATAGACGAAATCTAAGTCGAACCCAGTTTTTTTATAGAATTTCGCAGCAACGCTTTTTCATGAGCGGTGAGAAATTTAGAAGTTTAAGTTGGATCGCTCACCTTCTTTATGATGTCGCTCTTTATCGCTCTTAGAGGAAAATCGCATTAAGAATTAAGCTTTTAAGTATTAAATTTGATTTGCCAGCAATATCCACACCAGCGAGCTTTTGGCGAAAAAAATAGCCATTATTTGTTTGCAGAAAAATACTACAAGAATGATGAATGAAATCAAAAAAGAGAAACAATCGTCAAAATTGAAAATAAAATTTAATTTGCAGAAAAAACTGAGTTTAAAAGGTTTTTTAAATAAAAGAGAGCAATAAAATTTCCATTTATTCCCGTTGTTACCCATAAAGATTTTTTGAAAAAATTAAATTTCAAAAACGCGAATTCGCTTGACTTGCTGTAGTCAGCCGTTCAACATTTACCAGATTCTGTGGGAAATAAAATTCATTCGAATCATCCAAACACATCTCATATAACCCATTATTAAAACTGTAATTCAAGGTCCCTAAAAATTTACAAATAGTTAAGTTATTTTTGCGAAATGAGTTACTATTTTTACCAATTTACGTCATTTTAGCGATAATTGGAGAGAAATAAATAGCTATTTACCAATATGTCCTATGGAAAGAGAATCCATTAATACTCCATGAAAACTTCATGTTGTGTGGCTTTTTTATATTAACAGCTCAATAAAAATATGAAATGGCACTCTTAAAGCATGTGAAGAATAAATTTCTCTTTGCCATTCAAATTAAATAATGCATGAGACTCTTAAAAAATAAAGTGCGATATTTTAATGAATTTGGTATAAATCGTTTAGCCAAAATAAATGTCAACTTATTGTGGATAGCCAATAAATTTTTAATTTTCATAAGTTATTAATATAAACATTTTGTTAAGTATTCGATGAAAAATATCGCTTCGAAAATGCAAATTTATGAAAAAAGAAGAATTCCTGGAATTTGAGATCGGAAATCTAAAAAAAATATCCTTCGATTAAGGAATGTCGATGAGTTTATTCATAAAAAAATTTTTACGCATTTATAATCGAAATATGCGAAAATTCTATAAAGAATTCGCTAAAATTATAAAAATAATTTCCATATGAGATAATTATATTCTTTTTTATTTCATTGTGCAAAAAGAAATAATTATTTCTTATTAAATGCATCGCGAAATGCGTTTAATGCTTGGTCGTTAGCCTAATTAATTAAATTCAGATAAATCGGAAATGAAACTGGAAAAATGGCAAACTTTTAGAAAATAATAGATAGGAGATTTTGAAAGAAAGAATTTATCAAGAATTTGCAATCGGAAAATTTAATGAAATTCATAGAATTTAATGGTCGCTTACGATTTTAGTCGAACCACTTAAAGCTTAGCAACTAATTCTCGAATTTTTTTCACTTTCAGAACGATTAAATCGTAAATCACCAATATTTCTTTAAAATCAATTTTTAACTTACACTGTGTTGTAAAATCATTTAAACATGAGCCTTATAGCCGTATAGGTCTTGAATTTACAAAATCACAAACAAGAACAATAGGAGAACGCTGCAAGTTAGATTAGGTGGGAGCATTAAGAAAACATGAAAACAAAAAAATGTTCCTTGTCAACATCATGATAACCTTAGTTTCGGCCTTTAGCCCTGTTGCAACAGCTATATTATAGTTGTTCTGCAAAATATTACCGACTTGATTATCTTTTAAAACTATGACGATGGCGAACAGATCCCATTGAAATCTCAGAGTATTGAGATATTGACTCAATCCAGTAGCCAAAACTAAGAATGAGGAATTTTACAAATGGGGTGGAAAAATTCGCTTAGTAATTATTTAAGGATTTTTATAGAGCACAAGAGGTTCGAAAAACATTAATATTTGAATATTAGACGTATCCTTTTTTCAACAGCATTTAAAATTTGGCCATCAACTGATGGAGTGAAACTTCTTCGTCAAAGAATCAAGTTAAATTAATGTAAATTACAGCCAAGTCTTCAGAATCACTTGAACATCGTCTTTAATTTAGCTGTTATTCTTGTTAAGTCACAAGAAATTAGCACGTAATACTTGGACTCAAAACAATCTATTATTGGCCATTGCGCTTCCCAGCTTTAAAATCATTTTCTGTCCTAAAGAATACAGAAAAAATAATTAGAATTATTTTAACGGTTCAACTTTCGCATTGAATTTAATTAATGGCATTATATCTTTAATTTTGGCAAATTTACACATTTTCGACAAATTGCATTTACCTAATTTTCCTGTTGTCGATGATTTTAATACATTTTTTCGCCAAAAGTCGCTAATAGTATCAGTGATTTTCTGCGAATATAAATATATAAATATATAATATAAATATAAATACATATACATGCAGATGTACAAGAGGAGAATGGCACATTGGGTTGTTGCTTTCATTGCTTTCATTGGGTTGAGTACTTCTGATGATGGGATTCTATTCCTCAGAAAAAAAGCTGTCTTTCAAAAACGAGAATGACACGGGGGGCTCATTTGTATTTCTATCGTAATCTGCTATCGGGCAAAACTAATCGTTTGTCGAACAAGCCACTACCACTGAAGTACATTATATTTAACGGTGGAAGATGTCTCAGATTTTAAATATCCAAGATGGAATTCATCTATCGCCTGGCCATCGGATTTGCGAGCCATTTACACCAAGATTCGATTATGGACATTGAAGAAGTGTGCAAAAAGTCAATTCAGAGTAACGAATGCTAGAGTGTGTGTCGGCAGCACAGCAAAATTAGTTTTCAAATTAATATAAATAAAGTAAAATTCTTTTCGTCTTATATAGGCGCGTAACCAGCCTCAGACAAAAGTTCACATTCATTTGGCTGTAGTGCATACAATAGTTGGCTATATGATTTGGCCAATGAGAGTAAAAGATATCAGCAAGCTATCTAAATCTGATCATCCTTGCATAAAGTTTGGTTTACTCACAAAGTTTCATATAATTGCACTCACCATAAGTTCAAATATCATCTGTATTAAGAATATCGCTGTCTACGCTGAGGTCGTCCGCCACAGAAATTTACGCACATGTAGCATGCGATGTATGGCATCAAAGATGTAGAAGGCCAACCAAGACCTGGACTAATTTTCGGGGAATTTTGAACACATATGTGATATGTGGTATATGTGGTTTAATTATATATGGTGTTTAGTCAATGGGGAAAGTAATCGGGTTAGAATGGCTCAGTGGGTTGTTGCTCAATTGGGAGCGCTTATGCTGAAATTCGATTCCTCGCAGAAGTAAACCTGTAGAAAAATCCAGGGTGATGCTGGCGACTCACCTGCATCTCTATCGCTAAGGGATTCCCTGGCATATTGCCTCAAATGTGACAAGCCAGTGGAGCAGTAATAGTGAGGATTCTCTAAAAAAATGGGGAAAGGAATGGCTTCACTTGCTTTCGCACCGGATCACACTAGAATTCACACCGGATTGGGAAGTTTGGAAACGTCCTTTGTCAGCAGTGCCAGCAGTGAGCCAAACCAGCAGTGGTGAGGGACCCTGATGACTCATTTATTTTTATTCATTCATTTTATATTCTTTCGATATTAACTTGTAAAATATTAAAATATGTTTATTTTTATTATTAAAATATATTTATTTTATATATAATTATATATATCATTTAATTCAAATTTGTTTTAATATATTTAAGGGGATAATTATTAAGTTGGAATTCATGGATCTTCAGAGATCCGTAAATATAATTAGTAATCTCTAGTCAAAATCTGGTATTTCCTTATTAAATCGAGAATATAATGAGCAATAAAATATGATGGTACTGTTAGGTGCTGTTAGGCAGTACCTTTGCAGTACCTTTTCCAATGCCATTATTGAAAATTCGAGATATTTTTCTTATCAAGTTATTCACTTTTCCACTACGTATTTAACATACATTCTCATTTTACGCACAGCTTAAACTATTAGTCCATGCCGCAAAAAGCGTTAAGAGGCATATATATTCATTACAATCATAATTTTAATAGGTGTTTTGGAACTCAAATGGCAGGTTAATAATGAAAAAGAAATAAATGGGTTTGTTGGTTGCCGAGCCTTCTATAAACGTTTTATTTTCTTTATTTTATCGCGAATTATTTCTTTCCGTTATTTTGAACTTTTTTTTTCTCAGAGACTTTTCGAAAAAAATACAAAGTTGTTGAATTTGATCCAATCTTCGCCTATCGAGTCCTCTCAACTGAGCGATGATTTCATTTAATTTTGCCCAGTTTTTTCATTTTACTTCTTACTTTTTATTTATATCGACAATATTCATTCTCTTGAAACAATTGTTGTTATCAAATCCAGAAAAAATTCTCAAATATTTTTTTGTAAATTGACTTGACTAAAAATTATTATTCAAAACAATTTTTTCTTTGCAAATGCCTTATTTTATTATTTATTTATTTATTTCATTTATGCACTTTTTTTTAATAATTTATATTTAAATTACACTTTCCACTTTTCTTATCTTTTAATTTCTTCCTAATTATTCATTTATTCATTGGCCACGTTTAATTGCATTTTATGTGACACTGTATGGTATGTTAAATGCCGTCAATAACTTCATTTCGCTTGGCTTTTTTCCTTCCATAACGAATCAAATTTTTATAAAAAAAAATTTTCATATTTTCAATTTTTGTTGCAAATTCTCCTTTTAAGACTAATGCTTCTTGTGAAGTTGGCAACGATTACTTAAGCTTGTCATCATTTCGAGGCTTACAATCGGCCATAATTCGCAGATGTGCTATTAGTAACTTTGAAGAAGTTTTTGAACTGCAATTTTAAATATTAAATGGTTTAACCGGAATTTCATATTCGAAGAAAATCGCTTCTACTAATAAAATAATATTTATATATATATCTAAAAAAAGAGATTTTCCAGAAATTCTATTCCTCATCACGGGAGATCATCGAACCACCAATGAATAGTTTGGCCAAGGATAAGGAATGGTTCAATGAAAAATGATAGTCATGCTGAAAAAAAAGATACAAATTTTCGTTTAAAGTAATTTCAAAGAAAGCAGATAAATTTTTGCTTTCATGTGGACTTCCTGGTACAGTCTCGTTCATCAAAGCCATCCAACTCTTGAATTGTATCTGATTATTCACGCAAATGTATTTATTTAGACTTTAGTGCTTCAACGATTTTTTTCGTAACCTTTTCGCTTAGATGAAGAAATATTTCTAAATTTTTGCACCAAATAACTAAATAAAATTGAATAAATGAGACAAAAAATATCTCAAGACGCTTCAGAGTTGTTAGTTATTCAAATTGAAATTTTTCGATTTCCATGCAACATAGGTTATTTCGAAAGCTTTATATGAAAACTTAATAGCTAATGAGACTTCCTTTGGTGACTTTCATGACTTTTGGTATTTTGGCGAAACTTTCAACGATATACGCTAAAAAATACGCTAAAAAACTTGGGGAATGCGTTAAATTATTAGAAATTAAAAGTTATTAGACGAACCATTTAATTTATAAAATTTCATGGCTTTTCCTTTGGGAGGCCATTACCCACACATTTTTCTCGTTATTTAACAGAGATACACCAAGCTATTTAAAATAAACGCCTATTGAAAGCGCGTTGTCATGCTGCTGGAATGTATTCATTCATGTTTACCCTGCTTTTAGGTTTTAGGTTATAGTTTTATCTATGAATATTCAGAGCCAAATTTGTATATCTTTATCGTCTTTTTTTTAAATTTTTTTGTCTTTTAAAAATTTTTTAGAATGGATTTCTTTTATTAAATATGACTTCAGTGGATTGAAATTTCCGGACCTTGTAAATCTACAAATAATTTATATAAAAAAATGTGTTTAAAAAAGGAATTTAACAGTTATAAGCGTAATAAATATGGTTGTACGAAGAACAATTTTGCGATACGAAATATTATTTATTAAAAAACTACAAAACGGTGGTAGTTGATGAAATTGGATTTCTAATGGATTAGGCGCAGTAAAACTCGGATTAATATCCACTTATTATTTAGTGGAAGACAATTAATGCATGGGGAAAATTATTGTTATAACAATAATTGTTAATAGAAAATATTATATTTCGTTATAACTTACTAACTAAAATTTTAAATTTATTAGGCTGTTTGTGCAAAATGCTGTTTGGGATGGTATATTGTTCTGAATGGACGAGTGGTCTGGTTTTTATACAAATCTCGTAATGAAAATAATCCTAGTGAATTAAAAGTGATGGGTGCGAAGCAAGTACCTCTATCTCTATTGATTCTGCAATAGAAAAATCATATAGGCCAAGTGAAGCCAAGAAAACTGGAAATGATATATAAGGATATATTCTTAGAAATAATCCTTAGAAGGAAGAATTAAGCATTTCATACCCATGAGATTTATTTCCATAAAGTGCCATCACTTATCAGAATGTTTTGTCGTTTGAGAGTTTTCGTTGTTTCACTATATTGTTAAGAATATATTAATCTGATTTATTCTCTTCTATTAAAACTGTTTTGTTCAAATAAAAAAAGTAATTTATTTTGAACCATTATTATTAATATCGTCGTAAAAATTGTTTGCGAATCACCTTTTACATATCCAATGAATTCTGGATACTTTCGTTTTTTCGGATAAACTAGGATATTTATCTAATTTATTTGTTGGGGGTAGATTTTATTTATTCGTCACTTAATTCACTTTATTTTCTTATTAAACGAGCAAACTATGGTAAGCCAATGCGAATGGTTCGATCTCAATTTAAATCTCTATTTTTCAAATTATTTCACTTCAAAGTAGAAAATTGAGAGGATTGACGTGATCTCCCGAATCTAAGAAGGAATTGCTGGTTAAATTAAATCATCAGCTTTTTTTGCCTCGATTCATCTCCTTAATCACGTTTCATCATGGATTTTTTTTTCTTAAATTAACTTAGTCATTTTTCTTTTAACAGAATGATTTAGCATTATGTAGAGATTATTTCAGCTATAGCTATAATTATCAGTACTGTTATATAAATGATTATTGTTATTATCATCAATTATTTTTATACTCGCTCCAACAAAAAATTTTCTTTAATATAATCATAATCAATCAAATTTATTCATAAATTACTTATAAACTGATGAATGATTGATATTTAATTGAATTTCATTCTCTAATTTTTGAAATCATCAACAACTTTTCACTATTTTCTTATCATAATAAAAAGCGGTTAATTTTGATAAAAATATTTCTTATAGCCAATTTGCCAATTTACCTTATCAAACAAAATGATATAGATGAAGTAGCAAAAAAAAGAAATATTAAAATATTAAAATATTTCAATGGGAAGGAAACCCATGAGAATAAAATTTAATAGAAGTAGAATTTCGCCATGATTGTCATTCTTAATTATATTGTATTATTTTATATTAATGAATCGATCTTTAATTATATATATTTATGTTTTCAACTTGCAATTCAATTATGTACATTTTATCTTATCATATTTTATCTTATCATTCATCTAAAAACATTCATTTCTGGGCCGATTTGCTGAGTGGTAGGATAAGGAGATATCCGGTGCCTCTACCAGACTGCCATCTGAGTACTTAGTCAACAAATGCATTCTTGTAAAAATTTCCATCAAGCGGACGACAAACGATACCCGAATTTCTTTGAATTTTTTAGTAGTCTTTATAAATTCTTTTAGGCATTTGATTAATTAAAATTTCTATCATCTTTTAATTTACTTATATGCGCTTAAATATTGTTGATGATTTTGTTTCTTAACAAGGATTCATTTTCTCTTATTTTATATTTTACTGGTATCCAAAATCATTAAATCGATCCAAATTATTTCGAATCTAACTTAATAGCTAAGGCGATTACTGTCTTATTGTGCACAAGATTGTTTTGGAATGCTTTGCTGGCTTTTAAATGATAAAAAGAAAGATTAAAACGTTTTCTTCAAATTTTTCTTCATTTTTTCTTTGCTATCTTTTTTTTTAAAATTTTGAAAAATTCGGAAAATTTGAAAATTGTTTTTGGTTAATTCGTCGATACCTTTAGATGAAAATTTTTCGCTCTAAAGAATCGCTTTTTTTTCAGTCTTTATCACTTGTTGAGTGAGACTTGTCGATCATTGATAGTAGATATGTGGAAAACTGAAAATTGTTTAGAATAACTTGGATCAGCGGATTTTGAAATAGAAACTATTTCTTTCATTTCTTCATAGTTTATCAATAATGCTAGTTGAATTCAGGTTCAAGTATAAACAGAAAAACATGAAATTAGGAATGTTCTGCACCATTTTTGTAATCGTCTTAGTGATAACAACGGCCGATGTATCTGGTGAAGCATCGAGTTCTGAAAAACGAACCGCGCTGTTATCACGTTATGGCAGAGCGTTACTTTCTCGTTATGGTAAAAGATCAGACTTTTCTGAAGTATTGCACCCATCACAAGGTTTATTTAAAATATTCTTATTTTCTTTTCATTTCTAGTACTTCAATAATATTTATTACTTAAATTTCTCAATTTTCGGTTGTGCTTTTGGCGTAATTTTTCTCATTATTTTTTAATTTCCCAATTTGTAAAAATGTTATAACTAATTAAAATAAAATTAATATTAAAACTTATAAAAAAAGTGTTAAGTTAAAAACCTTTTTTCACCGTTAAAAAAAATAAATTACGTTTCATAAAAACAAAGATTTAGTGAAGAAATTTGATATTTTAATACATATACTTTCCTATTGTTATTTACATTCCCACCTATGCATATAATCAATTTTTCATGCTAATAAATGCTCGAAGCAATCAGAAATGGAAAATTCAGAATAAGATGAATAATTTATTTAATTTATTTAAAGCACCAATCATCAAAATTCATATGGAACCTTAAGAAGTACAAACGAATTTAAATAATAATTTAATGACTCTATTCTTCACAATATTACTTTTCGAATAATGAAATGAATAATAAGTAATTATTTTAATAACATCTAATGAGTAATTATTTTAATAACATCTTAATGAAAGCAAATCATAATAATGGTAAGATTTCTTCATGAAATTTAGCCAATAAAAGGTTGAAATCTAAGAATCAAACGAGTCTTCTTTGGCAAAATGTCATATATAATCAAAGTTGATTTTATAAAAAACCAGAAAAAAAGGGATTAAATTGAATTCGTGCTTATATAACCTTTCTAAGAGCTAACAATATATTTTAACTAATTTCAGGTGATATTTATATGTGCAAAAAATTATATGGTGAAATACTGCACTGCATGCCGTATACTGATTGACTCAACACAAAATCAGTTTAGAAAATGTGAAAATTTTGAAATTTCCATAAAAATTCTCAATTTTCATAATTTGATCAGTATTTACGAATTTATATTGCGATTAAACCTATATGAAAAGTCTTATCGTAAATATATATGTTAAATTTTTTGGTGTTAGAAGGCTTCTTTTTTGGCAATCGAATTTGTCAATTTTTTAAAAAGCATAAAAAGAGTAAGTTATATCTTGAATATCCCAAGGGTCAGTACTTCTATTTGCGGCTTGTTTGACGCCAATTTCTTTCAGTAATACAGTGCTAAATTTCGCAAAATGCACTTTCCACTACGATGCTGAAAATATTTTATTTTTTCATCATTACAGTAATTATAAAGTGAGAAATGATTAAAAATGCAGTGAAAAATTACTTTAAAAATAGGTAATTTGAGAAATTTGCTGGCTTTCATCCTTAAATTTCTCGTAATTGTGCAGGGAATGTTGTTTCGAAACTATTAATTCTATTTCTTCGATGCGAGTAGACAAGCCATTAAAAATAAAAATTCGAATATTTCTATCATAAGTGATTCTTTAGCCGAAGAGTGGTACCATTCGAATAATTAATTGAACCAATCAATGTTATTAAAAGTTTTATACAAAGATAGCCTACAAACTATTAGCGAAAATAAAGAATTTTGAAAGTTTTTTGAAATTTGTCAAAATTTTAAATTTTATAAATGATTTTCTTTGATTGGCGAAAAATTGATCTGTTGCAACTGGAATTTTATAACACTTTAATCCTATTTCATTGTAAAAGCATTCGTGTTTGAATCCAAAAAAACTTGAAAAATTACTAAAAATAATAGAACAAAAGTAATAGAATAGAGCTAAGTGCAATATAGAAACCATCTAACTGAATTCAATTAGATTACAAGGAAGAAATGGAATTTTAATGAAATCTTTGAGGATTTGAAATTCTTCACTCAAATTTTCCTTTTTTTCCTACTCACTGGATATAAATTGAAATTTTTCCTACTTGGAAATCTTATTTACATTTTATCGAAGCGATGACGACAAACAATTTATTTACTTTCTTCAATCATAGATACCTGAACAATAAAAGAAAGACAGAAAAAAGCACATTTTTCATCCATTCGAAAGGAATAGCCAGGTTGCAAAATAGCGACGGAAGGAGAATATTGCAGAAAATCAGTAATAAGGCTTGGGATGAGATAGAGAAATACAACTTAGAGCTAAAAGGATTTACTTCATAAATATCTCGGCATGGCTCGAACCTCTGCCAACGTACGATCGATTTTCTCTAAAAAAGAATCTCTTGGCCTAAATGTGATTTGTACGAAATTCGAACCAACAATTCGAGTGTCTTGTGGCTTCACATACTGATAATCAAGATACATATAAGGCGATAAAGGTGAGCTGAAACGACAAGTGGTAAGAATATAAATATCGAATACCACTTTGGATTAGTCTTTTAAGAATCACTCGATTGATAACACCAAAAGATTATTTTCTAGGAAATTTTATATTTGCAGCTTTTATCAAAAAAAAAGATTTGTACTACTTAAGCGGAGTTAAGCGCTATTAAAAAGCAAATTTATAGAAAGGCAGTTCTAGGCTATGAAAATCTGTAAAAGTAAAGACGCTAATGGCTGAGATAACATCAGATGCTTATTACTGATTACCACACCGAGCAACCTGGCTCGGCTTATGCTAAAAAATGAAATTTTCCCTTTAGGAATGCAAAATTATCATTGAACAAATTCATGATAAAAAATGACCGTATAATAAAAATAACCTTGCCGAATCTTTACTATCAATAATCACTTGTTTATTGCTTTTCCTCCAATTGTCATCGGATTTTTGTTTAAATGATGAGTAATCGTATTCTCTCTAAAAAAATGAAACTATAAGTATTCATTCGATTTTCGCTTTTAAATCGTAAAAGATTGGCTGAAATAAAGAAAGTTTTTTTCTTTAACTTACCTTCGAACAGCAATGTAACTGAAACTGGCAAGCCATAACCATTTGATTAAATATGGAAATTAAATTTTATTGAATTCATTCATTCAGAAGAAGAACTCACCGAATAATTAGCTCGAAAATTGGGAAAACTTGATTGGTTTTTTATCGCAAAATATTCTGATGATTGCTTTGGCTTATATATGTAATTATCATAATTCTTATCATCTAAGCCAGTGAGCCCCAAATCATCGAACATTTTATCGAATGGCGATTGAATAATATCATTATCATCTAAAAATAACACAGTAAATAATTAAAGCTACCATGCGCTAAAATAAATAAATGAATTGGAAATTATCATGAAGACAATGAGATTAAATGTTAAAAAATTTAGAAGGTTAGTTGAACGTTAGTTGTATAACAAGGAATCTTATTAAAGTATAAAATGGTTAAAGCTGCGAAATATGAAAATAATAAGAAGAAAAAAACTCACAAGATTCATCAAGCGCTGACGAACCTAACAAATCTTGCATACGCAGCATGGTACTAGCGCGAAAACTGACTCCATCTGGCTTAGGCAACCTATTTCCTGGTCTAAATATATTATGAATATACTTTTCATAGCTTGCCGTCACTGGTCCTCCAGGAAGTATATCTCTATCAAAAGTTGAATTTCGAGACGATTTGTCAAAATCGACATATTTCGACATACTTTGCTGCAATGAAAACTTTCATTCGATTTGATTTTAAAAACCATTTTTTCATAGCAAAAAATATATAACGAAGCAAAACATTTTATTAACTTTCAATAAATTATTGTGCATTATTTCCTTACGCAATGAACTGACGTTTTTGTATGATCGAAATATTATAATAAATTAGAATGAAAATTAATTTGAAAAAAATTTGGAATTTTATTAATTTGGAAAAATTTTTTTCATAATTTTTCCTAAATTTTCTAAATTCGAATTAAAAAGACTTAAAAAACAAAAAAAAGATTTTGCAGAAATTTTATAAGAACAACGAATAAAATAAATTTTGACAAAATTTAAAAATTTTATTTTTGGGAACGAAAAGAGAAAATTAGAAAAGAATTGCTTTTTTCTCATTAAACAAACTTAACAGTCGAAAAAACTAAGAAATATTATATCAGCAGAAAATAAAACAAAAATTCAGACTTTAAACTAAAGTTGAAAATCGAGAGAGGAACATATGCTATAAAAATTGAGATTTGCTGGGAATATCGAAAGAATATGAGTGAAAAGTCGAAAAAGCCACTGCAAGATTTTCAGATTTTCTAAGTTATCAAAGCCTATCCACCTGAATATCATAATCGGTCTGAATTTGAAAGATTAAACCAAACAACGAAAATTTTTGTTAGAAAGAAAGTGATAAAATGCTTCAATTAAATTCAATGTTCCTTTATGGTCGGTGAAAATCTGCCAGGTAATCAAAACTAGTTGAGAGGCACTATACGTAATCCAGGACAAGTGGCACGGATTCTTTATTTGCCCTTTGAATCTGCCACTGAAAATGAAACCTGAGAGTGATTTTTATAGACTCATTTTCCCCTAAGCGGAGTTTGCAAGCGGAAAATGGTGCATTCTATTGGAAGAAAAATAGTTTGATTACGAATCTATTTAATAATTCGCCTCTGCTTCTTTCCTCTGCCTGTTCTTTTAATCTTTAAAGTCCTAAAATAAGACATATCCACGAATATTTCACATCGGAATCTTACTTGCGAAATAAATACAAATCTTGTCTTTATAAAAAGGGTCATAGATATTTTTTGTGCTATTCGCTTGCATTGCAAATCGCAATTATCCCTAGCAGATCCTTACAGTGGAAGCAATAGCGAACAACCGAAGGAAAAAAAGAATTTCACGAGTGCTATTCAAAATATGCCAATTGCCAAAAGTTGAAGATGAATAACAAAGAACGAATCCATCAAAACACGCAGAGGCAATTTCTTCAAATATTCACATTTTATTGCACTTTTAATGCGTATAATTTAATGAATATAATTTGTAGCTAAAAGCCTTTCGATGAATGTTTGTAGTTATTCCGAATTCCGAAATTTCGATCTTCGATATATGTTGTAAAGAAATTGGCTGAATGTTAATCTCAATTCTGGAATTCATCTGCTTAATCAGCGTTGCTGAGTTGATCAGCTGTCAGTGATTTATGCATTTCATTCCCCAATGCAAGAGCATCGTAATTTTCATATTTTTAATCTTATCTGCTAATCTGCTGATCTTTCATTTCATTCGAGCAGTTTTTCACTAGTATTGTCCCCAGTTTTTCACTCCACAAACTAAATTCAAAAAATTGATTAATCCAGAAGAAATAAATAGGAATGTTGGGATATAAGGAAAAAAGCTTGAAATGCAGCATTTTTTAGTCTTCTTTCCGTTAGAAAGTATTGCACAGTTCGTCGTCATCTTAAACTTGACGAATTTTAACGTTGTGAATATATACAAAAAAAGTAAAGCGAAATTGTTATTACAAACTAAAGCTAAAAAACATGTGCTACAAGTATATAAAAAATAATGTGAATGCATAATATACTCATCGCCATATTCCCTGTTATTGTCCAAGAATTCTCGACAGCCTTAGTAACCTGACGACAGCCTTTTTGCTCTACTAGCTCAATGGGCATTTCGCAGGTCGATTTGTAGCTTTATTCACTTTTGAACAGGAAAAATCGAGTTATTTAATCAAGCAAAATTTGTCCGTTGTTTTATTTCTTTTATATTTTCACATGAAATACAACAGCCTTTATCGAGAAATTTGCGACAGCAGAACTGTGAAAAAATAATTACATTTAATTTAGTGTAATACAATAATTATTTATAATTACATAAAAATAATTACAAATAGTTGTGAGATAGTGGAACTGTACCTTAGCGAGACGTAAATTTAGTTCTGAAAGAAAGAGAATATTTGATAAGATAATTTTTTAGTGATATGGTTTCGCCAACATTTCAAGTGATGAAAATTTTTCCGTCTTTTTAAATCAAATTTTCACATCATAACGATTGACAATAATTTGGCATCAACTGATTTCGAGAACTATTATTTAAACGAAGTTATTTTATTTCTATCCTCTCTCCAAACAATTTTCAGATTTCTGGTCTGGTTGACTGCACTGAACATTAGGATGCGACCTCTTCGCATATGGATGCTTCTAGGACTATAGTCATCAACTGGCACTATAATGAAGTGCGCAACCTTTGCAAGTTTTCAAAAATTATTTATTTATTCATTTAAAGAAAAATATATTAATGATTCTTCGAATGCATCCATTGTTTACTTGTCTAAATGGCTGTTTTTCAATTCATTTTAACATAACAAATTTAGCATTCATGACGGAAGAAAATTGAAAAGGGCATGAGCTCTATTAATAGAATTTACAGTCGATAGCATTGCAAACTTTATTCGGAAATATAAAGTTTTTTCTTCTTTTTCATTCACAATTCACAACTAAGATTTTCTACCTTTTGTCTGAGGAAGTTTCGCTTCTCGGATTATCAACTCGCTTTTAGATTTCTAAAATTTGAAATAACGTATAAATTCTCATAGGTTTGGCAATTTGTAAGGAAGCAAATTGTTCACATTGTTTACTTATATCGCTGGACTGCATTATAGTAAAAATAAATATTTTATAAGCCACCGATAAGCCATTTGGGGATAGCAGTGCCTTCAAAACCACTCGGACAATACCTTTTAACAGCTTATTTAGGCAGAGAGTGAAAAATCGAACGATGTCTGACTTCATTTGGAACTACTCGACCATGCATCTACCCAAAGCAGTCTTTTCCGATACCAGTGCATTAGAGAAGTGAACTCCGACTCATAAATATATGATTTAATACGTATCTGATTCCAGTACGATTTTTTGTAGAATCCTTAATAAATTAAGTTTTGCTTAAGTTTTAATAATTCGTTAACCTTTGAAGCTTTTTCATAAAGACGTTCATTTTTCAACCGGTATAAATATTCAGCTAGCGCGCTGGCCATCGAAATCACCATTCCGCAGCAAAGTATATAAAATATTCCAGCTACTTTGCTCAGTGTTAAACTCGAACTAGTTCCACCTTCCTATAAAATGCTTAATATAATAGATAAAATTGAAATAAAAAGTAATCAGTTCAATGCCAATAGATCATCTGCTACATTGATAGATCCAAACATTAAATCAAGTCAAACTATAGTCTACCATTTGACTCTTAGACTCTTAGACTGTCCGAACAGCTTCTCTATGCCTTCCGCAAAAGTTCATCCGTCGAACAAAGTGGTGACCATATTTAATCGCATAGTCTAATAAAACCTGCTACTGTGATGAAATGCAATAACACATCATTTAATCGACTAATGATGGGATTTTTTTTGTCGTTTCGAATCCTTCATTCGTCTCAAAATTCGGCATTCAGTGGCTGTTAGAGTTTATTTGGGAAAAAAGATGATGAATTATTCAAAGAAATATTTTCTCAGAAGTTATGAACTGAAAAAATAGAGGAATAACTGAGATGAAATTCAGTACTGTACAATTAAAAGACTTACAGTAATTCCCTGATCACATTGGCCTCTATCGTACCACCATTTGTTCTCCAAGCGTTTTAATTCACCTTTCTCATGAAGATATAATATGGCTAAGTTAAGGCCTCGTCTAAAAATAAAAAAATTATCTTGCTGCTAAGTTTAAGATTTATTTCGACTATCAAGGGAATACTTTTAAATTTTTTCTCTTAAAAAAGTTCGAAATTGTGAAAGAAATATTATTTCACATTCTAATTATTCTTTTTTCTTCATCTTATATCACAAATTTACTTAAAAATTTAAACATTTTTTCAGAATCAAAAAACTTAGAATTTATTTGTTAAAATGAATCAGTGGATTTATTTTTTTTAAAAAAAGAAATTTTCAGCTATTTTCTCCATAGTTATTTTTATCAATTATTTTATTTGCTAATGTTTCTCTCATTCATACGTCACTTGCTGAACTAGTTTTAGAGATCACGAATAAGATCGCTCTTGGTGCATTTATTGGTGCAAGTGGTTCTTAAGTGAATTAGAATTTTTTCGAAAAAAATTTTTATAACCTTAGAGGATTCCCAATTTTCGTTGCAACACCATAGCCAAGAGTATTCAAATTTGTGCCAACCTTCATGGTATCACAAGGCTTCCGAGTATTTTCATATTCATTAGCCGTTTCTTCCAATAAAAATGCGTATCGACCCTTAATAGATAATAAAAAAATTAAATTCCTAAATTGGCTGTAAAATCTTCAGTTTATTCCATTCTCTTACGAGAATAATATTCAAGTTATCTTGTAAATGCATTAAATCTTTTGATGACCGAAAAATTTCACTCTTTGTGAACAAGAATCGTACTGGAAAAAAACAAAAATTAATTTCAGCCTTTTCTACATTCGAAAATAATTTAATGGTTGCAGATGTACTAATGCTATAGTTAAATTTGGTCGTTAAATGAAGGCAGCTAAAAGGCAGCTAAATAACTGCTAGAAGAAAAAGAAAAAATTATTACCTTACTTCGCCGTACTTTGTCGATTCCTTCTGCATAAGTATTAACCATAATTGTATCCGTATTATTTATTGAATTCTGCTGTTGCAGCAATTGCTGAAGATAAGTATTATGCATAAAATTCCACATTTTCTTGTAAATTGGTACTGCAGAATCCTTAAAATTGACAATATTGACGAATATAAATAAAAAAGATACTTTAAAAAAATTTTTTTTGAAAAGATTTTTTGAAGATTTTTGAAAATAGCAAAATAACAATCATATTGAAAATTTCCGGAAAATTTCCGGTCCTGTATTTTGCATAAACTCAACTGAATTGTGAGTCGTTTATCTTGATAAATAATTTCACAAAAAAAGATAAGAGAAACCTTGAAAAATGCCTCAGTTGATCCACCTTTCACGATACCATAGAGAATCTTTTTTTGAGCTGCTAGGTCATCAACTGATTCTATAGGAGGAGTCATTTTTTCAAGCGTTAAAAAGGCTGCTAAATTGGCTGTGTAAGACGATACAATAATGAGCGTAAAAAACCACCATGCAGAGCTTGCAACTCTTCCCGAAAATGATCTATTAATATTATTTTTTACTTAACGGCCAATGCTATTTTAAACATAGGCAATTTAAGAATATACAAATTTTTCGATTTTTTAATTTCTTGAATGAATTTTGTATCGAAAATTATGTTATGATGAAAAAATTATTTCATGAAAATTGTAATGAATCATATTAAAAATTTGAATAAAATGAACTATAAATTTCTGAGAAATCTTAGAAAACTTGATTGATTATTGTAATCTAAAAATACAAACCTCGGTAAAATATCGGTACCCTGCTGCATAAAAGCAGCCAAGGTGAACCAAAGGGTATTATAAAAGGTCATTTGCCTCGTAGAATCGAGAAAACCATTTTCATACGGACTAAACCAACTAACAACGAATATCGTTGTAGACACCTAGATGAATAGACTAGATCAATATGTGCATGATTTTCTATAAGTTATCACGCAAAAACATCAAACCAAATGGAAAATTTTAAAAATTATTACCCCAATATACGAACAAAGAATGAAAATCCAAATTCTCATACTCAAAGGCTGCATAAATGAGAAAACAGAAAATTCTTGCTTTTCCGGTTTCTTGATCATAATACTTATTCCAGTTGTCATAAATGGTTTAGAAAAGTCAACGACACGTTCTCTTTCCTGATTTATCGTTAATGGTGCTACTGCAATATCCGCCGTCTATAAATTATGGAGTGCATTTTATAACATATAATAATAATTGGTAATAATTTAATATAGTGGTAAAATGGACGAAGCCAAGCCGGTAATTTACTCTGATTTTAATTCAACAGCTTAAGTGCTTCTGCAATAATTCGTCTTCAAAAATGCTTTTTACAGCTTTAAAGGGGAATAAATAAAATTTGGGTTTTTTACTTTAATGATTTATGATGAGCCAACCATGACCTTTCTCTGATTATCCTAAATTATTAATAAATCTTTGTCGTTCTCAATAAAATTTCAAAATGTGCGCCACCAAAATATATAACCAAAAAGCTATAAATTGCAGGAACTTAAGGGAAAGGAAAAAAATAGGGATCGGTATAACAAAAAATGTTTGGAAATATTGAAAGAACTGTTCCACTTCTAAACAGCAAAGAATTATGCGATACTTTTAAAAAACTAAGTAAAACTAAAGCATACAACTTCGATTGATCATGAACGCTTTTTTCCACTCAGATACTTTCCGCGATAAATTAATTAATCCAATTGCATACCTCATTCAAGAGATATCCAATCATGCCATCCCAAGAACCGTCATCTTGCCTGGCTCCATATTTATTCCCATCAGATATAAAGATTTCATATTGAAAATCACTGAGGTTTTTAGACAGTAATTTTAAAAGATCAATGCAATAGCCGTCAAAACGATCGTTACCTTGCTTTGGTGGTTCACCAGATATAGAACGTTTTAGCATAACAAATGGTTTCACCTGAATTTAACCAATAACCTGAGGTTTCACCAATGACTTGAAGGTATAATCATAATTTATAACTTAGGAATTTGTTGCACTACTAACCAATACTGTAACTATACGTAGAACGGATTTTCGGCGCCCTTCGAGAAATTTATTCCGTGATTTATCATGACTTTGGATAGATTTCGAGGCGCCGTGAAATCCAATTCCCTGCGTCCATTCGAGATTCTAAATTTCGAATATTTATTTTGAATATTTATTTGGAATATTTAATCAGAATATTTATTCCAAAGTACATTCCATTTATATAGTCGTTTGCTAATTGTGCCCACGCAGCCATTAAAAAAGAAAGAATCAAAAAATCTATCGATATTGCAATTTATGACGACGTAAGGTGTTCATAATTTCCAAAGATGTTTTGATAGCATTGGCGAGAGCGATAATTATGAAAGGAAATAATTATGTGAATCTACTGAGCAACAGGAATCATGGCGATTGATAATGAGCTTATTGTTATTATGGATGGTTGCATCTTTTTTAAGCCCAAAAAACGCAAATGTCGATGTTGGAATTTAGAAAAAACGACTGAAAGGAAAGAATGAAATAAGAATTGTGATAAATATGAGGATCTTGTAACAGTTATGCAATTATCGAACTATGGCGTAATTTACAATTTGCTGTAGTTTAATTGAATTTGTGGAAATATTATTTCCATTAATAAATATTACTACTAGTACTCGTAATTAGCGCAAGCAACAATTCGTGGCATCGATCTAGCGAACTTCTGGTAAAATTCAAGGAGCAACGAAAAATAATTTTAGATTCAAGAGAGAAGAATTTCTAATATCAGATAAGTGTTTTCATGATGAAAACAAATGAGATAATTTTATATGGATATATTTCATGTGCAATATAATTTCAATTACAATGACGAATTCCAGTTATCGCAAAAGTTGCGGTAATGCGGTAAAGGTGCAGTACTAGCGCAGCAGTTTTTTGTTATTGTCATTGCTTCTTCTTTATATCTCTACTAAATCTTAATGAATTTAATAGAAATAGGTACTTCTCTAAAAGTATTGAAAGTCCTTTGGCCCTGTTTAATTTCGATCACTGTTGCTGTAAAATTCGTTCGAACGAGTTTATCGGCATCAAATTGAATCCTTCCACTTAAAGTACCATCTTTCTCATCTAATACAATCTTAAAGATATTGGATTTCTGGGCAAATTTTGCATTCGATAATTATATTAATAGATTTTATATTTTTATCAAGTCTACTAAAACAATTTTTGCAAATCTTCAGATTTGTGAAATTTTTAAAAAATAAGAAAAAATCTGAAATAACAATAACCTTTTTCAAAGCGTAGAAAAGAATTTCACCGAATTCAAACGCCTCAAAAGGTCGATTGGGGTGATCTTTATCATCTTCAGGTCGGCAGTATAAGCCAGGATAACCTTTGTTATAAAGCTGATGATGTTTGAACAGGTTTGTGAAAATCGATCTGCCGTACTGTCTAATGACCTCCTCAATAATGTAACCAGCGACAATAACTGCGTCATGTGCGTATATGGCAGTCATTTAAAAAATTATGAAATAATAAGTTCTGGCAGTAATAAATAATAATTTTGACGAAAAGAGCACATTGGTAATATTTATAAAGTTAAATAAAAATAAAATAAAGATGATATCTCTTCTAAGATTATTTGAAACTTAAATTGGAGATTTTAAAATCGCTTTGTATAGCAAATGGAATGAGTGAGTAAAAGATATGATATGATAAAAATTAGGTAATTATCAGAAAAATGAGGAAATTATACTGTTATATCGTCGTTGTTCAAATGGTTTCCATATAAATTTGTGTAGACATTTTTTTCTCGTCTATAAATTAATTAAGTAAGAAACGATTTGGAGAGTAGAGTAATCTAAAGAGTCCGCAGAAATTCATTTTTGCTTAATTTTTTCGGCCGAGTTGTAACGATATAAATGTTTGTGGCACTGGATTTGAATTCTTTTCTACATAAATTATTAAATGAATTTCACATTCTAGGATTCGCCAATCTTTTTTTGGAGATAAGAGAAAAGGGGACTTTTATTGGTTCATTAGTTGAAAGATGCTTGTTATTTAAAGCATACTCTCGTGCAATAATTTTTCATAGCAATTCCTAAGCAAAATGAAGTAAATAAGTGATTAGCGTGCGCTTTTCTCGTTATGCTTGATTTGCTGAGTGGCAGTATGGCGAGAAATTTCTCAAGGAATCAACTGGTGGGCCATCGGAAGCGACTAGATAGATGATAGGTGTTTTGCGGAGGCAATAGCATTTGTGTCCCTACAGGGTAGAGTCTACCTGTATTTATTTTGAATAGATAAACTCACTGATACTTCGAATTATCAATAACGAGACGAAATATAGTTATATTTATCAACGAATATTGTAATAACTCTAATTCCGATTCATTCATATCCTAGAATTTTTTTATATTTCATGAGAAAGCAAGAAAACTAATCTTCTACTGTCGTATTTTTTTATGCTTTTTATTTATTCCACACTGTTAATATTATTTTAATATTTTGGCTGTAAATGTTTGCATGTTTTCTAGTTTGTTATTTCTATTAATTTTATTTTTAAGCGGATTTATTCAACGATGAGATACGTGTAGTGCTGAATATTCATCCGCTGTTCGTCTAATCCAGAATAGGTGCTTTGGTGAACAAAATCTCAAAATATTGGTGAAAGAACTTACAAAGTTCGCAAAAACATAATTATAATGTTTCTTTACAATTATAGTTTCTTCCAAAGCTTTTAAAAATGAATGCATACGATAATTATTGTGGATATCAACAATTATGTTCATTGGCCTGAATTTGTTTATTTTTGCTTTTCTAAGAAACTAATCCTTAAATCTTTGATTTTAAAAAGTATTGCTTATGTTCCATAAATCAGCAATTTATTTTTCATTAGAATCTGAAATTATTTATGATCACTGAATTTGTGATGAATGATTTCAGGTGGAATAATTCAAAAAATAATAAAAAACAAACCCTTTTTGCGTATCGATTGCAGCTTGGCGATGAAAAATGTTTAAAAATTCACGAAAATATTCTTCCTCTTCAGGAATTTGATAAGCGTCGATATAGATCCGATAATCTGGATCTTTCGCTTTAAAATGCTCATATATTGAGGAAAATGAACGTTTCGCTAAAAAAATATTTGCTAAGTACCAAACTACCAAACTACCAAATTCTGAGAGGGATGGAATCAAAGGACTAGCAAAAAACTGGACTGATAGGGTTGAGAAAGATTTTAAACGCATAGGAAATCGCGATACAAATGGAACAAAAATGATTTCTTTCAGATTTAAACCCTATCAAAAGGCTTGGAAACGTCTCATTCTTGTTGCGAATGCAGCCAGTCTAATCATTAATGGACAAGTTTGTCGAGTAAAAAAGGAAAATGATAGCAAATCGTACCACTGATACCATCGTGAAAAAATACGATTTTATGCCACTGTTTAAAAATTATATAATCAGTTAATAATTCATTGGTAGGTGGACGAATGGATAATGAGAAAGTTTCTTCATTATCGTCTTTATCTGAGACTTCCCAGTCAATTAGTGGTACCTGAAATGTTAGTGCTTCTATCCAAAATTAAAGCATGAATCATATTGGTTGAATTTGTTTGGAAAAAAAACTCGAAATATCCACCTTTAGCATTTTAGAAATCGAATTATAGAGACCAAATGATATAGGTGATGTACCGGTTATCAGTACCATAAATCCAAGCTTTAATTCTTCACATACTGAAATATGACAAACATTGTTCATAGAAAATCGTAGTTTCCTTAGAAGTTTCATCTGATCTACCAGCTGTTCATTTTTTTTTTTTTTAAATATATAATGTGATTTGTAATTTAAATCTGAGTTATTTTCAGACATAACTATAGAACAGAGCCAAACAACTAGCAACTATACGACTGAGTGAGGCGCCTTTTATAGAAGAACTGTAAGAGAGATTCAGAATTTTACTATTTTTATTACTTTACTATTTTTTGTGCGGGTGAACGACAAACATAATTGGAATAGGCGGCTGTATTCATATTCCTTACATTTAGAATGTCAGCCAAATGCATCTGATAAATAATTTGTTGGTGATAACGGAAAGAATTAACCGAAATCTGCCAAATGCCAAACAAGCGAATTGGCATTCATTGGCGGTAATTGTCGAATGCCCAATATTATATCAAATGTATTTTGAGGACGAGAATTAAACGAGAATTCGGCCAATCTTAAAACGTCCAAAATCGCTGTCGTCGTTGAATTATCCAACTCATTTGTGTTTATAAATGCCCCTAAATTTTTATTTTTTTAAAAAATTCCATATAAGAAAAAATAAGAAAAAATGTGCTACAGAAAGAGATTTATTCGTTTCGTCGATATTTTATGGATTCACTCTACTCGTCAAATTAAAATAATTGTTCTTTCTTTTGTCGTTTAATATGGTTGACTGCGATTAAATCAGAGACCCTCTCGTCAAAGCGCAAAACTCAGCTCTTCCACCCACTCGAATTTCATCTTTAAGGTTTACTGCCACACAAAACCAACAGTGAAACAGCCGAGGATCAAGAAATTACTAATTATTTTTATAGAATATTCAACCTTCAACCGAGTTTTTCGGCGAATTATTGTGGCATAGAGTTATGGAAGACGTTATTGCATCCAATCTGTCGTTCATGAAAAATCTCCATTAAAAGGCTTCAAAATTAATATGGAATTGTTCCCTAAAAGCGCTATCAAAAATATTTGCCATTTTTTCCTAAGAATGCTCGTCATTTCTGGTTAAACTCGGTTCGCCTGGCTTGTCGGTTCAGAGATTTTTGCCAGGAATTCATTTGGTGATAGAAATGCAGGTGAGGCGCAGTATCGCTCGGAAATGTAAATGGAAATAATTTAAACTTATTTGCAGAGTTAACCTGATTTGAATTTCCTACACAGCAATGAAAATGTTAGACCTCTAATCTCGATTTACTTCAGGATTTAGTTTAACTTTTGTGACTTATATTAACGGAAATCTGACCTGGTTACGGTCGATTGCTTATGATTTATTTTCAATAATTCTCAACTTTATGTGCAGCTTTTTTGAAGAATTTTCTCTCAGATGAAGAAATTAGACAGTTTTTAAATAAATATTTCATGTAGGATAGACGGAACGAGACTTGTTCAAAAGTCATGCGGTGATAAGGTTTCATCCTGATAATCAGTGCAGATAGACAAGCCAGAAACGCTGCGTGCTGTTAAAAGAAAGAAGGTACCTTGCTTGCACAATAAAAACCTTACTGAAATTATATTTACTATTCTTCGAAAACTTTGTAACTCTTTCATTCAATTTTGTTCACTTTCTTTCATGAAATTTTAAAAGAAAAATTGTGTTTATCTAAAAATAGATTTCTATAGAGAAATATAAAAAGAACCTCTCGTAGAAAACGATTTTAAAATGATATAAATCTTCAAAAATAAATCAATTTTATTTATTTTATTCACTTCGTATTTCTTCGTAAATTAAAAAATTGAGAATTTCATTGTGATAAGTAAAAATTGATCAAACATTTCCCTAAGGCATTGTCTTGGCAATTGTTATTATCTCTCATCACGTAGTTTAGCAATTACTGTAAGGAATCTAGAATTTCTACAACTAGAACCTCGAATTACGCAAACGGTGGTCGAGTTGCATGTTGCTTCGACAAGGGATGAGCCATCATAAGTCTAAATATTTCCTAAAAATGGTGGACGGAAGAAAACCTGCCGCTAAAAGAAAAACCTGGTTAGCATAGAAAACCCACTTTGGCCAAAATTGTGTGTCGTTCTAACTTAGTATAAAGTAACAAAATTCGAATAAAATTCACACAGTTCAATTGCAATTCTTCAAAAATTGCAATTGCAATTTTTTTTGTAATCTAAACTATGAAATAAAGAAAGTACAACGTTTGTTTTTTATGAGAACATTCACTAGGAGTAGTTCTGGGGGAGGGGAGGGGGAGGTTAAGAACCACAGGTCTAACTGAACTGCTTGAATTATTAAATGGACCTATTTATAAATTCTATTTGCAACAATTTGTAGCAGAATTCGGTTGGTTGGATTTATTTCTCTATTCTTCTAAATTCTTAAATTCTTTTGTACGCAGAAATATTTTGAATGAGAAATAAAAAAGAAAAAGAACTAACTTAAAGGCATTTTCAGTGGGAAAATTTGCCAAACCGATGAAATAAAAATTATGCAAAATAATTTTTGACGAGACATAATAGTTCTCTTCTCTTTGCCCAGTGGTTCGGAGTGAAGCAAGCAAGTAAGTAAGTAAGTAGGAAAGTAAGTGAGTAAGATGAGGACGATGATTGCGGAAAATAAAGAAGATTAGTGTTGCTGCCACTCAAATGAAATTCAATTACTCGAGAAAACTATTAAAAATTTGTGCCAATTTCTATCAATTTTCATTTCAATTTTTTTCATTTCTATGAAATTTCTATGAAATTTTCAAAAAAGGAAATAAATTTCAAAATTTTTTCGGCTTCATAATTTCATCCGAACTTTTATTGTTTTGAAAATTTCATAGAAATTTAAAATTTTTTTCCAAATATATCGAATAAATTTCTTTGTTTCGAAATTTTGTTTTGTGCATTTTTTGATACTTTTCGCGAACTTCCGTAATCTCCATTTTCTTCTTCTTACTTTTGCTTGTTTTGATTTTCGCCAGATTCAAATCGAGGAAAATCGAATGGTGCGTTCCACGATGCCAGTGGCAGGAGCAAATCTGAGAGGATTAAAGATGAAACGACTGCTTTCGGGGATTTCTCCATTCCCAACCGATTCCCTGGCAAGACAGCCTCCTTTTAGGAATTTATGGGTCAAAGCAGATGAACGAAAATGTTCTTTTTTATGATAACAAGAAATGCAAGTGAATCTATCCATACCTACTGGTTTTGTTACAATTTTTCCCACCAATATTTCTCAAAATTTTCGATTTTTATTTTCATTTGAGAACTGCTTATATAATTTCGATTTCTTTCGTAGAGAATCAGTTCGGTGATAAATATTTTGGTGAGTGGTCGCTAGCACCATTCGGATCCCATTTTTCACAACTCTCACCAAGAACTCTCTCTCACCAAAGGTGAAATTGAATCCATTTTGCAAGATCTCACCAAAAGCAAATTATTTAAATTATTTGAACTAATTTATTTTTCTGAATGAAAAATATTTCCATAAATCAACAAAACGCAAAAAGAAAATTTACCGAAATTTTTACAATAAAAACAATAAAAACAAAATTTTCAATATCGTTGGTTTTCCTAACGACCTTATGTGAGATTTTTTAAAAACATTACGCATTTACAAGCATAAAACTGGAATTCATGGAACTTATACTTTCCCAATGGGAGTAAATATGCCTCTCAAAAACCCGAGTGACCTGTGTCCTCCAGTGATACCTTGGTTCCTTGCACCAGCAAGCACCAGTGCAGCAAGTTCCACCCGAAACTGCCAGCGCTATTACAGGGAAAAATATACACTCAACCGATTTATAACGAAATTCCATGCAAACAAATCCATAAAACTACTCTTCAACTTTTTTTTTCTCACTGAAGTGCAAATCCCTTCCTACGCAAATTCAATCGAAGCTGACTTTTGATTATCCACCGGACGACTACTCGTCGGCTCCGACAATTTTTGAATATTGGTTGGGTACATTTCAGGTCGTATTAGTGCATTGGGGGTGGCGGGGTTTCATTTAGTTTTACGTTATTGCTGGGGATTCGTTTCAGAGTTCGACGTTCATTCTTCACGTTTGTTCATTCTTTTCATTTTTTTATGAGTTTAATATTTTATGTTCCATTCAAATTTTATTTTCAAAAATATTAAATATTAATTTTCAATTAATAAAAAGTAAATAAGAATAACGAATGAATAAAAATAATTTTTAAAGTTTATTCGGTGAAATTTTTCTTTCTAAATGTTTAATGTATAAAATTAAAATAATTTTCATTAGAAATTTTTTATTATTTAATTTTAACCTCAATTACATTTTAATTGTATTTTATTTTAGTAGGAAAAAAATATTTTAAACAAAATTCCCAATTTCTGAAGCAATTAGCTACGGAACAAATTTTTTCTTTTTGCTTCATTGCTTGGCTGATAACATTTATCAGCAAAATATATTGTTGCACTCAGATAAAAAACTTCTTCAATCATCTCTCTGCATTTCCTTAATCGACTATACTTCTAACAGCTCATTACTGGTTAGGCTGGCTCCGCTGGTTACAAGGGTAAGACGTCTCTGAACTGCTCGGTCCGACGCCATCGCTAGTAGTAATAAAAGCCATTTCTTTTTTCACCATCTAAGACCATATATCGCTGGTCCCCTTACACGTTCAAAATCTTTTAGTTCAGCTCTTGACTGGTCCTCCTCGCTTTGGCGCCAACCATCACAGGGCTTAGCAAATAGCGAAATATGCATCAACTCCTGTGGTGAACGACGGAGAACGTGCCCTAACCAGCGAAGATGATGCTGTGATAACATCATTAATGCAGGTGGTATTTGAGCGAAGGTGGATATAATGTTATATATAATCATGTGGATTTTATCTGCTCGGTGGATGCGTAGAATGTGCCTTAGATATGAGTGGTCAAGGCTAATAGCTTCTTAATATCTTCCACTCTCACTGGCCGTTTCGCAACCATATAGCAAGATCGAATTGTATTTATATGGACGTGGATTTTTGTCTTTATGGTGATTTCGCTACGGTTCCATAAAAATTTCATCAATTGGAAAAACATATTTCTAGTTGTCGTTGTCTGGATTATAATTTCATTTTTTGCCTGGCCAATAAAACGAAAACAATTTCATTTTATTTACATTAATTTTGAGTCCAATTCTCGCTGCAATTGTTGACACATTTTTTAACATTATTTGAATATCCTCAACAAAAATATTGTCAACAAAAAGGGCTACATCATCAGCTTATTCTAGGTCTGTGATGCTACGCTCTGGACTGATTTCACACTTCTTGAGTGCCGATAAGCGATGCCCATTATCGCATAGTTGAATATTGTAAGGGAAAGGACGCAGCCCTGACGGACGCCAGTTCTTGTATCAAAGGAGTCTGTCAGCTCCCCATATACACAGACCTGTGCCAGGGTACGCTGTTAAAATGCCTTTATGAGCCGAATGATCTTCTCTTTTCACCGTCACATTCCGTTAGTTTCCAGAGCGCTTCTCTATCAATCGAATCGAAAACAGTTGCAAAATCGATAAAGCAAGTGAAATCAAACAATAGGTTGCTGTTATTTGAAGCAATATTCCAGCACCATTCTTAGCGTAAATATCTGGTCAGCACAACTGCGTCCTGGTCTGAATACAACTTGGTTAGGACACTATTTTGTGTTACCATGAGTCTATTTAGCAGAAGATAAGCGAAAATTTTTCCGAAGATGTCCAGTAGGCTGATTCCTCGGTAATTGTCGTCCTGTCACCTTTCTTAGGAATTAGAAGCAGAATTGCTTTGCTCCAGTGTTCTGATATTATTTCCTTTTGCCATACCAGGGAATATGTTGAAGGTGAATGATGATGGACAACATTTGAAGTTCGGCCCGAAGACCATGTCCAGGATTTTATTAGCCTTAAGCTTATGGATTATCTCTTCTATTTTTCTCTTCTATTTGCGGTTCACAATTGGTTCACTTATATTCGGGACAATAGACGTGGTTAAGTTTGGCCTCAAAAAATTCTTTCCATCTTCTGAGGCGAATCCTTGACAGCTTTAATTGTACTCCATTAATATCCCATGTTATTTCACTGACCCCTTCTCGACTTATAGGTGCTTTGGGGAGAAGGCGAAACAATTTCCTATCCGAACTGCTGACTCCATTCTTAAGGCCATATCGCTCCCCAATAGCATTTATCCTACCGTGCTGCTGTCGTTGTAATCTAATCCTTCGAAGCACTCAATAGTCAGGATCTCCTGGTAATCGATTGTACCCACAACCCACTTCATTTTCTTTAGCATTTAGCAGTGCACATATTTAACAATATTTAATGTTAAGGCGCTATAAACTATTTCTTCAAGTAATATAAAAATTTCTCAATTATTATGGAATCCTTTTTTAGATTATTAATTGAAGAAGTATGTTGACAGTAAGTCGATGTATGTGTGCCGCATCATTGTTACAATTTACTCCACAGTTGGCTTTTGTACAAAAAATGAATGTTCATCATCATAAAGAACGACATGATTTAGATTTGTATATCGGCATCAAAAGATCGAGCAAAAGTAGAGCCAATAGGCATACGCAAGTCAATGAAGGGATTTTTAGAAAGGTTTCTCAGTAGTTTTTTATAATTTTGCCATTTTCAGATGGCTGCTAGATAATCACTTGTAGCAGTTTTTTAAGCGACTCTCTGACAAAAATGTCTTAGTCTAATGGTCGTACTAGAATGAAGTAGTCAGCCGGATAAGTTAGAAATGATGGCTATTTTCAAGAGATAAATCTTCGTTTCATTTTATAGATATTTTCTTGTATTAAGCCTTTAGAACCCACAGTCTTTCTGTTACCACCTCTTGAAAAGAGGAAAAGGATTTTTGTTTGACTTGCATTTAATCAACTAAAAAGTTAGTTCAACTAAAAAATACTAAAAAATCAACTAAAAAATTTTTTCCTATTTATTTTCATTTTTTCCTATTTATTTAGTGTCGTGCGCGTAAAACAGCGATTATTGACCTACCTGAAGATAGTATTGATAATAAAATGGAAAATATGTTACCAGCTGATATACGGATCATGATGTTGAAAAAAGGTATTAATCCATACAAGGAAGTTCAGCCGAGAAATTGGAATGAGCACCAAATCACATTTAGCTCAATTCGTAAGTTTTATATTTTCAAAATTTTTAAAGTAAAATATAATGGATTGGCTACAAGTGAGAAATCCTTATTTCGCTATTCATGAAATGAAATAAAACAGTTTGCAAAATTTTTTTTGGAAATTTGTTTGGTTTAAAGTAAAATTGATTCAATTCAATTTAAGCTGGTGTAATGGAACCATCCGTTAAACCTGAAAATCCACTACCTTTCTTTAGCGATGAAAGTGCGGCATTTGAATCATTAAAAGCTAAGGGTGAAGAATTAGTATCTCGTTCCTTATCAAGGTTAGTTTTTTGAAGTTCAATGATTACATATATATTGTATATATTGAGTTCAATGATTAAATATATATATATATATATATCATAATATATATCATATATATATCATAACTAAATAGCTGGCATTATCTACAAGAATATCTGCTCTTTATATGGCTTAGATCCTTCTAGATTTCTCAGAAATAATTGACTAATAATGCGGAGATCCGGTTGGGATTCTCTATCCAAGTAGACAAACATTCAAATCAATCAGATATCGTGGTAGAATCAGAAATCAACAAAAAATGCCGTAAACGTAGTGATGGCTCTACCAGTACCAAGTGAACATTAGGAAGAGGAAATATGGAAAGTTAGGGAAACACTAGCGACTAGAGATGTGGAAATTGATGTCCAAAGTAATTCCAGTAATAATCGGAGCACCTGGAAATCTAATCCTTAAATTAGAAAAGTGAATTCAGCAGATTCCAGAAACAGCAACAGAGATCAAGAACAACATCGGATCTCCATCCAGCGTATTGCTAGAAACAGATAAAGAACTGCGCAATCTTCCAGGCCTCTGGTAGAGGATTCATGATTGAGGATAATCCTTAACTCACAAGGAGCTAGAAAGGGGTTTTTTTGTTGGTAAATAATTTAATATGATTATTTAACTCCACCACGATGGGAATAGCTATTGATATGGCTTTGAGAATGGAAACGGCGACTCGATTAGGCGATAATAGGACTATTACTTCTCTTCATAAAGTAACTATAACTCAGTCAGTAAAATAATAAAGGACAGCAATGGTATGCCTTTAAGGATCACCTCACAAGATGGAAGTAAGGCCAATATAATTACGATTCTCCATCTGATGCCCCGAAGATAGCTGATTCGCTCGTTGAACCATACTTTTTCAATTTCAAATCGTCAATAGAAGAAAATAGTCTACGCTATCCATAAGCTTGAGGCTAATAAGAATACCATCGAGCTCAAATCTTATCTATCATCTTTACAACGCACCTTCAACAAATTTATTCTCTAGTTTCGAGAAAAGATTTATCACCAGATGATTGGAAAACCGCTCCCAGTTCTCAAAAAAAGGTGATAGGACATACTGCGAAAATTATCGAAAAATCAGTCTCCTGGACATCTTCAGAAAAATTTTTACTTTTCTCATGCTGACAGGCTTATGGCAGTACAGACAGGAGGATACTCTCAAGCTGGATTCAGATCCGCCTACAGTTGTATTGACCAGATAAATAGTCAAGAAGGGTGCTGGAATACCACTTTAAATACCAGCAACTCGTCACTTGTTTTATCAATTTTGCAGTTGCTTTCAATTCAATTCTTAGTGCAGCCCTTTGGAGGGTGATAGAATGTGATGGTGTTTTAGAATCGTTCACTTCTTAAAGGCGTTTTATCAGCATACATCGGCATATGTATATGGAGATTTGATAGACCCTTTTGAAATAAAAACTGGTGTCCGTCAAGGCTGCGGCCTTCACTCTACAATATTCAGTGCGATAGACTGGATAATGGAAATAAACTGGATAATAGCTTGTCGGTAACCAAGAGATATACAAAGAGATATCAGTGCATAATGTTATAGATCTTGAATAGGCTGAAGATGTAGTCCTTTTTGCTGATAGTTATGACGAAATACAAGTAATGCTAAACAATATGTCGACAACTGCAGCGAAAATCGGACTCAGGAAACGAAAGTCTTTTTTGTCTTATTTGTGAGAAGTTTTCATTATATTTTATCATAAAATATCTATTTTTATCAGTTCTTTGCCGTTTGAGGAGGTGCCAGATTTCAAATATCGCGGATCTAATCCCAAGTGGCCAAGCGAAATTATACCTCGGATAATAACAGCTAGAAATGTTTTCTTCAGGTTGATGAAACCTTTATGGACATCGCGAAATCATTATAAAAACGAAAGTGTGGTTTCTATTTATCTATCTAGTATTTATTTAGTCGCAGTTAGCTCGATCTTGCTGTATCAGTACAAGAACTGGCCATTGAGAGTGAAGGATATGAAGAAGCTATCTGCCTTTTACCACTCATATCTAAGATACATCTTAAAGGTCCGCCAAGCCGATAAAATCGCACATGATTATTCACTCTTCCTCAGATATCACTTGTATTAACATCACAGAACGCTATCTTCGCTGGTTAGAGCAGTTTGTCCATTGCAGAAATTAACATATTTCGTTATCTGCTAAACCTCGTAATGGATGGCGTCAAAAGCGAAGTTCTGCAATCTAGACTGACAAAGTCAGGAAAGATTTTAAATGTATAGGTAGACCAGCTAATATATAGATTTAGATGTGAAAAGAAATGGCTTCTATTACTCTCATCGATAGCGACGGAACTAATAGCTATCTTGCCCTTGTAGCCAGTGGAGCCAGCCAGCCTAACCAGTAATAATGAGATCTATTAGAAGAAAAAAAAGTAATGAAATCATTGAAAATTTTTATCATTGGAACGCAGATTGCATTCTTATATCTAATATTGATATAAAAAAAATTATCAGTAGTCAATTATCGCTAAATATATTTTCATTTATAAATTCTCAAATATTTTCAAAGACATTATAATAAGAAAAGTTTTTCAGCTATCGCAACTATAGATATGGGACAATGAGAATTAGAAAAAAAGAGGGTTTCGAAAAATTCGATCCGAAAGTAGGCATATTTTTATTTAATATTAAATAAATTTCAGAATTTTAAGAGGCTTAAGAATCTGTTCCTTGAATGTACTTTTGCTTTTTTAAATCCGTTTCACTCCTTTATTGTATTTACAGACCTTTGGAGCGATTGCTGATACTATTTTTATTGAAGCTCATAAGGCTCTTATCGCACGTGATATTAAATTACTTCAAAAATATGTTACCGAAAATGCCTTTCAAGTTAGTCTTACTCATATTTATCTTTCTTTTCTAGCTTTCTTTTCTAGCTTTTGACTAAGGTGTATTTAGAAGAAAAAGAGTAATTTATGCTTAGATTAAATCTCTTGTGGCAGAGGTAAGCCTATAATTCAAAAAAATAAAATTGCAAATTGCTGGAGGTCTAAGGATAATTCTGTTCCAATGAATCTGTGGCGAAAATATATAATTTTAATATATATATATATATAATATAGCCAGCAAAGGCCTTATCTAAACAATCACCAGCACTAACCTGCGTAAGGCTAGGAGCCTTATGTAGTTTAGCTAGCTTACATATTGTACTTTTTATTAGTGACTTGAAGACTAATTTTTTGCTTATAGCGTTAGAATTTAATGGTGTGTAAATTCATATATATATTTTTTAAAGAAAATGTGGCCTGATGTCGAAAAGGGATCAATATTTTGGGAATTAATAGAATTCAAAGAACCATCGCGTGTAATGACAATTCGATGTGTCGACATGCCCATAAATTCTGGTAATGATATTGCTCAAATTACTGTGCGGATGCATTCACTTCAAGTAAGTTTATTTTAATTTTTTTGATTATTTCTTATTTCTTCTCGCTTACTTTGTTCTTAATTTAATATTCTCTAAATTTTCAGAAATTAGCGCTGTATGATAGATTTGGTCGAATAATTCTCGGTTCGGAAAATGAAATTCGTCCTATTGTTGAATATGTTGTATTTGAAAATCATATTGCGAGTTTAGATGGTATTTGGCGGTTGCATGATAAAGTTCATCCTTACTGGGCTAAGCCTAAAGAACCGGCACGGTATATAAAATTTTTTTCGATGTATCGTCCATATATATTGACTGTTTATATTTATTATGTTTATTTTTCCAAAACTCAAAATTTCTTATTGCTTATCATCCAGTTAATTATAAATCAAATCTGAATCTTTCATAAATATTTCAGATTACAGTTGGATAAGTTTCTCAATCAAGGCTAAATAATGACGGATTTTGGCAAAAAATATTTTTTTTTGAATTTGATAATTAATTTTAATCGCATCGCTTTTTTAGAATAACGACTGTCTTAAATGAGATTAATGAAGAATCGAGGCCATCGCAAGCAGTTGCCATAAAAAACACAGTGGATCCTCGTAAATTATATGATAAGGAAGAAAGAAAAGATGATTGATGTAGAAATTCTCAATAAGCCGTTTGTTTTAAGTTTCTAAACGTTATATATAAATCGATGTACATTTATATATACATTTACATGTCCATCCTGTTAAATTTTCACAATTTTAAAATCGCCATGTTTATTTCTGGTTTATTTTTAATTCTTTCTAACTCATTTTGCAATATAATAATTCAGATTTTTTTGGAAATGAAGTGCAAAAAGTTCGAGGATGTGATCTTTTCATTTTTTCTTTTTCATTTCTTGGATTCCAGAATTTTTCTTTTTTGGTATGAATTATTATATTATAAGTCATGAAATGTGCTATTTCTTTAAATTCTATTTTTATGCAAGGTTTCTTAGTTAAAAATGCGACAATTTTTAATTCAACCAAATTTATTTTTGTCGATTTCTCTGTTAATTCCATTCTTTAGTTCCCTTTTTTTCCGCTTCAAAAGTTTTTCGTTTTTTTTCCCATTTCATAAGTAAATTGTGTGTTTGCATCTTATAATTTGACAATTTTGTTTTCATGATGTCTCTGTAATATTCAATAATAATATTTTCTCGATTTGCACAAATATTTCCATCAGTTACTTTATTTATTTAATTTCCAATAATTCTGAAGTTTCTTGTACTTGTTTAGGATATTTTAATTATTAATGCTATATTTTTAAAACATTTTAACATGTCCATCCTGTTAAATTTTCACAATTTTAAAATCGCCATTTTTTGTTTCAATTTAAATTTTATGAATAAAATTTACATCAAAATTGAATAAAAGAATTTTGCGAATTTTTCTCCTTAATTTTGTGGAAAATTGTTCAAATTACAGGTATTTCAATAATAATATTTTAATAACAATTTTAATAATAGTTTTTTAAATGTGATTTTGCTATTTTATATTTTTTTAAATTTTAACAAAAATTTTATACAAAAATTGAAAATATTTTTTTTTTAGATGGCAGATGAAAAAAAGGATAGTGCGGTTGAAGATACTAAGAAAATGGAAATCGATACAGTAGAGGAAGATGATGAGTTTGAAGAATTTCCTCTACAAGACTGGCAAGCCAAAGAAAGTAATGATGAAGAAGAGGTGTTTTTTCTAAGGCTTTTATTAATTTGGTAGTGGTTTATGTGAATTGTTTATTGTGTTACTAAGAAAAATAGAGTTAAGGATTGAAAATTTCAGCGATAAAACATTTTCTTCTTGCTACATAGAGGATTAAAATTTCAATTTATTTGTTATTTTGGGCGGACTGGATATCCATGGAAAAAGCCATATCTTCTCATTTTCAATTTTAGAATTTTTAAGTTCAGAATAGAGAAACAAATTACAAACAAATTAGTATTTATTATATCTTGTAAATTTATACTTATTCCAGGAACTGAATGTTTGGGAAGACAACTGGGACGATGAAGTGCATGAAAATGATTTTTCGAAGCAGTTGCGGTTGGTTTCGGTTATTAGATTAGTTATAATCTTTAGAAACAACCATCGAATAATATTTTACTTCGACTGAAGTATTTTTCAGTCGTAGTATATAGAGTGGTATCTTCCAAAGATCATAGTTTTTGTTCTATTAGCTGGAGTAAGTATGTTAAAATCAAATGGTGCTGCTAATCCATTGCAAAATGACGAAGAGTCCTAAAGTCAGTGGAGTTATCCAAACTACCACTGCTGTTATGATAATGACGATGATAAATTTTTGAATAATATTTTCTCACATAACTTCTTCATTTTTGAAAATACGGTTTTGCATTTTTTTTGCGCCATTTCTCACTGAAGAAAAAGACCGTAATAAACTGCGTTTTAATCACATTTTCAATTAAGCAAAAATTTTTTTTCGAAATCTCTTTTATCCCATTTGTTTAAAAAAATTTTAAGGTGGTAAGGTAAATTTAAATTTAAATAATGACCAAGTTTTCATAAGTTTTTTAAATTGAAATAAAATAAATTATAAGTTTTTATAATAATTTCATTAGTTAAATAAATAATAAAAGCTAAATTAAAAATTTACACCCACAGTTTATTTTGATTTTTTCCTTATTATTAAATTACTGAAATTATAAGAATTAGTTTTGCGATAAGAAATTTTAGCAAACGAGGTTATTTCCCGAGAAAAAAATTTTATAAGTTTACAATTCCAATTTCCTATCGATAATTAAATGAATTTTTTTTCAGAGAAGAGCTGACGAGAAATGAATTCACATCAGCATCATAAAATTGATACATTTATATTATGTTATAATATATTATATTATGTTATTATAATTTCGAGAAAATAAATTTTTTTCTTATCCATTAGGAGTTGAAATGGATTACTGGTTTAATCCACTTTAAAGATATTTCTTACCCCTTTATCATCAAATTTGGTTTTTTTTCTTCTAACAGCTCAGACTATTACTGGTTAGGCTGGCTGCAACGGCTACAAGGGTAAAGGTAATAATGCTTCCAACGTTTGATGCCATCGTCGACAGTAATAGAAGCCATCCTTTTTTCCATCATAAGTCCATATATTGCTGGTTCCACCTATACGTTCAAAAACTTTTCTGACTGTCCAGGTCTTGACTGAACTACCTCGCTTTTGACACCATCCATCACATGGTTTAGCAAGTAACGAAATTTGCGACAACTCTTGTGGTGGATGACGGCGAATGCCCTAACCAGCGAAGGCAACGTTCTCTGATAATATTATAAATGCAAGTGGTATTTGAACGAAGGTTCTCTCATGTGATATTTTATTTTATATGTTCGACGGACCTGTAAAATGTATCTTAGACAAGAGTGGTCAAAGGTAATTAACATCTAATAATAAATGATAAATGAAATGCCTAGAGAGGATTCATAAGTTATTATGATTCTCAGCCACGACAAAATTGTACTTTTGTTATTTTTACTCTATATCCAAAGCGATGTCCATTACTATCTATCGCACGGTTGAATGCTGTAAAGGAAAGGACCCAACCTTTACGAACATCAGTTCTTATTTTAAAGGGTTCTCAGTTCCCCATATACACAGACTTGCACCGATGTACGCTCATAACATGCCTTTATGAGTCGAATGGTATCCAAACCATCGTTGCGTTTTATTATCCTCCAAGGCGCCGCTCTAATTGAATCGAAGGCGACCGCAAAGTCGATGAAAACATGTGAGGGTAGGTTATATTTGAAGCCATGTTCCAACATCCCCTTCTTAATGTAAATATCTGGTCAGCACAACCGCGTCCCGGTTTAAATCCAGCTTGGTTTAGGACGTTATCTCGTGTTGCCATGAGTCTATTTAGCAGAAAATAAGCGAAAATTTTTCTGAAGATGTCCAATAGGTGATTCCTTGGTAATATTCGCAGTATGTCCTGTCACCTTTCTTAGGAATTAGAAACAGAATTGCTTTGCTCCAGTGTTCTGGTATTATTTCCTTTTGTACATACCAGAGAATACATTTGTTGAAGGTGAATGATGATGGACAACATTTGAAAAGTTTGGCCCGAAGATCATCTCCTGGAGTTTTATTAGCCTTAAGCTTATGGATTACAGAGATTATTTCCTTTTCTATTGGTGGTTCACAGTTGCAAACGTAAGGCTAGACGTGCTAATCAGTTACATTCGGTAAAACAGATGGCGCATCGTGGTTAAGCTTGGCCTCAAAAATTCTTTCCATCTTTTGAGGCGATCCTTCACAGCTTTAATAGGTACCTCATTAATATCCCGTATCATTTCACTTTCATTTTAGACTCTTTTTCGAGTTATAATTGCTTTATGAAGAAAGCGAAACAGTTTCCTATTATCACCTATACGAGGTGCCGTCTCCATTCGTAAAGCCATATTGCTCCTATAGCTATTTCTGTCTCGCCATGCTGCCGTCGTTGTAGTTCTTCAAAGCATCCGTTAGTCAAGATTTCCTGACATTTATGCGTTGGTAGCAAACATTTTCAAACAATTGGACAGTTGCTTCCGATACTCAACTAGCGCACTTCCTACTAGTGTGCCCTAGCTTGGAAGTGGCTATCTTTCGGAGACATTCCTTTAGTTTGGACTAATATTCATTTGTCATTCCAGAAAAATCATTGATATTTGTATCATTGAAATGTTTCAATAATTCGGTTTGAAATGCGCTCACTGTCTCCGAATTTTTGAGATGGTTGAAGGATCGTGGAAGTTCTGCTTTTTGCGTGTTGTCAGTTTTATACAAATCTCGAATCATAACATGGTCAGATCCATGAAGGTTGCCCGGTTTATTGCCACTATAGAAACGACTATCTAGTACGGAACTCTTCCAGCGGCGACTGATTAAGATAGAACCAATCTGGTTGAAGTGTTGGTTATCCGGAGAATTCCACGTGACTAGGTGCTTTTACGATGCTTGAGATATTAGTAACAGAAAGTTCATGTTCTTCGGCATAACGAAGAAGACGTTTCCCATTGGCGCACCGGTCTCCGATGCCATATTTGCCAGTTGTCGAGATCATCGCAGCAGCATTATGGCCTACGCGAGTATTCCAGTCTTCCCCGATTATGACCATATCATTTTCGGTAAAGACTTTGTTAGCAGTTGAAGTTTCGCATAGAACTTATTTTTATCATGGTCATCTGTCGGCATAGAATATAGGCACTGATGATCAAAATATTGCTGAACTTACCTTTAAAACCATAAGCCATATGGTCTCTTACCGGTTTTCACTCAATCAAAGCTAAATGATTCTTGTCAGATATGGTAAACGCTATTTTGCTTCGAGCTAGGATTAGTAATTGATCGAGACCCGAAATGAGGACTTCTGAAATGCAGGAGATACCCATACGATATTCAGAAAGGGTGTGGATTGTGAACGCTTGATTTGCAATGTCAATAAGCATTCTGGCGTTCCTCGCTGATATGGCTAGTACCTCTCCGCGCGTGCAGAGAGCCCTTTATAGGTTTCGAGCAATCATCCTAGGTTTTAACCACATTTTAATTATCAGCCTAGAGAATGCTTTATGCCCGGATATTCCCAGCCCAGATTGTATACTTATCGAATTACCACCAGACTGGGAATATCATGAGTATGTTGGAAGACGCGAACGGCGTATCAAGAATCTGACCCTTTCTCCATAAAATCACATGGGGATAGAGTTACAGGTGGACCAGCAACCACCCGAATTTTTGGCATGATAGGTTTAGCCTGTCAAAGACAGACAATATTATTTTATAATATTATTATATATAATATTGTCCCTATATATATATTTTAATATCAATTCTTTGTTTTTTAAACTTAAAAAAAGGACTCGTTGTTTATAGAAATTCTGAAAATATTCCGAAATATTCCGAAAAAGCGTAAAAAAACAACAACAGCGGAATAGAAATAGAAATACAACCGCTGAAATTCGAAAAATTTTGAAATTTTGTGTTATATGATTTAGATTTTGCTTTAATGAAGCAAAGCTATTCTTGAAAATGAAATGAAAGTGCTAGGAATCCACCTAATAGTCTTCTTGGCTGTACAAACCAAGATAGTAGGTTTATCGACAAATGTTTCTTTCAAAATTTATTTTTGTTTTTGATTCGATTAGATTTCGTAGTTTTTCTGTTACTGGAAATTTACCAGAAATTAATATATGATTTGATATGTATCGAGAAGATGGTTGGATTTTCGAATTTTAATTCTTTTATAGGGATAAGTCTCGTTGTTGTCGATGGAATGACTCGAACACGATAGCTTGTTATTCCTTATTGTGAGCGGAGGAGCAACGTTACGAATTATAATTTGTATTGATTTCCACTATGAAATTAAGGAAGTTTGGGTGGTTTGGATGAGAGAATTTTTTGAATTTTCTTTGAAGATTTTCGCCACAAGCGAGTTTTCTTTTTGGCGATCTTTCTAATTATATTTATCGAATAACTAAGCGAAAATATTTATATCATAAAAGGAAACGACTGGTTTGGAAGAGCCTAAGCCTTATTTCTCTCAAAATCACTATTTAGCGAGATGATGCTGCAGAAATGACGAGCAGCCAAAGGTTCCTAGTTATTGTACCAGTAAGGCGAAGAAGAATTTTATAAAAGAGGTTAATATTTTTAATAATTTAAAGAATCCTGGTGATGGCGAATTTTTAATGATTTTGATGTGTATTACTGGAAAAAAAAGAAAAAGACGAGAAGAGATAATTGTGGTAATTTTTTATTGTGTTTTTTTAAGAATAAAGAGAAGTATTACAATCGATTTTCTTGTTTTTGAGTAACTCAGTTATGAGCAATTTTTTATTTTATCATTCGAATAACTGAAGAAATTTTATATATAACGAACAATTTAAGGGAAATATCAGCAGTGTCGGCGATATCAGTTAGATAGGCGACATTTCATTGTTCTATTTTTGCCATTTGGAATTATTAAATAGGAGAGAGGGTTTTTTTTCTCTTTGCAATTTTAAGCAATTCGCTTTTATTTATACTATTAAACCTGTCATTTCATTATTCGTTGATAATGATTGATGTGGCAAATTGAAAACAGAAGTTTAAGAAAAAGCTTGTTTTGTTAAATGCGTAGCGTGAAAGTATAAAGTATTCCGGTATTCCACGATGATTATTTATAATTTTCGTTCGTCGTTTTATTAGTTATTAGTTATTAGTTATGTGCGAAATTATTATTATTTATTCATAGTTCTGTTTTTAAATCGTCTCTCGGTTGTTGAATTTTATTTAAGCTAAATTTAAACTTATGGGCTCCGTGCTGAGCTGCTGTGCAAGATTTACCAACAAGTATTTATCAACCAAAGACTCTCTTCCGCAGTTTAACACCAATAGTTTCACAGTGCAACCAGCCAAAACGAAAAAATACATTCACATAGAAGAAAAACACATAATGATGGAATTTTCAATGGTTCTTCATAATTTTAATGGAATTTTTCAAGTTGGAACGAAACGAATTCAATTTTCGAACATTTGTTGATTTTTTTGGTTGTTCATCATTTTCTAAATCACTTGGTAGTTTTTCAAGGACATTGAGATGATATAGCGTCTGCCTTATTCTACAAATAATATCACTGAATAATAGCATCGAAAGGGTGATTAATGAGTTAACCCCGTTCTTTTTTGGTCAACGCAATTTAGTCTCGATTCGGTAACACTGAACATGGATAGATTTTGAAATCGTATTGTGAAATTTTTCCCAACCTATTCCATTCCACCTGCATTGCTTCGAATTTTTTGTTTGAGAAATCTGTGTTTTATGCGATTCTTCGCCTTTTTTATTCCTTTTTTTACGACTTCTTTTTCTCTGCCTACTTTCTCTTTTATATTTATTTATGAAAATTTATGGATTTCGAATGAAACGCAGTGAACTGTAACGTTATAATAGTACACAATACATTGTAGATTATAATTGTACCATTAGCGATGTATTTGTTTGGTTTGTTGTGTAAATTTACTCGTTACCGACAGTTTGCTTAATCGTCTTCACAAGTTATTCCTCAAACTTTTTTACATTTAATTGCGATAAGAAGAATTTGTGTCGTCCATAATTGTTAATGTTATTGTTAATTATGTTAATTTACTGTTTTTAAAATTTGTAACTTAGAAGAAAACGTCGAATCATTTAGATTCATTATTTTATTTTTCGTCTTTAAGAATATTTGTTTTATTGAAGTAATCGATGTTAAGCGATTTCTTAAAATTTTGATTAAGATTTTTGGTTGCTTTACAGGATATCAGAGATATTTTTTTCCGGAAGATGTGGCCATGTTTGCGGCGTATATTTCGTTTTGGAAGTAGTCGCTCCCTTTTTTTGGATTTGTTCCTCATAATTATTTTTCTTTTTGTATTTTCGCTATTATTATCTCGAAATTATAGGCCGTCATTGCATGGAAGCAGGGTTGGCTTTTTTTGCTTTAAACGCAATTTTTTAAAGTTAAGCTCGATTAACTTATGAAATGAAAGTGTTCAGTTTTTTCGTTATTATTTACTTTTTATTTTTTTCATTTTTTGAAGTTATAATTAGCTTATTCATTTAATTTTTATAGGATAATCCCTATGAAAAGACATCATTAGTTCCGCAAACTTTATTAAATCTTCCCATTTCTACTGCTAAGGTTTTTTTTCAATTTTTGTTTTTGTTTGCAGTTACTATTTTTTATTTTCATCTACTGAAATTTGGAGGCAAAATAAGTATTCACAATTTCTCGTTTGGATTCTTGAAGCTATTGACTTTTAAAACATTATTAAATGATTTTTCAAGATAGTAAAATATCAGTATTAAAAATTGGCTTGAAGCTCGAAGAAAAAAATTAAGGAATGGCTCAAACGAAAGGATGGATTATGAAATTTTAAAAATGGTTTCCCCCTTTTGTTTTGCGAATATCCTCATATTTTCTTTGAAATTGAAGTTTTTTTATTGCTTTTTTATTACTTATTTAATCATCCATTTTGCAGGTTGAAGTGTTTGGAGATGGAAACATTTTATCAGAATATTCTATTTCAGAAAAGTTATTTTTAGATTTAGATTTATCCAGATTTCTCCATCTTAATTATACCTGATTTATTCCTAACCTTCAGAGGTAATTTTCTTTTCCAGACAGAAACCTTTCCAAAAAGAAATCGATGGTCTTCCTTATCCGAAATTAAACAGTGCAGGAAATTTTATACCAATCCGACGAATTGTGCACATAGATTTAACTGGTGGTGCATTTAAGGTAAATTCTCCAAAGACAAATTAAGAATTCTTCAGAGTATTCGACTGTTCAATTAAAACTTTTCTCCTTTTGCCAATAAAATATATTGCAGCCACCATATTTTGCTGAATTATTTCATCTTTTCAAATTGCTTCGAGTGACAGGTGTACTACTGGAATGGGATGATATGTTTCCGCATGCATTACGTCTTTCAACTGCCATTAACGGCAATGCATATAAATTAAGCGAGGTTTTTCAATTTTATTGTGTTTTTTTTCTTTGAAAGTAATATAGTTTATTTTATTTATATTTAATACTACAGTTTGCCATTATTTTGTTCATATTATTTTTTACTGGATTGCTGGTAATTTTAAATATTTAATTATCTAATGAATGAATGAAATTATTTTTTCTCTGCCTTTAAAATTCAAAATTTTCAGGTTCAAGCTATACTGCAAAGCGCAAAGACTCATGGCCTCGAAGTTATTCCTCTTGTTCAAACGTTTGGACATTTAGAATGGATTTTAAAACTTGAGCAATTTGCACATCTTCGTGAATCTGCTGATCATCCACAGGTTTATTTATTTGCTTTATTTTTGCGATTGGAATAAAAAATAATATTATGTAATGTTATTTTATTTGATAATGTTATTTTATTTGTTGTTAATGGATTTACTAAAGAGTTTTCACAGTTTAGGTGTTATGTGTGGGAAATGAAGAAGCTTGGTCTCTTTTGAAGGAAATGATCGATGAAGTTATTCAAGTTCATGCAAAATTTGGTATTAGATTTTTTCACATGGGTGCAGATGAAGTGTTTCAGGTGATTGCATCATTCTTATTTTTTTCTTTGTCTTAATTTTTGAATTATTTTGTCATATTATTTTGTCATATTATTGTCATTATATTCATAAATCAATGCTTATTAAATTAAAACAATTCTGTTCATATATCTATGCTTATTGCTTGGAATGCTATAGATTGGATATTGCAATGAAACACAAAGAGAAATACAAAAGCTTGGATCAAGAGAGAAATTAGTGGTGTGGCATATTGCAAGAACCGCTAAGTATATTAAAAGCAAATATCAGGTTATATTTAATTATGTTTTAATTTAATAATTTAATAAATAATTATTTAATTAATAATTTAATTAATTATTTAATTTAATTAATAATAAATAAATAAAATTCCCAAAAAAATACGGATAAAATTTAATATTTAGAGTATTTAATAATACCGTAATATTTTTTTACACTTTTTTTGGAGGAAGAATTCACATAGAATCATTAGCAGGTTCTTTTTTTCATAACAGCTATCAAATATATTTCATTTCAGGTATCAGTGTTGGCTTGGCACGATATGTTAATACAAGCATCAATGCAAGAATTAGCAGCATTTCGAGTAACTGATCTCGTTGAACCCGTTTTATGGTCATATGCAGAAGATTTAGATCAGTATTTGTCGCCAGCAACTTGGATGGCGCTCAAGGTCAGCTGGAAATCTTGCATTGATGTACTTTTTAATAACCTTTCATTTCGAAAATTAACAATGAGTTAATAATGCAAGTTTTAGCCGTTTCCCAAAATTTGGGTATCATCAGCATTCAAAGGCGCAGATGGACCTATGCGTTATTATTCAAATCCTATTCATTATATTCGAAACAATCAAGCGTGGGTTTTACAGATGAGGGCCAACTATCTAGATTTCAATTTTATTCAGGTTTTTAGCTTAGTTTTAGATTTGTTAAATAATGCATAAGATTATTCATTGAAATTCATTGAAATGAAATTTATTTGGAAAAAAAATTTAAAAATTTTTCCTTCTCAGTTTTCTATTTCTTATTCTCGAAGCCTTTTCTATTGTTCTTTTATTTTAGGGCATTATTCTTTCTGGCTGGTCTAGATATGATCATTTAGCGGTACTGTGTGAACTCTTTCCGGTTGGTATACCATCACTAGCGATGAGCCTTGAAACCATCATTGAGGGAAATAAATTAATTGAATATCCATACACTATTAGTGTGTTGAAATGTAAAGCTCCTGTTGAACCTGGTTTTACATTCGGCTGTCGGTTTCCTGGAAGAAAAGTTGGTTCATTCTATCCATTTGTCTCTTTAATATGGCAGTTGGAGTTTAAAATAGCGTAGATGTTTGCAATTTCAGATATATGAGTTGGTAAATGAATTTCGTGAGCAGCATGAACAGCTTAAAATATATAAGGAAACTGATTTTGAATTAAATGGTTGGTTATCCAATATTGCGAAAAGTTTCTCAGTCTCTTCACCAATGTATGTCGAAAAAATAATCAAACTTGTTGAGTCATACTTGGCGCCTTTAGAAAGACTTGAACATGATCTCAGGTAACTTTTTATGTTTTTGTCAGTTCTTGCCTTAGTAAAAGATTGATCAGTATAATATTTCATGAAGATTTTCAAAAGCAAACTTCATCCCTCACTTCTTTTCTTTTCTATAATCTCTTTAAGTTTGATAGAACACCTATATTTTCTTAATACTTGTTATTATTCAATACTTACCATAAACATTTTTTAAGAACATCTTCTTCTTCTAATAGGTGTTCTATCAAACTCTCACCATTACTGGTTAAGCTGGTTCCATTGTAATAGAAGCCATCCCTTTTTCCATCGTCTAAGTCCATATAAGCAAACGTAAGGCTCGACATGCTAATCATATTCGGTACAACAGATGGCGCATCGTGATTAAGTTTGGCTTCAATTTTTCTTTCAGGAAAAAATTCTTTCCATCTTCTTGGCGATCCTTGATGGCTTTATATGCACCCCATTAATATCCCGTACCATTTCACTGATCCCTTCTCGAGTTGTAGTAGCTTTGCGGAGAAGGCGAAACAGTTTTCTCTTATCCGAATCGCCGACTCCATTGTCAAGGCCATATAGCTCCAATAGCAATTTCTGTCCCGCCGTACCGCTGTCGTATAATTCTTTGAAGCACCCGATAGGGTCTCCTGATATTCATGCTTTGGCAGCTTTTTCAGATAGTTGGACAGTTGCTTCCGACACCCAACTAGCGTACTTCCTATTACTATACCGTTATGTGGAATTGGTTGACTTTTGTAGGCATTCTTTAGGTGGGACCAGTATTCATTCGCCGTTCCAGAGATGTCATTGATATTCATTTCGCTGAAATGTTTCAATAATGCGGTTTGAAATGCGCTTATCGTTCCCGAATTTTTTAATTTGAGATAGCTGAAAGATCTTGGGATATGTTGTTTCTTACGACTTGTCAGTTTTATACGAATCTTGGCTCGAACCATAACACGATGATCCATGTCGATTACCAGTTTTAGCCCCGATAAGAATGACTATCAACTATAGAATTCTTCCAGCGGTGACTGACTAATGTATAGTCAGTCTAATTGGAATATTGGTTGTCCGGAGAGTTCCACGTGATTAGACGTTTCCTCCGATGGCGAAAGCATGTATTAGTAACAAAGAGTTTATGCTCTTCAGCAAACCAAAGAAGGCGTTCTCCATTGGCGCATTGAACCCCGATGCCATATTTGCCAATCACCGAGTTCATCGAAACGGTATCATGACCTACGCACTCATTCCAGTCTCTCCCGAGTATAATCATGTCATTTCTCGGAATGTTGTTAACTATTGAAGTTCCGCATAGAATTTATCCTTATCGCCGTCATTTGGCATAAAGTTGGAGCATTTACACTGATGAGAAATATTGCAGAATATTCTCTTGAAAAGCGCGTAGGCCATACGGTTTTTTACTGGCTTCCATTCGATCATTCAATCAGAGCGGATCAAGCCTTTTCAGAGTTGGCAGTCGCTACGCCATTTCGTCCCGAGTTATCCGAAGCATGACTAGCCAGTATCTTTGCTCGGAACCAGGTTTAATAATTACTTTGGAGCCGACATGTGGAAGACGGACCTCCGACAAACAAGCCACATCCAAGTGGTATTTAGAGAAGATGTGGATAGTGATCGCTTGGTTTGCATAAGCGTTCTGACGTTCCACGCAGCTATAGCCACCTCACGGCGCTTACAATCTGTTAACGGATAGGTTCCCGCTTTCCTAGATGGATTTTAAGTACTTATTTCGGTTCGCGAGCAAATTTTGTGCTTGTCTTGGACTTTTATTATTATTATTACTATAGCGCTCGGATTCTATATTCATCGCATGTACCACCGGATCAGAAGTAACATGCGCGTCGGGAGACGCGGACGTCGCGTCAAAGAGACCTGACCCTTTCTCTTTAGAATCACTTGGGGATAGAAGTACAGATGAGTCCCCAGCAACCACCCGGATTTTTGACAACAATTTTACTCCTGTCAAAAACAAAGTTTCTCTATAGAGATAATCAAATTAAATTTAAAAAAAAAAAGTTCAGTGATGATGTAATAAAAGGAAAAAAAATTTTTTTAAGAACTTGCGAAAAAAATATAAAAAATAATTAAATAATTATATATTTAAGTAGAGAAATTAATAAATTGGAAATGCTTATAATTGCAATTTCTAGAAATTTTAATTTTCAGAAATTTCTTTGATGCTAGATTTTTTCGATTCTTATATCTTTTCGTTTCCTCTTTTTTATTTAGGTTCAAAGAAGTACTTTTAGGGTGCAAATGGGAAGCATTTATTTTAACGATACTATCAACGAATTTTTATTTACTTATGTTGCGAATGATCTGTTGTTTTTACGCGAACGCTACAATATTGCTTTAAAGATAATCAAGCAAAAACATTTTCCAAAAAGGCCATTTTTTACTTAATAGTATCTAAAATTTTTGTTGATTTTTTTTATAATTTTTTGTCATTCAATGCTTATATATATATATATATATATTTTGTTATCTGTCAATGAATCGTGGTCTCAAAACAAACTCAGAACATAACAGTCATGGCGACAGAGCAGCTCCGTGTTTCACAGATGGTTTTGATTCAGTTCATTTCTATTGTTTTTTCTTATTTAGCAAAAGCCAAATTTTTTTGCTTTAGTCTTTCTCTATATACATAGAACGCTCATTTAGGTGATTTTTGCAATAGAATATTAATGTGCATTTTAAAATCTGTTCTCTTGTTTTAATTTGTTTTTTACTGTTTATATAATATTTTGTAAATATTCGTCGCTTTAGTTTTCATTTATAATAATTCTTTATGATTTTCCATTTTACATTTTGTCTGACTTTGATAACTATTAGGGCAACGCAATGACCTTAACTTCATCATAGATCCGCTTGAAAATAGGTCCTCAGCAGCCATTCGGTTTTCTTTTTGGTGACAAAATGATATTCCATTTACTACTATCAGCGATTAGGAATCAAAGAGATCTCGCACACTTCATTGCTTATAACAATATAAGATTCTTTAAGCAGAGGAGATATCAGCATTCATCAAAAAAGAATAATTATTAAAATCTCCACCCGAATAGGACTGCCATTTGCTTAAAAAAAGCAATAAATTCTCATATAAATCTATATGAATTCATTATTTAATTCGTTGTAAATATTGTATATGCGCCTTTATTTGTTATTTTTGCAAATGAAGCGACATTATTTGATTTTCATTATTATTATTTTTTTCCTTCTGTGAAGGTCTTTAAATTTTTTTAAAAATGTATTGTCTAAAATATTTTTAATTTTTTTTGGTCCAAATTTTTGCGTTTAATTGATTGTTGCAATAATATAGCTTATTTTAATATATCAGTGGTCGTTGTCATTTGTCATTTTTGTAGAATGTTTTTTTTTCTATTCATAAGTCGAATTCATGGCTGCGTTGCTGGGTTAGTGTTCACCGATGCATCTTAGGCTAGTTTTTCCTGCTGGGAGCACAGCCTCAGCATCGGGACTCCGAACTGAGGAGCAATCCACCCCACTTCGTAGGCACTAGTATCGCCCAGTGGAGAAGACAGAAGAGAGTGGAATGGATCAGTGGATTGCTCCTCAGTTCGGAGCCCCGATGCTGAGGCTGTGCTCCCAGCAGGAAAAACTTGCTCTTCAAAAATCCGGCCAGTGCTGGCGATCTGCCTGTATTTCTGTCGCCAAAGAACTTCATGGCGCATTCGTCTAGTCCGACAAGCCAGCGGAACTAGTTTAACCAGCAACGATGAATGCTCTTTAAAAAAATTCAATCCATAGTCATTATTTCCGCTTTATTTCATGCAAAGTACAATGTATGCCGATTAAAAAAAATCATAAATAAATTTATTTCGATTCTAATTAATTACTGTAGAAAAGTTAACTTTCTGGCAATATTTTCTAATTGTTGTATTTATGATTTTTAAATAAATATTTAAATAAATATTTGAAATTAATAAAGTAATTCGGCATTTCGCTTTTTTTTTGCCAGAAATCCATTTGCAAAGATAAAATAAGGGGAAAACCAATTGCACAAATCAGTAATCCGCGACAGTTTTTGGGAAATTGGGCGAGGGTGGGTAAGGACGCACCGTAAGAGTGGAGAGTTTGCGGCAATTTATGAATCTAGAAAAAAACTGGAAAGAGGTAAATAGTAAAACTAGTCGCACACGATTAATGGTAATATTAAATTGCTTGGTTTGCATGTCGTATTGAGAAACAAGTATTTTACATCATTTTGATCGAAATTTGTCGTTTTGAGTATTTGTAAAATAAGTTTATCGCGTTTCCGCACTCCTTTGCCTTTTGCTCGACTTATCTGCAACTTTTTGTTGGTCATAGTGGCTAATCGTATAAGTGAGTTTTCTGGAAGGGCCTATCCAGACTCTTTTAGTGACAGGTTACTTCCAGTCCAAAGAACCTAAGCCGCTTGTCCTCAGCAAAAGCAGCTCAGCAAACGCCTAAGGTAAATAAATGAATGCTAAGCAACGTACATCAAGTTGACTGCAACATCCCGGATGTAGGTATGAATAAACTGGTCGCACTCTATAAAGGTTGTTGTCGCTGCACTTAATCTGAAATAGAAGACTTCGTCTAGTTCTATCACTTATCACTTCTAAATTTGTCGTAAACTGGAAGCTTAACAAGAAAGAGGGGAAAATAATCTGCAAATTTTTCTTAATGTTCAAAATACCTTTATTGCGATTCCATCTTTACTTCGGTTTATTAAGATGTGTTTAGATGCACCACCTTCCGCCGTAAAAGTTGCAAAATTTGGATTTATCGACAGTGTTTCTTCCGTTGCAGATGTTGTCATCACATCTGTGATAAGTGATAACGATAATTAAAAGTAATTATCCCCAAGTTTTTGTATATTGTTATAATTTATTACTTAGTTATTATTATTGATAATTTTATCCTAAATTATTATGAAAAAAAAGTAAAAAAGCTGAATTGTAGGAAAGAAAAAAATCGAAATTCATTTATTGAGATTCGATTAGAAAATCGTACAAATTAATTAATTAAATTAATTTTTGAATGAATTTAAAAAATTTGCGAAGTAAATTTTTGAGAAATAGAACGGCAAACGATTCGTCAAGTTTCGTGAAGAATTAAAGGACTACTGTAGAATATTTTCGAATTGAACTGACTGAACGGAGGAAGAAGAAGTTTACCAAGAAAGGAAACTTGGCGGAGCCAAGCAGTGTCGAGTTCAGCGGTGATCGACCGACTGGTTGCCATGAAAAAATGGCTACGAAATTGTTAAAACTGTTTCCATTGGCTAAGTTCGAAAATTTTATCTTGCAAAATCTATTTTGTTTCATATTTTATAAAATGAAATCTGAATTTACCAAAATCTATGTTTATGCAAATCTCAGAACTTTGTTAATAATGAATTTACCTACATAAATGCCTAAAAATTTTATTTCATTAGTGATTAATGATAAAATATTTTACTAAATTAATAAAATATTTTATTAAAAAACCTGATGTTTCTCAAATATTGTACGTTGGTGATGCTGTTCAGCGATAAAGTGCATTAAACGATGCAAAAAGGATTGGATCCAACTATAATCATGGATGTCCATCGGGTCGGTGGGCTTGGAAACGTCTCAACCTAATAGCCAATGGAACCAGCTAAATCGAAAATGGTGCGTTAGAAAAATGAGATATTTTTGAAAAGTTGATCCAATTACTATTTCCTAATATTGAAAGTCATTGATACCTTTTAGATTTACTGGAAAAGATTGAGAATGCAATTGATGACAAACGCCATATGTCAACTTTTTACAAGGTTGTAGGAAATTAAGTTCGTTTAGCAAGTTAGCAGTTAGCACGCAACTTGTGCACTCTGGGAATCAATCTCATTTACCCTTAAATGCTAAAGTCTTTTTGCCCGTATTTTACTCTTTACTGCAGTTAATTAATATCATTACATCCATTATCACTACTTTTATCACGCAAATGAATCGATGGCTTTCTTATGGCAGCCAACTAGATGAATGGATTGCATTGAATCTCTTCTCTCTTTTTTATTCAATTTTTCAATTTTTACAATTTTAAGAGCTAAATTATATTTTATATTTATATTTATTATTTTCACTCGGAAATTATCGCAAATTTCTCGCTCGATAGTTGTTTTTTCAATCGGAATAAATAGATAACAAATTTTATAAAATAATTGCATCGAAAAAAATTTAATTAAATTTGATTTTGATTTTAATGAAAATAATTCAATTTTTCCAAGCAATTCACAAAAATTAATTTTAATAGGATTCTAGAAAAATGCAGTTCTACAGTTTTGCTTTGGCTAAACTGGTGCAGTTAATGGCTGATTAGCATTTTTGATTTGGTTCACTCTACTTAATTTATTTGTAAAATGAGATAATTTTGCAAGAGAGTCACCAGAGGGAAATAGAAGTACAAATGAGTCACCAGCAACCATATTTTTTGATCAGCTTTATTCAAACAGAAAAGCGTCATTCAGTATCCATAAATGGGAATCTGGAATTCACGAAATTGGATTGGCATAAACTGATAACTGTGATTGGCATAACTGATGAGTCGTTCGCTTAATCATCGTTGAACACACTTTATCGAATCAGGTAAATATTCGCAAACGGGGTTCGTGTTCCTCGCAATGCGGAGGGATTTGGTTCTTTCTTACCCCCATTATCTCTTCGCGTCGTTCTTTCATGTTGGCCGAAAGCAGATTATTTCAGTTGAATGTCTTTGACTGTAAAAACTACTAATCACTTGTCCCGAAATCATTCACTCGTTTAAATCCGATGCAATAAGAAATTAAGTCATTTAAACAGCATGTTTTATCTTTCAGCATGTTCAACCAAATATTCATATTTTCCTTTCTGCTACGCACCATTTCTATGCTTTAATTTGCACCACGGGTTACATGCAACAGCCAATGATGCGTTTCTAAATGATAAATGATTGACTATATCAACTTTAGTGCAGAATTTCAATCAGTAAGTCAAATGGGCTGGGAAGGGTAATTATAAGAGTGCCAATAATTCAAAATCTCTTGCAATATTCCTTACTTTCCTTACTCCCATTGCGCATTGTCCGAGAATAATGTTTTAGTTAGTTATTTTTTTCGCTTTTTTCTTCTTTTCATCGTTTGCTTACAAAATATTATAAAATTAAGAAATATATTTCCAAGTTTTATCATTTTCAAAGAAATTTTTAATAAAATTCTTAATAAATTATTTTTAATAAAAAAAATCTTAAAAAAATATTAATAAATATTTTAAAAAAATATTTTTTAATAAAAAAAATAATAAGAAATTTTTAAAGAAATTCGACGTTTATGAGACCCGTAAAAACAACACCGAACAAATGAGTACACAACGCACAATTGAAGAAGCATTTTAAAATTTTCTCGTTGAGGTGTATTTAACAAATCTGAAATTAACCTACCAAGCACCCCCCCCCCCCCACTTACTTCATTTAAAAAGAAGAATAAAAAAAAATTCTGAAAACGTACTATTTTTTCGTGGAAAAAAAGATTAAACTTTTAGAATTTTTTTTAAGCGCAAAAACAAAAGAAAAATAGCGGAGAAATATAGCTGTAATTTTTAATGGAATTAAGACAAATAAGAAAAATAATTTTGGGACCGAAATATCCGAGCGTAAAAATCGAAGCCAAAGATGGCCCTCGGAGATTTGCCACGATCAATACGAAACTAATATGCTGACATTTTTTAAAAAGATTCAATTCGAGATTCAAGAGTTTCTATCGCTCAGTTTAGATTTTAGATTTTCGAATTAACTAAATATTCTCCTTTAGTCAACTTCAACTTCTCAACTTTACAGTGCAGTTCAGTGATTTGCAATTTTAGTAAATATAAAAAAAGAAAGTGTTTGTTTGCGCTTATTTACGTTCCATAAGAGGATTTAGATATAATAAAAAACTTTAAACTTCATGAATTTTTATTTTAATAACCGAATTTTGAATTCGAAAAAAAGATTTGCAGCATTGTGCTAGAAATAATGCCATCAAAACTTTAATCGGTTTTATCAAGACGAGTGTGGTTTACAATATACCGATCATGCAAAAAATTCCTATCACTGATATAATTGTGTTCAATATGTGGCGGTTCATTTAATACGACACCTTCATTTGCCATAGAATCATAAAATGCTTTCAACTGAAAAAAGAAAATCAAAGATCCAGAATAAGTGGGGCTCGTTTAATATGTAAAAAATCAAAAAACGAAAACTTCTAACAATATATTGAAAATATTGAAAATTTACATGGTCATTTTCCATAATCATTTCTTCATTGTCTGCTATGCTCACAAAGTGAATGCCAGCCATAAGACATCTAATCGCAAGAATGCGACCGAGATTTAAGGCTGCTGTAACATCTATATTGCTGAAAAAAATTTTTTAACCTACACACAAAAAAGTAAGATTTAAGGCAAAAATTTTTTATTTATAAATTAAATTTCCAACTGTAATACATAAATTTATGAAGAATTTATGAAGAATTTATAAACAAAAATGTTGCAAAGAACAAATGATTTCTACCTAATAATTTAAATATTTAAATAGATATTTAAATAAAAAAGCTTCTGCTGTCATAAATTAGGACATTTACACTATCACAATTATACTAGAAGTCAACCAATCACCAAAAAATCCGAGTGCTACTTTGGATTTCTCTATATTTCTCTATATTTGTACATAGTGACTATCTGGCATAGTGACTATCTGGCAAAATTATCACGCAGCGATGACAATTGGAGTGCGTTATCTAATGCATTAATCATTTATCTAATGCCATACACCATAATAATTATTATAATCTGAATCTAGACCATAATCATGACCACTGTTTCTTTAACTTTGCAGTTAAAAAACCTGTGAAGCTGATTTGAAACTGCTTTTTCCCGAGTAGAAGCAGTTAAGACGATACCATTTTTATAATGCAATAAGTGAGCTTCGGTATGATTCTTTAAGCGAACCAGCTGCGCCCTTAAATGTTTTGTAGAAAAATTTTTGTTAAAGAAATTTTGCAGAATTATGTTTTGCCAAAAAAAATAAAATTTAAATTTAAACAAAAATATTTAAAACAAAATTTTCATACTAATAAAAAATATCAACTGGATTCTAAATTTGTAAACAATGCACAAGAGATTTCTTCAAACTTAGAGACTTTAAAAAAAAATAAAATACTAAAAAATGAGAACTTAAACAATAATTAAATAGCATACTTATGTATAAATGAACGCTGAAATCGGTCAACTTGAAGGTCATAACCTTTCGGAGGTGCCTGAAAGCCGAGTAATTCAAGGTTTCGCGGATTTCGATTGATAAAAGTCTTCAGAAATTTTTGGCTCATTATCACCTAAAAAAAATTTGATAATGAACACAATTCAAAATCAACAACAGTTATATAGTATCAATTAAGGTGATTTGAGCTTTTCAAATTTAGATAACAAAATTCAGAAACATCCCTGGTAAACTATTGGCGAAATCTTTATGGACCCGTCGCGAAATCACTATAAAAACGAAAGTCGCAGTTAGATCGATCTTGTATGGCTACGAGACCTGGCCATTGAGAGTGAAGAATATGAAGAAGGTACTTGTCTTTTACCGCTCATATTTAAGATACATCTTACAGGTCCGCCGAGCCGATAAAATCGCACATGATTGTATCCACTCCCTCTTAAATACCACTCACATTAATAGTACCATCACAGAACGCTATCTTCGTTGGTTAGGGCAATTTCTTCATCGCCCATCACAGGAATTGAAAAGTGTATTTCGTTACTTGCTAAATCTTATGATGGATGGCGAGGTATTCCAGTCTAGACTGACAGAGAATGACAGAATCAGGAAAGATTTTGAATATATAGATGGGAAGCAACGTATGGATTTAGATGGAAAAAGGAATGGCTTCTATTACTATCAGCGATAGTGTTGGACCGAACAGCTTGGAAACGTCTTACTCTTTTAGAAAACGGAGCCAGCCAAACCAGTAATGGTAAAAAATGTTAGAAGTCCGAATCCTGACAATCAGATTCTGAAGTAACAGGATCTTTAGGGAGTTACGCATAAGCCATGGCGCTCAAACAGCGAGCAAAGCAATAAATTGCGTTAGCTCCGTAATTGGAAAGCTGGAAACACTCCTTATCCCACAAACCGGCCTTTAGCCAATTAAATCAAAAATGGCGAGACTGGCTGCTGGAAGAATTAGAACAGTTCAACCTACTCGTATCCAGTACCATTCGAACTCCACACAACTGCTATTCAGATTTTAAAATACAAAAGAGAAATTATTAAAGTATTGCATGTATCAATATCGACTAATGCATTTATCAACTTTGTAGCAAAGATTTTCAATTTATTTAAGAAAATAAAACGATGAATCAGAAATCGAATAAAATTTACAAAAATTGATATTATACAAATATTAAAATCTAGTAAAATACTATAAAAAGAAGAAAAATCTGATTAATTAACAAGTTATCTCTTTCCATTTTTTAATTTTATAAAATGCAAATAACGGGCAATATAGGAAATTTTCTGTGAAAACCGAGGATAAAGTGAAATCATAAGAATGCCAAAGCAAAATGAAATCAAAGGGCTAAATGCTAATTAATTCAACAAAATTGCTTCAGAAACCATTAGATTGCACATACAATATTACCTCGAATAATTTAACTCTTCTCCCCTAATCTTTTGCACAGTTATCGCACTATAAACACAAACACAACTATTAACAATGAAAAATAATTAATATTGATTAAAACGTCAAGGCCAATAATGCAGGAGAATTTAATGCCTGAAACTCAAGTTCATATCAGCAGTCATTAAAGCCAGTTAAACCAAAAATGCGTTATTAAAAATATAATATTCTCTCTGAATTTAATGGCCAAAAACTCGTCTCCTATTCCTTCTTTAAGTAGCATTACACATTACCCTTGCATATTATAATAAAAAAATCCCTTTTCTTAAAAAAACACTTAAAAAACACTACAAATATTCAGCTAACGAAAAATTTAAATATATATCAACAATAATAAAAAAGCAATAAATACCTAGCCAAAGACCTGTAAATGTTCTAATCACACTAGTAAATGGAAAAATTGAAGACAAAAAACAAAAACAATGGCAAATACGAAAAAATAACCGTATATTAAAAAATTAAGAAAAACAAACCAGTATTGAGTGCATCGGAGACAGGAAACCATAAAAAATAATAAAGCAAAGACAACAGATCGATAGGAGATAAAATACTAGACATGATTTAAAATATTAAAAAAGTGCGTCTAAACTAATAAGAAAAATTAATTAATAAAACAAAGAGAAAATACTAATCGATAGTTAAATCAAATTATAAAGATAAGCGCTTCAAACGAATTAAAATAATAAAATACTGTACAGAGACAAGGACCCTAGAGACAGATCCAAGTTATAAAGGAAAAAATGACAATTCTAATGGTAACTAATGATAATTTTATTTTTACCTTATCAACGCTAAAAATTTTCAGATAATACGAAAAATTCGAAATGAAATTGCTAAATAAATCTAGCTGAAAACCTGAAACCTACATTAAATAATATATGCATCAACAATTTTCAAAATATTTTTCACAGAAAAAAATATTCAGCAATTTCCGCTAAAAATTTTAAATGAAATTAACAATGGAAAATTTATGATTGCTCGCTAGGAAAAGAAATAGCAGCAGGAACATTTTCAGCAGATACTTCATATCCCAATACATTCTCAGCATTTTGCGTCTGGGTCGACGTAGCCATATAAATCGGCTGCTGTTGTTGTAAAAACATCGAGGATGGCGCAGGATTAGTTAATACTGAAAAAAGACTCAATATTTTTAAAAAAAAACTATCTTTTAAAATTCAATATTTTATTCAATATATTCAAAATTCAAGATCAAAAGAAAATGCATGCTAAAAATTCCAGAAAAAAAAGATAACCATAGCTAGGAGTGATAACGGGAACATAATACTGTCGATTTGAGTAATAATTCATTTGTGATGGAACATTTCCCTAAAATTTTTAAAAGAAATTAACGGATAGAAAAATCAGAAAATTATATATATATTTAAAATAGCAAATAAAAAAAAATACGACGTTTAAAGTTAGAAAAGGGACAGAAATATATACTTGTTGAGGCGCAACGTGATAATTTTTGGATAGAGCAGTTTGCACAAACATTGGCGGCTGAAATGTTCCAAGATTTTCTGTAAGACACATCGAATCCATTTGTTGCGTTAGATCATGCTGAAATAGCCAATTCTCATCCGATGATATTTTTTAAAAAGGTTAAACGCCGAAACAAGTAAAAAAAACTCACAATGGGTGAAGCACCTTGCAGTGGATACTGAACACAAGGAATCATTGTATAATGTCGGCCTGAAAAATATTTAAAATATAACAATAAAAATCAACTTTTTACGATCTTTTTTCGTTTGATAGTGAAAAAATGAGTTAACTTTGAAAAATTCAGAAAATTAAAAATTAAAATGGAAATATTTCGATGTCATTATTAATTAACAAAATTGACAAAATTTTAATTAACAAAATTAACAAAATTTTCAATCAGTTAATTTGTGGAACTAATTGTTAATATTCACAGTACAGTAAATATTTCTAAATATCAAAGTTAAACATACCAGACATAGGTGTAATCACATACTGACTGAAAACTACGTTACCATTATTGGCCGTTGAACACTGCAAAGGATGGAATGATAAACGTGGATGCACTGGTGGTGAAGAATTAATAACCTCACGTTCATCAAACGCAGCATCCCCTAAAGAAGATGGAACATTTTAGAAAATATGATTGCTAGCGAAAATGAATTGGTTTTAAAAAATAATAAATCATATAATGAATCATACATGAAATAATGTTCAGAACTAAAATTTTAAAAACGAAGCCAGTTCAAATTATATGCTAACTTAACTATGGCAAATCGACTACGGAACTTCATCAATTTTCCAAATATTAAAAAATACGAAAAGATCTATTCCATTATCGAGATTATGATGAATAAGGATGCAAAAATCTTTAAATCTTACCCACATTGCACCGAGGACCACATACCCGATATTCGTCAGCACTGAAATGCATATTCGAACTCGTCATGTTACTTTCATATTTCTATAATTTATAAAGAAATAAATAATTAAAATGCTTTAAAAGAATAAGAATAAAACTTAAATATATTTAATCAAAAAAATAAATTAGAATGAAATTCGCTGATACAAAAAAACCAACTGGTATTAACGGTGGAAGTTGACTGGAAGAATGCACAACTGGTGAGACAACATTTGAAGAACAGTCGACGGATGAATTAAAACTATTATAACCTTCTGAACTGCTCCAAGCGCCAATGTGAGGGTGTGCATAGGTATTATTGAATGAAGAATCGGATATTCCCAAATAAGGCATTTCATTATAAGAATAGCAACTGCCAGGTGACTCTAACAGCTAAATAATTAAGAAAGATATTTAATTTCCTTTTCGTCATATTTTATCAGCTATTTCAAGCATATAAATTCAAATATTTCAACTAACTAGCAATAACTAAAAAAAATAAAAAAAGCAGACGACGAAAAAAGACTTGTGTGCTGCCAGGGTCTGTTGATGTAGAATCCTGTTGATAAAAAACATGCATCAATTGCGGAGCAACAGCAACCTCACAACCAGGTTGAATATGATGTGAATGTACAGTTGGATAATTTGGATAACTTGCCAATTCAAGCGAATAAGCACGACGATTTGGGATGAATAATGTATGCAAATTATGACTGCCCTTAAAGATTATGCTGATTAAAAACAAAAATTTTACGAAGAAAAAATTAAAACCTTTCTATAAACTGAATATAAAAGACTGATGAAAGCAAGAATGAACTTGAAATGATGCAATATTATTAATAAAATTAAAATCAAAAAACCAATCAACTTCTTCGTAGCTTTGAGCATCTCTCCTTAAACGCCGGGATTCATCTGTGTAATAATCATTTTTTATTAGTGAAGCAAATTTCACATCTGGTCTAAAATTTCAAAGTTCATCTGAAACGATAATTCGACGAGCCAAAATGCAAAAAGAAAAATCTCCACAACATAAAAATGATACAATAAATCGTTAAATCCATGGACCGTTAAACCATAAACTACTTGCATCAAATGAACTAATATGAGAAATCTCAATCTTATACTATATATATACTTTTCAATCAATCTATCCACTTTTTAAAATGAACCCTAAACGGCAAATGGTATGTTTCTAAGTAAAAATAAAGCACTGAAGACGATAAATAAATGCAGTTGCCATATATTCTTTTTTTGTTCATTCTTAAAAATAATTCAAAACCACTGAAAAAATTACATTCTTGTTTGAGCCGTTTTGTTCACAACAACAGCGGTACCATTTTGATCCACATTATGATCCAATCCAAAGAAAGCAGCAACGCGATGTACAAGCATTCGATTATACGAACTCATCGCTGGGAATTTATGTGAATTTCGCCTGTACGAAAAAAAAATGGCAAAAAATTATATACGTCTTATTTCCACATAAAATCCCGAAATTCTGACTTTTTGACATGAAACTGTGAAAGCTAGAAACCGTTTAGTCCCTTTGAACTGTGCAGCAATTTTTAGCTATGATTGAAAGGTAAAAAAGTTCTTCTCTTTTTAGAGACAAATGAGACCCATAACGATTAAATATGACCAAAACGAAATAATGAATAACTAGAATGGACTACCACAATAATTATTGTGATGAAAATATGATGGAAAATAAAAAAATCGAGTCATACAGAAAAACCCAGACAATGGATCAATTTCAATATAAAATTTTATATAATTTTTTTATATAATGCAATTTTCACACTAAAAAAACTAAAAAAAACCAACGTATTGTCATTAATAAGCATTGTCATATGTTCTTCGAGATGAAGCAACATTATTCGATCTTTCGCATTCTTATGAAGAGTATTAACAATAAATGAATAAAGATCGATACCAGTCGAATCCGTATAAATTTCATTGTTCGAATCTGCAAAATCATTCATCATTATAAATCACTTTTATCACCAAAATTTTCTTAGCCGTTCATTTTCTATCCTATTATCTCTCCCGAGGGTCGTTAATATCACTGAGATGCGAATAAAAAATTTTATCCTAAGCTATTGGCAAATATTGGCAAAAATAAAAAAATAACACTAACCAAATGAAAATGACGAAGTATCAGACTTTGTGGCAAATAAACGCGATGTGGAAATCAACGTATCGTCATCACCACAAAATGCTTGACTTCGCACCAATAATTTTGATTTATTTCCACCAATATTCACCAACTATAATAAGTTGCTCATTAATAATGAAAAAAAATGAATAAAATGAATAAAATTCAAAAATTCAATAAATTTCAATAAATAAATTTAATCATTTTCATAAGTCCACCATAACAATATTTGTAGAAATTTTTTTTAAAAATATAAAAATATTTCTTAATTTCCGAGAATTTTTTGGACATTTAGGCAATATTATCTATGATTCTCCATTTAATTCTTTTTTTAATAAGGCAAAAAACGATTTCTAAACAATATAATTGCCCGAAATAATAGTAATAAAGTCGCAAAAAACAATGAAGTTTTATTGAGACCACTGTTATAAAATATTAAAATGGAAAAAGAAATTCTAAGAAAATCGCAAAATACTTGAATCGGAGAAAAATTATTCTCTTTTTTATCGAGAAAATTCCGAGATGAAGTGCCCTCATTTCCATCGTTAATAATTAATTTTTCTGCAGAGGTTGTTCCATCAATTTCCTAAAAATCGAGAAAATAAATTTTTAATAAATTCATTAAACGAAAGTTGCAATCAAGAAATATGAAAAAAAATTTTTTTGAATTTCTATCGAATGACTTCGACAAAACAAAATGAATTCGTTTGAAATCAGATTTTATAGGAAATTTTTCAGGAAAAAAATTTTTAGGAGAAAACGATTTAAAATATTGAAAAAGGACAAAAGAGGACAATTCATTAAAATTTAGAAAACGAATATATTTTAGAGAAAACAATAAAAGAAACTTCTTCATCAATTCCTTCTTGTTTCGATAATTTTGCGAATTTTGCTGACCGTGGATTTTTTGTAAAATTATTTTTCCTACAGTTCAGTTGTTCTTTTTTTTCGCTTTCATAAGTGTTCGCTTCGTCAGCCATTACATCTCTGAAATCATTTTCACGGTAAACGCGCCGAGTTCCAATGCAACGCGATTCGAGTAATCCTTTAGTCGAAAAATGCAAAATAGTTGGAAAGCGCTGCAACCAATTACAATAATCAATGAATAAACAACTACAAAATAATTCAAAAACCTCCCCCACAACTCCCTGCAAAAGACTCAAATAAACTGAATAAGGTCAAAAGGTCAAAGGTCAAACGAAAAGGTCAAATTCGGATTCGAATAAATCGATAATAGATTGGAATGCGCGAAAGAAACGATGGAATTTCTTCAGTGAAAAAATGCAAAATTATAAAAATCAACGAAAAAACAATGAAATAAAATAGAAAAATTTTCGTAAATTTAAAAATATGAATTTTTGAATAAAAATAACTTTAAAAAATCAAAAATTCGTATTTTTTCCAATTTTAAAATGAAATTTCACAAAAATTATAATTTCCGAAAATCTTTTAGCGTAAATAAACGACAACCAAAACGAAAGTTCCATTTTTTAAAAATTTAATCATTGCACTTTGAAAAATATTCAGAGAGAGCGTTAGAGAAATAAAGAAAAATGTATACGAGACGCAGAGGAAAATACACAAACGCATATCGGAATCGATTGAGCTGATTTGTGATAAGGAAAAAATGGCGAAGGAGCTGCGAGCCTGAGGGTCGTGGCTTGGACGGGCCAGGGGATGGCCTGGACGGGCGCGTGCGGGACGGAGAGATCGAGATCACTCATTCAGGTTCCAGGCGAACAAAAAGACCAACTGCACTGCTGATAGATGTGCTCGAACCGCAAGCCACAAGCAGTGCTGCCTTGTCATCGATTGACTGTACGAATGCGAAATCTTCCTGGCAGGCAGGATTCCTGGCCGGCCTCGTCTGTCAAGCCAAGATCGGAGCGGGGCTAATCCCGCCCGCACGGAAGCATTTAGCCGGCTGAGGGGACGCGAACCAAAACGGCTTAGCTTGATGGCCTGGCTCGGCTTATGCGGAGAAAACACACCTCAACTATGCTGTGCCCGAATCTTATTTTACACTTATTTCTTTATAAATAAATAAATAAATAATGCAAATAAAGTTGAAAATTTAAAGAATTATTAGAAATAAATTTACTGTTAATCACTGAAATTTATAAAATTTGTTTTCTTTAAATATTCAATTATTTCGTTTATTTTGTTTAAATATTTCTTCGTTTTTCGAGATCGCCGTTAATAAATTTCCTAGAAATTCTTTACAAAAAAAACGGTAACGAGCAAATAAACAAACAAATAAATTTATAAAAATAAGAAAGTACCAGCAGGAAAAAAGGCAGAAGAGGGAAGTATAAGTGAGGAGATCGATTTTTATTACTACAACAATCATTAATTTTTTGAAAACACGTTTTCGTTGGTAGAATTCGTTGGTAGAAGACTGAAGAAGGCTTGTCGGTTTGAATAAAGTTCGCGAGGCACCACTCTGGATTCGCTTGGTGCTTCCATTCCCCAACCACCGATTTTTTAGTGAAGAAGCGTCATAGCTGATGCGATTCTGTCAAACCAGTTTATGTTGTTAAAAAAATAGATTCAACGAAAATCATATGTATTTCATAAAAAATAAAAATATTTATAGGTCGAAGATGACTGAGAGGTAACACTTCTGACTCTGTTTGTGATAAGGGAGAAACGGTGCAGGCGGTGCACTTTTATTTTCCAAGTCAGCTGGTGCTAGCGAAAATTTCTGCGCGTAAAAGCCAGCGGAGCGGGGTGGTGACAAATGGTGAAATGGTTAATTAAGAGGATTTATAACGAAGGACTAAAAAAATAAATGGCAAATACATTTATTATTACGAAATGTTAATAAACGAATTAATTAAACATAAATTTGTTGTAAAAGAATTAAGAAGAACGACTGTTTTTTGGATTTTTGCTGCCCCCGCAAATCCATTAGGAAGGAATAAATACACTGTAATTAAGGCGAGACACACTGAAACGAAAATCGCTCGACTCTTTCGTTATGAAACATCCAAGAATCTTTATCGTTGAAAAATTAGTAGAATAGAAAAAATAACGAAATGTTTCGATATCAGTAATAATGACTCGAAAAATTTCTTTGAACTTCTGTCGAATAACCAGAAATTCTATGCAACATTTACACCGCTGAATAGATCGTCGTAAATGTAACTCGTCATCATCGAAATTAATTCTGGAAGAAGAAGGAAATCGGAAGAGGAATGAAGGGATCTGGAAGGAGGAAAAAGAAGTCTGGGAGAAAGGGAATTCGGTGGAGAGAAACTTCGGAGAAACTTCAAGGAATCTGGAAGGAGGAAGAAGGAATATAGGAGAAAGAAGAAGGAATTCACCTAGGTTGGCTTCCAAGTTTTTTAATAACTTTTCTAAAGATGAGAAGGAATTCGCGAAAAAACGAAAATTACAATGGAACAGAAGAGAAATCGCATATTTTTCTGTTATTTTATTTATTGAATTTTATTAAAGTTAATGAATAATTTTACAATTTCATCACATTAAATAGCTAAAATTAGTAATTTTTGAATAATTTTCACTAAATATTAATTGCTTTGCGCATTCTCCTTGCTCCGTTCGCTCCGTTTGCTTATTAATTCAATCAGAAATTTTCGCCAGTGAATTGAAATTGCGCGATAGAAGTGCGAGCGGTCCGCCAGCACCGTTGTTATTATTATTAAGAAATAATAAAAATATTAAAATCCCAAAAAGATAAACAAAACGGTTTTCGAAAATAAAATATATATATACATATATGTGTAATGTGCAGTCTTAGAAACTTTCACCTTAGCAACCAGTGGAGCCAAAAAGTGGTGGAGGAAAAGGATATTTGATATGGGGTGCACGAGGTTCATAGAAAAATACAAAAATCTTCGCATCTAATTTAATTTAAAAGTTTCTTCAGAACCGATTAGGCTACATGGTAGAGCATCATGTAAGGGCAAGCAACATGCGTTCAAAATGAGTAAACCTATAATTAAAAGTGGAATCTGAATGGTCACCGCAGATACACCTTTATTTGAAGCTCTTATCACTTAAGCGGATAATAAATTTTTAATGAAGTTATTATCAGCTTATCATTTGTTTTCTGCTTCCCTAAATTTCGGCAATTTCAGATATGAAATTTCTAATTTTCGAGGTATTTTTCGAGTAATGAATATTTATTTATGAGAAACAATAAACTTTATGGAATGTGAAGAATTAAAAAATAAAAACTGATTCTTTTCCGATTTTATATCAATTTTCGTTTATCAAATATATGCGATAAAGATGTAGGAAAAGCAAAACATCATCCAGAAATTGATAAATATATTCCTTTCACATTTGTACATTCATCAGATATAATTGTTTAACTTACAGGTTTCGTAAGTACCATTGCACCAGTATTAGTGATATTGAAAACAATTTCAGCACAAAGCTATTTTTGGCATTATTAGAAAGCTTATAAGTACCACATGTTTAGAATGGCCTTCCAACCCAATTTTGTCTTAATCATGAACACCCATGTTGCTTTCATACCCGCTTCAGTTGGATGGCCGTGAGACCTATGTTTCATGATTCGCAGCCAAAGGGTAAGTATAATTTAAGAATAATTAATGGAAGATGAATAATTGATGCGATAATATTAAAAATTCTGGGCCTAGGAGGAGGTATGAGAATATACTCTGAGAAATTATAAGCCCGAATATAAACTCTGAGAGTCTACTGCGTCCAAGCAACTACTTTAAAAGCTTCACGAATAGCGCAGAACGAGAGAACAACCGAAACCGAGCCACTGCTCCGGAGTTTTACTGCGAAGCGACCCCGAGAAAAGGCATCCGAGCTACTGGCGCTTAGGCTTATTCCGCTGCCCTTTTTGCCATGAAAACTTCGTTTACTAATAAATATATTCCCCATTAAACATTTAAAAAATCGAATATTTGATTTCGATATTGAAAATATTTTCGTAAAAATTGTTTGCTGTTCGTATTGAAAATAAAATAACGCATAAAGCAAGCAAGCAAGCAATTATTTTATAAAAGCAAAACTCCCAAAAAGCAATTTTAAGGAGCAAAGCAATTTATTTAAAAATTTCCATAGAAACGGTGGCAAAAATTATGAAAAAAAACCATTGAGTGCAAAATTTTACGAAATTTTCATCGTTATCACATCATTATCACCGCGATCGTTGTCAATACTCACCATTATCACTGCAATAACAATAATAATAATGATAATAATGCCACAAAAAAACGCTTTTCAACAGGCTTAAATTTTTATTCATTATAAAAACTTGGCTATAGAAACGTTTCGTTTTCTTTCATTTTTTTAAAATGAATGAATGGAAAGGACAAAACACATTTGTGTTACAACAGAAATTTATAATAATAACTTAATCGTCTTTCTTATATTTCTTAGATTTTTTTGATTCACTCAAAAATTCCTTCATTAATTTTAAATTTCTTTTATATAAATTTCAAAATTCCTATGAATTTTAACCTATTTCTAATGCATTTTCAAGTGACACTACGGTGAAAAAAGGACCACTGAAACCAACCAACGTTGCTTATACGATGTCCACGGCTTAGAACCGACGTACGTACGTTGCTTATACGATGTCCACGGCTTAGAACCGACGTACGTACGTTGCTTATACGATGTCCACGGCTTAGAACCGATTCACGTTCGTTGCTTATACGATGTCCACGGCTTAGAACCGACGTACGTACGTTGCTTATACGATGTCCACGGCTTAGAACCGACGTACGTACGTTGCTTATACGATGTCCACGGCTTAGAACCGATAAGCGAGTTGGACTGAGCCACAACTGACGAAAAGCTGATTCTTAAATAAATGTGATCTCGTTCAACTGTACACATCATAACAATAAGTTTTCTCTCTTTCAAACAATTCACAATATGTTTGCTTCTGACTCCATTCATCCTAACAGGCATTTGAGGAAAGAAGTAAGCCCTCTCTGCCCGAAGTCATCCGAACTCCACTTTTAGTGAGGAATTTACTTCTACCAAGGGACAATCCGACAAATGGCCATCCTCGTCATATTCCCCAAATTTTAATATTTTCTATTTTTGAATACCTTAAACATGCTCATAATACTTGAATTTTAACCCACGATAATTAAAAAAACTTAATCAATAATTGGTAACTGATTTGATAATATATGTTCTTCAAACTTTCATTTAAAAATAATTATCAAAGAAGTCCACTTTTTTTAAGTCCTTGGGGATGGAAAGGTTAAACCTCAGAGACCATTTGATGATATAAGCAAAATCGGTTATCGGTTTCTTAGCAGTCTTTCAATGGAAAGGAATGGGATCATTAATGTGTTTGCGATAACTTTCAGCACAATAAAATAGTCACAACGTCCTTCTTCCTAATGGCACAGAAAAAGGAAGTACCACAAAATGGCTGATCACGAAATTGACAATCATTTACATTTTCATGAATCAACTGAGCGATTATCAAAGTTTGTCTCGATTTTCTTGAATCGCTTTTGTTTCAATGCAATCCAGCTTTTTCGTAAATGATACATTTTTGAAAAAAAAAACGAATTCATCTCAGTGAATATTTTAAAATAACAAAAAAAACAGATTAAATGGTCTGTAACAATGGCGAATCAATGGCAAAAAAAATTACAACCATATATTCATTTATTTTATTCAAAAATTGGTTCGAATGCAATGAAGCGAATCCAATACCTATATTTCATTTTGTTCAGCTTAGTATCTGATACCTCATTTCATATAATTATTATATATTTAAAACAATCGATGAATAGAAAAAAGGAAATATGGCATGAAATACATAAAATAAATTTACATGGAAAACTATATAACGTACACAATCGCGAAAAATTGTATTCCATAAAATTAGATCAAATAGGTCGAAGATCATCCCTAAAATTTTAAAATTCCTTACAATAAAATGATAATCCAGTATCTACGAGCCAGCAGAAAAAAGAAAACAAATTGAATGGTGTTTAACAAATGCCATCTGAATATGAATTTGAATGATATGCAATTGAACACCGGAAAAAGATATGCAACCAAACCAAACCAAAAAAATAAACGAAAAAATTTGCAAAAAAAAGATTCAGCCAGATTTAGGCATAATAACACCCCGATTAACTAAATCAGGAACTTCAACAGCCAACCATGGTGCCAATCCAAGAGAAAAAGCATGCGCAATTCCGAATTTAGGGACATTACGCGCCCAAAGCGGTTTAAAATGATCAGAGAGACATATTTTGCCACCTCTGAAATTATTCAAATTAATTTAAATTAAACAACCTTACCTCGAAACATTAGAGTTAAATTTTAATCATTTATTAAATAATAACTAATAACACTCAAAGGAAAAATGGAAAAGCAACGAGCTAAACAATTTTATGTTGATATCGGCGAGTGAATAAAATGATCATTAATCTGGATGAGGACCAAGAATTTATAGATAATGACCGAGTGGATATGTGGAACTAATTACAAGAGTCTATAGATTGTCTAAAGGTATAGTTCATGATTGGAACTTATATGACATGATAAGAATTATTGCTAATTATTATTTGCACAGAAATATTTTAAATATAACTCGTGGTAAATAAACTTTGTGGAATTTAAGAAATTTACCGCAGCAAATCATAAAAAGTAGAATGAAAAAATTCGAAATTTTCAATTTTCAATTAAATAGTTATCACAAAAGTTTTACCTGTACATTTTTGCTGTTTTTCCATCTAATTCAGGAATGGCAATTTCGGGTGCTGTTGTAGGATATAAAACTGGGATATCGAAATCTACTTCAAATTCATATCTTCAAAATAATTAGCGATAATAAAATAAGAAATTTAGCTATGATAATTGCCAAAACTCATTTAAATTCAAAATATCTCGTATTCAATGACTTCTTTATTTGGTAAACTTATCTTCTTTTCACTGATGGAAAACTAATTAACGATTAAAATGAAGCAAACAAAAATTAAAATGAAGAACAAACAAAAAAGTAAATATAAATGACTGCGTGGTAATGAAAACAGAGATATAAAAAAAATATGGAGGAAGTAGGAATATTTGTCGTCTGCCACGCAAGTTTACTTAAATTATATTCCATAAATTAGATCAAATAGGTTGAAGACCATCCCTAAAATTTCGAAATTCCTTACAATAAAACAGATTGCAAGTTTACTTTATTGCAAGTTTATTTTGGTTCCCACTTTTTTGAATGGATAATATGACAATAGGTGTGAGACGCCGCATAAAACAGAACCTAGCAGAACTTTATATTACATTTTTAAAAATCAATAAATGTATGAAATAAATCAGTCTTAAAAAAACAACAATAAAACCAGAACTAATTATCATGTGAAACCGCTGTGATCTCGCATTTTGCAGAAAAAATAATCTAAGTTAGTAGAGCAACAACGAAAGGACCACCATCCACCCACGCCAATGAAAATTAGGCACTGTATAGTTTGAAAGGGTAAAATCCAAATAATTTATGAAAGAGAAAAGATGGAATATGGAGGGATAAGAATACACTTTTAATAAACCAGACGTAAATAAAGGTGAATCAACAGATGCCTGATATTTCAAGTCAACTTCACGAATGTTCGCGACAAGAGGAAAAGAAATTGATATGGGAAAAAGTTAAAATGAATGGTTTACTGAATAATCTAACATTACCTTATTACACACGTTATCAAAAATGAAAAACAAATTTATTTTCAGCAGACAAAATGCTAAACCAAAATGCGACAGAAACTCTAACCACAACACAAACTCAACTTTTAAGCAGAAGATTAGAAAGATTATTTATAAAAATAATTACCTAACCATTTCATGATAATACCAGCATTTACCGAACCATCTTGTTCCATCATTATTACTTTCTAATCGAAACCAATCGGAATCATTCGCTTTATTAATATTGATAAAAGCAATGAGTGCTTCATATTCTTCTTTTAACCTCTACAAAATACTCGCAATTTTCAGTAAATTTGAAGTAAACAATCTTCTTTCTCCAGTAAAATGAAGACCTAACTTGGAAAAAAAACTCAGTGGTAAAATTTTCATTCTTTTTTTTTAAATATAAATTAGTGTTTCTGAAATGTAAATAAATAAATAAGAAAGAAGTTTATAAACGCTTGCAGTTATCGTCAATAATTAGCACTAATCAAAAACTCTTAAATCAAATTTTATCCTCGAGATAAGCATCTCATTAGAAATTTTATTTCTCTAAAAAATAAGCGCAGATGGAGATAAGCGCAAAAAAAAAAATCATTAATTCCACAACATTTGAACACTAGATCACTAGATCAGTGTTCTACTAAAAAATCTGTTCCATATGGTTGTGAAGCTAAAAAATGTCGTTTAACTCTAAACATTAATTTCCATTTCCTCAAACTGCCATCACTTTGACCATTTCGAAGATTTTTTATGAAAATTTATTTTACAACGCAAATTACATGGCTTCAACGAAGCCATTTATCACTGCAGAAATAGAAGAGAAGACAGAGGTTAAAAATGACCATAAAATTATAAATGTGAAATAGCTGAAACAAATTATTGTTGAAGAAAAACAAAGTTGACTAGGCACTAGCAAAATCACGTAAATAAAATGGCAAAAAACAGCTGAACTATTGTTAAACATTATTTTTTTTTTAAGGGTCCTCACTATTACCGGCTTGTTGCATTGGGCAATATGCCAGGGAGTCCCTTGGCGATAGAGATACAAATGAGTCGCCAGCTTCACCACGATTTTTGTACAGGTTTACCCCTGCGGGGAATAGAACCTCAGCATCGGCACTCCTAAATGAGCAGCAACCCACTGAGCCATTCTATCCCACATTATGCATTATTACGAACTTTTTATTACATAGTTTTGATTCGTGTCGGCGATAATATTAATTTCTTAAATGAATTTTCTAACGTAGAAAAATTGAAATCCACTGTTGCCAACAATATGAGAACCTTTTGCCTGAGAATCATGTACAACATAAATTACAAGATCATCCGGATTTCACTTTGAATAACAGGCTTAATTCTATTGAAATAAATGGAATCGAGTGTGCAATTTCCGACCTTGCAACTGAAGCAACATACAACTCGTCAACATTACTTCCCACTTTTTATAGTAGAAAAATAGCTCCATACTCAAATCCACTTTACCCTTTTAGGTGCCACACCATTCGTTTTTGAACTAGCAGAAACCCTCAATATTCCTCTCTAAATCTGTAAAAATCTTCTCAAACCATATTTAATTTAATTTATGTCCGAATATTTTTAACTGCACTAAGAGATGTTTTTTCGTCGCTGGTTCGCTTATAACGTTCTCTTTTAATGGAATTAAAAGTTAAAATAGAAAATGAAAGATTACTTGAATCCAAAGATCTCCGTCTCTCGGACCAGCTTTCGTTTTTAAAAGTGGTATAGCTTTTAAAGTTGTCTTCGCTGATTCATCTAAATCTGACATTTTGCTCTCCTATAAAACATTCCATCATTCTCCACAATTCTCATATTTTCTGAGTATAGTTCCAGTTTAACAATACATAATATCATAAATAAAAACTCGATGATAAATGGTAAACGTATCACCAATTTAAACAGTTATCCTTTTCCATTTCCGGTTTGAACCTAATTTTAAAGCGGGATATACTGACAGGAGATCCCATCTATATTTTAAGTTCCATCTACAATAACAGATCCTCTCTTAAAGCGACTCAGAACCGAACACTGTCCCCCACACATCCCCAATCAGCAATAATGTCTTCATGCTTTTATTCCCAATACGCGTTCATGCCATTGGCACGAAATTTTGTTGCAAACATTCTTCTTAAAAGTCAATTTTTTAAATTTTTCTTGGCAATAAGCCAGAAGCAAATTTTAAATTTAGTATTTTATGGCTAATTTAGAAGATGGAGAGGGGGGTGTTTCGATTATTTTTATCTTTTATTTTATACAAAAATTGTTTTCCATAGGAATATTTTAATGGCATTTCTCATTTGGTATTTTGAAGGATTTTCATTTTAAAGGAGAATTCGGTTGAGTATTTTCCGAAATTTCGAAATTTAAATTCTTTGGAATTCCTGGAAGTCAGCAAAGTTCGCCAACGAAATCCTTTTCGTTGCGAAATCGACCGATCTGATAACCTTTCTCAACCTTTTTTCAGTCCTTAAGCCTCGCGTCTTCCTTCCTTTTTTCTTGTAAATCCCTTTCATTAAACATCGTTTAATAAAATAAAATTGTACGAAGAGAATTGTATTGTATTGTTCAGTTCTCGGGGGTTTTATTTATTCGACGCCACCAGTTTCACTCGAGCGAATATTTCCTTCAAAAAATTTTTTCGGCTGAAAAACGTTCTTAAATTTGGAAAAAAATTCTATTTTCAGAATTTATGGCATCGGAGGCATTTCTCGAATACAGTAATATCTTCCAGGAGGATATGGGTTTCCTGGTATTTTTTTATAGTAATTAAAGCAATTACGGTAAACTGTTGCCGGATTCGTCGCATAATTTTATAATAATATAATATACGCAGTAATCTCGCTGAATTTGCTTAGAATTTCACAGCCTTATACTTTAGCTCGTTTAAAGCACTTGTAGATAATTTCTTGATGATAAATCATTGTGAATTATTATTTCTACCACAAAATTGTGTGACAAACGCTAAAAAAACCTATTACCTATTACCTTACTTATCATTACCTGTCATTACGTATTCTTTAAAAGTTTTTGTTTATTTGTCCCTGTTTGATGCCAATTTATTATTGGTATTTCTAATGATATTGCAGAATAACGGACGCATCAAGTTTGGCGATCATCAGATCCATTTTAAAAATCTTATCACTGGAAAAGTTCTAACAGTAAACGTTTCGGAAATTGAAAAAATATTTTGGATGCGATTAGGAAATAAACCTGGTCTCAAGTTTTCTCTCTCAAATGGTGTAATTCATCGATTTGGCGGATTTGCTGATAAAGTAACTGATAAAGATATTTTGCAGCAAATTTATATAAGCAATTTTTTTATCATTAAGAATAGCCATTTAAAAAGAATCTTGTAAAAGTGATATTCCGTATCATTTATTTTTTTCAGGATTATGAAAAAATAAAAGATTTCGCTTGGAAAAGTTGGAGCATTGAGGTTGTTGAAGCGGAGCAGTGTATTAAAGGCTGGAATTATGGAAAAGCGAATGTTAAAGGTATTTGGTCTTTTTTGGCGCATTTTTGTATTTTTATATTATATTAAAAGTAATATGAAAAAATAAAAAATTCTTCAAAATTTATCGATCCACTCTAAGTTTCTTTAAATCTTATTATCGAAATTGTTTAAAGTGAAGTGAATTAAATTGGCTCAGGAAGGGTACTGGAGTTCGAAGTGGATGATAAACCATGCTTTGAAATTCCTTTGAGTAACGTAAGTAATTGTACTACGGGCAAAAATGAGGCTGCTTTGGAATTCCATCAAAATGATGATTGCCCTGTATCACTTATGGAGATGCGTTTTTATATACCCACTGATCCAGACGCTGATGATGATATCGATGCTGTGGAAGTAATTTTAATAATTATAGCTTAAAATCAATATTTTATCTTTATCGATTTAATATCCGTTTTAGCTTTTATTTTTTAAAAAATCAGTTTCATTTTTTTCTCTTTTGGCATCGAATATTTTTCTTGAAGGAATTTCGAAATGCTGTAATGCAATATGCCGGAATTGAAACTGAAACTGATCTGCCAGTAGCAACGCTTCAACAAATTCTTTGCACTACTCCTCGGTTAATTTTTTCAATATAAATAAATTTTAATATTGTAATAATATTGTAATGTTATTTAATATTTTAATTTTAATATTTGCGAAAGTTCGATTTTTTTCCCAATCTTACTTTTTTTTTATTTTATTATTTTCATTCTATTTTAACTCTATTACAGTGGTCGTTACGATATCAAAGTTTATCAGAATCATTTGTCTCTTCATGGTAAAACTTACGATTACAAAATCCCTATAAAAACTATAACGCGCCTATTTTTATTGCCACACAAAGATGGTCGTCACATGTATTTCGTGGTAAATAACTTTATTTTTTAAAATTTAAAATTTATTACTGTTATTCCAAATAACTTTGTGGAAATTTATTTTTATTTTAGTATTCAACATTCATTTAAAAGGTTAATTATTTATCTTGTTGCATTATTTATTTTTTACTTTATGGATTATTAAGTTTTTCAGATTAGTCTAAATCCTCCAATTCGTCAAGGCCAAACGCGTTATCATTTTCTTGTCCTAGAATTCAATAAAGATGAAGAAATTGAACTGGATATTGGTCTTACACAGTAATTTTCAATTTGCTCCAAAAAATTTTTTGAAATTATTTCTTTTATTATTTATTCCCATTTTTTATTATATTTTTATTATATTATATTATATATATTATATATTTTTTTCAGAGATCAAATCAAAGGGCAGTATAAAGGTAAACTTGATAAGACAATTAGCGGAACCGTATTTGAAGTTATTTCGAAAATATTTCGAGTTATTGTGGATATGAAAATTACGGTGCCGGGCAGTTTTGTTGGGTATGTTTTCAGTTACTCAATATTCTAATAGTCTTGTTATTTCTCAGCTATATTTTAAAAAATAAATAAAAATAAAATAAAAATTGTTTTTTGTCGCCGTTTCTTTAAATGATGATTAACCTCGATATAACTTTCAGTTTTCCTTCAATTTCATTGATGGCGTAAATGAATATTTTTTATAGGCATTCTGGCACACCTGCCGTAATGTGTGCTCATAGACAAGCATCTGGATTTTTATATCCGCTTGAAAAAGGTTTTGTATACGTCCATAAACCGCCGATGTATATTCGATTTGAAGAAGTAAGTTCCTCTAATTTTTTTTTAAGCTTTTTCGAGTATCTTATAAGTTTTTTTATAAGATTGTGATCTTTTTTGCATTTGTTCATTCATTTACATTTATTATTAAACTTTTGCTTATTTACTTTTATTTTAACTGTTTTTTTACTATCTGTCTCTAATAAAATTATTTTTTATTCAATTATGATTGATCTTATGTTTTTCGTAAAGCATAATTCATTTACGGTCTGATGGTAAAATTATTTAAGAATATGGTACTACTATGAATATGGTACTATGGTAATCTAGCTTAGAAAGCTTTTTAGCTTATTTCTTGTATGATTCACCAACAGTTTGTTTCGTTAAGAATATAAAATAAAAGCATACGATTGGATTGTTTCAGATAAGCAGCGTAAATTTTGCTCGTTCCGATGTTTCAACTCGTTCATTTGATTTTGAAATCGAAATGAAAACGGGCAATACTTATGTCTTCAACAGTGTTGAGAAGTAAGTTCTTCTAAATTCTTTTTAAATAATACATGATGTTCAGCGAAAAATCAAAAAAGGAGTAATTAAAATTTTCCTTTTGAAAAAGTTTTAATATATTGCAGAGAAGAGTATAACAGATTATACGATTTTGTTACTAATAAAAGATTACGAATTCGTAATGCTAAACGTTTGGTAAGAAATCTTTCGCTTTTTTAAAATTTTATTTTATCCATTTATTTTATTTTAGATTTTATCCATATTAAATCATTTATCGAAAAATTATCAGATTTTCATTGAACAAATTTGCAGGACAAGCCGACATATGTAGAAGATACTTTCGAAGGGAGTGACGATGAAATCGATCCATATAAGGAAACACTTAAACAAGAAGCAAGAGAAAAAGAAGAAGCTTCGTCGGATGATACAGATAGTGAAGATGGTTGGTTATCCCGTATAGTTAATGATTAATGTTTTCTGAATTTTCTGTTTTCTCAAAATATTTTCTCAAAATTGGCTTGTTTTTTAGATGATTATGATGTAGAAGCGGACAAACGGATACAAAAAGAAGAAAGTTCTGGATCTGATTCTGAACCTAGTGAGGAATATGATAGCAACGTTAGTAGTTCTAGTGGAAGTGAGAAATCTGATGGTGAAACTCCCGCAAAAAAGAAAAAAAATGAAAAAATTGAAGAATCTACTATAAAATCCGAAAAAATCTCTACTGCAAAACCTAAGAAAGAAAAGGTATTTCGAAACTAGATATTTTCTAAATTTTTACGCGGTAATTTAATAGCTTTAACAGTTAATCAAAAATTTCAGCAAAAAGAAACAGAAAAAGTTACAAAAAGCAGTGGAAAGAAAGAGAAAAAAAAGAAAGATCCCAATGCACCCAAAAAAGCACAATCAGCTTATTTTCTTTGGTTCGGTGAAAATTATTCATCTATTCGTAAGGAAGGATTATCAGCAACAGAAGCTGCACAACGAGCTGGAAAAATGTGGAAAGAAATAGATAATGAAACGAAACAAGTTTTTTACTATTTGCTTCGCAATTTTTTTTTAAAATTTTCCTTTAAATCTCACTGTTTCTGAATTCATTTATTTCTATTATAGTTGAATAATTGCATTTTTTTATTTTTATTTTGAATTATTGTAGTCCCAGCATTAATGGAGATCAATGGAGATCATTCTGCTTTCAATATTGATCCATTTATTTTCTTTTAACTTTTCATTTTTTCATTTTCAGAAATACGAAAAAAAGGCGGCCGAAGATAAGGAACGTTATAATCGGGAAATGAAAGAATATTTGGCGAATGGTGGAGGTGCTGCATTGTCATCATTATCTCGGCCGAAAAAGACAGCAAAGTACTCCTTTTTTTTATAGAAAAAATGAAAAATTTTATTTTATTTTGTTTTATTTCATTGAAGTTTTTGCACATCAATTCATTTCTTTGCTTTCCATTTTCAGTTCGCCAACAAAATCTTCTTCTAAAGCAAAATCAAAAGAATATGTTTCTGATGAAGACAATGATTCTGAGAATGAACCATTAAAGAAATCAATAAAAAAAGTAATTCTATTTTTGAGATTTATAATACCTCTTGATTTATCGTGAAAAATTTTGATTTTTTTGATAGTTTTTTATAAATTTTAATGAAATTTAAAAACTATCAAGAATTATGCTGTAGCTGATATTTTAAATTTTTAAATTAAATTGGCTTAAATTAAATGATAATTAAATGATACGCTTTTTTGCACCAATTATAGCATGTATTGTTAATTAGAAAAAATCCATTTTTCAATTTTTTAACATTTTTTCTAACCTGAAATTGGCTAAATTCTGAATTAATATAAAATATCAAACTTTAAATAGTGCAAATTTAAATAGAAGTTATGAATAAAATGTGATGGATATAATATTAAATTTCAAAATATTCTAAATATCCTTGAATTTATTGGATTGATCTTATAACCTTTCCACTCTCGCTTAACCGTTTAACCATCTTAATGTTCTTACACCGATTTCTTACACCGATCTGTTCATTCTCTATTTAAATAAATAAAAAATAGTTGTGTGGCATCCATCATTTCTGGCTAGGCTCACTGCTACTTGGGGAATAGAAAATTGGCTTCTCCGTGATATTATATTCATCATTTATCTCCAGTCTCTCCAGTTCCCTTTTATTAACATTCAGTATGTAATAAGAAAATATGAAACTATAAAAATCTCAAGTTCTATAAAGATGATTTGCAGGAATCATCGGAAAATGACGAGCAATCGGATAGCAACAGTGATTAATTATATTGTATTAATTATTAATAAATGGGCATATGACAGTTCGTTTATCTGTTTATCTGTTTATCGTTTATCTTTATTGTATCCATATATGTTTATTGCAGTTCGAATCCACCAAATCTTTACCAAATCTTTATTTATCAGGAAAAGAAATATGGGTTCTTTGGCGAAGATCGGGCCATAGGTAGATGATTTCTTTCCTTTACGGGAGTAAACTTGTCTTTGAAAAGGAAATGCAGATGACCTGGGGGTCACTTCACTTTACTCCAGGACGAAGGAATATTACCCAAAATGGCCACTGTAGACAACCAAAACCGAAAAGAAATTGTTTCCTGCAATCCCCCTCTTCTCTTCATTTTCTTCTATCCCCCGTTAAATGGCACCGGTCTTTGTGTTAGAGAAATCTGTAGGAGTAGTGAGGGCAGTGTATTGAAATATTTGTGTGGTAAAGAAATGTTTGTCTTAGAGCGAAAAGTTTTGAATGTTGGCTTATATCCAATTCCTTTGTTTTGGTTTAGGATGCAGGTTTAAATATTGATTGGCGTTTTGGCGTTTAAGAGGGTTTTGGTTGTGCCAAAGCGGAGGTGTCGGTTCTTTCTTCGAGGGGTTTTCGAGTTGCGTGGGTTGCTTTTGTCTTGTAGGGATCTGTTCAAAATGTACTTTTCACTTGAGTTTTTAATGCGTAAAAGTTTCAGATAAGTGGAGTTATTAAATTTTCATTGAGTTGTAATGTTATTTTGCAGCCGAAAAGCTGTCTCTATTTGGAAATTTTTAATTTCGCATATATATTTTCCTTTAAATTTGATAAAGTTTTCTTTTTCGAGGAATCGATAGTGTCGAAATCGATTGTGTATGGCTTCGTCGATAGTTCAACGCGATTATTTTTTTAAGAGTTTTGTACAGAATCACATAATTTTACAAAATTATATAACATGGAAGTTTGTAACCTTCGATGCTCAAAGTGAACGATGCTTGAGCTGTTCCGTTTCTTTTTGAAGTAATCATTTTTTGGTTCTGTTTAGGCTTTGTGCTAATTGAGTTTCCTCGTGCAAACAAGAATGGATAAACCAATAAAACTTGCAAAGGTTACAAAAATTCTTGGAAGAACTGGTTCGCAAGGGCAATGCACGCAGGTCTGTCAATTTTCATATATTTAAACATTGTGTAGAGATGTCGAAGGTCGTCTTTAAAAGTTTAGAGAATAAAAGGTTGGAGAATGAAAAGATTTTGATCAATTGGAAACAGTTGGCTACTTATTTCTATGAAACTCATCTTTAAATCCTATCCTATTACTTATGGTTCATATAAATGAGGTGTGGGGAGGTTGGGACTTCTGTAAAAATTATAGCTTTGAAGAAACATTTCGAACTTTTTTTCATGCGTGAGGTCATATTTGACGAAATATCTGAAAGTAGATGATTATAAAAAAATGATAGGGCGTAAGTAAATGACAATCCAGCGGTTACCTTTCCACTTTCTATATTAGAATTATTAGTTTAGTTCATCTCGCACAAGGAACCAAATACGCACAGTAATTACGCGTCGAACTAATATTTGCAAGTTAAAAGTGACAAATGACGTAGTTAAATCATATTGCTTACAAAATTGCTTTTTAGGTTCGTGTTGAATTTCTAGAAGATACAAATCGGTCTATAGTTCGTAATGTTAAAGGTCCTGTGCGTGAAGGTGATATTTTAACTCTTTTAGAATCTGAAAGAGAAGCACGTCGTTTGCGATAAAATGCCAGTTATGAAATTATAAAATTATTGTTATAAAATTTCCAAATAAATTTTATTTACTTTGTTTCAACAATCATTGATGTATTTATTAAAATCTAACAAGCTTTATATTTTAAATTTTATTAAAGGAAGTTGATCATATGCAACAAAAAAGCCTTTTAAAGATTTTTATTCGTTTAGATAAGACATTGGAAAAAGGACTGTGAAAAAAAAAGTCTTGTGAAGTAAAAAAAAATGATGAAAAAGTAAAAAAGTGAAAAGTGAACGTAAAGCGGTAACGGCGGGGCACAAGCACATTGGAGAGGGATACATCAGCGAATTTTTTTCCTTGAGTTTGTCGTTAACGATCTTCCAAATTTCTATCGCACTCCGAGGATGGTCTTTTCAGCACAGTGGATTTTTTAGATTTTTATGGTAGCAGACTGGCACCTTAATCCTTTTTTGTTGGGTCGGAGGGATTTTTGCTATATTGACTTGGCGATAAAAATGGTTGAGTAGGTGGCGACCTAAGCTTTTAGGTTTACTGGAACTCCTAAATGAGAGCAATGGCTGATCACTGTGATACAATAAAAATGGCAATGTGAAAAATGCTTCAGGAAAATTTATGAATTCGAAATGTGAAAGGTTACAATCGTGAATGAAATATTTGAAAAAACGTATTTGCAATTTTTGCAGGTCGTTTTTTTTTAGCGATTCGATCTATGGAAACATTCGCCGTGGGATAGAAATTAGCGCTTGTTCAAGGAATATTTCCGAAAATATTTTTTATTCGTTCATTTAAATAGCGCCATTCGAAGACTGTAAGAGACAGTTTGTTATTTTCGGCATTTCTAAGGTAATTTCCATTTTCCTTTAATTTTGCCTTCGTACATTGAGATGGCTAGTTGGAGACTGAATCGAAATTCGGTGCAAAATTCTTCTGGAGATCGGCTGCCAAATGCTATTTTAACTCGCCGCAAATTCTCTTCTTCCATTTTCTTTCAAACTGACTTTCTGCTATTGCACACATTGAGTAATTTATTCAAGTAAGTGGGTGCTTAAGGGTTATTTATGTTTCTCAGTTTTTCAATGTTTCTCGAGCACCAGGCTTTCCGCAATTTTGAGTGGTCTGCACATCGTTTTGTGATTGAATCCGTTGCTGATTCCCTGCTATAATTTATGACATCGCTACTAATTTTTTATTCGTTGCCAGGCCATTCTTGTTGACAGCGCCTGGCCTGTTCGATTTTGGTTTAGGGTGCACAACATGATAGATTTTTTCGCCCTTTGCTATATCTTTTAGACAATTGTAAATCTCTTTTTCACGAAAAACTAATGCTTGACAAGATGATTTAAATGATATAGCAGAGGGTTTCAGGAAATTATCAAAGTTAAGTGAAAATAAAATTTTATCTATAAATGCCAAAAGACTCCATTCTGCCGCTATTTCCTGTTGACAAATATATATTTTAAAGCAACGCAAGTTGACTTTTCGGTCGGCGAGACCGTTCGCGTTTTTAAGGGATATTTTTTGTATTAATTTTTAATTAAAACCATTTTTTATTTAAATAAATTGGCAATTTCCAATTACCAATTTCGAATCGCTTCGCTTCGAAAATTAGGATTTTTAAGATTTTAGGAAAAAACTTTTAAGATTTTAAACGTCGAACTTTTTGAAATAATTTACTGTTAATTGATAACTTCCTTATCGAAAACGTTCATTCTTCCACGTTTGGGATATATTATAATATAATATAAGAAGAATGCAACATAATATGTTCTTCACCTGTAGAATCAGTTAAATTAAGGATCTACTGAATTAATTAATTCTTATGCCGCTTAAACATCCAGTTCTCAGAACCGAACCCTCATCTGATATCGATTTGCCATGAGTTGGAAGAGTTAAGTCTGATTCCTCTTTGCTAGATTTTATTATCAAATTAAACTAATTCTTGTCACCTCAACTTAAATTTTGGTGCTCCATATGAAATATGTTGGAATAAATCTTAGCATAGAATTTTAGAGGCTTTGTTAGAGGCTTTTTTTTCATTGGAAGTATTAATTCGTGTAACCACTCGTTGTTGTTCTTACCCCATCAATCCCAAGTCTTAGTAGGGTCATTTATAATATCTTATGGAACTTCAACTTCAGTCTATTAATATCAGCCTTTCTCGTTTTATTTTGTTTTGTCCTTTTATTCATTTCCATTTGTTTCTATTTTTATTTATACTAACACCAGCATATCGCTTTATGTCCCGCAAATCGTATAACCAACAAATGAGACCCAATCAGAAATGGTAAGCATTAACTGTCAAGTTATCAATTAACTGGTGAATGGACTCTCAGCTGTTTATTAGCGAGAATCAATTAGTGAAAGCAGTTGTTTTTTCAGTTCTTTAGAGATGGAATGAAGATTTTTTTTGTGTTTTAGGTTCTCAATTATCATCATTTGCACAGACTTCGATTTCTGCTTCACTGACGTATGAAATACATTTTAAAATTTGATCTGAGTTTAAATCAGCATTTGAATTTTAATTGCGAAATATTGCGAAATATTAAATTGTTTGCAAAAAAATGACTGGGAAAAGTCTTACTTTTAAGCTATTTGTATGGTCAAATTTAATTTCTTTTCGTTATCATTTTTCACTACAATTTTATTTTATATTCCTTCTCCTAACAGCCTGCACTTTCTTTTTACTTGGCTCCTCCGGGCACTATAAAACATCCTTTACACCAGTGAATCACTTGGTGGTAAAAATGCTTTCCATTTTTAAAATAGCAATTTTCAGGTGTATTATGGTGGAAGTAACGACGACATTTATTGCAAAAGGTTGCGAGAAAAGACCGAATATACTTTGTTGGTCACATCGTATAAATATTATTGCGTTTTCATCTCGAAACGATATTTGCTTGGCATTTCCCAAAGTTTGCTTTTCAGTATTTACAGTAACAAATAATATATTTATTTATGCAAATCAATATATTTGCTTATAAAAAATATGAAAATTATTTTTACCTTCATTTGCCTATAATATACTTATAAAAATGCCACAACATGTTTTTGAAAAAAAGCGAAAATTTGATCGCCCTTTTTGGGCCTTTTAATTTTTTTGCGTCGAATCCCAAGTTTAGTTTTAAGGTAATTCTTTCTTATATTTTATATTTTTGTTGCAGCACAATGTGAAAATCCTCTCTCGTATAAATAGATAAAAGTTAAAAATAAATTTATGGAATATAAAATTAGAGACAGATTTTTGCGGAACATTTGCTGACATCCCGCTAAACAGTTTGGGAAGTTGGTGCTGGTGTAGATCATCCACCAATCATCAGCTTAATGAGCCCGTTATAGGTCACATATTTGGTCTTGTAGATCTTTAAGTTAGCAGATCACATTTTCTTTTTAAAATTTTGCATTTGCCTCTAATTGATGTATGAATTCCTGAAATCCCTTTGCAGATAAGCTAATGTAATAGATTGGTACTCAACCTACAATAATTTTTAGAAAATCTGTTTTAAATAAGTGTGAAATGGCTAATACTTTTGAAAATTTTGAATATTTCTGAAATTAAGGATGGCAAGCTCGGCGCGAAAATCACGAACACCGCTTCAGAACATTCCGGTGTGGTTGTGTCGTTAAAGTTTTCTTCATCATATAAGTATCTTAACTACGGTAAAGGTTAATAGTTTGTATGATTTTTCCATTTTTTTCCGAGAATTATTTAGATTTTGAGAATTGTTTTTTTTATAGTTTCCCTTCTTTTGCATTATTTCTGGTTTAGCTAACTTTATTGCTCTAACGTTTGCAAATTTGTCAATTCTATATCGTATTTGGTATTCATTAATCGGTTAAATTGCAGATAATTTGGACTATTTGATTTCTGGTTGTAACAAAGGTAAAATTGTTCTTTGGACTATTCATAAGAATTCCGATATTAGGCGATGCACCATTCACCCTTTGGTAATTTGTAAGTTTTATTAATTTTTCAACAAAGAACTATGTTTCCTCTAATCCCACAATATTTTATATTCTATAGAGTTACTGAATTGTCTGTCAATGTGACAGAAATAGCATTTGGTTTTCTTTCTTCTTTGAAAGAAAATTTTTTCTTAAATTAAAAATTTAAAAATTCATTCAAAAAATTCTTAAAAATTTAAATTAATTCATTTTGATTATTGTTATTTGTGATTTATTGTATTTTATTGTATTTTAGGGGAATCGGGACCCTCTAGTGTCGTCGATTGTGCTTTATTTAACTATTCTAGAGAAAATGGCTTTTTGTCTTCAATTATGGTTTATTCGTTGACTAATAATTCACTAAACATAACCTGGGCATATATTCGTAATTGTGAATTGGCTAATAGCTGCACTTCTGATGATCAGAAACAGTCTCTAAAAGTTGGCCCAAATTTCGCTAAATATTTAATTTTGCATCCCATAGAAAAAGGTTTATAACAAATTTTTCTATCATTTTAAAGATTTTTTTCATATTTTAGAAAAAGTAAATCAGTTTTAAGAGAAGTAATTCAATTTATCTTTTTGCTATTCTAATTTTCTAAATTTAGTCTTTTCCAGATTTTATTCTGTTGGCGGCATCACTGACCGACTGTTCAGTAGAATTATTTACTGGATTTATATCAGAAAAGGTTTAGTTTGAACTTTTAGTTTGAACTTTTTTCTTTTGTGGAATTCTACTTTTGGCATTGTTTCAACTGGGGATAACACCAAGGTTCGATTCATTTTCCTTAATAGAAAACTGTCATTAAAGGATCGGTGAGAATTATTTTTTTTAGAATATTTTAGATATTATATATAAAGTTCTTATAAAAAACATATTGTTCAATGTTGTGAAATTATTTTTGCAGACTTTTCAACTGGCTCTGAAAATTGTTGGACATACGGATTGGGTTACCACAATGGATATTAAAGGTTGGTTTTTAAAGTTTTTGTATATTCTTTGGTTTTGTATATTCTTCATATTTCGTATTAAATTCTTTTTTTCTGTGGTTTTTCTCTAAATAATGAATTTGCAATCTGATTAAATTTAATATTAATTTGATTAAATTTAGTATTAATTTGATTAAATTTTTAATATTAGTCGTTTGTTGAAAATTTTTGTGCTATTTTTGTACTATCTTTATTCAGTTGTTGAAAACAATTGTGCATTATTGGTTACTGCCGGTATAGATAAATCGATTCGTATCTGGAATATTTCATTATCAAGTAAAGACAGTATCAAACCAAATGGTAACATCCATGTTTCCAATCAAAAATCCACTTACGAAACTCGCATTGTTACTAATGGTATATTCGGTTTTTTGGTTGTAAATAATTATCACTTCTTATTATAAATATTATAAATAATTTTCAGTTTTTTAATTAACTTTTTAATCTTAATTTGAAATTTCTTCAACAATTTTGTTCTATTTAGAAAAAAATGATCAACGAAATGGTCAAATGATACTTAAAGTTCAAATCGAGGCAATTTTAAGAGGCCATGAATGCATGATCCATTCCATTGCTTGGCATCCAATAAAAAATCAACTATTAAGTGTGTCTGAAGATAAATGTTTGGTTATTTGGGAGCCTGTAGAAGTTGGAAACAAAAACAATTCTGATTTATTAGATTCTGGCATTTGGCTGGAGAAGGTTTTTTTTTCTTTTTTTTAGTCGAGATTAAGTAAAATAGGTAAATTTTTGGCTTAATAAAAAGTGTTTTTATAATTTAAAACAAAAATATAATTTCTTTATTTCCTGAGCGTTTTGAATATTTCTATTCACTATTCATCTTTTGTTGTAGGTGCGTGCAGGCGAAGTTGGAGGACAAGATAGTAATTATTGGGGTGGTTGCTTTTCTCCCGATGGCAAAGTTATTATCGTATACACTTATTTTGGAGGACTACAGATGTGGCGAGTACATGTATATTTATGCATATTTCTCGTTTTTTGCATTTAGTTTTTTATAATTTCATTTATTCACCTAACTCGTGGAATGAAGTCGCCCTGATTTCTCTGGAAACTCGCCAGTGATGCGCAGTTATTTATAAAGGGACAAATATAATTTCTTTTTTTTAGGGATCAATAGAAAAAATAAAAATCTTCATTTCAATTCAATTAAATAATGAATAATAGCAATTAGCTTGACAACATATTAGCAATGATAATTGGATATAACAAGTACATTATATTGTCAAAAAATAGTGCAATCAAAAACCAAAGCGTATATAAAAAGGTTTTAAGCCAAACATAGCTAATTAATTCGAAATCAGAGCTAAGCTTGAAATATTCAAATATATTTGATGCCAAAATGGCATAACTGGTTTTATACTCATTTTGTTTACTATATTTACTATTTCTACGAAAATGTTCTAAAAAGAAATTTAGAACGGGCGGTAAACTTCAGTGTTTTAAATTATGCCTCGTGTTTTCTCTTGCTATTAAGTCGTCTTGGCTTGTATTTTAACGATTTATTGTTTTACACAAATGCAAATTATTAATTGTTAATTATTAATTATTAAGGTTTTATTGAAGGAAAATGAGGAAAACGTTCATTTGGTGCAAGAATCGTGTTTTGGTGGGCATTCGGATGAAGTCAGCGATCTATCTTGGGATCCATCCGGAAATTACCTCTTATCTTGCTCCTCTGATCAGACTACCCGTTGTTTTGCCCCTTATCCTGCGCAGGTTCTTTTTTTTAATTTTCTATTTCTCTTATTTGTTTTTTTATTTCTACTATTTTTTTGTCAAATTTTTCAAATTTTGTCTATTATTTTATTATTTAAAAATAATCATGATTATTTTTTGTTGTTTCCTTATTTTGTACTGTCGTAAATTATTTCCTTTTTATTTTCGTATTATTTTCGAAAATCGAGTTGTTTTTTCGAAATCCACTTAAAATGCATTGTGCTCTCAGCACTCTTGAAATCACTTTGTAAAAAATTCAGCAGAATCCTCTCGAATATTATTGTCCTCTCTAATCTATTATTATCCTATCCTTCAAACTTCCTTATGTTCTCTTTTCATATCTTGTGACATTCCTTTTATGTCCACTTAGCAATTCCCTGAACCCTATTAAACATTCTCAACACTCTTCTGCAGCTCCTTTTTTTTTGAAGAAATTTCTTAAACGAAAAAAGTTATTTCAACTTCGAATAGTTTTCTTTCACTGCACAATTTTTTAAATTTTTTTCTGAAATTTCAGGCCATATTTATCGAAATTGCTCGGCCTCAGGTTCACGGATATGATCTGAATTGCATCACTTCTATTTCTGCGTTAAATTTTTTAAATTTTTTATTAAATAAATTTTTTATTAAATTTATCATAAGCCGAATGCCTCAATCATTGCCTCCATTTTCACTCTACGAATTCATAGTTCTTTAAATTAAATTATTATGAAATTATTTTTCTTCACTAATTTTATTTCATTTTTCAAGTTCATGCTTTATATCTGGAGCTGATGAAAAAATTCTTCGTGTATTTCGTGCTCCAATAACATTTGCTCAAAGCATTATTAATCTGTGTGGTTATAATTTCGACGAGGTATGTCAGTCATATCAAATTTGCACCAAATTCTTGGACCTTAAGAGCACATTATGAAGTATTGGAAAAAGCTCACTTTTTTTGTTCGTATTTAGTTCTTGAAAAGCGAATCAAATTAAATCAATCTTTCCTATAATGTTACTACTCCTGCTACTCCTTCGATTTTCTCTAGAGGATTTTTTGGGTTTTTGTTTTCTATTTTTACAGGCATTTGGCAGTCAGGCTAATTTAGCTGGTCAAGGAGCCTCTCAACCTGCTCTAGGCTTATCCAATAAGCAAATCGAAGAATCTGGATCTAATTCAATGCCAGATTTTGGCATTGAATCAAAAGTGAATGCTATTATCTCAAAACCAACAGAACTTCATGGTTTTATTTCGTTCTGCTCTATAAGGATGAAATTTAGAAATCAAAAATATGAAGAAATATAATCATATATAAATATAAATTATATAAATTATATAAATATAAATTATATAAATTATATAAATCATCTTTGATTCATCGAGAATTACTACCATAGAAAATGAAAATGCTGAAAACGCATTCACTTTTTGGTTAAGTTCATTTCACTGGCTTTTCTGATTAGAAAAATTTGGGAAGTCATTTGGCGATAAAAATACTGATAAGTCGCCAGCACTATCCAGATTTTTGAAAGACGAGCTTATTCTTGCGGGGAGTTGAAATAGAATCCCCGTATCGACCATCCGAAGTGGAAGCAAAAACCTAATGAGTTGTTCATTATTTTATATTGTGTTATTTATATTTTATGTTATTATTTTTGTTTGTTTTTACTTTGAATATTGAATTTTTTAATGCTTATTTAGTGTTATTATTTAATTAAATTTGTGAAAATTAAATGTATCAATTTTTAGGTGCACCTACAGAAAGCTTTCTTATGCAGAACACTTTATGGCCAGAAATACACAAATTTTATGGCCACTGCTTTGAAGTGTTCGCAGTTACATCTAATCATGCTGGAACCTTGATAGCCAGTGCCTCAAAAGTAAGTAAAAAATATTATAAAATATTCTGCTGCAGTCTGTGCAATATTTACTTAGTTTAACCATTGCTATTAGAAGAATTTTATACATTATAGGCAAGCCGATTAGAACATGCTGCAATAATTTTGTGGGATACGAAGGAATGGAAGCCCGTTACGACACTATATAGCCATCATTTAACAGTTGCACAACTGGCTTTTTCGCCAAATGATAATTTATTACTTTCTGTTTCTCGAGACCGGACATTTACTGTTTTTATTTGTAATGACAAGGGTAAAATCATTTAATTTTGAAAAATCTTGAGTTGATAAATGAATGAAATAATGAAAGAGATCGACCCACAAAATATGTGGGTTTTTTCAATAGGAATTTGTTTAATGCATTCTTGCTGGGCGTTGAGTCGCAAATTTTTTTCAATGATTTTTTTTTGATCGATGAACCATTTGATTTAATGTAATATTCAAATTCAGACTCATGTTCCTGGAAAGCTATATCTAATACTTCGAAAGTGCATTCAAGGATAGTTTGGAGTTGTTCGTGGAGCAATGATAATCGTTACTTTGCCACTGGTTCTAGGGATCAAAAGGTATTTCATTTCTCATTCGCTTTTTTCATATAATTTTTTTGTTTCTCTATAATTTTAAAACAACCATTGTACAATCGTTGAATACTAAACTTTGGGTATAAAAAGGCCGAACTTAATGTAAGCTTAGACAGGCTATGGCTAATGAAAAAGGAGTATAATTGGCGCTAATAAGATTAATTTATTGGAACAAAAAAAAAGTGTAATATAACGAAATTTCCATGTTCCTATTGTCATATGCACAATCAGTATTCATGATGTGTGATATAAGTTTTAAAGAGATGGAATTGTGGAACGGAGGATTTCTTCTTGAATGCTAGACTAATCACACTTTTCACACTAATATTATTTCTATAATTTAAAGTAGGATTGCATCCACTGTGATGAGTTTTGCAATCTTTAAGCTTAGCGGGAGTAGAAATATCATTGAAAAAAAATGCGGATAATGCTGAAGACTCACTCACTTATACATTGTTCTCATGTGATTCGCTGCTGCATAAATGGAGGAGTGATCTCCTTGAAGTGCTAGGTGCTAGCCGTACTACAAATGTGAGTGTTAAGATGGTTTTAAATCTTTTATTGCAGTTAATATTATGGACATTGACTGAATATCTTTCGATAAAATTGGTAGTAGAATATAAATGTTCTTCTGCTGTAACGGCTATCGACTTTTGCCCAATAAATTTAGAGAGGTACCTCTGATTTCACCAATTTTCCTTGATCATTCGAAATTTTTTTTTTTTTTTTAATTACTAATGTTTTAGTTTTGCTAATTTTTCATGATTTTCATTAATTTATATTATATTTTAGAGGCCATATCTTAGCAGCTGGTTTCGAATCTGGTGAAATTGAAATACTGGAATGGAACAAAATTCATCAGAAATTCGTTAAGTTAAAATCTTTGAATCAATACGAAGCGCATTCCAAGACTGTTAGAAGATTAAGGTTATTTAATATTTTATTGTTATTTAACTGAATCATTGGGGCAAATCAGTACTGAAGGGCTTCAAAATGAAATTGGTGTAAATGATGTAAATTGACATTGATAACATTATGGGATTCTTACTGTAGCTCGCGGCAAGTTTAACCGTATGTTTTTTTGAAATTTGTGGATTTTCTTCAGATTTCGTCCTCATGCTGGCTTATGGAATCCTAATGAGAAGTCGGATGATCTATGTTATGAATTAGCCTCAGCGAGTGATGATAATGCTGTTAAAGTCCACCAAGTACTTATAAAGTGAATTTTTAATTCTTCAGTCCGGTTTATCTCTAATTTAATCTTTAAGAAAAATCAAAATCTGAATTAAAAACTGATTATATTATATTGTGCCATAACCACTTATACATAGGCATATTTTAATAAATTTTTAATGAATAATAAATATACAAAGATGAATAAAATTACATGACTTAATGAATAATAAATATAAGTGGATGAATTATAAAAAAATTTGAATAGATAGAGAGGTGTACATCGAATAGTTGGCACCATATTCACCTTACACATGGTAAAGAAGTTTAATTTTAATGGAGTGGCGGCTGGAAATTCCAAATTTTTTTCCTTACAGGAGTTTTTTATTTTATTTTCTAATTTATCTCCATGATGGTTTGTTATTTTATTTTATGACCTTTCTAAAGAAAGCACTTGAATGATTTTTATTTTCATCCCATTGAGATAGTTTTTCATTAAATAATGCGAATTCACCTTGGGCATGCATACAAGTCGTCTGATGAATTATTTTTGTCAATTAAGTGTGGTGGATTTACAATAATCGTCGAATTGGTGTGAAGATTGCTGTTGTCAATATTATAAGTACTATTATTATTGTGGCTAATATCATTTGCGTAATAGTTGATGTTGGCGTTGTGAAAATTGAAATAGTTGTTGTTTGGCTGATTGCAAGTTAAAAGCCTTGGCTGAACATTTAATAACGTAGCAATTAAATTGGTTGTTGTTTGGCTCATCCCATTGCTAAGCATAAAAGCATATTCCAGTGGTGTTGGCTGTGTACCACTCCTTAATATGTAGTTAAGCGCGGCTATATAATTTCTGAAAATTGTTAGAATTTTTTTAGCATTTAAGTATTTTAGTTGAATGGTGCTTTAAAAAAAAAGTCGCTTAGAAAAAGAGATGTTTCCTGCGAATTTGGCAAATTTCTATTGAATTTATTACTCTATTGTAATTATATTTCGAAAATCCAAAAGTAGATTTGTAACAAAATTTCTTTTTGGAGTAAGTAAATCTTATTAAGGCAATATTTAATGTTTTTGAAGAATGCGATAAGAACGCTGAATAAAGCTTATCGGTGCAAAATACTAATTCTAGGCGAAAGCGAAACGGTTCGTAAGTATTTCTAGATTGTTTTTCCATGTTTTTCAAACTATTAGGATCGTTGCATGTTTTGACGACAATTATTATCCCCACTAGTAATATCATGCAGTAATCACATTAATTATCGAATGTCTTGCTTAATTATCGTATTTTGTAATTAATAATTTATGCAATAAGCAAATGTTATAAAGACATTTCAGACAAAATTTCATAAAAATTACAGCTAATTTTAATTTTAATTTATTTTGATTAATTTCCAATAATTTTTTTCACATAATTACTGTTAATTTTGTGAATTTTTTATTTTTACTTTTTATTTATTTTTATTATTCTCGTAATGCCACGTAAAATACATGCTAACGGCATATAATAACTAATAGGGTAAGATTTCCTCAGCAGAAGAGATTGAGAGCACAGTGTCCAATATCAGTCTGAATTTTACTTCAATTACGACATTAAGAATGGGAATCTTACCTATGCTACTTACCACGGACCAGAGCAACCTGTATGAACCCTCTAATCTAATTTTCATTAAAATAGAATTTATGAGAATCTATAATTTCTTGCTCAATAAATTCACAAAATAGAACTGCAGATCATATAAATTAGGCAAAAAAATTTACTTAATTTACTTATAATTATTAAATCAAAAATTTAGTTCTTTAAGATGGTTCTTTACTAAAGGTGAAGCATCTGAAATAGCAATAAAATATTAAAATATTAGGAAATCTAAAATATTAGGAAATAGCAATATTGTTGAACGAGTGAACCCATGCAGATTTCAATTTTGCAGTTTTGACTCATTTGTTGGAAGCTTTATGGAATATTGTTGGAAACCGATAAATTACTAAATATTGATAAATATTCGTCAAAATTCTAGCAACTTGCATATTTGCTGATTTGGCTGGCTTCACAACGGGTAGGAAATGGCACTTCCAGGCTGTTTATTTAAATTTTAAATTTTAAATAAAAATGGATTTCTTGAATGAATTAGAATTCATCTAAAATATTAAAGAATATAATTAGATGTCTTTTGCCTCGATAGTAAGCAATAAGCCGAAAGAGATGAGAATGAATATGAAACTGATATGTCGTCGCTACTAAAAGAAAATAATCACTGCTGGATGCCTCAATGAATGCCATTTCATCTAAAAAAATATTGCGATAAATAAATAAGAGATGCGACACACGGAGTAAACAATAGGCATTGGAGGTTGACAGATTTGATGATGAAAATATCGTGATGGACAAAAATTAAGGATTATTGAACAGTAAAATGGAGCCCTTCAATTAGTTCTATTTTTTGATGAAGAGGATTCAGTAATTTGATATTACAGTAGTCTTGAAGATCGCTGAAATTATTCACGATGACATAAATATTTAATATAAATAGAGGACAAAATAGAACACTGATTAAAAGAAGGGTGCGAAGTAAAAAAAATCAAGAATTCACCTTCTTATTTCCCTTTATTTCTTCTAGCAAGCCTTATCACTAATGATTAGGCTGGCTGAGCTGGCTAAGTGGTAGGGCTGCTCAGAGCCGCTCAATCCGATGCTCAATATTGAAAGAATCTATTCCTTTTTCCACCGTCTAAAAACGTATTGCAGCCCATCCCATCTTGAAAATTCATCCCAAAATTATTATCATTCAGCTTATCACTGCGTAGTTGCTATTATCTCAAATATATTGCATTATATCTCAAATATATTGCATTGAAAGTGTTCAATAATAGATGGTAATTCTTATCTAAAATCGTTTTAACAAAGACGGATTATTTGGTGAAGAAAATTCTATGAATTCTACAGAAAAATGAAAATCCAGTTGGTTGAGCAAAACATGGACTTCTAAATCTTCCGAAATATGTTTCGCTTTTTAGAAAGTTCCAAAATTGTTTTTATACAAATTATACACTTTTCGTGCTAATATTTTTTCACAATTACTGTAAATGACAATTACTATATGAATAATAAACTTTATTATGAAATTAAATCTTTGGTTTTAATAAAATTAAGCCCAAAAATTGCACTTGAAGATAGCAATTTCAAGATATTTTTCATGTGATCAACATTTTAGTAGTTCTTCAATCATTTGTATGATTTGCAGAGTGCTGCAAATTTGATAAACTAGTTGCAAAAATAGTTCACCTTGCGAGTCGAAGTGTCTCAATTTTTGATAATTTCTGATGTTGAGTAGTTAATGGTACACACTGCCTTAAATTGTCCAATGCTCGGTTTAATCCATGCATTCTATTTCGTTCTCGGTAATTAGCTTTTTGACGCCGGAGTTTTCCTTTTGCTGTAGCATCGACTGATGCTGTTGGTACCATTTCTTATTCTCTTATTGATTTGATATTCTCACACTAAAAAAGTAAATAACTAAAAAAATAGGGAAAAATTTTTTTATAGTTTTAATCGAATGGGCTAATCTGAATTGCAAAAAACGCTATACAACATCGCCAATATAGTAGGAATGGCTGTACTGAATTCAACCAACAAAAAAAATAAGGAATATTTTAAGCGAAAGTGAATTTAAAATGGTGCATCTACGAACTTTTATTCAATATTTTCTTGAGTGATTTGCCTTATTCTTGGCGATATTTTGGCAAATTTTGATAAATTTTGAAGAATTGAAAGTAACTAATTGAAATAAAATAAATTGTAAGAAAAAAGCGAAAAAAACAAAAAATCTCATTTAAGTGAAATTATGGAGATTTGGGAATAAACGAATTCATAAGCTACAACGCCAGCAATTATTCGAAATCAACGCGAGAAAAGCGGAAAAAACTGTCCTGAAAAATTGTGGAAATATTCGGGATTTATGAAACGAATACCGTACAGGAAGAGAGATTTAACCGGAAAGACGAGATAAATTTATGGAATCATTGCGAATAACCAAAAATAAGTGACCACCTGTCGACTCCGCCCTGTTAATAGCCACTGTCATCGTCAATTCTCTTGACCTTATATATATTCTCTAAATTATTTAATTATTTTATTTATCATTAATATTAATTTTTATTTTAATGAATTCCTAATGAGCTAAGCTACATCATTTTTAAATCAACGAGTTCAACAATCGTTACCGTAATATTAAATATTAAGTTTATCGAATAGTTCGAGAGGTTTGGAAATATCCCTGTCATTTGGGGCGATCTTACCAGTAATGGTGCGAGCTGTTAGAAACTGTCTGAGGAATTGGAAGATTCAAGTTTAATTGATATATTGATAGTTGGGAGCATTTTTTAGCAAATCAACAGTGTTTTCTGTATCATATCTACGATTAGTATTCGAATTTTACTTAAATAACCATAAAAATGCAAATTGCTGTGTCCAGTTTCAGTTAGCAGTAATTATCACTTTGTATTTAGTAAGAGTCTTCTTCTCTCTAAGCTGATGGATGCTATGCAATACGTTTCCATTATTATTGTATCTTCAAAACATTCCGAATTAATCTATAACATGCTGCGAACATTGAGATTTCGTCGCAGTCGTTACATTATCTTCATAAATCCGAATAATATAATAGAGGCATGGTATCATTCAAAAAAGTACCCCATCGAGTCGGTTTGTGTATTGAAACATAAGAAAATGAATAAACCAGCTTTGTCCCAAAATCGTATTATAATTTCGACAATGAACCAGTATCGGAAAAGTGATTGACGAAATTTTATTTTCGTTAGTAATCAGTTTAGATATTTATTCTTGCAGCGAGATGCAAGCTTAGAAATTTGTTCCAAGTTCCATAGCCTCTCAAGCGATGAGCTCGATTCTGGTCCTTTGACACGCATCAGTTCCCTTTGATATGTTTTAGAAGTGAAAGTCGGCTAGCAGACCATTCGTGCTTCAAACTCCGAGTGACACTGTTGTGGAAGTTTAGTGGATCAGCCAAATCAGAAATGGCGAGGTTCATTGGAAGAAAAATGTGTTTGAGGTGCTTTTTAGGAATTCCCTTATGTTCGTTTAAAAGATTTAATTAAAAGATTAGTGTTTTAATAATAATAAAATCTATAAAGAAATATGATGTCGAGGTCAAACTATTCATTGACAAACTTCTTTTTAAAGCGGTTCCTTCACAACTAAACAAATCAGTGCTAATCAATCGCCTTACAATCGCATACATTAAAAATATTTATAATTAATCGGCGCGTGTCTTTTAGATGATTTTTTTATTTATTTAATGATTTATTTAATCATTTCCCTATTAAATGTCACCTTTTCCCAATGGTTTTAGCGTATTCGCACTTCTTTTTCATCCTCAAATTTCTTAGTAATGTTTATTGCGGCGCTAAATTTATGCATACAAACAGATTTGGGCGACATTATCTGCCTACCGTATATCCGAGGACAGCAACGGCAGAAGCAAGCAATACATTTATCAATACCATTCACTAAAACATTAAGTGCCCACTGGGGCACTTCAATCGCATTATATATAATTTTAGGGGCGATTTATTAATATATTATTTTATATTTTTAGCCTAAATTTTTCTTCTTATTATTTTCTATTTTGTTTTTCGGTTTTTGCACGAAATTCCATCTATAAGTATTATATTTATGCGAATCGCCGCCAACTTCATTTTCTAGCAGCGTAAACCGTTTGATAACCGTTTGATTGGTTTTTTGATTGGTTTTAACCGTTTGGCCGCAAGAATGGGAGGTTTTGAAGTCTGCAAATTCCCGGTTATCAATTAACAATATGAAAAATTAAAGGAAATTGAAATTGTATGCAAACATATAAACTTTTATAATATACGAACATAGTTTATCCAAGAAATTTTTTTGGTTTCAATTTTTTCAAAATTTTTTTAGCGTTCTTCACTTCATTTCATTATAAAAGTTGGTGGACTCAGCTAAATTAACAGCATCACCATTTTTGATTTGGCTAGTTTTTGCGATAAAATCTCTTCGGCGGTAAATACTAGCGATGGAACTATAAATGGAACTCCATGTTGCTTGGGAACCCACTTTAAACCAAGGTCCATGAGTTTAACCTTTTTTGAGGTGCTTTACCAATCTGCACAAATGATTTAAGTTTTTTTTATCGGATTAACTGAATAAAAATGTTAATTAATATACTGAATGCATAAAATTATCATATTTTAAAGTCGGAAAAAAATCTGCGTTCCGCTTAATTCTTTGACTTGGCCGGCAGTTCGGTTGTCTTTTAAATAATCCACAAAAATACATTAAACAATCAAATGCTTCCTGATTAATTGATCGTTTGATCAATGAAATCGCGTTTGACAGTTTTAAGATTAGAATACAGATTAAAATAATAAATCAATCAGCAATCTTATATCAAATTAAAATACTATTATGGTTCAAAAAAGAATATTAAATTTGGTCGCTTTTTCTAATAAGGGAGGCCTTTACTGTGCTATTAATGCTTCCAACTGCATTCACCATTTCTGCTTCGGCTCGCTTCACTAACCGTTAAAATGACGCTTCCAATAAAGTTTTGGAAATAGAGATACGGGTAAATCTCAAGCAGCTATCCACACTATGCTCTTGATTATCAACAAACCAGCTTTAGTCATGTCAAGCAGAAGGGATCGAATTTATTATTTATGAAATAAAATAAGAAGGGAGGAAATTATATTTTTATATTCCAACAACTTTTCCATCAGATTTTTTTCACTTCTTTTTTTAATTAATAAAATAATAATCCCTTTTTTTGGTGTGTTTTGTGTTTAATATTAATATTTGCTAGGAACTATAAATTAGTGGAATGAACTGAATTAAGTTGGGTCAAACATATTTCAATTCGGAAAGTGCAATTCACCTAATTTTTTGATGATTCTCGGCCTTTCTACTTCGACAAGTGGTAAAACAAATTGCTGCAACACCTTACAATACAATACTTGCTACAATTATGGCAACGCTTGCAATTTTTTCGATAATTTTCTCACGATTCGAAAATCTTATGAAAAAACGCTGATTAAGTCCATCTGTTTTCTCAATAATTTACTGGGTGTTCTTCGAGGCGACATAATGACAAATCGGCAGATGAAAAGAAATCATTGAAGTAAATTAAATAAGATTTAAAAAATATGATTATTAGGTAATATAATATAACACGACGGTTAGCACTTTCACGACGCTTCCTCGGCCATTTCCTATAAAGAATCATAATTTTATTTCGCTTCATATGATTCGATAAAAAGGCACCGACGTGGTGATCATTTGTAGATGAGCAAATATTATGGTTCGATGAACATTTGTCAAATATAATTAAAGACAAATCAAAATTAATTCGATTCTCACTTCGGAACAAAAAAATTTATCACAAGCTGAGGTTAATTGCAATAAACTGAATTCATTATTTCATTAGACCTATTTAATTTGTTAATTTTCTCTTCGGCTTTTAAGTAAATGATTAGTGATATGGTTGTTAGAATTATCTTTTTATAAATATATTTATTGCATTATGTGATATATAACTGGTAATTTATAGCAAAATCTGGGCGACTACGGTGATTTTTATCGTTTTATGAGTAAATTGACTAAAATTATGAACTGCTAAAATAGTAAGCCCGTTCGATTATCGAGTGCGACTTTCGAAACGGAGATCCAATAATAATTGTTAAAATTTGAAGTGATTGATGATTAAATATATTCAATGAGGAGAAGAGTGTTCCAGCGATTGTATAGGATCATCCATTTGATAACAAATTGTGGGTTATGCATTCAATAGCTCATGGTCAATTGGTTTTATTGACAATTGGGAATATTCCTCTGAATGACCTTTAACCTTGCTTAAATTGTTCGAGTTAGGTCATAAATTTAAAATAGAGCCTATTAAATTGTATAATAATTTTTAGTGATTCTTGATGGGATTATCTTGTTCTTGACATTCAACATATTAAAATCATCTCTTCTAAAATTATTGTTTTTCCTTTCTTCATTGAATGAAAATCCATTATTTCCGAACTATATTACGCCTCTTCACCAATAATTTTATCTACTGTTTCCATTCATTGATCTCTTTATGGCCACCAACTATAATTATGTTTCAACTAAATTAGCATTTAACCATATAATAATACCTAATACTGTATTATTTAGTGTTGTTTATTGTTGTTGTTAGCTTAAATTCTCATTAATTTATAGTTTCTTAGTTTTAATAAATAAATAATATCATTTTTATAAAATTCGATTGAAAAATCGGTTGCTTAAAAGGCTTAATAAATCTTTTACTATAACCAGTCATTCATTTTTGTTAGAAAAGATGTGAAGCATTTGGAATAATTTAAATGGTTGTCATTGAATTGAAAATAAATAAAAGAACCGGTGATAACGATATCACAGTATCATGCATCCATAAACA